GAGAAAAGACTCGGATGCGCCGCTCTAGGCAGGAGGGCACGGCAAATGCCGAGGAAATATGTGGCGCTTGGCAATAAGGCGCGAGCGCACAAGTTAGACTGTAGGTAAGCGTACAGTACCGGGAAAAAGTCCGTAAAATCGCAGAAAAATACCATAGGCGCTAGAGAGCGCGTAGACACCGATTCCAACAGATTCTGGTGAGAAATGTCGGGGCAAGGTCCAATGGAAGCAGCTCACCAGCTGAGCCTGTGTAGAATACGCTCTGTCGCTCACGCATGGCGACGTCCAGCACGTATGCCTGTTCTGCATTGAGCAAGGTCTTGACGTAGGCACCTGGGTTTGTAGGTTCCTCTACGCGCACTATGGGATGGAAGTGCTGATCGATCGCAGACGCACGCTTGGTTGGAGGCACCAATGGGTGACCTATATGGTCTGCAGATCGCTTGCTGGGTGTCATGTCCACAGTGCAGGTGTGCTGAGAGGCAGAAGCAAAGCAGGACAGTTTGGTCCAGCCGCGGGTGCTTATCGGGGCTCGCGCATCGCTAGCTGATGACCGACGGGGGTACCATTCGGGTATCCTTAAAGTAAATCAGGAATCTGCAATGCCCGGGTGGGAAGGTACCCGCAGCCCCTCATGTTAGGTATGGCGTGCCAAGGGGTTGGAACGCTTTGCGAACACCTATAAGAGGTGACGCCGTTTGATGCCTCTGTGTTCCATTGAGAAACGAGGACGCGAGATGAAGTCCGCGCGTTTCCGAGTCGGAGTTGTGTGGAAACGCGGAATGAAGACGAGAGAAGAGTTGAGCGAGAAGAGAAGGCGAGGAGTTGGCTGGAAACCAAGTTGATATTTTTGCTGGCTATCTAGGAGCAGCTAGCCAGCTTATATATGGGTAGTAGGTGCAATGCATCGGATTCCGGTGCATGTGCGCGGAGTAACAATAAGTACGAGTCCATGTGGAAAAGGTCCATTCAGATCTTGTTCAAGTAACAATAAGTAGCGGGCACAGCAATACGTGCAATGGCGGAAGAATGAGGGAAGAATGAGTAAGAGATAAGACGGTAAAGCGGTACGCGGGATTCCGCGTTGGAAATGGAATGCGGAGCGGAAAGTAAGTACAAGTGCGGAAACATCGGAAACATCGGAAACATTGGAACACCTTATGCTGTACCCCAGATTTAAATCTAACCGATAGTTTACATAGTCCTTATTACAATCTGGACGTAAGGCCTTCGGGGCCGGCAAATGCCGTGAACCACCTCGAGAGCTGAGCTGCTCGCCCCGGGCGATTCCCTTATAGGGCAGCACAGCCGCGACGCGCCCTGCGCGTGGCCTGCGCGCGCTCGGGCGGCTCGCGTGACGGGCTGATGCGACGCGATCGTGCCACGTGCACCCGCCCGACGCGTCGTCGGCGCGTTGCGCGGCGGCGCCGCGGGTCGCATTGGGCGCGAAGAACAGGAAAATATAGTAGCTTAGAGATGGGCATAATGTACCCATGTATATATGAGGGTGAGGGGTCGAGAGAGACGAGAAAGAAGAGGAAAACAGCGCGAGCAAAATTTGCGCTGGCGCCGATCGCGTCCCTGCCGCTCGTGAGGGCGAGGGCACGCGTGAGAGCGAGGATGAAGGGGAGGGGAAGCTCACCCCGAGCTACGCGCGCGCATTCGCGTCGAGGGACGCGTCTGCGGCGGCCGCGTAGCAGCGCGAGGGAGGGGGAGTGGGAGGAGATAATGTATGGTCCACCTCCGCCGCTGCTGCGCGCGTCGAGTCTGCTGGCCAGGCAAGCGCTTTCACTTCCTCCCGCGCTCTCAAGGAGTGGCTCCAGTCCAAGGCTGCGGCTAACTTCAACACCGACACAGGTGCGTCTCTACACATGACGCCGCGGCGAGATTGGTTCGTCACCTACTCGCCGCATCGCGTTCCTGTTCGCCTAGCAAACGGCGCGATCGTCTACTCGGCGGGCATCGGGTCGGTGGAGTACCAGCCGGTGGAGGGGGAGAAGTTGCTTACGCCTATCGTGTTCTTTGACGTCCTTCATGTTCCTTTGCTTACCTCCATCTACCACCTCACTGCGCACAAGGGGTACGAGGTCAGCATCAAGGACAAGCGCGTCGCTTTCTATCGCGCTGGGGCGCTTGTCTGCACCGCTACAGTGGACGACTTGAACACGGGCTACTTCGACGGCTACGTCGTCGTTCCTCCTGCGCACAGCGCGCAGCGCGCCGCCTCTACCACGCTCCCGCTCGACGCTGCGCTCTGGCACCGCCGCTTTGCGCACGTCAACCATGGGGACATTGCGAAGCTGCGGCAGCGCAAGCTGGTGAGGGGCATGGGGTTTGACAGCAGGGAGGCGCCGGACCCGATCTGCGAGCCATGCATCATGGGCAAGCAGACGCGCAAGGCGGTACCGCGCGGTCCAGGAGAGCGCGCAACGCGTCCCCTTGAGTTGGTTCACACCGACTTGAAGGGTCCTATGCCGGTCGCATCCAGAGAGGGGGCGAACCTCTACTGGATCACCTTCATAGACGACAAGACGCGGCGGCGCTGGGTGGCGTATTTGAAGCGCAAGAGCGACGCTTGGGCTGCTATCCAGCAGTTCAAGGCGGCTGCTGAGGTGGAGAGCGGTCAGCGCTTGGAGGTACTGCGCTGCGATGGGGGTGGCGAGTACATCTCCAACGTCATGAAGGACGCGGCGCTGAAGGAGGGGTGGCGGTTGGAGATCACAGAGCCAGATGAGCCGCATCAGAACGGCGTTGCTGAGCGTGCTAACCTCACTCTTGCCAATGGCGCCAGCTCGATGCTCTATGAAGCGAAGCTGCCGCCTTCATTCTGGGCCTACGCTATAGCCGCCTACAACCACGTCGCCAACCGCGCTCCTACCTCCGCTCTGCCTGGAGATACCACCCCCCACATTGCCTGGACTGGGAAGACGCCGGATGTTGGCTACTTCTGCGTCTTTGGGTGTCTGGCCTATGTTCTGGTGAAGGACAAGCACCGGCGCGCGCTCGAGCCGCACTCTCAGAAGTGCATCTTCTTGGGGTACCCTCCGGGCACCAAGGCGGGGTTGTTCTACAACCCGGCCACCAAGAAGACGGTTATCTCTTCGCATGCAGTGTTTGATGAGCGCTACATGCCAGGGACGTCGCTCAAAAGCCTCAATCTCATCACTGCGGCGATTATAGACCGAGGTGAAGGCCCTCCGGACTTTGGGGATGTTGCTGATCAAGGGGGTGATGTGCCGTCGCCCTCTACCCATCGTCATAGCGCAGATGACGATGGTGTCGCGCTCTATGATGATCAGCCACCTCCCCCATCCGGACCGCCAGCGCCTGCTGCGCCTCAGCTGCGCACGCCGCCGCCCACATCGCCGCCGGCACCCTCTACGCCGCTTCAGCAGCCAGCTGGGCCTACCACGCCGCCTAGCGCGCGTCCGCCGCCGCCCTCTGCGCCCCGCCCCCCTCGCACCGCGCCGCCTAGCAAGGCCGCGCTGAGAGGCAGGCAGGAGCGCGCGCAGGAGCAGCAGCCAGCACCGCGCTCTGAGCGCAGTCCGTCCCCTGCTTGGGAGACAGTTCGGCCGTCTACCTCGAGCGGACCGCCACCGTCGCGTCTGCCTCGGGCAACCAAGCCGACCCATAGCTTATCCGAGTGCGAATTGACGACTCGCGCTTGGCAAAAGCAGCCTGCGCCGCCTTCTACAGGCCGCGCTACATCGTCTACACCCGCGCCCCAGCCGCAGGTGACGTCCCCTAACCGGTTTGCGCCGTTATCCGGCCAAATTGAGGAGGTGGATGAGGAGGAGGAGGAGCAGGAGGAGCAGAGCGAGCAGGGGGTGCAGGAGGAGCGCAGGGAGCAGGCGCAGGAGGATGATGCGCAGGACAGAGCAGAGGCGAGGCGCAGGATGATGGAGTGGTCAGAGAGTGAGGATGAGCTGCGGATCACTGATGAGACGCCTATCCCAGGAGCGCACGTTATGCAGGCTGGCCTCGACTATGTCTTCAGCGGCATCACCGAGGAGGACTGGTCAGTAGAACAAGCCCTCAACTACGCCCTTTCGACCACGGTCGCATCCGACGCGCAGCAGGGCGAGCCCAACACATTTGCAGAGGCGCTGCTACGTCCAGACAAGGCCAAGTGGATTGAGGCTGCCTTTGACGAGGTCCAGGCGCTGGTCAACAACGGCACGTTCGAGGTGGTCGAGCTGTCCGAGGCAGAATCGAGCCAGTGATCACACTAGAGCGACAGCAAACGAGTCAGATTCACAAGTAGCGAGATACAATGCATAACTACGCACCTAGAGCGACAGCAAACGAGTCAGGAAGAGAAAAGACTCGGATGTGCCGCTCTAGGCAGGAGGGCACGGCAAATGCCGAGGAAATATGTGGCGCTCGGCAATAAGGCGCGAGCGCAGAGATAGAACTGTAAGTAAGCGTACAGTACCGGGAAAAAGTCTGTAAAATCGCAGAAAAATACCATAGGCGCTAGAGAGCGCGTAGACACTGATTCCAACAGCCTCGTCGAGGCGCGGGAGCGTCAAAATACGCGTTGAACACGCGTTCGCGGCACGTTCCGTAGGCGACGGTGAATCCAGTCGCTGTAGGACGTGCGGGAGCGCGCGTAGCGCGCGACGCGGGAAGGATCCGCGGCCCGAGGCCAGAGAGCCTGCAAGGGACTTAAGACCGAGCCGTAGGCTGGCAAAAAGGTGATGGGAGTAGGAAAGATGATATATTTGTATGTAATGGGCCTTTTAGACCACTATTGTATCTAATCTTATCCACCACTGGCAGGACCTATGTAACTACACTGCCCAGCCTCTAAGGGCTCGGTGTTCCTACATATCCCATAGTGAGGCTGGGCTACCAAGTATGAGGAATGTGGCTACACATTATAACTACAACTGCCAGGGCCCTTCGTAGGGGTCCTGGCCTACAGTGCTTGTTGTCGTTGCCTCGGCAAACGCTGGGTCGCGCTCGTCATCGCCCGCCCTACGCCCGCTGTCGCCGCAACGCGTGCTCCCCGACATCGTGCCACGTGCCACCGACGCTCGCGCTCCCGACGCGTCGCGCGCGCCTTCCAACACCTCGGCCCGCCCCGCCACCTCCGCCTCGCGCTCGAGCGCGTTCCCACGCCCATCCGCCGCGCCGTCGCTCGCCACTCGACGCGCCTCATGCCACGCGCAACTGCGCGGTCGAACGCTCGCGTCTCGGCATTTGCCAAGACGCGTCGAGCGCGTCGCCCGAATCGCTGCCGCCGCGCTGGCCGTTGAGCTGCGCGTCCCCGGTGAATGCCGGGCACGCTCGCGCGCTCGTTGGGTGCGTCGTCGGCACGTGCACTGTGCTCGCCTCACCCGCGCGCGCGTGCAAATACCGGAACGTGCCGAGCGATCCGTCCCTCGCGAGCGCATGCCCTGACGCGGTCAGCATTGCGCGGCGTCACCAGCGTCTGGCGCCGTGGCAACGCTTAACGCGACACCTAGTCACGTGTGCAGCGCGTACACGGCCGGCACCGTGTCCATCGATGGCGCTCGCGGCACTGCGCGATGAGTGGGCGGTTCTTGTGGTTGTTGGGATACAAAAGTGACCTGACCTGGGTTTGAACCAAGGACCTCCACCTCTCGGGGGTGACGCTCTAACCACTGAGCTATCGGGTCTTTAGTTACTGAGGTGCTGATCACAAGTCAACAGTGGTGGACAGCCTCGCGACACCCGCAAGCTCACAGGACCGTTCCGCTAGGTGACGTGGCAATGCCACGTCACCTAGCAACCGGTCCGCGAGCGCGGTGACAGGCATGTCATCGGTGTAGAGAAGGTGCAGCGTGGATGGCGAGCGCGAAGGCTCGCCGTCTGCATGCAGTAGTGGAAGGGCGGGGATGTCCGAGGCAGAATCGAGCCAGTGATCACACTAGAGCGACAGCAAACGAGTCAGATTCACAAGTAGCGAGATACAACGCATAACTACGCACCTAGAGCGACAGCAAACGAGTCAGGAAGAGAAAAGACTCGGATGTGCCGCTCTAGGCAGGAGGGACCGGCAAATGCCGAGGAAATATGTGGCGCTCGGCAATAAGGCGCGAGCGCAGAGATAGGACTGTAAGTAAGCGTACAGTACCGGGAAAAAGTCCGTAAAATAGCAGAAAAATACCATAGGCGCTAGAGAGCGCGTAGACACCGATTCCAACAGGGGATGGTGCGCGGCAGCGGTGGCGGCAAGCGCGCGAAAGCGGGCCGAGCCAACCCGAGACCACCCGAAGACACGTCGTTGGACGTGTCGTATGACGGCCACAATGCGGGCGGCGGCAGGGAGTCGACGGCTACAGCACGCGGCTTGGCAGCCGACGCACGTCGGGTGAGGATGAGGTAGGAGGAAGATGGTGGAGGAAGACAAGCAGCTGTCAAAAGTGGTGCGTAGGAGGGCGAGTCTGCCTTCTCCCTAGTGACGCGCCACAAAGTGTCACGTCACACAGTGGAGGTTTGACCCCTCCACCGTAACATAGCACTAGCGTCACGCTCCGGATTAGGAAGGTGCCCCTATCTGTAGATACAGGCGACGTGGCGCCTCGCTCCCAACTTCCCTCAGTCGCTATCTCCCTAGCAGGAAGACTGAGGGTATGTTGCTCACTTACTGTACCTATATTATATACTAACCTTACTTTAGTCTTGCGCGTCCTGCGCTCTTTTAGGTATGAATACAGTCGCTATCTCCCTAGCAGGAAGACTGAGGTCTTGCGCATCCTGTGCTCTTTTAGCTCGTGAAAAGGAGCGGCACAGGAACGCGTGTGAGCGCAGGACACGCTGATGGTAGCGGGAGGTGCGTGCATCAGGAGTATGTGTGGCGCGGACACATTCTGCAGCATTGGGAGGTGCGTGTCGGGCGACAAGTGGGTAGTTGATGTGGGGATGAGTGCGGGAATGCGTGCGACTGACGGGTGTGGGATGTGCTGGATGTGGCAGGACGTGTGCGCGATGGATCGGGAAGGCAGTCGTTGCGACCCCATGCTGCGACGCTGGGGAGGGAGCGTTAAGAAGTTGACGAGCAGCACCCCCCAACAACAATGAGTGCATCCCGGCGAAGGTGAGCTGTAGAGGGCTGGCCAGGCTAGGGCCCCCTGTGTGGGGAGACCCTGAAATGTAGTTCTTCAATGTAGTATAGATTATGAGTTAGTGACTGTGAACAATGATAAGCAAATTTAGTGATCAATTCAATGAATATAGTGATTGAGGAAAATTAGATTCTGAAGCAACTTGATGACACTTGGCTGAACTCAAACCGACTCAAGCGGGCTCAAGCGGATTCAAGGGTGAGTCAAGTGTCTTGAGGACGTTTGATATCGGGCAATAACTTTTGAAGCTCTTGAGCGTTTGAGACGCTTGAGCCCGCTTGAGTCCGACTGAGTCTGCTTCGGGCCTCCAGCTGTTTTTCCTGATGTCGTGGGTGACAAGCAAGTGACAAAGTGTGAAAAAAGTTCTGGGAACGTGACTATATTCCAGCCGGAACTCGAGTTCTGGTGCACCCGATCAGACTCTTAGGGTCTGTTCGGGAAAAAGAAACACGTCATAGTCAGCTAACTTGCGTGACTTACCTGCCTTTGCAGGTAAGTAAGTCAGGCCTGGACCGTTCGAAAGTTCGCCGATCTTCGTTAACCTGCCTTGTAAGACAGGTAAGTCGGGTAACTTCAACGTGTTTCTTTTTCCCGAACAGGGCCTTACTAATGAAATGACCCAAAAAGCCTATCATTCAAGCAAGAAAGACTGTGCACGAAGCACCGGAAAATATCAGAATTTCTGACGAATTTTGCGCGCTGGCAACAAACCCCTCCGTCATGTGTTACACCACCTCATATAGCCAACTTTTTTGGGCACCGTTACGTGTTACGGTTGCCTCCATTCATACCGGTACAGTAGTGCAGTCACCTCACACACGGTGCGGCAGTGCAGCCTGCCAAAAACACCACACAAATGCTCAAACCTTATGACACTAGGTGAGAAAGAAACTATACTCTACAGAGCAAATAAATATATTGCTATCAGAGATTGAATTCGCCAGCACTACAGCATAAGAGCAACTATGTTGCCTTTTTGAGCTTTGACTGCTGTTCAGTCTTGTAAGCCTCGAGCTCCTTCAACCGTTCGGTAAGCGTGGGGTGCGAGTGGTGGTATGCAGAGTACCTGCGAGGTGGTGAGTTCAATGTATTGAGCTGCAGGAATCGGCAAGTGACATACATCCAGTCAACCCAAACCGTCGACAAGTTCTTCACGTGCAGCGTGATGAGCGCGCGGCCGAGGCGGTCGCCCATGTTGCGCATTTCCGAGATTTCTTCCTTGTCCTTGTCCGACGCTGAGGGCGAATAAGTCAATGATGGCCGCTGGGCTAATCACGCGCAACGTACCCTTGGCCTGCTCAGCAAGGCGCTCGTGCAGCGTGCAGGCAAAGTGATCAGCCTCCCACTCAAAGTGGCGGCTGATTGCGTTCATGCATGCGCCGATGACGGACTCCATGGGCGTCAAGATCATCTAAACGGAACCGTAGATCAGCCACCCCGCTACCTTTCATCACACCAGGCGCACTCACCTGGAAGAGTAGGAAGGCCACCATCGTTGGGGGCTTCTTCGCGACCTCCGCTGGGAAGTCGAACGAGCGCAGCAGAGGCGGCGACTTGAGGAACGCAGGGAACGCGGCGAGGATGGTAAAGATGTGCAGTTGCGAGATGGTGAGGAGCTTGAGCGGGTGCTTGTGGTACCAATGACCGAGCTCATGCGCGAGGACAGCCTCGACCTCGTCGGGCTTGCTCTGCTGCATGAGGGTGTCGAAGATGACGATGTGCTTGGCCTAGAGAAATGGTAAGACGACGCAATGCCCGCGGTGAAGCGAATATACCCAGGGAAGACCAAAGAAGTAGGCGTTACTGTGAGAGCTGCGCTTGCTGCCATCGATTTCGTAGAGGTGCTTGAGGGGGAAGTTGAGGCGCGTGGCCAGCTTCTCCGTACGCGTGCGCAGGTCACCTTGTGGGAGAGGGGACAGCTTGTTAAAGAGAGGCTGGATGAGGGTGGGGTATATGACGATCATAGACATTTGGAAGGTGATCCTAGAGCGCATCGTAAGCACAGTAAGCTGGGGAAGAGTGGAGGATGACGCACATAAAACCCATGAGCCAAGGAACGAAGCGGTCGCCCGCCCACTTGAATATCCACAAGAACGATCCGAGGAAGGGGGCGCCGAGCACGACGGAGATAGCGTACGTCTTGATCTGGTCCATGAGGAAGAGACTAGGTGTGGTCTTGTTGAAGCCGTGCCTCTCCTCGAGGACGAAGGTCTGGTACCATTGGATGGGTATGGTAGGCAGGGACGAGAGGAAGGCAAGAATGAAGACGAAGAATATAGACTGGGTGATCTCGTAATCCGCGCCGAGACCAAAGACGCCGATGGCGTTGCCCGCGAGCTTCCAGCACCACGCGGCCATGCCCCACTGGAGCGCCGCGGAATCAAGCGCCTGCTTGAGCAGGCCAGTTATGATCGCGAACTTGGCCTTGTCCCGGCCATACTCCTGCGACTTCTTGTACACATCGGGTGTAAAGTGTCCGGCGAGAGCAGGCGGTGGATCAGGCTTCGAGTATAGCGGGTACTGGCGGATGAGGAGGTAGGTCTCGAAGAGGGTGATGCCCCAGTCGAACGCCTGCACGTATCCCTTCCAGTTGATGGGCGTGTATGTGACAAAGGCCAGCCTGTGCTGGATCCTGTCGACTATCGACTGCAGAAAGTCCATCGTCGCTGTCGCTGTCGTCGTCGGCGTCGGTGGCGGCGTCGAGAACGTTGAACGCAAGGGACACGTCGCCCACACGCGTGACGCGAATAATGGCCGCCTCGGTCCGATCAGACCGAGCGTCCGCGGTGGCGGTGCTGTTCAACTTGTCCGCCACCCGACTGGCACGCTTTTATGGCCACCACAAATCCAGCTGTCCAGGCGGCAGCTATCTCGGCCCCTGGGGCTCCAATCCCTCCAGGAATGATTCCGGGCCCTTATGGCGCCCAACCTATGCCACCAGGCTCACGGTTTATGATCCACCCCACACGCCACTATCCCACACAACTACCTTGGCCCGATATTTCTGACAAGGCAAAGTGGAGTGTCAGCAGCTTCAAGTTTGGCTTTGGCGCTGAGTGTCTCACCGATGGTGACCCCGATACGTTCTGGCAGTAAGTCGGCCCTTTGTACCTAAGCTGGATATCAACGTGCTCGCCAGTTCAGACGGTCCTCAGCCTCACTTTATCTCCATCGAATTTCCGAAGAAAGTCGCGATACAGGTACGTCAGAGATTCCTGATTTCAGTTACATCTCTCTCCAGCTTTCGCTACAGAAACTCTCCCTCTTCCTCTCCTTCAACGAGGACGACTCGTACACACCTGCCACCATCGAAATACGCGCTGGAACAGGTTAGACATACATTCCCGTCCTTTCCATACTTTCTCACGCGGTATACAGGCGCGAACGACCTTCAATCCATCCAAATCATCAACTTCGACAAGCCCGACGGCTGGATAACCTTCGACGTCGGTACAGAACCTGCCGAAACTGAGGAGGACCCTCCGGAAGGCGGTCCCTCTATATTGTATGAACCACATCCCGTGTCCCATCTCTACATCTGACACATCCTTCTCAATTCTCTTGCTACTCTATCAGGGCTTTGTACGCATGACGCTTCTTCTCGTGTATGTTCTCCGCTGATCCATCAATCACCCCTCCAGCAAGCCAGTTTACGCATACGTCGTCCAGATCGCCATCCTCGCCAACCACATGAGCGGCAAGGACACCCACGTCCGCGGTCTACGCGTGCTGGGTGTCTGTAACGACGAGTGAGTTCGCTTTCACCGCTAAGCCCGCGTCCTTTCCTGGCGCTTGGTGACAATTACTCCCAATTCTTCGTTCACAAGTTTACTCGTCCTTGGTGTCAATCTCTCTCGCTCCTTGTGCTAACCTCCACGGCAGGGGTGATCTCCTCGACGAAGATCCATTTCCGTGGAAGACGGCTGCGTTCAGGCTATACGAGACCCTCAGATAGTTGTTCGCCTCTTCGTCCGTTTGTGAACTTCGAGGAGAGAATACCCGTCATGGAGCATATGTATTCCTACGTTCGACACGCTCTTTGATCAGTCGATATCCTGATCATTTTGGTTCTACCGAGCCCTCTCACGCTTTCCTGGTCGGACGATTCATGGCTTACACCTGTGTTTGAACTCTGCAGATTCGGAGGACCATATCTATCTCTGATTGTCCAGCAGACTCAGCCCGCGAGTGTTGCCAGTGGTCGCGGACGGTTCAACTGCTCGTCCAAGACTGCAATTGTGTCGACTGTCCTCAGGTTATCGACTCTCCGCCCTTGCTCCGCCTGCTCAACGTTCTCAACGCTCGTATAGCGCCTGAACGATTCAGGCGTGCCTCGTCAGCGGATTCTCATGCAAATCCACGCAGCGTCAGCATGGCGTCGACACAAGCATCGTTGGCACCATCCTCGCCTTCCATTCTGCATATGTCTTGCTCTAGACGTTCTTCCAGTGAAGGTGCATAGCCAGAACTCCGTTGTAGCTGAATCAGCCAAGACAGAAGGGGGTCATCCCGATGACGCGAAAACAAGGTATGCTTTGTCCATATTTGTCAGCTGAGCTGCCCAGCATCCTCGGGCACGCCTTCGCGTGCTCAGAAGGCCGATGGAATTATGCAGTCGCGTTAGGCAGCTTCTCGAGCTCGCGAACGTAGCGCCATCGGTTCCACGAGTATAAGTATGGCGCGGGTGGCCATGGAATCAGCAGTATCCCGCCTTCGCCCCCGCCCTTCATCGTCGCAACCCCTATCCGTGATAGTCTAGCAAATCCAATATGCCTGCCGGATTCAAGTCCATCGCCGTCGCAGGTGCGCAGAGCAGCATCGGCAAGCCCGCCGTCCAGGCTCTCGCGACCACCTCCGGCGTCTCCGTCCTCGTCCTCACCCGCAAGACCACACCGCGCCCCGACTGGCTGCCCGAGGGCGTCGCTCACGCAGGCGTAGACTACGACGACGTCGATGGCACCGCCGCGGTCCTTCGCGAGCACAAGGTCGAGGCCGTCCTCGCCCCCATAACCACCACCGCCGTCTTGCAGCAGATCCCCCTCGCCAACGCGGCGAAGGCGGCGGGCGTGCAGCTCTTCGTGCCCAGCGAGTTCGGGACGATCAGCAAGGGATGGAAGAAGGAGGAAGTGCCTGCGTTCCTGGCGCCGAAAATCCAAGTGGCCGGTGAGTTCCTCTGCTTCCCGAACATAGAGTCCTCGCTGATTTCGCTCGCAGAGCACCTTGAATCTATCGGCCTTCCTTCCCTGCGTATCTTCGTAAGTCGACGCATCGATGTATATAAAGATCAAAGACTAATCAACTCATCCCAGACCGGCGCCTTCGAAGAGTTCGTGACCACGCTTGTCGGCTACAACACCAACAAGAAGGTTAACATCCTCAAGGGGCTGACGGGAGACCAGCCCTTCTCCACCACGGCAACGGCCGACATCGGAGGTGAGTCCCCAATCCAGCAGTCGCGCGCAGACAATTCACCCATATCCAGGCTTCATCGCGCACGTAGTGACCCACTACCCGGCGTCCGAACTTTCCAACAAGGCCCTCCGCATCCAGGGAGACGAACTCACTCTCAACGGCCTCAGCACTATCCTAAACGCCCCCATCGAAAAGGTCGATGAGATACCCGCACCTGCACCTGAGTTGTCCGGCTTCCTTGCGGCGCTGCAGTCCTCCATCGAGCGGGGACTGCTCAGCAAGGACAAGAAGATCACGGACAACGATGGCGCCGGAGGCGCTAACCACCTCTGGGAAGGGCACCACTGGACGACGGTGAAGGAGTTCTTGAAGCTCTGAAAGGGCCCGGGATTGTAAGCGAATATAACAGCATCGCAATGTATGTAACAGTACCGGGATGATCAATTGTCTTCATTGTCTCTTCGAGCCGTCGATTGAAGCGTGCTATCTGGCCTTCGCCTCAACAGCAAGTCGAACCTGCAGACCACTTCCTTCATCTGAAAACAGTTGTGAATGGATATATCGACACTGGTGAACGCGGGATAGGAGCATACCATAAAAAGGCCAGCACTGTCGAAACGAGTACTGTACCTACCTGTATGGAGGCAACCGGCCGGCGACCGTGACATGCGCGACCGAGGCAACCAGGCGTCCGGGAGCCGTGACCGAGGCAAAAATATTGAATTTTCGACGATTTTTGGCGCCAAAATTGCCATATTTGGCAGGTCCTGAGTCCAAAAAGCCGACCGTGACCCGTGACCCTTGCAACGCAACCGGGCCTCCGTGACCGTGACGGTTGCTTCCATACAGGTAAGTACAGTACACACCCAACGCTCATTGAGGTGTTCAGGCGTCTGCTCATACCCCCGAAAGGCTACAGCGCATTCTATGTCACTTTACATTTCGAAACAGAAATTACATCGACGACAACCAGTAGATCCCTTCTATAAGCAAGGGGGCGCGTTTGATGCGCTTTGACAAACCACGCGCGCGTTTTTCCCACTACAACATGGGGCTCTCCGTGCTCCATCGACCATGCCGAGCGGCAGACCCGCGCCTCGCTCTGCCAGCTGACCGTGTCCCTCACCTGACGCGCGACCTCCTGCCCTCGCTCCCATTCGCTCCTCGCCTGTCGTCTGCCTCTTTGCGCGGCCTACACTACCTTCCGCTGTCGTCTCCACCTTCTCGCCTACTTTCCTTCCCATCCCATCCTCGCCCGCCCACGCCCTTCCCCAAACTTGACAACCTGCCCCCGCCGCCGCACCCCTCCCCAACGGACGGCCGCTCAGGCCCGGAAACCCTGACGTCATTTCCCAGCCTTCGCGCAATGTTCCCCTCGCTGTTACACGTTCTTTCGTCCGTTTCCTTTCCCTCATTTGTGGTCCATGCCGGTGCGCTTTGCATAGATCATCATTGGTGTCTCCTCCACTCGCGTTTCCGGGGACTGCAGCCCGACGCCTTCGTCCGTTTGCATCAGAGGTATGGATTCTGGGTGCTCCACGTGACTGAGCACCCAGATTTCGTCCCTCTGAAACGGGTCGGACTTATCACACCGACCTCGCCACTGTAATAACCGAGACTCGACATCGAACCTCCTTCTTTCCAATACTTCCATCTTGCCTCCTGCTCTGCATGAGACTAATGTACGCACCCGTTCTGCATCTTCTTGCCTGACGTTCCTTCAACCTTCCCGTTCCTCCTGCCCCTTTACTGCACTACATATACATCGTGGTTGCCTACTGCTTCCTGCGCGTCGTAGAACACAATGAAGTCAACACTTGCCTTGGTGGCCCTTCTGCCCTTCAGTACCCCGCTCTTGGTGTCCTATTTCGTGCACTACGTATTCTACTGTCGACGCGGGCATCACATGGCGTGGTCGTGCGCTGCTTGCATTCATGACGTCTGTTTATGATCGGGGTCTGATGGGCTCCTGACCGTCCCTTTCGCTTTTTGCTCCGCCCTCCACTTCCAACCATTGCCGGCGCCCACCCCTTCATTGTCGCGGCGCGCGTCCTTACCTCTGCTCCCTCCTTCCCTTCATTCTTCGCCATCCATTCCAGATCTATACTCGGCATCTGCTCCGCCCTCCTGTAATGACCATGCCCTCCTTCTCACCCTCGCTCATCTTCTCATGGATGTCCACGTCTCACAACGTGCTCCCAAAAACCATACGTACCGTCGACGGCGCTTTTCTACCATGCAAGGTACGTCCCCGCTCCTTCTTTCTTACTTTCTGGTCCCTCACCTTCGCTAGGAATCACCGTGCCCTACCGTAACTCCTTCGGCAACGGGCATATTCCTTCACACAGTGCGTCGCTCTCTTTCAACATGCCACGATCCTGACCGGCCTCATTCAACAGCTCAGGTCACTACTGATGACGCTGTCACCTACATCTGCCGCTACCAGCAGCGCACCATTGCACGCCATCCTCCGATCACGTCTTCCCCCTGCCCTTCCCCCACCGTATCATAGTCCACTCCGAGATGAATACATGTTCGTGACCCACGCCTGCCTCTGCACTTCCAGTGTCCAGTGCTCTCTGCACAGCGCACGGCGCACGGCGCCGCAAAGTACTTCTTGACGATTGCGTGTTCATTCTGTCTCTCTTTCGTATCACGCTCACCCCTTGCCTTTGTCCCCATCTTGAAATGCAGAATGCCATGCCATCGCTCGCCATACATACGAAAGGACCCCATGCTCCCTCCCATTCATTTCTCCGCCCTGATGACCTTCCAAGTTCCGATACAAGGGACCGGTGAGACACTGTCAGTCATCGTCCCTATTTGCGTGCCGCCCGTACATCCCGCCCTTCATCTGCGCTCTCCCGCCCTTCGCCACGTCCACCACCTCTGAATCTGACATGGAAGTGATGAGCTCTGCAATGCCGGACCTTGGCCGCAGTCGTGTGTCCGATAGCTCAGAGGATAACAGCAGCGAGGAAGGTGTGTTTGCCCTTCTCCCTCTCGACGTCTCTCACCATCTTCGAGAACCATTGGCTTCCGTGCAGAGGAGACTCCATGCATCAACGCACCGTACACCATCACAGGCTCAACAGGATCGTCGTCAACAGGAGCGTACTCGCACCCTTCGCCAAAGCATACTTGGTGATCATCGTGGACGAAGTCCGCGTTCCCTCGATGGTGCGTATCCCTTCTCGCCGTGATTGCCCCTTCACTCACGCTTGACAGTACATCACCATGTCGCGGCTGAACGTCGACCTCGACGGCGCCGTCCATCACCTGCAATGCCCCGTACGTCGTGTCTGTTGCTCAGGATTGATGTTCCTTATCTTCTCCCAGGAATGGTCCTACCTGCGCCCGAGCTGAAACGCTTGCGCAAGGTCCTCCACCGACGCACCTTCCTAGCCGCAAGAAAGAGTACCTCACCTTCAATAACTCAACACGACCTCGGTGCTATGACGATCCCATGCCCATCCTGTCATGCGCTGCACTGGCCTGCCGAGAAGCTGAAGAAAAGTCCGGTTCGCGATCCTCGCTTTGGCACATGTTGCGACAGCGGTCAGGTCAATCTGCCGTTTCTCGCAAAACCGCCACCCCTCCTGTACTACCTATACGAATCCGATGATCCCCTCCCCCGCGCTTTCCGAAAACACATACGCCAATATAACAACGCGTTTGCCTTCACATCGCTTGGCGTCAATGAGGATCGTGCGTTGAACAGGAGGGGTGGGAGCGCGTGGGTCTTCCGCATTCACGGCGAACTCTGTCACCTGTCCTCAGCGCTCGAGCGAACCGATGGGCTTCGCCCGTGCTTTGCGCAAGTGTACATCTACGACCCCTCCGTAGCCCATAGCAATCGTGTGGCAAACAATGACAATCTCGATCCATCGCTTCTCATGGAACTCGAGGTTGAACTGCGCGCGTCCAACCCCTATGCTGCCATGTACATGCATGCTCACGAATTTCTGGCCTCACACGTTACCCATGATGCTCTCATCCGCCTTCGTGTCACACCAGGCTTGGATCGTCGGCGATACAACCGCCCAACCGCTGAAGAGGTTGCCATGATCCTTCCTGGAGATGACAGTGCTGCGCAGAAAGGACGAGACATCATCCTCCGCCGCAGGACTCCTCTTGGAGGCAGTAATCTCTTCCGCATATCTGAGCTTCACGCAGCATACGCACCTCTTCAGTTTGTGCTCTTATTCCCTCGAGGCGAGAGCGGATGGCACGACGAACTTCGCATGCATCAGCCAGCTACGAACAATCCGCTGCGCCTCACACAGATCCGTCACGCTGCTTTTCGCCTGCAGGTCCGACCGCTTCACGTCGAGTACAACACCATCCTCCGTGGCGGACAGCTCATGCAGCAGTACGTCGTCGACATGTGGGCTTCGGCGGAGCAGAATCGATTGAACTTCCTGCGCGGCAACCAGTTGCTTCTACGTGCTGAACTGTACAATGGTGTCGCAGACGCCATCTGTTCTGCTGACAGTGGCCACATCAACATGAATACTGTTGGCCGCGTCATTCTTCCCTCCTCTCACGTCGGTGGTCCGCGCGACCTTCAGCAGCGATACCAGGATGCTATGGCTCTTGCTCGCTTCTATCGCAAGGTTGATCTCTTCATCACGCTCACTGCGAACCCGAAGTGGCCAGAGATCACCCGCGCGCTCCTTCCTGGTCAGACAGCGTATGATCGTCCTGATCTGGTCGCTCGCGTGTTTGCCCTCAAGCGAGACACCTTGCTCCACGACATCTACCATGGTGGCATACTCGGTACACCTGCGGCATACATCTACTCGACCGAGTTCCAGAAGCGTGGGCTGCCGCATTGTCACGCTCTCATCATTCTCCACGATCCTTGGAAGATGAAGACTGTGGACGCCATTAACAGCATCATCAGCGCTGAGTGGCCTGATCCTGATGCTCAGCCCCGTCTTTTTGACATTGTCCGTGCCTGCATGGTTCACAGTCCCTGCGGTGCGCATAATCCTCACGCTGCCTGCATGGAGAACGGAAAGTGCACGAAGGGATTTCCGAAGGACTTTGCTGAGCAGACGACCATGGACGAGGATGGGTATCCCCGCTACAGGCGACGGCACGATGGCCGGCGCTTTGACGTCAAGGGAGTCCCTGTCGACAACTCCTGGATTGTGCCATATTCGCCTTACCTCTCTCTCCGCTTCGACTGTCATATCAACGTCGAATGTGTCTTTTCCCTTCGCTCTATCAAGTACCCCTTCAAATACATCCACAAGGGAGGTGACCGCGCATCTGCGGAGTACACTGTTGATGAGATCGAGCAATACATTGACGGTCGCTACATCGGACCTCCCGAGGCTTGCTTCCGCCTCCTTGGCTTCGATCTTTACAAACAAGTGCCCAACGTCACGCGCCTTCAAATCTACCTTCCCAACCAGCACCTGGTCGTCTTCAATCCTAACAATCCTCCCGCGAGCATCCTGCAGCAAGCTCAGGCTGTCAGGACAACTCTTTCTGAGTTCTTCCGCGCCAACGCAGATCATGGCGCCCTCGGTGAGGCCGCGCGCCAGCTGACCTACCAGGAGTTTCCCCAGCACTTGACCTGGAATCAGGACGAGAAGAAGTGGAAACTCCGGCAGAGTCGATTCTCTATCGGTCGCATGTACTTTGTCTCGCCAACGGCAGGTATGATTACACGCAGTTTTCACAATGATTGCTTGCTTATGTTTTCCTGCTCCTAGGGGAGCGTTTCTACTTGCGCACGCTTCTTACTGTCGTGAAAGGCGCCACCTCCTTCGACGACCTGTACACTCACAATGGCATCCACTACGGGTCGTTCCGCAATGCTTGCATTGCCCGAGGATTGCTCGAAGACGATGGCGAGTGGCGGTTATGCCTGCAGGAGGCTTCCGTCATGCAATCTGGAACTCGACTTCGGCACCTGTTCTGCACCATTCTCCTTTTCTGCGCACCTGCCCGGCCCGAGACCCTCTGGGACGAGTTCAGAGAACACGTCTGTGATGATCTCGCTTATCGTCTGCGCTGCGCCGGAAGAATGCACGTTCGACAGGAGGATGTGTACGACTATGGCCTTCACCTGATAGACAACATACTCCGGCAGTCAGGCAAGTCACTCGATGACTTTCCTTCCATGCCGCAGCCGACTCAGAATTGGGTTCTCCATGCCGAGAACCGCCTCATAGCAGAGCAGCTGGACTTCGACCGCGGTGATGAGCGCCTTGCAGCTGCCGCATCTATTCAGAACCTCCACACAAATCCGCACCAGACCGCTGCCTTTGACGAGATCATGCACTGCATACAGGAACACATCCCCGGTGTTTTCTTCGTCAATGGGCCTGGTGGTACTGGCAAGACTTTTCTATACAACACTATCGCGCATGTCCTCCGCGCTGATGCACATATTGTTCTCTGCTCCGCATCGTCCGGAATCGCTGCCCTTCTCCTACGTGGAGGCCGCACTGCTCACTCCACGTTCAAAATCCCCATCATTACTCTGTCTGACGCATCTACGTGCTCATTCTCGAAATCCAGTGCTCGCGCAGACCTCCTTCGTGCAGCGGACTTGATCATATGGGACGAAGTCCTTATGCAGCATCGGTACACCGTCGAGACCCTGGAGAGAACCCTGTGTGACATCTGCTCATCGACGGCACCGTTCGGTGGGAAGGTCATCCTGCTTGGTGGGGATTTCCAGCAGACGTTGCCGGTCATCCCAAAAGGGTCTAAAGAGGAGATTCTTGACGCTTCTCTTCCCCGCTCCTCTATATGGAAGCACGTGCACGTCCTCCATCTACGAACCAACATGCGCGTTCAACCTGGAGAGGCCGCCTTCGTGCAGTGGCTCACGCGCGTCGGTCACGGCCTCGACGTTTCCCCTGATGGGACCATTCCCCTTCCTCCCACGATGTGTACTCGGAACGAAGATACATTTCTGAGTTCAATCTTCCCAAATCTCAGCGGGCCATTTATTCCCTCACACGACTACTTCGCAGAGCGGATGATTCTCGCCCCTCGGAACAAGGACGTCGAAGCCCTCAACATCGCGCTCCTGCATCAGATGCCTGGCCAGGTCATCGTGTACCATAGCGCTGATACTGTCGAGCATGAAGCAGGCGTTGACGGGCCGGACAACATACCCCCCGAATTTCTGCGCACCATCGATGCGTCCAGCCTGCCACCCGGGGAGCTGACCCTGAAAGTTGGCTGCCCGATTATCCTGCTGCGCAATCTCTGCCCCGCCCAAGGTCTTTGCAATGGAACGCGGCTCACCCTGCTCCGTGGTTCCGCCCGTGTATTGGAAGCGCGCATTTTAGGCGGTGACCATGATGGCGAGACGGCCCTCATTCCTCGCATCTCCCTGACGCCCAGTACGACCATGTCAGCCGAGTTCGCATTCCAGCTGCGGCGCCGGCAGTTCCCCGTCCGACTCGCCTTCGCAGTCTCCATCAATAAGTCCCAAGGCCAATCTGTGCGCTACGTGGGCATCGACTTGCGGAGCCCCGTTTTCTCCCATGGCCAGCTCTACGTCGCCCTTTCTCGCGCAACGTCACAGGAACGCGTCAAAGTCCTCCTCTCTGCTGACAGTGTCGAAGATCGAACTCTGAATATTGTGTACTCGGAAATTTTCCAGAATGCTGGCCTTTGACATGATCACTGTAAATTGACAGGCGGCTGTTCCTCTTCATTTCGCTCTAACCTCTCTCCGCAGATCCCGTGGACTCTTCCTTTTCTTGGTTCCTTATTCCCGTATACCAACATATCCTACTCAGCAATGTGACCTTCGAGTGACGTCGTAGTATCGGTCCGTCTTCATTCCAGGTACCGCCTTGCCTACGCACTTAACGGTGGTGTCCAACCACAGAATGTCCATCCTTCTTTCACCTCCCACCCCTCCTTAACCAGACATGGGCGATAGCTGCGCTTGCTTCGACCTCATCGCCGGTGTTGAAACAGACACTGAGATCGACCGTAGCAAGCGTCAACTCGATGTGGTCATCCAAGCCACGCCTGCTTTCGTACTTATTGGTTCCTTCCGCTTTTTCCGGCAGACGGACATCAAGTTCAGGGACGACGCATTGTACGCCCTGCATGTGCGGGTACGCTTCTTCTTCTCAGCCATTGTACCGACCTCATCACTTCTCAAGGTTGCGGGCATGAATGCGAGTGTAGCTGCTGCAGACGTGGCCTCTTCGTATGTAACAACACCTACTATGGTGCAGTTGATTGGGGACGTAGACTCGGCATCGGTGAGCTGCCCTTTCCTCCCACGTATCCTCGATTCTCACCAAGTGCAACGCAGGTCGTTGGACCGATCACGAACATGACCGCTCATTACGCGTCTCTTCACATCTCGGGCACTGCCTTTCGACTTCCGCCCACTTCAGACGGTCAGGCGGTCCCGCTCGAGGACGATCCCAACAGCGCCTTTAACATTACCGTCACCCAATGGACGACAGTCCTCAAGAACTCATGGAAGACCACATCCAACCTCCCTATTCGCGCGTTCTTCCCCACGAACGGCAGGTTTCAAGTCAACAGGAAGCCTATTCCCCCCAACAGCGCCATCGTCTCTGTAGAAGGCCGTATCATCGCCGTGCGCTATGGAGATGACGGGTTCCCTGCTTTGTTCTTGCTGGAGATTGACCACTTCGCGAAGCTGTCCAGTGGAGGTGCTGGATCAGCCCACGTACCTGATGCTGTACCCGGTCCGTAGTCCTTAACCACGCCTGGCTCGCTTGACTGACTTATATCACAGTTCTTGGGCCAACCACCGAACCCGGTCCCACGAGAAGGTTGAAGACAGCGTTGCCTAACGCTGTCATCAGCACCAGCCCGGGAAAGAAAGCCACGATGGCGTCCGATACCCCAGCCGCGTCGCAGTCGTCCGAACCCCATGTGCCCGCTCCCGCTCCAATGGAGACCGACGAACCTCGCGTTGTCTCTCCACCTTCCCCCTGTACGCCCTGCTCCTCCGAGTCCCCATGCGCCTCATCTCAGACTGCATCCTCAGCCCCTGCTCCTTCTCGCGCAACGAAGCGGAAGCGCACTTAGCCAGTCCGTAGTCCTGAAATTGAATTGCAACTGTACTATATTATCGCGCGTCTTGCAATGCATTTCCATGATTTCATAACTCGGGTCCCCTCTGCTAGTATACAATAAACAAAGGGACAAACAAGGGCTACAGCACAAAGTCCGACGGCTGTCTAGCTCTCCCGTGTACGTCGACGGGCGTGTCTATATAGATATGTGTGATGGACGGTCGCACGTATAACGGGCTCAACGCTCTAAGCATCCGGGTCCAGCGACAAAGTACGTGGATAATGCAAACCTCTACACCCCGTACCCAGCCGTGCCCGGCGCCTGCTGCGTATGCAAATACCGACTGCTCTCTGCATACGGTGCTGGCGCATATCCATTCGGCGCCGGAGCATGCATCGCCCACTTCGTCGTATCAGACTGCAAACAATCATCAGCAACATCTAACCCCCGTTAAACACTGCAACTTACCTGCGCCTGACCGAGATATCCCCCATTAGACAGCGCGGAACCGCCCGGTGCAGGGGCTCCATTGGCATACACGCCATTGGCAGCCGCGTATGACGCCGGCTGGTGGTACGAGGAGTATCCAGGCTGCCCATACGCCGGAGCATGTCCATTCGTATACGCGCCTGCATACGGGGTCGTGTATGGCTGGCTCGCCCCCGTTCCCCAGCCACTTTGATATGCCCCGTAACCAGCCGCCGGCTGCTGCGTCATCGCGTACTGATGCTGAGGGTAGGCAGACCGCGCGGCTGCCCCATAATACGGCATCTGCTGCTGATGTTGCTGCTGCTGCCGCGCGTACGCCAGCTCCCGACATCGCTTGCACACAAAGTCGACTGTGTTCCAATCGCGCTTCGGGCGCCCCGCAGCAAGGTCAACTCTGTCGTGGCATCGGATGTGCTGCCACCGTTGGCACGATCCGCAGCACATCATGGGGACTCCATCGTCGAGGTTGAAGCCGTGGCGATGACAGACCTCGCAGTCGAGCTCCCACTCTGGTGTTCGTGAACCAGAAGGCGCAGGCATGAGCTTGACTTCGCTGGTAGCCGGCGCTTGAGCAGGGGCCTTGCGCTTGTGGCTTCTGCGACTCTTTGCGGAACCGTTCGCCTTTGACGCATGCTCGTCCAAAGAAGGCACTCGTGCAGCTTCTTCTGCTTTCCTTTGTTCCTCCCTGCTACCTGTTTAGCACTTCCCGATCACGCAGAAGAGTACGGGTACGCACAGTTCCTTCTCTTCCTGCTCCTTCCTCGCGCGCTCCTCACGCTCTTCTCTCTCCCGCTTCCGTTGCTCTCTCGCGGACTCGCGAGCTTCACGACTCTGCTCTTGTTCCTTAGCAAGTCGTGCTTCATGACGCCGCGCCCGGCTGTTCTTCTCCTCCTCTTCGGCCTGACGCTTAGCAGCTAGGCGAGCCTCTTCCTTCGCGGACTCTTTGACAGCGATACGCGATGAGCGCTTGCGATGCACAATCGCTTCTTCCTTTTGCTTCTCGCGTAGCACAGCCTAACAAAACAGTCAATGCATGTCCATGGTGTCCAGCACGCAAGCTACGCACCCGAAGATCCTCTATGACGAGGGGCGCGATGACCTTGGTCAGGGTCTTATAAAGCGCCTTCTCCAGGTAGTGTGTCGCCTTCTCGAAGGGATCGCCGACGTGCTCCCACTCCTCCAAGGTCACAGCAATCTAGAGCAGCGATGAGATATCGCCATCAGGCGAACATATCGAACTCACCGTCTCCCACTCGACGAAGCCTTCCGGTAGAGGCGGCTCCTTCGGCTCCTCTAGCTGGGCCTTTTGCTCCTCCACTTCCTCCTGCGCGTGCTCAGAATCTGACTTGACCTCCTGCTCCTCTTCCTGCGGCTCCTCATCGTCGTCCGACAGCTCCGTTAGCTCGCTGTCATCGGACAGCGCACCATCTTGCTTGTCGTCCTTGTCGTCTGACTCCGCTTCCTCCTCTTCCTCGTCGTCACTGTCGGGCGCCTTGCGCTTCTTAGCAGCAGCAGCACGGGCGTTTGCGATAGCAGTGGCTCTAGTTGATCGTTCCGGCGGCACGGCTTGTCGAGCAGAGCTCCTCGTGCTCCGTCCGCTGGCCGTCGACCTTCGCCGGTCACTACCCGAATCGACGTCCATCTCGTCGTCGCCGTTGAGCCACGCGTCGGGCACCTGCTGCCACTCCTCGTCTTCCTCCCGCCCACGGAGGCGGGAGCTAAGGCGAGTGCCAGTGGGATGAGCGCGACGGCTGGCATCAAGCTGGGCTTGGCGCTGCAGCTCTGCTAGCTCTTTGGCTTGCGCTTCGAGCTTAGTGTTCGCCTGGGCCTTGGCTGCCCGGGAGCCACCACGGCCTCCGGCAGGGGGGGTCGCAGGAACGGACGTTTCGCGTTTCTTGCGGGATGTGGAAGCTCGCGAAGTCGATGCACGAGACTTGGTGGGGGTGGGCGCGGGCTCTACGCGAGCGCGTTTGGCTGATGACCGTTTGTTGTTCTTCGCATTCTTTGCTGGGGTAGCGGCGGGGCGCTTGCGCTTGTTGTTCTGGCGAGGTGGCTTCGGGATGGCGCGCTGAATCCAGAGACGGTCCTCTGGAGCAGATGTTCAGGCGGATATCTCAGAAGGCAGACATGACACGCACCTCCAATGAGCCAGTACGCGTTCTTCTTCACGTCGTAGCCAATTGGCTCGATGCGCCATTCAGCATGATCGCCGTCGGACTTCATGAGTTGGCGAAGTCGGGAGGGGTTCTGGAACTGCCACTCGGTGAGGAGGTGAAGACAGTCGAGCTTCTCTAGCATAGGCAGCTGTAGCCAATCCTTAGGCTCCTCCACCAGCCCGTTGGTGAGGTCGCCGACCTCCTCCTTGACGGCGTCGGTCGGCTTATGAGTGTTCGCGTCGCCATGATCCTGACGGTCGCCGGTCTCGTTTCCGTCTTGGTCATTGGAGTCTTTGGGCAGGACCGCAGCATCACTCTCTCCACCCTCGGCGGCGTTGCCCGGGTCGTCGTTGACAGAGCTGGACGCTCTATGTGGCGGGGGTGATGACGTTCCATTCTCCTGGACACTAGCATCAGGCTCGGCAGTGTTGTAGCGGGAGCCGGAGGCGCGATTCGCAGTGAGGGAGGGGTCCGGGCCGATGGGGTTCGCTGCTGGGTCGCGTTTGGCGTACTGGCGTCGCAGGACAGTCTGCCAAGCGTCGGACCTACGACGCGTTCAGTACGCGTCATTCATGGATGAAAGGTTGGGGAAGGCGTCTCACAGCGATTTGCGGTCATAGCTGAGCGTCCACAGCAGGCGCTGCACAATACGGGGTAGGACGAGGTTGGTGCCCAGGTACAAGTCGTCCTCAATGGCCTGCAAGCGGGGCGGGGTCGTATGAGTAAGATTCGCATATTTGATGAATGGGGGCACGCACAGTCAGGGTGACATCGTCCATGTTGAAGAGGGGATTGAAGGTGAAGAAGAACTGGCTGAACGCAGCCCACTTCCAATTGGTCCTCAGGATGGCGAGCTGCTCCGGCACTTTCTGGATATGGGGTATAAGCCATGAAGGCGGCTGGGGCGGGGCCATTTGGGCGGGCGGGGCGGGGGCTCTGCGCGGCATCGTTGGCGACGACGGCGGGGACGGCGGAAGCGGCGGCGGGGAAGCTATCCGTCTATTGGGCCGGTCTTGCCGATGGCGACGAGCTTGGGAGTGGCAGCGACGACGCTGAGGGGATGCAGTAGGTTTGCGGGTATGTGCTTGTGGACTGCTCGTCGTCGAGCGCGATGAGCAGAATATTTGTGGCGCTTGTCGAGCTCAACAAAGCGAGTGCGACCAGCGGAGCAGTGTGGTAATTGACAAAAGAGCTGCCCACGCTGTCAAGCACGAGTACACAATCCGGCATTTGCCGAACCCGCTCCGTCATTCAAACCGCCGTCGTGATTCACAAAATTCCGCTGCCCTGCCTCTAAAATCAGTGTTATGGGTACCCAGTCGTACAATAAAGACGCGTATATACTTAGATAAAATTTACCGAGGACAGTTCTACAGCAACTCGATTAGAAAAGCCACGATCTTCGTGACCATCTCGTGCGTGCACGTATGACCCGTCTTCTCCTGTACAAACACCGCTTTCCTCCCATGCTCTCCTACTTCCAGCTTCTCGACGAATTCCTTACTACGATCCCAAGGTACGAGCGGGTCCTGTCGCAGAATGTCAGCACGCGGCTAAGTCTTCGTCTCGATCCAGCACCTACCGCCGCGCCCGAGGCAACGAAGATCTTCTTCCCGTAGAACGGATTGGACTCCTCCTTCTTGTCATACCCCTTCGACATCGGACACCTGCTCGTGACGCTCTTCACGAACGAGTCCGGGAAATACGGCGGCTCCACAGGTACGCCGTTTCCCCTCGCCCGCGCCGACATGAGGCCCATATAATCCGGGCACCCAATAATCGGTATGCCTATCGTCAGTCTTGGATCTATCGGCAGTCAGCCTCCTCCGTTCTAGCAAGCGGTTCTCAAGCCCACCATTAGCCACCGCCAACCATGTCGAATGCCCTCCCAGACTAATCCCCGAGTACCCGTACTCAGTGATCTTCCGCTCATCGTTCGGGAACAAGAACGCGGGCAGATAGTTCATCAGATGGAACACATCGTGCGCCGTCCCGTCGAAGATGGCGTACTGATCCAGCCTGTGGCGCGTCCGAGTCAGCACCCCTTGCAAATCACACAATTAGGGAGTCTTACGCATGACGCGGATTGTGCTCGGCCGGATTGCTGCTCCACCCCTTGTTCGCTCTTGGATCGATAAGGCGGGCACCATGATTCCGTTGGTCCTAGATGCATTCCTCAGCACTTCCAGCCCACCTCGTCCCCATCTTGCTAGCCACTATATGCCACCCACTTACCAGCGTGATCACGAATAACTCCCTATTCCCCTTCCCCGCCGTCTCCTTCACCAACCGCTCCGGCACCCACTGCACCTTATCCGCAGAGCCGAAGCGACCGTGCAGGAAGAACAGCACGACGACGTCCTTCGACAAGTCTTCATCCGCGGTTTTGAACAGATTGATGTTCAACCCTGCGAGTGGGATAGTCTCCTTGATTACACCGGGTGTTTTGCACTCGTTCTCGAGCTGCATTTCAAGCGCAAGGTTGAGCAAGATGGATGGTAGACGCAGGCTAGAGTACGACTCCTCCACCGCGCAGAGCTCGCAACGGCCGCATCGGGCCGAACACTGACGTGCCCAGCTCGCCACATTTGACTCCAGACGTCCTTTCTACTCTCAGCCTTGCAGAAGGCCAAATTCACGCAACATACAAGTCCAACCATGCACAACGCATGGATGGTCATAGAGATTACGACGTCTCCCAGACGCCGGAAGAAGGATACATACAGTGCAATATCTAGCGGAGCTCTATACATACGGTGTCAGCAATAGGGAGCCCGAGAAACACGTCCAAGGAAGGCGAAGCGGGTGCGTGACGGGCGGTAAGCGGCTGGCACCTTACCAGCGGTCACGGCCTCCGCCGCCACCGTACCCGCCACCGCCATAGCCGCCACCGCCGTACCCGCCGCCGCCACCACCGCGACCACCACCACGGCCACCACCACCGTAGCGACCTGGAAAGAACGTCAGCGACGAGGACGGACAACATAGCAGAACACTTACTCCTACCGCCACCGCCGCCACCGTAGGCGGCCATCTCCTGCAACTCAGGCGGCACGACCTGCTTGGCCTCAGTGAGGATGCTGACCAGCTCACGAGCAGACTTGGCGTTCTCGGTCGTGAAGTAGGTATACGCGGTGCCCTTGGCTCCAGCACGCTACACCAAAGTCAGCAACCACATATACACGCATGGAATCGAAAGCAACTCACCCCAGTACGACCAATACGATGAATGTAGTCCTCGCAGTTGTTCGGGAAGTCGTAGTTCTGTAGGCTCATCAGCATACGAAAAGTGAGAGTGAACGCGGAACTTACAATGACGTATCCTATATCCTTGACGTCTGATCAAGGAGAAGCGTGTATGTGACAACGCGTACAGGAGAGGGGCGTACGGGAGATATAGAGAAGACAACGATCAATAACAATCCACGAGGAGCAAAAAGCGAGACGGCGTCGAGAGCCATCGGAGTCATCCATGAGTAGCAAGCCGCTGCAAGGTCCATACACACGTCAAAGGTAACAGGCCCCCAAAAGCGGGGGCCATGCGCATCCAAATGGGCGTCTTCAGCGAACTTGATGACCGCGTTGTGTCCGTCGAGACGAAGAGACCTGAAGAGGCAGAAACGAGCATACACCCGGTAGCCTTGTCCATGACCGCTGCAATGTCCAGAAGGAACCCCATTCCTTGGATAGTAAACCCGGCCGTGAGGATGGGGATACCTGTGCAGAGGCCAGAGGGAGCGCGTCGTAGGTCAAGATTCGTCACGCATGGACACACGGTCAAGGTATCGCTGATGCCTCTTGGATACGCACCCTGAGAGTATCACTGACGGACCAGACAAGCACCGCTGCTGGATGATCCGAAGACAAGTGCCCTCTGGACGCATAAAGAAAGACAGAGATGGAGACATACCGAGACCACGAGACGCTACGTCTGTGGCGATGAGGATGGGTGACCGGCCGGCCTTGAACTCGCCCAGGACCCAGTCACGTTCGCGCCTGAGGACGTGTCAGTTATGGCCTTACGCACAGATGAAACCACGCACTGTTCCTTGTCACCGTGGATTGCAAGGGCCGGCCAGCCGTCCTGACGCAGATATCTCGTGATATCGTCTGCGACGCGCTTAGTACCGACGAAGATGAGGACCTTCGCGTTCTCAGAGCTGATTTGGTCGAGGTGCTTGATGAGCTTGTTGCGCTTCTCGAAGTCGCTGCAAACTTCAGTGATCTGGGTGATGTTGTGGTTTGCAGCGAGCTCCATGGAGCCGATGTTGACTTGGATGAAGTCTTTCAAGAAATCCTGTAGATGTATGCGTCAGTAGCGTAGAGATAGCAAACGTCCAGGCTACGTACATTGGCAAGCTTTTGGACGTCCTTCGGCCATGTGGCACTGAACATGAGGGTCTGACGGTCGGGACGAATCTGGCTGACAATCTTGCGAATTTGCGGCTCAAAACCCATGTCAAGCATGCGATCAGCCTCGTCCATGACGAGGTAGGTAACACGACGAAGGTTGGTCTTGCCAGTCTCGAGCATGTCGATGAGACGGCCGGGGGTGGCGATGACGACCTCAACACCACGCTGCAGGTCACGAATCTGAGGGCCCTTGGGCGCACCACCGTAGATGGCAGTGTTGCGGATCCGCGAGTTGGACCCGAACTTGGTGCACTCCTGCTGGATCTGCACCGCCAACTCACGCGTGGGGGCGAGCACAAGGGCGATGGGGCCATCGCCAGGAGAAAGGAGTGGTTGCCTGATAAGATGTCAGCGACTGGGGTCAGGATGATGACTATGTGACGCACGCATTGATGTGCAGCATGGCTGGCAAGGCAAAGGAAATAGTCTTTCCGCTACCAGTCTGGGCAATGGCAACGACATCGCGACCAGAGAGGGCCATGGGCCAGGATTGGCACTGGATGGCAGTCGGGGCGGGGAAGCCTTGCGCACGAATGGTGGCCATCAGGTACTCGGGGAAGCCGACCTCATCGAACGAGGTGACTGGCCTCGGAACGCCACGCCCTTGCACCTGTGAGCTCGTTAGCGTTGTCAAGCGCAGACCAAACAGTCATCATACCTTGATGTCCTTCGAACGGCGGAACTCCTCAATCTCGCGCTCGCTGCGGGCGGTGACCCTTTTGTCCTCTTGGTAAAAATTCTTTTCGAACTTCTCGAGGCGGGCGCTAGCCCAGTCGACGGTCTTCAGACCGCCTCCCAGGCTGCCCATGCGGTCGCCTCCAGCGCCGCCTCCACCACCCCAGCCTCCGCCGCCGCCGTATCCACCGCCACCTCCCCCGTACCCACCACCACCACCGTATCCGCCTCCCCCACCATATCCGCCGCCGCCGCCGCCGCCGTAGCCGCCTCCACCGTAGCCTCCGCCGTAAGACTGTGAGATGATCAGATCATGATTAGGCTTCCGAGGTCAGTCGAACGCACCATTTTCTCAAGTTTTGTGGGGGGTGGTCGGGATTGTGGTGGTGGTGAAGAGGAAAGTGCAATGAAGAAGCAACGTGGGAAGTTTTTTTGACCGGCTATTGGTCAGCAGCTGAACCGGGACAAACAAGTACCCACAACGTGGCACGGCCGATCTCGACGGCGACAAGGCTAACCTGGGCTGTCTGTCGTGCGTTCTAACTTCCGCGACCTACAGACTTGAGACTAGTGCCTGGTTCATCAGCATCACACTCGCCTTGGGAATCCATTCGACAAAAGAGCCAGCATACAAAGTGAGAGCGTACAGCGCGCATGAGTAGACAAAAACCAGATAGGAATTCAACAGAAAGCTATGCGATTGCCAAAGAAGACTTCCATACGAGTAGTCCTTGTGTGGTGAACGGTCAAGATACAGCAAAAAATCAAGCAAGATAGGAAATGTAGCGTAGTAGTCTGGATGTATGCACAGCGTAGTACATGCGTGACGGGAGAGGGGTTTAGGTCTTCGACTGTAATAAGAGCCCAGTCAGCCACGGTCAGTCAACACAGCAACTGCGCTCGAAAACGTACGGATAAATAGTCGTCAGGTGGGGGGTCACATTATGAGGCAGCCGCGCAGATGTCTTTTCCGCTTGCGTTCGGGGTCGACCGGATATCGTAGGCGCATTTGCCGTACGAGGTCTTCGAAGACATCGACGACGTGCCAATTTCGCTTTGCCGACGTCTCGTAGAAGGGAAGCCCCCATTTGGCGGCCAAGGACTGCATCGCGTCCTTTTGAACTTCGCGTTCACTCGGAAGATCCAGCTTGGTTCCGACAACGACGATGGGAATATCCTGAAAATCCGGCCGTCAGCGCTGATGGTGATGGTGCTAGAACGCCAAGGCTCACCGTGTTCCCGCCCTTGATTCTGTAGATCTGTTGTCGTAGGCTATCCACTTCGCGAAGACTAGCTTCTTGTGTCAAACTAAAAGATCGTCGTCAGCAAACCCGGCGAATAACGTGCGAAGAACGCATGCGGTACCCACCTGAACACGAGAACGAAGCCATGACCGGACTGGAAAGAGTTCTACATGAGCGACGGGCGCAGCACCGCTGAGCCGCAAGGCAAACCTTGATGTAGACTTCGTTCAAGGACGTAAATTGTTCTGCCCCAGCAGTGTCAAGGACCTCGAGCTGAAATCACGAATTAGCATGAGATGAGTCGGCAAAATCCGGATATGGGGAGGGAGCATGTCAGGAACGAGGGAACCTAAAGCAGAGATGGGACGGAGAGATAACGTGGGACAGGGGGATCTCCCAGCGATTATGATGACGGGGGACGTACCGACGAGAGCTCCCCGTCTACTCGCACTGCGCGACGGTATTCCTCTGCACGAGCGTAAGTTGCAGAACTGGCACGTCGTAGGCGAGGGGCGCACCTTCAATGGTAGGGTCGTAGTGCTCTACGAAGATGTCGCGCATGTAGCGCACTGGTGATGCACGACGTGAGCAGGAGACATGGAATGGTGACGATGGAACAAGACCTGTCAAAGCTGACTTCCCTACGCCCCCCGCTGCAGATGGAGATGGTGAGAACGCGTGGGACGTTGAACCATTAGGACGCACCTCCGAGAACCACGATGTGAAAGTTGCGCATGAGAGGTCGTCAATGTCGTGAGTGTAGCAGGCGAGACGTTAGTGCAGGATAGAGAGTGGGCGACGATGGAGAGGGGGCGGTCCAATGCAAGAGACCGAGTGACTGGAATTTATCATGAAAACACAGACATCTTCCCGTAGCTCGTGGCGGCTTATTCCAAGGGCCAGCAGGAATCTAGCGCCATGATAGCGCATCAATCACGACACGTGCTACGGCCGGCATTCGGCTATAGCTCGGCAACCAGTCGGATTGGCGGAATACTCCGGCGCACGTGGCCCAAGCGAATATCCGGCGACATGTGATCAGACACGACGCGTGCCGCGCGCCCTCGCAGCTTGGCTTCACCCCACAACAGCCGCCGTCTTGCGTACGAACGATGCGGCCTCGAGTCTTTCTTGATATCTCTGTCAATCAGCACCCGATTGGAAGGTCAGCCCGCCCAATCACACAAACCCCGCCCCGCCTCATTGCCTTCCACAGGGTCATCTTCGAACTCTTCAATGACACCGCTCCCCGAACAAGCGAGAAGTCCGTCGACATCTCTCATAAATCACAATAACTGACCATCCGCGTCTTGCTAGCTTCCGCGCACTATGCACCGGCGAGAAGGGACTGTCACACACCGAGCATCCGCTCTACTACAAGAACAGTCCCCTCCACCGCATTATCAAAGACTTTATGATTCAAGGGGGCGGTACGTGTCAACCTCATGCATTCCGCGAGTCGTGCCAACACGCGACGTGCTGCAGACATAGTCAAAGGTAACGGCACAGGCAGCCCAGAGTCCATTTACGGCGGCGCCTTCGAGGACGAAGACCTCGAACGCCCGGTAGACGCCGAAGGCCTACTATGTATGGCGAATAAGGGACCTGACACGAACGGAAGCCAGTACTTCATCACACTGAAGGAAGCGCCGCATCTCAATGGTACGCTCGCTCGCTTACCGCGCCACCTTTACTCAGTGCGACCTGCAGGCAAACATGTCGTCGTCGGACGAGTGATACGCGGCTTTGATGTCGTGCAGAAAGTAGCCGAGGTCGAGGTCGACGCCAAATTCCGGCCGGTCGTGCCCGTTGTCGTGTCCAACAGTGGCGAGCTAGAGCTCCGCCGCCCGCCTCGTAAGTCCGCACCGCCGAGTCCGTGGGGGCTGTCATTCACCCCTCGTGCAGCCAAACCGGCGAGCGAAGAGTCGATATCAGATGAGGAGGACAGCCGCAGTCGCAAGCGCAAGTCCCGTCGCAGGTCCCCTTCCAGCGGCGTAGCCTCCGACGAAGAGCGCGACCGCAAGCGCAAACACAAGAGCAAAAAGTCCAAGCATCACAAGCACCGCTCGCGCACGCCTGACGCCCCAGTCACGTCCCCCGAACCCAGGCAAGAGACCGAAGAAGAGTACGACGCCCGCCTCGAGCGCGAAGAAAAGGAGCGCATCGAAGCGCGTCGGAAGGAAGAGCTCAGGCGCGTGCAGGAACAGCTGAAGCGCAGGCAGGAACGCGAAGCCAGCAACTCGGCCCCGGAGGGCCAAACTGGTATTAGGTTCAAGGGTGCGCACGAAGGTATCGCTCGCTGTCCAATGCTCACAATTTGTAGGTCGTGGGCGAATGAAGTACACCGATCCTGAGATCAGTCGTCGATAGTAGATGATAAGAGATCCCAGCTGTCATGGTGCGAACTCGTGTTGCTTGCGTGCCAACTCAACGTGGGCGGGCGGGCATACCATATTACCTCTCTTGCACGGTCATAACAGCGCTCAGCAACTGGCGTACGTCTTTCGCAGGAATTCAGTGTGCAATCAAGCGGGATAGACATGTAGGCAGTACACTACTGAATGAACGCGCGCCATCCATCTTTGTACTATGCGATGTGCATTGACACGCTCGTGCTAGTCTTCACCAGTGATCAAATGGTATGCTCCATTCGACGTGGATTGGATGCGTAGGTGCCTGTATAGTGCGCCGTTGGAGGGAAGGGAAGGGGGTAATCGAGGCGATGGTTCCAAGCTCGGCAGTACGACTTGTGATGCAGACTCAAATTGAGAAATACGAGACCCTACTCAGCGCTCAGCAAGCTATGGTAAACGCCCTTGCCACCATTTTCGAACGTCTTTCAAAGTAATGATGCGTTTCGATGACTATTTTCCTCTCCAGAACCGGGTGATTCAAGGACAGCTTCAAGATGGTTTTCAAATATCAATTGGACTGATATATGTACTATACATTATCTCCAAGTTGAGTTCCGTTAGAACAGATATATATCATGCTAGCAAAGCTCAGAATCCACCGCCTTGAGCGCCGGGAACGAAGCCACGGTCTCCAGGCCGATCTTCAGGGATCCCGTGAGGGCGGTTCTGGTGTGCATGCTGCGTAGAGCCAGCGGTGCCAGAAATGATGCCAGGCTGCTGTTGCTGGGTAGAGGATGCGTGAGTCTGGCTCTGCGCGGTGGTCATGTGTCCTGCGCCAGGAACGCCTGACTCTGGCTTGCGTTCAGCGTATTGCATGCGATGGGAAGGAGGACCGGTCATACCTGGAAGATGGTCAGCATCACGATCGACGAAAGACGATGAAGACGTCCACGCACCTCCTGTCCTCGAGGATGCCGCGCCTCTCGACAGATCTGCGTTCCCCTCTCGCATCTCGCGCTCGCCTTGGCGTACTATGTGCTCATTGTTGCTGGGATCGACTGTGCTCAAGAGGTTTCCGCGGATGGTCTCGCCGAGGCCGTGGACAACTTCGGCTGCGCCTCTGGATGCCAGAGTCAATCTCGAAGACTCGAAGAAGAAATATGGGGAACGCACTTGAGCTTGTTGTGAGTAGACGCGCCCGTCGAGGTGTTCTGATTTCTGGTAGAGTCCATGTTTTTTGTTCGAGGTGATGAAGATGTGCTGAAATGTTAGACGCTCGCGAGGTTATATAGCCGCCTGAGGCGCCCCGCGATGACAGAGTCCATGAGCTCATGAGCCGCTTTGGGATAGAGGAAAGCGCTGTATGACGTCGGATCGTCACCGTCGGGCTGAGTGTCGGGCGGTCACGCGCATGGTTGAACTTCAGAGGGCACGTGACTGGAATTGCGAGAGGCACGCGTGAGGACCAGAGAAAGCAAAAGGTGCCAGTTGGGTGCCAGAGTAACATAGTGGCTGGTTGATTCAATTACGGGGCACCCACGCGAAAGATTCGGAAGTTCAGATCGCGATGGGTTGGTCATCGACGGAAGGCTTCCCCGCGAGGTCTGTCTAACAAAAGGCGGCCATCGGCAGCTTGCAGATTGTATACGATTCGGTTAATAGCCGCTGAACACGCATAGGGTAGGCGATGCGCTGACAGGAAAACATAAGATGGTGGTCAGGAAGAGAGGGACATGGACCCTGATCACGTCACGTTTTGAGCCCATCAATAAAATTTCCCCGTAACTTGCATCGGACAGTCATCAGCTACTGAGATAGAACAAAAATGCGTGCGTGCACTGGCTGTCTGCACAGATAGCTGCTAATGAGCATATAGCTCCCAAGAAGAAAGCCCAAAAGATCGCCCTCAGCGATTTCCTCGCGGATAACAGTATGTGATCCTGCTGAGAGATCGGATTCCCCAACTCAAGCGCCGACTCAGCTTTGGGATCATGGGCGGACGAGGTGGACGCCCTCCCTACTGCCCGTGCGTGCTTTGCTGCTGTCTGATTTCTGCGGGCTGACGTTGGGGGACTAACAGCTGCCATGCGCACGGAGGAGGAGATGCGCAATGATCGCTATGGAGGCCGTCGCGATGACTTCCTTTCCTCTCGTCGTACGTGGCCCTACATCACTCTAGTGCTCTCACCAAGCCTCGTTCTACAGCCGATCGCACCTTTGGTCCTCCGCGCGAGGAGGTCCCCCTTCCCGAACGTCCCCCATACACCGCATTCGTAGGCAACCTTGCTTTTGATCTGACTGAGCAGGAGCTCGGCGATTTCTTCCAACCCCTCAAGGTGCGACATGTGTATTCCCCTCGTATTCATCCCACTGACACGTCATCCAGGTCAAGGAGGCGAAAGTCATCCGCGATCGGGAGGGGAAGGCCAAGGGCTTCGGATACATTGAGTTCGAAGATGTTGACAGCCTGAAGGAGGCGTTGGAAAAGTCCGGCACGGTAAGCACTACCGTACCTCCTACTCGGACACTCCTCACACTAACTACCCTCAGAGCTTTGCCAGCAGGACCATCCGTGTCAGCGTCGCCGAGCCTCGTAAGCCCCCCTTCGCACACACCCCGACCCCCTACTCACACGCCGCACAGCCAAGGAGCGAGCAGGCTTCGGCGGAGGCTTTGAAGATGACGCCAAATTCGACAACCCATGGCGCCGCGACAAGCCGCCCCCCTCCGCCGACCGCGGCGACTCCCGCGACCGCGAACGCGACCCCTCCCAGCGCCGCTTCGAGGCCGCCTCCACCGTCTCCGACTCTGTCAGCGCCTGGCGCTCCGCCAAGCCGCGCGCTTCGCCCGGCACGGGCGACGAGGGGCCGCGCGCACGCCGCAGTGGCTTCGGCTTCGGCGAGGGCGGCGCGGCGGGTGCAGCGGACGCAGAGGACAGCTGGTCGCGCGGGGCCAAGTTCCGGCCCTCGCAGCCGTCGACGCCCGCGGACGAGCACCCGCCCAGCAGGTTTGGCAGCCGGAGGGGGGATATGGGCCCGCCGCGGGATCCGGCAGACGACGGCGAGTGGAGGCGAGCGTCGCGGCCGCCGCGGAGCAGCACTTCGCGTGAGTGTGTGGCTCGCTGAGCTGCAGGCGCGTGCTGATTCATGTAGCCACCGGCTCAACCCCGCCGACCCCGCAGCTTGCTCGGCGCAAGCTCGAGCTTCTCCCGCGCACCGACTCGACGACGGCCTCCCCTCTCTCATCACCAAAACTCGGAAGCGCCGCCCCCGCCCACTCCCGCCCCAACCCCTTCGGTGCTGCCAAGTGCGTGTATAACCCCACATCCCCCTTCAGTCATATTCATCCCTCCCCAGACCCGTCGACGTGACCAGCCGAGAACGCGAGGTCGAGCAGCGCGTCGAGCGCGAGCGCGAGGCTCTGCACTCCATGTCGCGCACCGGCTCGCGGCAGGGCGCCCAGCGCGGCGCCTGGGACCGCTCCGCCCCCACCTCCCCGAAGCCCGCCGCAGCCCAGGCTATCGCGCGCACGACGTCCAATTCCGGCAGCGCGCGCTCCCCTTCGGGCTCGGGCGTCACGCGCACCACGTCGGGCGCGGGCACGACGCGCTCGCCATCGCAGGCGAACGTGCGCCCGGCGTTCAGTTTTGCGAACGCGGCGGGCGGGAAGCCGAAGGAGGGCGAGGCCGCGAAGGAGGGCGAGGGGGAAGGCAAGAAGGAGGAGGATAAGGTCGCAGAGAAGCTTGGCGAAGTTACTATTTAAGGATCGTGTTAGCTCGTCGTTTGTACCAGTGCTGTCTACTTTGTCTGTAGCAAGTATCGTTATTGACTTTCCTCGACTCAGGTTCTTGGGAGAGGGACCTAGAATGCGCTGCGTGGTCCTCCGAGTTCGATGTGACTGAGACCGTCACGAGGAGATGCACGAGTGCGTTGTCGCCTCGTCATATTCACGCTCTGCCTTCCGTCAGCCACTTCTACAAGCTCCAAAGGTACGCAAAGATTGCTGGCACCCTCTGTAGCAATCAACGCCTCCACACTACATTTGAAACTTAACTGGTCTACGCCGTCCCTCAGCACCAGTGGAACCTGCCATCTCCCGTCAGCTCTTTCGCCCATGATGGATCTGTACTCAACGTACCTCTCATTGAAGGCATACTCCGCGTCCTCGACAGCATACGTCTTGAGAGCTGGAAGGAACGAATCCCTAACGAACGTCTCGCCCGCCAAATCCTTTGCAGCCGCCTCGAAGTTCCGCGGCAAATTCCACATCTCAACCGCCTGGCACCCATTCTCCTTCGCATACCGAAGCACCGCGCTCATCATTTCCTTGAACTGCGCGTCGCTGTGCGCTCGTATCCGCGTCAGGAGCAAGTTCTTCAGCCCCAGCGACTTCCGCTTCACGTCCACCGTCCAGGTCGCGTAGGCGAGCTCGCCCTCCGTAGCCTTGATCCCCCACGACTTAAACAAGAAGGGAGCGTGAGGCGCACTAAAGATGCAACGCTCGTGCTGGAACGCCGCCACCCCCTTGTTTGGCAGGAACGAAACCACCGGCTTGCCCACAAGCTGCTTCCCGAGCTCCTCTATATCCCTCTCCATCAGCGGCACATCCGCATCCCACGCCTCCTTCACCTCCTTCTCATCGAGCCACTGCCAGCCCCCCGCAGGCTCCTTCACTCTCCCCTCCGCCTCCTCCAATTTCCAGATCGTCGACCGCGAGTCCTTGATCAACCACCCATCCCTTCCCGGCGCCTCCCCGCACGTCTTGTAGAAATCCGGCCCAATACCGCTCCACAGCGCTGAGAAGTACGCGCCGCCGGCCTCAGAGACCCTCTCTGGAGGCGCGCCCCACTCACTCGGGAACGCCTTGCGGTCCAAGAATCTCTCGTCGGCGAGTACCCAGTGCAGGAGGCGCATCATGTGGTTGGCGTAGCCCTTCCGGCGCTTGTCTTCTTTGGTGTAGACGCAGGCGACGTTGTAGGCGGTAACGCGCTGGAGCTCGCCGTCGTAGGATCGTCCTTCGCGGCGGTACCTGAGCAGGGGTAAGTACGATGCCTTTTGATGACGGTACGCGAATGCTTACGACTCAACCGCGCAGGGGAAGTCCAACGTTGTGGGATCATCCCGCGGAGCAAGGACCCTTTCGACTCGGAGATTAAGTCGAGGACACCAACGAGAACGGGAATGCCTACCAGGTAATCAACCTCCCCTCAACCGAGTTCTCCTGCTGCTCGCATGCCGCATCACGCGCGAGATACTCCTCGACAGTATGTCCACCGCCCCACACAGGGAACGTCCGCGTGCGATGCTCGATGATCTGCTCGCGAGTCGCAACAAACAAGGTGAAGTCCTTCAGGTGCGCCATGGTGGTGGTAGCGGTTTAGTGGTGGGTTGGAACGATATGTGGATCGATGGGTTATCATGTAGCTCCGCAGCATCTTGTAGGTGACTGTTTCCCGCATTGACCTTGGGTAGGCACCTCGCATACGTTACAGGGATGCTATAGTGACTCACTGCCTTCCCTTATGCAGCGTGCCGGCCCGGAGTTCATATGGGTCGTGACCGCCTGTGACCAATGTGCAAGTTCCCTTTGTGTCGCTCTCAATCCAACTCCATGGATTGTACCATCGTGTTCAACCCAGCCAGCTCGCTAGCCCAATCTTTCGCGGTTTTCTTGCCCACGACGTCTGAAAATAACGACACCGACGATCAGGTAAGAAATCGATACTTGTCCCCTTCACAAGCACTAAACTCCCTCCTTTCGTAGATCAACATTCTTAGGAACGCATTGCTGCGAGAGCTTACCAGAAAGTACCGCGCGCACAACGAGCTTGCTCCAATCAATCAACTTCCCTTCGAGATCCTTGGCAAAATCTTCCGTCTCCTACTGTCGACTGTCTCTGACTTCGTTCCACCCTGGAGAGGCCCTTCTCTCTCAGCAGACCTGATCAGCGTTACCCAAGTCTGCAAGCGCTGGGGAGAGATCGCGGTCGCGACTCCCTCGCTGTGGCCGACCATAGCTACGAACGACCGTGACGAAGCTGCAGCCGCCTTTCTTCGGCGTTCGGGTACAGGACAACTATCCGTCCTCACTACAGTCGCTACAACCACGGCCGGTACCCCGCTGCTCTACGTGACATCATCGACCACCACCTCCATTGCGTCGAGCATCTGCTCCTGCGCAGACTCAAAGGCCCGTATAATGCCCGAGAGTTGCAGCTTTTGCGAGTAGGCAACGAAATGGTTCGAATTATTCCATGTGACTAGCTGTGAAAACTGGGCTTGAACAAGTTGACTTCGTACCTGACCCCCTCCCTTTGACCCACTTCTGTCTTTCTGTGGGTACTAGCTTCGGTTGGATCTACTCATCCGAGACCGCGTTCCATGATCTGCACACACGGAACAAGCCCCCGGGCTAGCGGCCGTACGAACGACCACCCGCCACCGCATTCCTTGTTGTCGCAAGGGGCCGACGTATATAAGTGAACCATTGACCCAAGCCCTCGAGTACATCTCTCGACTCCTCATAACCGTCGACCGCCATGCTCAATCCGAAGTTCATCATCCTTCTCTGCGCAGTCGCTGTCCTCGGTCGGCCATCCACCTTTCTCGAGCGCGCCGAACGACGCGGCTACCCTGCTATTGGAACACCCTCTTCTACCGCCGCTGCCGCCTCTGGCACCGCGACGAGCGGAAACTGGGCCGGCCTCGTCCTCGAGTCGCCTCCTTCTGGCGAAAACTTCACCGAGATCGCTGGCACCTTCACTGTCCCCTCTCTGGCGAGCAGCTCTTACACCGCCGCCTGCGCCTGGATCGGCATAGATGGCTGGGAGGGCAGCACCACGGACGCCCTATTTCAGGCCGGCGTAGACTTCTGGATGGAGGACGGCGAGCTGACGTACAACGCGTGGTACGAGTGGGTGCCGGACTCATCGTGGAACTTCACCGACTTCGAGGTCTCCGAGGGCGATGTGATGAAGTTCACCCTGACTGCGTCAAACGACAGCGCGGGCTCGATTTCAGTTGAGAACCAGAGCACGGGGCAGTCGACCTCCATCGACTTGACGGCGCCGCCCATCCCGAACGCTAAGACTGTGAGTTCGCCAGGAGGCGAACTCCAGAGCCCCACTCACTCTCCTTCGCAGCACTTGGCCCTACAAAACGCGGAGTGGATAATGGAGGATTTCTTCTGGTACGGACAAGTCCCTTTGGCCGACTTTGGCTCGGTAGGTTCCCGATCACTACTAGCGAGATGGCTAGGTTGCTCATCCAGAATGACCGTCACAGATCCAGTTCACCAACGCTTCGGCGAAGACTAACACCGGAACCATCGTCGGGCTGAAGGACGCCACCATTATTGACCTCGTTCTCGAGAAGAAGGTAACAGTTCTGTCACCAAATGCCCATGCTGTCGCTGATGCTGTCTATAGACGCGTACGCAAACGACTGTCGAAAGCGATACGTCTGCAACGATCAAGTATTTGGCGGCATGAAAGCATGTTGGGACGCAGGACTTTAAGGGCTGATCAGGAAACCCAAGACTCCAGCCAAAGTAGGAAGATGAGCAAGCAATATCGAATGAATACAAATAAAGGGTGGCAAGGTCATGCTACATTGTCCCCTCGGTACAGCGTGTGTAGTAAGTACAGCACCATGCGTGGGCTACAACAATGTCCCCAAGAATTACAGTCGTGTATGCGTAACAATCGGAACACTGGACAGCAGGACGGGAGCGATGTGCGTATATGCGTATGTTGGTTAGTGAGCCCTAATATAGTGGTGATGTGTGGTGCGAAGGTACGAAAAGCAGGTGCTATGACGAGACAGGACAGAAAAAGCGAATAGACTTCCCCGGTCGGTGCGATAGAGCCGATGCTTGAGGGTATATAAGTACATATAATATCTGCGCGGTCAACCCCTGGAACCCGAGAGAATACAAGTTTAGAGATCGTACAAGACCTGGAGTAATCATGGCGACAACGCGTCCGAATCGGGGGATAGATACGGAGATGGGACGAGCCATCCGCCGTTCTCCCAAATGTGACCAGGACGATAGAGGTCGGATTGTCGTTGGTGAATGTCGACTATGCCGTGCATGATGGTCGACAGTCGTTTAAAATTGATGGGCTTGAGGATCCAGCCATCGAGCCCGTAGTTCTTCAGCTCCTCGTACTGCTGCTCCTGGAGCGAGGCAGACACAGCAAAAATCGGGATGCGACCATTGAGACGGAAGGAGACCAGCCTGTTAGATGTTGGGTCCCCATTAGCAGCATCCTTCTTCTCGACTTCACGGATTCGCTCGGTGGCCTCGAATCCATTAAGAATCGGCATTCTGAAGATGTTAAGTAACGTTGCTGATGGCGAGCAAGTCAACAAACGCACTGTATGTCCATCAGAATGGCGTCGAACTCTCGGTCCTCCAGGATCTTGTCCAGACCCTCCTGACCGTTCAAAGTCTGCACAATCTGGTGACCGTCTTTGGTGAGGCGCTTGGCGAGCATGTTGCTGTTAAGCTCGTTGTCCTATGGAAGTGTCAGCGCGTCAAGACTAAGCCGGTGTGTAAACTGACATACCTCGACTATCAGGATACGCAGGACGGGCTTGGAAGGCGGATCCGCCGATGTAAGCGCTTCGCGGGACGCCTTGGACGGCAGTCGAATACCAGTTGGGCGATGACTGCTTCCCGACGGTCGTGCAGGCTTGTCAAGATCAAACTGATCAATCCTGACCGGTCGCAGAGGCGTAGCGGAACCAGGTATTTCCACTGTTCCCGGACGCGATTCTACTTGCGCATCGGATGCCGGCCCCTGCGGATGCATATGGCTGCTCGACAGAGCTTCCACCAAGGAATCAATCTTGCTCGAAGCCGAGTTGTGGCTCATGGCCCGGCTTCGCCTCTTGTCTATCTTATCGAGCGACGAGGTCGAAGATTGCGAGGACACAGCGGACGATGTCGAGTTCCCATCCCCTTGTAGCCCTAGGGGGATGAGGAAGGAGAAGCGGCTACCTTCGTTGACTTTGGAATCGACACGCAATTGCCCTCCAAGCTGCTCGACGATCCTCGCGACGACGGCGAGACCCAGGCCTTCAACAAACAATCAGACCTCCGAAAGCTTGTACACAGTAGATCACATACCGACGCCCGGCTCAGTCGATGTCTTGGGCTCAGCCGATTCCACCTGCTCGAATTCGCGGAAGATGCTTTCTAGTTTGCCGGACGCGATGCCACATCCGGTGTCTTCCACAACGATTTCGACAGCCGTCTGCCGCTCGTCCCGCAAGCCTTCCGGCTCCTGAAAGGTGACCGAGCGAATAGTAATTCCGCCACTGTTCGTGTATTTGACTAGAAGTGTTTTCAGCGCAACCCTCCTCGAAGCCTGAGCAACACATACGGGCATTCGCGGTCAAATTCTGTACGACCGTACGGATCTTCTTCGCGTCGCCCACGACAATTGATGGACCATCGGACACGTCTACGTTGAACCGCAACTTCCGACGTTCGGCCTCGTTCTTGTATATACGGGTGGCGTCTATTATCTCGGCCTGCAGATCAAAGGGCTCGTTGAAGGCCGTTTCTCCGCCGATCTCCAACCTCGTCAGATCGAGGAGGTCGTTGATGGTAAAGAGCAAGCTCTGAAAGGAAGTTTGAACGAGGAGTCTCCTCTAATCAGCTATTTCTTACCTTCGAAGCGGCATGGGAGCGGCTGAGGTTATCCCGAGTCTCCCCGTCAAGGCTGCCATTTAACGCAAGCTCGAGATAGCTGGGGGGGGGCATATATAAGCAAATTGCGCCGGGAGAATCAGCGAATGTACTCACTTGATGATGTGGTTCAGCGGCGTGCGCACTGTTCGGCATTAAGCCTCAAGATGATCGCATAGACCAAAGTCACGTACCTTCATGACTGGCGTTCGACAGCAATATGTTCGTGAGCTTCGTAGTCTGCAAAGCCGTCTCCTTCTGCCGCCAGACCTCGATAAACTTCCCGTAGACCAGCGCCATGACACCGGCGGTCTCGAGCTGCTCGTCTGTCCATGCGCGACAGCGCCCGGCGACCTTCTCCGACCATGTCTTGAATGACTTGCGCGGCTCCAGGCGGGCGTCCGTGGTTGCGCCTTCCTTGTACGGCTTGCCCGCCCAGTGCACGTCACGTGGTTGCCCGCGCCGCAGGAAGGCCATAAAGTCCTGACCACCCGTCGAGAGCGGAACATACAGCAACCCGGCGACTATCTCTAACCCCGTCGATATTTGCAGGTCGGGGAAGTCAACTGTCACGGCCTGCGAGACCTGGATGGAGCTAACAGTGCCGACATGGTCAGAACGGGCGACGTGGTCTAGACAAACAAACACACGCACTTGAACTGCTTGATACGAAGGTACTCCGCTACGATGAGGATCTCCTGGCCATGTTGGTTCGGACCCAAGATCTTCGCACCCTCGCCGATGACCAGGATGCCATAGTCGGCGTCAAAAAGGCCGAGCAAGTCGTCCGCATTGCTAATGATGTACCCGGTCTAACATAGGAGAAAGAAGTCAGTAAGGTACGCTCTCCGGCGGCCGACATGTAGAGCTTACCGGATGGTTGCTCGACGAGATTGTGTTGATCTAGAACCACTTTCAATACAAGCTCGCGACTGTATTGCCTCGTCATACATACCAACTTGCGTGTATGCAGTCGTGACGCATAGCTCAGGCGTTCGATATTTTTGGAGATTGACTGGCTAAGCAACCGTAACATTTGCCGAACAGGGAAAGAGACCCGCATGCCATGAGGGCCGTACGAGTGACATGCCACGAGACCCCATAACACGCCGAACGCCATGATGGACTTGAGGATTGTATCAGCCAACGCTTGGAAGAACTCAAGGGATTGCACTAACCACTGACATGGACGCGCGCACGCCCATGTTTCCAAGGTCTGAAGAGTGTCGATAAGCAGCGCAGGACAGTAAACAATTGTACTTACACTTAAGGTGAATAGGGCTCATGGCGCGAAGGTACGAGTGCGTCATATTCTACGGGCCCGGTCAGCAAGCCCTCTCGACTGTCGCCTGAAGTACTCACAAGTGGGTTATTCAAATCCTCCTTGCTTCTAACGACAATCCTGGCCGTCGACTGTTCCCGATCGTATAGTATGCGGACCTTGTCTATATCATGAGTCAGCACGGCGGAAGCCATATTGCAGAGCTACTAACTTATCGCATACAGCTCCCGCGCCTGCACGAACCATCAGCCGACTGCCTGCCCCGACTTAACAAACACTTACCTGCGCGGGTATATCACTGGCCGGGAAATGCAGCCTCCTATACAGATCATGCGTCTGCGACCAGTCCACTAGCTCCGCCACCACCTGCCCATTCCACACCTCATCGAACTGGTACACCAGTACCCGATGGAACTGCGTCAAGTCCTTGATCACGCCGACCACCGTCTTCAAGAACGTCTCCAGGTCCGTCGCCGCACCCAGCTGCTCGTTGATCTGCGACATGACCGCGAAGATGTCCATCATGCCCACGGAACCTGGCTGGGCCTTGTCCTGGCCGCGACGCCGCCGGGCGCGCGCGCTGCCCGCGCTCCCGGTGGGAGGCGTCTCTCCGCGCATGGTCATCCGCCGGAGCCTTTCGAGCGCGAGGAGCGGCTTCGAGATGCTCGTCGTGCTCTCCAGGATGTCCTCCGCGCTCGGCATCCAGTTCTCCTCACCCACGAGACCCCGGTGCGGGATGTTCCGGTCCTCAGGACGGACTACCTGCGTTGTGCCAGGTGGAGACGATGGCGAGGCAGGCCGTTGCTGTAGGTCGTCCGGCTCGTTCGTCGACATGATAGGAGCTTCCGTTGCTGCCGTCGCCTCCGGAGTGCGATCCTCGGGGGACTGATCCCCCGAGCCGACCGAAGCGCCATCCTCTGTGATGCTCCTCAAGCGTGATGTAGCTGCTGGCCGCCCCTGCACGAGCGTGCGATCAGAAGAATCCGTCGAGTTCCCTGCCGAACTCGACGCGTCGCCCGCTGCCGTGCTCCCAGAGCTGATCGGGCTGGACACGGAGTAATGGGATGCGGGAGGGTAAAGGGGATGCACGATGTCCTTTTCCAGCTCGAATTCCATGATTATGAGGTTGTGTGTGGTCGGATGCCCTTCCGTCGACGTGGGCGCTGGTCTATGAATCGCACACCAACAGGTCCATGTCTTGCGACCCTGCTTGTCGGCGTCGGGATCGTCTTCAGCAGCAAAGTTCGGAGCAGTCCAGCCGGAGAGGAGGAAGACATGGGGACTGTTGTCCTCGGTATCGATCTGATTCGAATCAGGCTCACTGAGGAATTGGATGGCGTCCCAGAGCAATCCAGCCTGAGTCTCAGGAAGGGAGTCGGTGAAGCACTCAAGCCCGAACAAGTGATTGGGAGAAAGACCCAAGATTTCAGTCGAATTCTGCGACAGATCAGCCACGTCGACATGATGGTGGAAAATTCACCCACCTCAGAAACCTGCCGCACTAACAACGTATCCTCAAGCTCCTCAACGGCGATGAGTACACCAAAGCCTTGTACGGCTCCAGGGGTTCGTATTGGCTAGGTAAACCGATTAGACGGGCACCCTACGCACAGGCACCGAAGGACGCACCTCATCCTCGCAACGCATAAGCTTCCCCTCCCTCCCAGTCAAGATATGATGCCCGTGCTCATCCTCCACATGTTCGAAACGCGTGGTATGCAGCCCGCCATTGGCAGACGTCTCCGACATAGACTCCGTGGTGGGCACATTCGACCTGCCATCCTGCTCCTCGCGATCCATCTCATCGTTCTCCTCACGAGCACCAGGTTCCACACTAAGTTCCTCGCCTGACGTGCTGCGCGGCGCACTGGAAGCCTGCGACGCCCCCGCCGACGCGCGCGTGGGCGAAATTGGGCGGCGCGCGGCCTGATTGCTCGATGTATTACTCGATGAGTGCCAATTTGACTGTCGCGACGAGTTCGAGCGGCGCATGCTGCCAGAGGACGAGCCTTCGGATCTAGGGGGCAGATGGACGACGTTCCACGCGGAGGGATTGAACAGCAGATGCTGCTCCATGTCGCCCTCGCCCTCGGGCAGTTTCTCCTTGGCGCCGTCGTCCACCGGAGATGAGCACGCGTCGAGATCGGTCCGAGTAAGCATGATAGGCGATCCTCCGACGGAGGCAGAGGAGGACAGCAGCAGGGACGACGGAGGGCCGGGAGATGCAGCGCCAGGCGCGGTGACTTCGGTCGGGGGATCAGTCGACGTCGGTGTGCCTTCTTCGGCGATTGAAGGCTGAGTCGACATGGCGGTCTCGTTGAGGGAGCTGTCGGTGCCCTGACTCAGGCTGTGGCTCTCCGGCATGGGTATGGACGAGGGCTGTCGTGAGGGGGAGCCCATCATGTCGGACGCGACATGGGAGAGGAGAGCCTGATCGCCACCCATGGACGATCGCCTGCTGGTCGAGCTCGTCAGGCTGCTCTTGCGCGACGCGGCTATGCTAGCGTCGTCGGTCGGCAGCGACACAGGCTCCGCCGGCTGTATGCCCGTCAACAGCGAGCGTATGGGGTAGACATGGGAGAAGGAGGACGCGGGAGACCCAGAGACGCTGTTAGAGCGATGGACCTTGCCGTCACTTTCGCCGCTGGCATTGCGGGACGCGTTGTGCGGCATATCGCCTCGACCGACGGCGGCGGCGACGAGGGCAGCGACGACGACGACGAGAGCGCCTGAAGCAAGCCTTTTCTTCCCAAAATGTCTTCAATTAGAAGTCCAGCTGACGCGCTCGCGTGCGCCGGCCATCCACTCGCGCTGATGTCATCCCCGCCGGGCAAATGTCCATATAGCACCCGCGCACCACCACAGCGGCTCAAGGGTGTGCTCATGCGTAGATTACTGCTTCATTAACGCACGGAGACGTACATGCACTCGATCTGGGGTAACGGGAGATTTTACAACTGCTGCCCATCGCTGCGAGTCAGCGCACAACGGAACACCGGCGAAGCGCAAGGAAGATTTACCTGAAGGGCTCAGATCTGAACGTGGTTATCGAGCATCCGATCGTGAAAACAGACATGCAGATTCAAGACGCAGTTACGTTGCTAGACAGTGCTCTGGATGCCGTACGGAGCCCACTTACCACGCCAACTCCCCGGACCCAGCAATGGCCCCCTAAGAAGTGCTGCGCAGCTGCCAGTAGAAAGCACCCGAGCGCGGAACGTACACCGGAAGCCTGAACGGGACACCAAAATGCTGCACACACACCCCAATTCATCTGCACCAGGATTAATCTCCGTTGCATCCATCCGACACAGCACAGACACTCACCAAGGTGACACCCATGAAGGCTATCTTGCGCATATTGAAACTACGAAGCTCAGTACATTTCCACAAGGCCACTGCGGCGAACCGACAGCGGCGCGCCTGGTACGGACACAGAAGACCCGCAGACCTCCCTTGAGGCATGGCAAACCTCCCTCCAGACCTCGCATACGGCCGGTCGCTGTAGACCATGCCCCGGTGCCGCGAGGAAACCTTCTTTCAGTCATTAGCTAACCCACACTATATCGGCTTGATCTTGAAGTGCAGGGAGATGAGCGAGAAGATCATGCACTGGTAGAACATGTGAATTCGTTATTTCCCAAGGCTGGGACTGATCGAGCTTACCCGCAGGTCCTGGATCAGGTAGTAGAACACGCGAAGACCTTCCGGGTCTTCACTGTCCTGAATGTCCGCGAGCGAGCCAATTTTTGCGGTCTACGGATACTGGTCAGAAGAACACCACGATGCAACATATATCACGACGCACCTCGAACGAGATGTGGTCGTTCCCAATTCGAATCTCCAGCTCCTGCTTCCCCACAATGTTCTTCTTCGGCCAATTCGTGTCCTCCTCCTTCACGATCTCGCTCGACTCGATGATGCGCTTCATCTCCTTTACCACCAGAGGTGAGACCCACACTATAAGTTGCGTGAAAGTTGGTCATCGAGCGAACATTGGCAGGGAGGAGAGTTTAGGATGGAGGGAGAGAACGGAAGTTTATGGATAAACGAGGCCAAGTCGATAGCAAAGCGGAGAAGAATGCGGTTAGCGCTAGATCAGCTGGAAAGCAGTGTAACACGCACTCTCTTTCCTGATCAAACTATCATTTCGGTAGTTCGAGTTGTTCGCGTAGCGCAAGCGACCGTGCGAGTACTCAAACTCGAGGAACTCATGTCCGTGCTTGCCAGAGTGACCGGTGCTAAGGAGAAGGAGGGGAACGCGTCAGCGTGTGAAGGCTTGGGTGGAAGGGAAGAGAGGAGGTATCGGCGAGGGTTGGAGGCACCGAGTGCGCTGTTCTTGAGTCCTCGTGCTCTCAGGCATCCATGACGCGTCAAAGAGCCAACCAGGCGCGTCTGCAAAACTAAGAAACACACAACTCACTAGTACCTGCACATCGCGTCAGCAGCAGCACAAACAGACAAGCAGACCACGCACCGCAAGTAGAAGGGGTCGTTCTCTTGTTGCGTCGTCATTTCGTGTTCTTTCCTCGTCGGTCGAGTGTAATATGCTCGTCGGGCGCGCCGGCGTCAAGGGAGATGGGGGACGGGAACAACGCGATCAACCCACAGGCACGCGTGGGGACAAACAAAGACAAATATGGCCCTGCACGAACCACCATGTTCGAGTATCGGAATTTCTCGAAAAACTAGTGTTCAAGCGAGCTACATTGACTCTGGTCTCACTCTGGGGCGCACATCAACAACTATGGCCTTGGGGTCTACTTCCAAAGCATTCAAAGAGTCCGAAGGACGTTCGGGTCGAAACTGCTCCGGACCATCTCCGGAAACCCTGACGACTTCCTTTAGCGACGCCGATCCGTCGTAAGCCAGCGCGATGTTCGATTGTCAAGAATCAGACGCACCTGCTGCTCTTTGCTTACTTCTCCCTATACCCTTCTTCCTTGACCGCATAACGCCTCTGGCGGCCCCCACGTTCCTTACTCTGCAAGGTTATTTCTGTCGTCCATGCCATCCCCGCCGTACACGCCCCGCACTCAGTCCAGCTGGGACTCAGTACAAGGTGCAACACACGCCGATTGACCCCTTCTCACTTCTCACGTCCATTCCTATCGCAGCCAGCGCTACGCAGTTACTGGCCTCCATCACCACGACGCTCAATCAAGCTCGCTTTGCACGTCGAGCGTCATACGTTGTCCACGGCTTCCTGGTCGGAATCCATATCGCGCTTCTGGGCATATGCCTCACCCACCTCGAGGAGCGCATCATGCTCCCGATCTCCACCACCCGCGCCTGGAGCGATCTTACCAACACCGCCATAACCGTGTCGGGAACCGTCTTCGCCACCGTAAGCAGAAATCTTCGTGCCACGGCGGCTCTAATATTGACGCCGCGCCGCCTCGCCCTTACAGGTCTACGGCGCACTGCTGATTTGGATCACCCAGCGGCTCGCATTGCGCCGCCTGCTCACCAGCGAGCAGACCCTAACAGCCATGCACGACGAGTTCAACTCATGGATCGGGCTCGGATCCGCCGTCTTCGCCTTATTGAACCAACGAAAGATCCGTAGCAGCCCCGTCTCAGTCACCCTCATAACGAGCTACCTAATTGGCGCTGCCATTCTTCACGTCTCCATCCCGGCGATGTTCACTCTCCAGGTCGGCTCCCAGCAGTACACAAGCGCAGAACTCAGGCAGGCAGTCTACCCAAACGTATGGGCCATGCTACAGTGGGCACTTCTCCTTGTCCCTGCTGCGTCTGACACTAAGATCCCTTGCGAAGCTCTAAAGCCTCGCAAATGGACGCACAAGGTCTCTTCAGCGATGCATCCAGCATGCTACCCTACGTTGCGCGTCAGTCAAAGAAGAGCGGTGGCAGCCAAGCTTTCAACCTGGTCGACGCCACAATGTACGACCAGCTGCTGTCCGCGGAGGTCAACAGCACTATCAGTGTCAACGCAACGTCCTTCAACGTCTCGTGCGGCGCACTCGATGATCTCAAGATTGAGAACGACATCACGGACGGCAACGGTCTTATACGATGGCACAATGCGTCGCACTTGTTCCCTAACGGGACCAGGCAGGGCAACGTCCAACTCTTTACTATTTCCCGTGAGCTCTGTCCCACCTTCCCGTCCCATCTCCCCACCCAACCCATCACCGCACAGCAAACAACACCATGGCGCTCGGTTTCCCGGTCGGCGTCTTCGCCGAAGAATACGTACCCGCGACGAACCGCAGCTTCTACCTCTACGGCACCTTCGACGTCGCCGACTCCGCGGGGACACTTTACCCTATTTTCACCCTGCCCGGACAACAGGGCACCTCATCGAATATCTCAATAATCGGCTGCGATCTCTACAGCTATAATCATACCATAGATTTCGACACCTCCAAGCGCATGGTCAATCACACCCAGGTTCCCCGCTTGCGCGACCATTCTCAGCTCTCTACCTGGCAGTCCCAAGGCCCTACTTCTCCCGAGGACCTGAACATCCTCGATTTGGTGCGTCGCTCGTACTGGCTCTTTGCCCTGCACTGATCCGCACTCGGCCATCGCTCAGTGGAGTACAGCCGTCCAGTACCAGTTCACGACATCATATCACCTCGGGGGCGCAACCGAGGACATGCTGGGTTTCATGGAGAAGTACGTTGCTGATACCTAACTTCTACATTCACTTGACCTTCCGACAGATACCTCCTATCATACCTGGGCTTGGAGCTGCCCGGTTGGCTGAACAAGACTGCCTCTCGCGGCCGCGTACTGCTTCACGACGTCGAGAATGCCCTTAGCACTTTAGCGGCGGCGACGTTCTGGGCTCGTGCGCCGTCTCTTTCAATACGATCGGCTCTGGTCCTGACGTCTTTGCAGTGAACGAGCAAGGCGAAGAGTTCGGGATACAGCGCCAGTATAGCACGGATGTTGACGTGCACTACTCCGTGCAGCGGTTACACGTACGTTGCATTCGTCTGGTCTATCCAGGCAGTATTTGACTATCCTCTCAGCTCAACCTCACCCCCGTCACCATCGGCCTCGTCGTCTCCTTCCTCCTCATGATCCTCAACGCCCTCCTCGTCCGCCCACGCATCTCCCGCACCGTCGGCGCTGTTGACGTCCTCGACACCCTCGGCGTCCTCCAGATCCTCTGGTTCGTGCGCGGCCACCCCGAAGTCCTCCGCATCATCGGCCGCGTCGAGAACCCGAACGAAAACGAATTGCGCACGGCGGGAATGGTGCCCTTGCGGCCTGACGTCCGCGCGTCGTGGGGCACACCGAGTCGCGGAGCGCTGTTGAGCCTGACACCCGACCCAGCCTCACCTGCCTACGATTCTTGGCGAGGACAGGATATGCAGCCGTCGCCAATTTCGTCCAATTTTGACGAGTGGGATCATTCTAAACTAGAGCAACCGGGTCACTAGGTGTGCTTCGCTACTTGCCCATGTACACTACGCAGCATCTACTGTACCGTGACAGCATCACAAGGGCTTTCGGCTGATCCACGCTATCCACTGTCCACCCTCACCTAATTGTAAACTACACTCTCATATACTCATGCAATAGTAACGTCGCACAGTTTCGGGTGTTGAGCATGGAAGAACAATGGGAGTACAATATCAGATTTAACATACAGCAACTAGCACAAATATAATTCCTCAAGTTAGCTTCACGATCGGCACCGGCAGGCCCCCGCTCCCCGACGTCGCCGCCCTCGGCGGTGGCAGCGGACCCCAGCTGAAATTCGGCGGGGGAGACGGCGTCGACAGTGGGATCTTCTTCACAGCAGGGGACGGTTGATGTCTTCTGACACCACTCCCTGCTCCCCTCCTTCCCGCAGGAGTCGGTGTCTGCGGATTGAACTTGTCCTCTCCAAAGTCCGCCCACATCGCATCCTTCGGGTCAAAGGCCGGCGTCCTTGGCGTCGCACCAGGCTTCATTGGGGTCTGGAACACTGCTGGCGGCGCCGGTGCGCTCGCGGCCGTTTTGTTGAGCAGCGGCTCGGGCCGTGCAGCAAGGAGGACGCGCTTGAGCCGGGCCGCTGAGCGTTCAGCGTTCAGCGCCGCAGCTGTTGTAACGGCGACGTTTGGCGTGACGTTCAAGGGTCGCGGGTTGGGATCTGGCAGACGGCTATCTCGCTTGTTGGCATCTTTGAGCTTCGCAGCTCTGCTCCTGCCCTCGCCGAAGCTGACGCTCGCCATGCGAGCGGTGAGGCTGTCGATCAACTCGCGGTCGTTATTGATAGCCAGGTCGATGTTGCGGTAAGTGCGGTTGAGGACGTCAAGTGTGGGTGGCCTAAAGTGAGCAGTGCGAGATTAGCAGCTGGCGCTGATCACAACACATTCGCTTACCTGATGGAGACCTTCCCTGACTTTTGCTGGCTCAGCTTCTTTTTCAAAGCGTTCAAGTTATCCTCCAATGCCTGTACCCTATCACGGACGATCTGCAACCACTTCAGTACTGTGTGCACGCCGTTGACCGGACAACACGCACCCGGAGGTTCCGCCTCAAATTCGTCTGCGTCTCGAGGTGTTCCGGCCCCAGAGTCCGCGTCTTGAGCATCTTGGCGAACTCAGGATCAGACTGAGCCTTGCTGAAGCGAGCGATCTCCTCCTTGCGGGTGTTCGCTGCAGAGATAATCAGCCACGTTAGAGGGACATTGGAAATGTGAACTACCTTTCAGCATGCTAGCACGAAGTTCCTTCACAAGCTGCCTCTCCTTGTCCCGCGCAGCTTTCAGCTCCGTGAGGTCTTTGCTGAAAGCCAACAATGTTCGGCCAAATAACGCAAGGTCCCCCAAAGACCACTTCGCAGCATCGACGAGGTCTTCCTTGCGCCTCGAGCCGGGAACAGGGTCGCTCAGTTTCCTCAGCTGCTGATTGGCTTCCGCGGCCAGTTCGCCGAGCTAAGAGATGGTGATCAGCATAACGCAAAGTGCAACTGAGCCTAAACTCACCTGGTTCAATTCGCGTTCAATGCTCGTCACCAATTCCGCACACTCCTTCTGCATCCCTTCTTGAGGCGGAGTCGTAGGCCGTGGCGGTGGTGGCGCCTGGGAGGCTTTCACGAACAGAGGGACGGGAGGATGTATGCTCCCAGAAGGCGCTGGAGCAGGCATTGCGAATTTGCCGAGTTGGTTCATGAGATTAGGCCCAGAAGGAGTTGTCGAGGGCGGTATCGCAGATCCAAACAAACCAGACGGCGTCGAAGGCGTCACAGGCGCTGGGGCCTTCGCCGCACCAAAGAAACCCGAGGACGACACAGAGGGGAACCCAGGCGTTGCGGGCGGCTTCGTTGCGCCGAAGGGGGTGGATGGAGTGGATGGAGAAGCGGAGCCTGACGCAGAAGGCGAAGGCTCGCCCGCCTTAGGCGTGCTGAGGAAAGCACCAAACACGCTCTTCGTAGTGGGCGCAAGTGGCGTTGAGGCTATGGGCGCAAGTGGCGTCGAGGCTATAGGCGCCGTCGTCGCAGGCACAGCAGGACTGACGGATCGGCTCGCACTAGGCGGCACGTTTGTCGGCGACGGCGTCGCGGATTGCCTCGACTTGCCACCAAAGCCGAAGTTGGAGAGCAAAGGCGGCGTACCGGTGCGGGATGGAGGCGCCTCGGGAGGTGGAGTCGCCTCTTTCCCCTGTGGTGCAGCAACTGGCTTCTTCTCCGTCTTGTCCTCGGACTCGCTGTCGGATGCGTTATAGGCGTTGGCGAGAGGGGAACTCCGGACTGGACGACTGGCGGGAGCTTTGCCCAACCCAAGGTTGAAGGGTATCCCACTGCTAGGTGGCCGCAAGCCACTTGATATCGAGCCAGGGGGCTCGGATGCCTTGGACGGCCGCTTGACAGGGCTTTCCGGAGGCGTAGAGGATTCCTCAGGAATGGTTGACAGGCCGCTTTCTTCAGTGACATCCTCGATCTCCTCCTCTTCATCACCCTCGTCGGATTCTTCCTCGTCGAACTCGTCGCTCGGTGGCTCTTCGTCCGAGTCTACCACCCTCGATGGAGGCTTTGGGGTCGTAGATGCGGATCGTTCGCGCGGCGGTGGTTTGGAGGGAGTAGTGGATGGTAGCTCGTCGGCTGAGTCGCCTTCGGACTGCGAGAGGTCTGACAAGAAATCTTCGCCTTCTTCATCCGGTTCTTCCTCTTCACCTTCCTCCGAAACATCCTCCTTGGAGACGTCGACGAAGCTCCCCATAGAGCTCAATGATCCCGACTTCGTCTTGCTCAGCGCCTTCGAGGAGCCGCCCTCCTTCTCTTCCTTGGGCTTGAAGACGGGCGGCCGGCTCACAGGTGTGCCCGCGGGTGTCATAGACTCCTCGTCCTTAGCAGGTGAAGGCGGGAAGGCTGATTTGCGCGTCTCCGTGGGCGTCTTTGGCTTCTCAACTGCAGGAGAGAACACCGCTGGCTTCGTCGGCTCCGGCACGCGGTCCTTGCCCTTGAGCATGTCCTTGAACGAAGTTTTCGGCGCGTCAGGCGGGGTCTTGAAAGGCGATGTATTGTTGCTGAACGCTGCGAAGCCTCCGCTCGAGGGCTCCTTCGCCGCCGTTGGCCCAGTCGGTGTCGTCGGGAACGCAGACTTGCGCAAACCCGGTATTGAAGGGGCGCCAAACGTCGGTGCCGCAGTCGCCTCCGTCTTTGGCGTCTCGAACTTCTTGAACGCACTTCCGAATGCCGAAGTGGATGTGGAGGCTTTTCCGGGATTCGCGAATGGTGAGCCAGGCGACACAACACCCGCGGACCCGAAGCCAGCCGCAGGCTTGATATACGACGACGTCGGCGTAGATGGCTGACCAAAGGCAGGCGTAGTGAAGGGCGAAGGCGAGGCCTGGAGGTTGAAGCCGAAGCCTGACTTGGGCTTGACGTCCTTCTCCTGCGGCGTCTCTGGCGTGAGCGGAGTGGCGGGCACAGAAGCAGGCTCGGGTCCCTTGGCTGGCGTCGCAGGTGCCTCAGACGGTGTGGCTGGCTTCGGAGTAGGGGATGGACTGCGTTCCTCAACCTTGACAGGGGTAGAGTCAGCCTCCTCCGACTTTACAGGAGTCGGCGCAGGCGGTGGCGCAATTGGCGATACGGGCTCTTGCTTGACAGCCACTGTCATGAAATTTAGCTGCAAGTCGGTCGAAGGTAAGTGTGTACGCACCTTCAACAGGCTTCTCCTCCTTGGGCGTAGTCGGCTTCTCCTCCTTAGCCTGCTCGCCGATGCTCCCTCCCGTCCCAAACCCACCAAACGCCTTGCTCTCGCCCGGACTGGTCGTAAACGATGCAGTCCTCGAGGCAAAAGCACCGAAGCCGCCCGTTGCAGGCTTGCTCGCCCCCTTGTCCTCCTCCTTCGCAGCCGGCGTCCCCACCAACGACGCCGGCTTACTCGCAAACGCCCCAAACCCACCCGTCGCCGGCGCCGTCCCAAAGCTGCTCTGCCCGAACGCAGGCTTCCCACTCGCCGCCGGCTGCCCGAACCCTGGCTGCCCAAACGCAGACTGCCCAAAGGCCGGCTTGCCGAACGACGACTGGCCAAAGCCCGAACCCGACGCAGAGCCAGGCGTCGCCGTCTGCCCAAAGCCCGTCGATCCAAAGCCTGACGCCGGCTTCGCCATCCCTGCGAACGCCCCCGCGCCGAACGTCGGCTTCGGCGCCTCCTTGTTGTCCTTGGGCGCGAACGCGCCACCGGTGGGCTGGAATCCGCTGAACGCGCCAAACCCAGACGCAGGCTTGATCGCGCTGCTCCCGAAGGGGCTCGAGCTCGCGGGCGCACCGAAGGGAGATCCTGCGGGCTTGTCTTGCTGAGCGGAGGGTGTTGCGTTCCCGAAGAGACCTCCCGCTGCTGGCTTGTCCTCCTTCGGGCTATTCGAGCCGCCCAGTCCTAACGAGCCCATGCTGTCCATCGCAGAATCGTCCACTGGCGAGTCTGGCGGTGGCGACGTCCGCGGGGGCGTCGCTTGTGGCGCAGCTGGTGCAGCCCCAAAGCCTCCCTGACCGAACGCACTCTTGCCCGCTCCCGAGAATGCGCCAAAGCCACCGCCGGTCGATGGCGTGGACGTCTGCCCAAAGGCACTAGTTCCCGCGTTCGCGAACGCCCCGAAGCCCTTGCCTGCGGACGCAGGCTGCGCTGACTGACCAAAGCCTGCCGGTTGCGCGGTCTGCCCGAACCCTGTGCTGCCGAACCCGCCAGGCGTCGCCGGTTTGCTCGTCGAGCCAAAGCTGGGCTGTCCGAATGCAGAAGTCTGACCGAATGCTGGAGTCGACGTCTGACCGAAGGCGGGGGCGGACGTTTGACCAAAGGCTGATTGACCGAACCCCGACTGTCCAGAAGCAGGCTTTCCGAAGGCTGACGCAGGATTGGAAGTCTGTCCGAAGCCCGAGGTGTTGTTGGATGACTGCCCAAAGCCAGAGGTATTGCCAGAGGACTGCCCAAAGGCAGAGCCGTTGCTCGACGTCTGTCCAAAGGCCGACTGCCCAAACCCAGATGGCTTCCCAAAGACCGACGGCGCGGATGGCTGGCCAAATGCCGAGGGAGTCGATGTCTGCCCAAACGCCGAAGGCGTAGCTGGCTGCCCGAACGGGGAGGACGCGCTCGGCGTGGGAGGGCTGAACGGAGACGGCGACGAAGTCTGCCCGAACGACGGCGTCGGGGTCTGCCCAAACGATGGCGGGCTGAACGCTGACGCCGGCGCGCTCTCCTGCACCGCCGACTTCGGCTCGTCCATCGACATCCCTGACACGCTCTGCTCCATCGCTGACGGTGCGACCGTGCTCCCACCCGACACACTCGGCGCCACCGACGCCGGCGCAGTCGGCATCGACACGCTCGCGGTCGCCTCCACTCCCTGCGGCGCCTCCACCGCGCTCGGCGTCACCAGCCCCGGATACGGATTCGGGCTCTCCATTGCCCACAGCTGCACCGTCCCATCGTCCATATACCCCACCATCGTCGGCACGCCGTCTGTAAGGTCGACCGCCAGCCCCACCAGCACATTTTCCTCGAAGCTCTCCTTCATCGGTACCGCAAGCGGGTTGTCCGACGACTCCTGGAACCACTCCCCGTTCGCGTGCCCCAGCACCTCGAAGTCCGACGCGGCGGCGTCGCCCGCAATGACAAGTAACGAATCCTCGTTGTTCCATCTGGGTAGGGAAAAGATGACGCTGCTTGGCGGGTACCGGTCGGTGACGGAGAAGCCCGCGTCGAGCTGGAGTACGTCAAGGGCGCCGACTCTCGTGTCCAATGTCACGATATGGTGGACCGGTTCGTCGTTCTGGGCCTGAGCGCAATATACGGTTCTGAAGGTATGCCCTGGACCAATCCATTGCATTGACACCATGGGGGTCTGCGACGATGTGGGTGGTATGTGCTTTTGCGGCGCGTCCTTGTTGGAAGGCGTGAAGGTGAGAACGTCTCCAGATTCGAGACCAAGAGCAATTTGTTTGCCCTTCGGAGACCACGACGCTATGAAGCTGTATATGTATGTGAAGTTGTTACTTGTAGGAAGCGTGCGCACCTGCAGAAATCCTCGGCTGCCCCTCCTCCGACTGCCAACCACCTTGCATGCCCTGCGTCACGTCCAAAATAAGCGCGAAGCCATCGTGGGTGACAATTGCGACCAGCTCCGCGAGGCCTGCATCTGTACTAGGGTTTGGCGTGACCTGACGCGGCGGGCCTGCGCGCGTGTGGTGATCGGCGAGAGGCGCCGCTTCATTGGGACCTTCCCTGAACAACACACGCGCGTCAAAGACGAGTATGTGGCCATTTTCAAGGCCAGCAAGTAGTCGCTCCCCATTATACGCGAGTACGAGTTGACTGCATGAAGCAGGAAGGGGAATAGTGCGCTTGGGCGTGTATATGTTCTTGGACTCTGGCGAGACATCTCTTGCGGCCGCGCGCAGGTCGGCAAGGGGGGAGAAAGCGATCTCTGCGAAGAGTGAGCGTGTGGCACGTGGGAATGGAAGAGCAAGGACGTACTGCTGGTCCCTGCTTCACTTATAATGGCCGCGAACCATCCCAACTTGCTCGACACCGCGAATAGGTGGTACGTGCGCTTCAGGTCCACCGGTATAGGTTCTTGAGATAGCTTTAGCCTTGCCTGTTTGCTCAACTGCTTCGTAGTCGGGTACTGCACGAATGCATTAGACCATGAACAAATGCTTCAGGCTGGTCAGGGCGTACCGTGAAGCCCGAGTTCATTGGGTCTCTGGGCTGATTCGGCACCAAGACCGTGGCCTGTGGCACCCTCAGCGGTGTGAGGCCCTCCATGTCGTTTCGTGAGTGTAGAGTCGTGAGTGTGAGCGGTCAGACCGCCGCGCCCGTCAGGGAAAGAAACAAGGGAACTCCAAAAGGGAAAGCGCACGTGACCGCTTGGCCCCTCGGCATCCGGGCCGGCGCTCAAGGTCCTCGGCGCCGTCTGACTGCCCTCATCTTACGGTCGTTGCACGGCCTCGTAACTTGCTTCTAACCTTCATCTCCATCTACTATCCTTCACGATGACGGCCTCCACCGACGCTCTCTCGCTGCTCATCCAGCAGACTCGCCAGAACGTCGAGCTTCTCATCGCAAACAACAAGATCTCCGCCCTGGATGGCAGAGATATCCTGGCGAAGCTGCCCACGGGCAACGTTGACGACGCTCTGGCGCGCAGTGTAGAGAGCCTATCTGTGTCCCCAGCACCTACCATGCCCTCCATGCCTACTATGCAGGCACACAGCTACCCGCCGCCTCCAAGCAGTACGCCCTATTCGCCCCCGCCCGCCGCGCCACCGGCGCCGAAGACACAGCAAGCGCGGGCCTTGTGGGGCTACAACGAGGATGGCAAGGTGCGCTCCAATATTTATGTCTTGATCGACTGCTTACACTCCACAGGACGCTAACGACCTCACCTTCTCCGCCGGAGAGACCATCGACATCGTCGAAGAGACTAATGCGGACTGGTGGACCGGCCGTGCCCGCGGGAAGCAAGGCCTCTTCCCCTCCAACTACGTTGAGAAGATCGGCGCTCCCTCCCCCGCGCCACCTTCAGCATACAAGAGCGCCTCGCCAACTCTCTACAACAATGCTTCGCCCGCGTCTTATAATAACCCATCGCCCGCTCCTTACAAAGCACCGCCTTACCAGCCCTCCTATCAGCCCACGTACCAAGCCCCGCCCCCTGGGCCGCCGCCGCAGGCGCAGTACATGCCCTACAACGCTGGCTCGGTCTCGATGCAAGCTCCCCCGCCGCAACAGCCGCCCGCGGAAGAGCCCAAGAAGAGCAAGTTTGGCGGGAAGCTCGGGAACACGGTATGCCCTCTTTCTTGCTGCCCTGCTATCGTGTTGTTGATGTCCATAACAGCTCGCCCACTCCGCTGTCGGCGGTGTTGGTTTCGGTGCTGGTACGTTTCTAATTCTTGTCTTCTTCGCGCTTGTACTAATCACTTCGCTAACCAGGTTCGGCTGTCGGAAGTGGTATCATCAACTCTATCTTCTGAACATCTCGCATCATCTATGCATAAAGCATCCACGTCGTTCCTTCGGACATCTAGACACATATAATTGCTCTGCTCTGCTTCCGGATAATTGACTGTTTGTCTTGCTAGAAACACCAGTCGCTGTCTGTAACCTATACCGCAAAGGCCGATGTCTTTCGAGGAAGCCGAGATTCTGTCTCTATCTATCCGTCATCGCTTTCAGGCGACGCTACCGCGCCGCAAGAGCTACGGGACTTGCTCACGTCGCACTGTGATTTACTCACCTCAAATCAGGGCTCGGACCATGCCCGTCAACTCGTACCACACCAGTTGACTCGCAATCCTGCAGATGCCGCTCAAGACGCACCTTACCGTTTGCGCCGGCCATTGGGATCCAGCCGTCCTCCTAGTCCGACCCAATTTGTGAGCTGACGCGGGCGACAGATGTAATTGCCCCTGCCTCGAGTAAGTTATCTTGATTGCAGGACCCATTTGGCTCACAGTTTTTGGCACGAAGTGGGTCCGCGTTGGCAAGCTATAGTGAATATCGGTGTAAATACGACACAACTTTGTCTACATGTCATTAACAGTCCAATCACAGTCCAAATCGGAGCTATATAGAGGTACGTGAGCATAGGGCTACCGCCTGTAGATCAAATCCAGCAGAAGCAAGATCATGAGAAAAAGGAACATGAATGCGGTCGACGGCGAACCTCCAAGAACACCTTGAGAGAAGGGAAGCACCGATATCACCCCTAGAGCGTCACGGTCCTCTGGCCCCCCTCTCTGAGTCTCTACCGGCCACTTGCGCTGAAGCATGTCACGAATGGCTGCATCTCGTTCGGAATCCTCGGGCACACCCTCCCATTTGCCGCTCGCAACGACCTCCGCATCCGCATATTTTGGGGTGAACGGGCAGCGCCGTGCCCTCATCAGGGCTTCCACAGAGTCCCTCTCGCGCCAAAAGATAGCAAGCCGAAGGGGTGATTTCCCCCATCGGTCCATCGCATCCAGGTCTGCCCCATGTTTGCAAAGAAGGCGGATGGCATCGGGGTGGACTTTCTTGGCCGCGCAGTGCAGAGGGGTCATCTCGTCGTTGCTGCGCTTATTGACATCTCCGTCTTTCGCGACGAGCGCCGTGATGACTGCGAGGTGGCCTTTGTCGGCAGCGAAATGGAGCGCAGACCAGCCGTTCTCGGCCGCGGCAGCGTTGGTGTCCGCGCCGTGCGAGAGGAGGATCGTGACGGCGCTTGCGCAGCCATGCGCGGCTGCACAATGCAGCGGAGTCATGCCAGCGGTATCGAGTTTGTTGATAGGGGCGCCGTGCTTGAGAAGCAACTCGACGACGGCGTCATTACCGTAGCGTGCAGCATAGTGCAGCGGAGTCCACCGATGACTTCGCTCGCTAGTCGCCCGGACGTCGGCGTCGAGCTCGGTGATCAGCAGCTTAACCAGCTCAACACACCCGCTTTGAGCAGCAGCCAAGAGTGCAGTGTTGAGCACGGCGCGAGCGCCCTTGATTCCACGGAAAACGGCGACCACTTCCGAGGCCAGACCTTGGAACTGCTTCGCGCCCGCCTTGTTGATGTAGGTGACCCAGGACCAGGTAAGTCTGTCGGCACTTTTGAGGTCGGGAGCTTCTGCCCTCACATACGTGAGAGCTGCGAGCGCCATCACGTAGTAGGACTGGTCAGGTTCGATGTGGAAGGGATCATCCTTTGGGATTCTGAGCAGATATTCCTTCAGAGACGGGTGGGCCAGGCGGACTGTGCCTCCGTCCATGGACATGAGCGTCGAACCGACGAGAGTCACTGCCGTCTCCGGAGAGTTGGGTTTGAAGCGATACTCCGGCCTCGCGCCAGAGTAGTCGAAGCATAACAGCCGCGCGAATTCTTCCGTGGAGAAGTCGCTGTATGAGAGGACCACCCACATCAGGAGACGGCGGACATTTTCGCGGTCGACGGATGGGAAGGATTCAAGACGCTCCGTATAGAGTTGGTCAACCGTCTCCGGGACTGCCTTGATCCGCCCGGATAGCAGGCTCGGGACATCGACAACGCTCTCCAGATCTCGTAGAAACAGCACTGTCCACAGGAAACTAAGTCAATGGTCAGACTCGTTCCCTACGATGGTCGATGTCGCTCACTTTCCATCAGCCTTGGACAACACTTCCTTCCTTATCTGCTGTTCATCGTCTCCACTCGCACTGGCAAGCGCGCCCCCGGCAGCGAATTTGGAGTTCAGCAACGTCTCGATATCACGGCTCACTTGGCTGCTGCTCATGATGATCTGGGCAGGAGAAGGGAACAGATGTTCCAGCGTTCTGTGGATTGGGGTTTGCGAGCGCAAGGAGATTAAGAGAGAGACGTTCGGAATGGCGCATAGCTCTTCGATGAAGGAGATAACGTCTGACGCTGCCTGGTCCACGCCGTCGACGACGATGTATACCCGCGTCTTCGGCATGATTTTCCCCAAGATCGTACGAAAGTAAGAGCGCATGCTGTCGACAGGGGCCTGCGAATAACCTTTCGCATGGGCTGACCGGAATCGCAACAATTCCTTGAGGGCATCCTGATTCGCGAGAGCGAGTTGGCAGAGCAGCGACGAGAGAAGAGAGGCCAGATTTCGTTCTTGTTGCATCACGTTGACGACGTCGAAAAGATGGACGAGCACAACAGCGTCCACACCGGTGCACAAGCAGCTCGCCCTCAAGTCGCGATTAGCAGCAGCCCTGGGTGCGACAATCAGCCAGTGAGGCTGACTAGACAAGATAGAAAGGCGTACATCAGTGTACTCTTCCCGCAGAAAGCTAGGTGTTGATCAGGACAGACGTCTAGTAAAGGAGAAAGACAAACTGACCCTTTCCGTGGACAAGAAGAGACTTGCACGACCCCGCCTTGAGAGCGGCGAATTTGGGACCATCCAAGAACCAGGAGCCAGTCGTCGGATGGCGATTCCCGAGGAGCGCGTTCAGCTTACTCGACGAATTCGGGTAATTGAGCCACTTTATGACGACGTCGACGTCCCCGCTCGCTGATCAGCCACTTGATAAGACGTACGGAGCGCCGACATAAATCATTTTCCTTACCGAATCGGTCGATTGAACGAGTCACGACAGTCATATGCTGCAGCAGCGCGTCTTGTATGCTCTCCAGCAATCCCCGGTTGTCTCCGACCATACCTGCGACAATAGTCAAACAAGATCATAACCCTGCGAATAAGGCTACGCACCGTAGATCTCTTGGGCGACCTTTGTGATGCACTCAAGGTACATGCGTATATGGTCACGCTCCTGAGCTGCGTCTAGGATGATCTGATAAATCACAACCCCCCTGGTAGGATCAGTAGAATAACTCACCGGCGATCGCATCCTTAAGCATGACCAACAGTTTGCTGGTCGTACCATGTGTCAGCGCTGCCATACTATGGTGGTGCATATTGGTAAGGCCGCGAAGGTTCTCCATCGCGCCAGACACCTCGCTGTCCGGATCATACAATTTTCGCAACCACATCTCTGTATATCAATCAGTCGCTCAGAATCAAGCGGAGTTATACCTACGCACTGATCTTCGCTTCCTTCCGCAGCTTCGTAATGAGTGCGAGGACAGCGAGAACCTGTGCGAGAATCTCGACGGAGACCTTGCGGAGGGTGTCGTCCATCTCGGCGGCGGGAATGGGCTTGATGATACGCAAATCCAGGTCGATCGTTTTGAATGCCAAACAAGCCGCCTCTAGTTCGTCGTGGACGGATATTGTTGCCTGTGCTTCATGAACATCCGTCGACAATGATACAGCTCAGCCAACGCACCTTTACTAGTATACCAATTGCCGAGAAGACGACGCCCGCACCAGGAAACGCCTGAGTGAACATCAGTCAACAAATTGGTCTCTAAAGTTTCGCAGGGCATACCGTCGATACAAGGTTGCCAATCGGGTCGCAGAGACTCCCAACGATTCTCGCGATGGGCAGAAGATTCACGGCTGCATCCTTGACGCCGGTCTGTGGCGCATGTTCATCGATGTACGCTGTGATCGCTTCCTTCGAGTTGAGCGATCCGGTATCCGAAAGACTGTGCCCAGTCTGCCCTTCGTAATGCGCAATCGCTTCGTCCCAGAGTTCGACCATAAGCGCGTCAGGCGGTAAAGGTGATGCGATGATCGACGGCTGCACCTGCGCCGTCGAGTAGACGTGCGTGGATAGATCGGGACTCTTCCCAGAGATCGACGTAGGTACACTGAGCGTGGGGTAGCCCGCTGTCTTGTTGGATGAAGTGTCAGAAGGTGGCGGGGCGGGGGTCGACTTCGGAAAAGACGTGCGCTCCGGCACAGGAGGGTGCTGCAACGCAGGCTGAGGCAGCGGCGCCGGCGCCGGCCTAAGCTTCGGCGTAGGCTGCGGCTCTGGCGCATAATTAGCGACTGCCGGAAGAGCGGCTGATAGGTTGTTACCAGCGACATTCTGCGACTTCAAGTGGTCGAGGGAGCGACGATTGGGAATAAGCCGTCGGAGGCGGCGAAGACGTTTGTACCAGCCAGCGCCAGACGCCGACGGCGGGGACACGGGACGTTGTATCCGCGTCGCTCCATCGTTTGTAGCGGGCGCAACTGTGATCGTGGTTGTAGTTGAACCCGCGTTCACGGTGACCGTCGTGGTCGGAGACGCAATGGTGACCGTTGCACCAGTCGCAGAGAAGGTTGGAGTCGTCATTATGTTCTTCGTGCTTGAGACAGTCCTGAGGTGGGTCAATCCGGTATATATCAGCAGGATACGCCCATACTGAGCCCGCGCAATCTGGGCGAGGCTTTCGCGTGTGCACTGGGGTGTGAATTCATTAATGCACGAAAACAGGCAACGGGAGGTACATACAAGGAGTCCTCGGCAGTCGTTCCTTTTTGACCGAGTCCCAAAGCAGGGCACAATCGAATCCATGTATCAAAGACACGAGCGAGAGGAAGGGCGTCCATAATTCGACCGCCTGTAGTGCGCGTTGGCGAGCTTAGTAGACAGATGAATAAGAAGCAAGCCGGTCACGTTGCAGAGCGGCGCTCATGTAGAAGCCAATGCATGCTACAGAGGACTCATATGCAGGCGGTAATGCAGGCCCTCTGGTGTTCAATCCAAGTGGGGTCAACGATGGGATTGTTAGTGGCAACGCTTTAGACCGAGATGGTGCTGGTCGAATAAGATCTGCATGTATTCCATAACGAACCCCGCATACCTTCCGGTCACGCTGGTGAAAGCCATCTGGTAACGCTCAGGCTATCGCGAGCGAGGGTGAGATTCCAAAATGAGCGTGTGAGAGCTCAGATGGCAGGACCAAGAGTATATGATGCTGCAAGTATGGCGGGAAAGCCATCGTGAGGTCCCAGAAAAGATGAGATTGTGTAGGTCGGAGGTGCTGCTGGCATTCGCGGTTCATGGCCGCAAGCTGATGCCGAACTTGGAAGGAGGCGATCATTGATGTTTGTCCTTGCTTGTCAGTTTGCCGTCCCTGTTCTTCCAGATGCGGAAGATATTGCTGTCAAGCTCTTGTCTCTGCTCGCTCGGTATATTTACACAGACAACCTCGCGGCGCCCCTCAAGAGGTCGAAGATGATCTTGTGGCATCCCGTGTACCACTGCGGCCTTATGCGCCCCCGGCTGTCGCGCAGGTCAAGATACCCTGCCGCCCTCGTGCAGTCCAGTGCCTGGATAATCCTGAGCGATGTGATGGTATAAAAGTGTGCGATGAACCCACTTACGGGTTTCTTGTCGGTACAGTCGGTCCACCCATTATGCAACCAATAATTTACTTCGCCATTCTCGTCCCTTTCCTCGCTATCGCCCTCGCCAGCCTCATGGTCAGTGTGCCTCTATTTACGTCCATGCCATTATTAAGAATCATCATTCGCAGCAGGACATGCAGCCGTACATCATCAGCGAAGCCGAGCTCATGCATTGGCTCGAGACAACCGACGCCAACCTGACTTTCATCGGGGATCCTATCCCCGGCATAAATGCCCCAGCAGGGCTGACGCCGCGCAAAGCCCAAGCTACTCGAGTCGTCTTCTGCAGCGTGCGCAACGGCAACTCGTGCGGCGGCGCATGCTCGGTCTACACCGGAGACAATGTCTGTCTGCTCGCGCCCGACACGAACTGTCTGAGCGCGACGGGCGAGGTGACGTTCTGTGCGCCAAACGGGTGCGTGCTGTCTCTTTCCCTTATATGTCTTCCCAGTGCAAGGTTGTGAGCTAACTCGTGCACCAGGTGCAGTTGCCCGTGCAACCTCTATTCACACTGCGGGACGCGCATGGACAACGGGTTCTGCTGGACACCGGGCACCAACGCAATCTTTGTGGGCGCGCTCTTCTCAGGATTATAAGAGTAGATTTCATTGTAGGGCTAGCGTACTGCTGAAATCACGCACGCATCTCACAACTCAAATCAGATCGGAATCTCCCAAGTCGTCTTCAAACCGGTGTCCCCAAGTTCTCGTCTTCAAGTCCGCGAACTTCAAATTGCACGTGAAGTTTGTGGCCACCCGCAGCGTCGAAAGGGGTTATCATGACATGCATACTCTGGCCAAAGCCAACCATCTGTTTTGGCTCGGGCGCATGCATGCGCTCTGCTACGTCCTGCTTTGCACAGAATCATGATGGTATGTGGTCAAGCCGCGCCCCTCGAATCGGTAGCGGTGCAGGGCGCCCGGTCCCCGACTCTCCCCATCACAATACGGATAGAAATGGCTTCTAGCGTCCCATGAAAAAGCCAAGTACCTGGCACGATCGCGACTGGACAAACCCTCCTCACTCCTAACGTCGAGAGTCGGGAATTTGCCACAAAGCATCGTGCGCATGGCACGGAATCAATTCGCCGGAAACTGCCGGTCGATATCCGGCTCTCTGCGCTTAGCCCCTGCTCAGCTCGTTTCATGGGACTCCATCTCGTGTATACTTGCTATCTCTCCAGTCACGGCGGCTCTGACCCGCTGCAGTCTACTCTGCTCTGTTGTGGCTTGTACATCTTCGCGACGCTCCCGTCGGAATGGCAAGATTGGATATCAGCACCTAGCAGGGGAGGTGAGGTGCCGCGGCTCTAGATGCCGTTCATCTATGCGGGCGGGTATGCCTCGATCAACCGAACATGCTCGGGAAGAGCACCGATGGACAGCGAACTGTCATCAGCTAGTGGACTTTGCGAGACATCTGCGCAGTTGGACCCATATCCACACAGGTGCGCACGGTCAAGTGCTGATCTCCTGATTTCCATGGCGCGCTGCCCGGCCATGCTGCTCAGTACTGGGGCGACCGTATGCAACCGCACAAGACGTGAGAGTATAAGAGCGAAGGACGTCTACCTCTACTTCCATATCTTCGGTCCTCAACTATGCAGCTCACTACTGGCTTCGCCGTCTGCCTATCCCTCTTTTCCGGTGTATTCGCCAGTCTAACGGTACGTGGTCATGCTACTGGACTCTTGGACCATTGAATAGCTGACCTCCAGACCGGCGTACAGGCGAACATCGTTAGCGAGGCTGAGCTCATGCATTGGCTCAAGACGACGGACGCCGAGCTCACCTTCGTCGGCGAACCGATCCCCGGCATCAACGCCCCCGAAGGCCTCGCAGCCCGCGCTGCCGAAACTACCAAAGTCATCTACTGCAGCACGCGCAGCTTGAACGTCTGCGGTGGCCGATGCACGGTCTACAATGGCGGACCGGCGTGCTTGAACGCTCCTAACACGAACTGTTTGAGCGCGACGCACAATGTTGCGTTCTGTGGCGCCAAGGGGTGCGTACTACAGCCTGGAGTACTTTGTTGGGATAGGCTGACGCCCATAGCAGATGCAACTATCCATGCACCGAGTATGCTCACTGTGAATCCCCTATGGACGATGGGTTTTGCTTTACCCCTTACACCAACGCAATCCTGGTCGGAAACTACTGATTCCATGCGCGGCTTGACGGAAATCGCGGTAACAAATGACACACTGTCTTGTGCGATGGAGATGACTGAATAATTGTTGCCCGTGCTATGCAGTACTTCGACCTGAAATACTACCAAATATAATGAAGAAAGTCACGGGGGACTTGAGAGATAAATGATGAGCGTTGTGCTGACGGACAGGACTGGCGATGACGGGCCATGGCTTCAGCATCGAGGATCCATGCCATAAATACCGATAAATACGTGCAAATGATGTCTATGTAAATGAGTGATATAACTTAAGATCGAATGTATGGAGGATGTCTGGAGTCGTGTATGAGGGATGCTCGATCGGTGCGTGGTTGACAATTTATTCGTGTACAAAGTCGTGAGGAAGCAGCGTAATCGCGTGAAGTGGCGAATGAGGATGAGCAGAATAACTGAGCACGAAGACAATCATGTGCTTAGCGTCAGCACCTACGCGCCCGTACACTTCGACTGGTGGCGATCTCGAACGCCCGGGTTGATAAAGGTCGCCTGGCAGACCGCACAGACGAAATCGCGCCTACCCTCGTGGGACCGTAGGTGGTCTGAAGAAGCGTCAACATGCGGCCATCAGTCATCGAGGAGTACGAGTAAGCTCACTTCGCAAATTATGTTTGGCTGTAAACGTCGCACCGCACACGTTGCACCCATACTCGGCCGGCCTGGTCCGCCGCTCGCGCGACAGCCGCCTCATCGCATCTGTCGCGATGTGCGGTCGGGAAATGGGGAAGGGGGCGGCGGATGTGGAGGCGGGGTACGGCGTGTCGAGTGAGGTGGGGTACGATGCGCCAGGCAGAAAAGGGTCGCTAGTCATGGATGCAGGGACAGATGCTGGATCTAGGGAGGATGGATACGGCGCGCCGGTAGAGGGGGCCAAAGAAAAGTCCAGAGGGGTGCTACCGAAGGAGTCGAGTGACGAACTGGAGGCGAAGGAAAGACCAAAGGCATTCCAAGCCGGATCGTTCTGCTGGGACATGTCCATACTTGCAAAGAGAGCCTCGTCAGAGCCACCCGACATTTGTGGCACGGCAGGCGTACTCCGGTGCCTTGAGCTGGTCCCGACAGTCGGATATGGCGAGAATCGACCCTCTTGTCCATGGACAGCTCGGTTCGACGGATAAGTCGATGCCATCTGCCGACCCCGCCCAGGATTTGCCATCGACACGTCGGGTACTGGTTGTTGTAGGCCGTGACCAATGGTCGACATGCTTGACTGCTCTGGCCCATAGGATCCAGTCCCCGCATAGACTTGCGTGTATGCAAAGGGCAGCTGCGCTGGAGTGAAAGACCGCGTTTCTTGTGATAATTGCGGATGGGCAACGAGATTCGCGAACACGCTATTGGGGTTGGTGCTGGTATTGTCAAAGTCAGGGAATGCAGTTGTAGGATCAACGAAGGGGTCGTCTGGAATCAGAATTAGCGAGCGAACAGAAGAAAAGTTAGTCGGTAGTACTCGTAGAGGGCCCGGCATAATTCCCGGAATTCCTGTGAATTAATAGCTCGGGTCAATTATGTGCGGTGGGCAAGGCAAGAATGCGCATACCTGGACGAGGACGAGGATCCTGCAGAGCGACGGTGTTTCCCTTTGTTGTGAAGTGACGTGGGTTCCATCCTGCGCGCGAAAGAGGACGCGTAATGAAGGGGCGAGATTTGAAGAGAAAGAAACACCAAGAAGTAGTAAAATCATTGCTTGCGCGTCCTGCGTTATATATCGTCGGGTACAGTGCAGTCGCTCAAGGTGAGAGCGAGCGCTAACGCCCAAGTCTTGTGGCGCAGCTTTGATAGTATGGGGATCAAAACATCGTTGGCTATCTCACGGACTGTAGTGGGCGAGCTGTAGAAATCAGGCCGACGGACCAAACACGTTCTGACATACCTCGTGTCCAAATATGGGGATTCAGGAGTAGAGCGGCCAGTACGTCTTGAAGCTCAACTCGTATACGAGCTCGACAAAAACGTAAAGTTGTCGCCCCAGCGATGGTTGAAGAGGCGAGGGATTCAAAGCTGGCATAGGTCTCGTACAACTTGGGAGTCAGTAGAGCAAGCCGCTATGGTTACCTTCTCATTTTTGAGCTACCCGTTTCTCGCAGAATACCCTGTAACGCATACTGGAGAGTGCACCGCCTGGAATACCTCTCCGAGTTCCATCCCGCGTCTCGCGCCGCTCGCTGTTCTGCAGCCGTCGCAGACAGAGTAGTGACATTGAAGACCTCAGCGCATTCCAGAAGAGCCACAGTTGCTTTGCGTCATGTAACGCTCGCGCGCACACGGGTCCTCGCGTTCGGTCATGGAAGTTCAACAGCAAGCGCTCGCGTCGCGTGCCGTCACAGCACCGAACAGTGTCACGCCCTTCCCTGTTCGAAAATTTTGGAAATGGCCCAAGCGGCTCACCGTTCCCCGCGACCCCAACGATGTCGGCAGTGATCTCAGATATCTCGACGCCCATCCTGCCCAAGGACTATGCTCCCCCCGCCGTGGAGTCCTCCAAAATCAGCGGTGAGCGCGCCACGATCCGCCGATCTGTGCCCATCCGTTTATACTCAATGGCGATCCCAAGCGCCCACCCAGCGGCGACTCGTCCCTGCGGGCCCGGCGTTCATCAACTATGCGCGGCTGAAGCTGCACCACAACTTTGACCTCGACACGCACGACAAGCACCTCGAGACGCAGAAGCAGAAGCTCCAGGAGCAGAACGCGGCGAACGGCAGTGGCGAGGACGATCTTGGTGTCGGTGACGAGCCCGAGTCCGCGGAGCTGCTCTCCCTCGACCCCAAGGAGTGGAAGGTGCGTAGTAGTCTGCATACCCCGAACATCTTACTGACTTTACTTCCAGAAACACGACTACTACGCCGTCCTCGGTCTCTCACACCTCCGCATCAACGCTACGCCCGAGCAGATCAAGATCGCGCACCGCAAGAAGGTCCTCAAGCACCACCCCGACAAGAAAGTCAGCTCCTCTACCCCGCAGGAGACCTCCTCCATCTTCACCAACCTCAACACAAACGACGACGCGTTCTTCAAGTGCATCCAGAAGGCGCACGAGGTCCTCACCAACCCCGAGAAGCGCCGGCAGTTCGACTCCGTCGACCCCACCGTCCTGGACGCGGAGGAGGACGACCCGAAGGAGAAGGACTTCGCGAAGAAGGGGCGCAAGCTCGACGACAAGGCGTTCTTCGACACCTTCGGCCCGATCTTCGCGCGCGAGTCGCGGTTCTCGCGGAAACAGCCTGTCCCCCAGCTCGGTAACGCGGACTCGAGCAAGGAGGAGGTGGAGGGCTTCTACGACTTCTGGTACTCCTTCGACAGCTGGAGAAGCTTTGAGTGGTTGGACAAGGAGGTCAACGAGGGCAGCGACTCGCGTGACGACAAGCGGTATACTGAGAAGAAGAACAAGACCGAGCGCGCGCGGAGAAAGAAGGAGGACACCGCGCGGCTGCGCGGTTTGGTCGATCTTGCTTTATCGTGAGTTTGTTAGCGCTCGGTCATCAAGCTGCCTAACTTTCGCATCCAGACTTGACCCTCGCATCAAGCGCATAAAGGAGGAGGAGAAGGCTGCCCGTGCTGCCAAGAAGGCCGGTCGCTCAGGGACCGCCACGCCAAACAACAAGAAGGCGGAGGAGGAGGCCGCGAAGAAGGCCGCAGAGGAGGAGGCTAAGCGGAAGGAGGAGGAAGAGAAGGTTAATGGCTTCACCTTTCCAAACCAATTTGATCTCAGTATTGACCTTCGTATAGAAAGCGCGCGAGGAGGCGAAAAAGGCCAAGGCCAAGGCGGCCAACGAGGCCAAGAAGGCGCGGAGAGCCCAGCGGGCTGCGGCCGACGGTGCCGCTGCCTAGTTGGTTTGTACTTACCCTGTAGATCTCCTTGTTTATTTTGCAACATGATGGAGGGCAACCCACGACACTGCATACCCCGTGGGCAGATGAGCACGCTAAGTTCAGCAAGGGTAAGTAGGTGGTTACCTCGGTGCTCGAGCAGACCCCCCTGGCCTGATGTGTACTCGACTGGTAAGCTCAGCAGGTTCGAGAGAGGACTTACCACCTCCGCTGATCGTCCGCATTCTGCAATGTTGGCCACCGCTACCTGCGTCTCGACCGTCGTCGGGACCGATGCCGTGTGTTCGCACTCGTGATCGCTACAGCGCGTGACATTCTCAACTTCAACACGACGGTAATCTGGACTGGCGCTTCTTGGTAGGACTTGGTGCGCTGGACATGCGCAGACTGTGCTCAAACGTTCGAGGTCTAGGGACCCCCCCTTGCACCGAAATCGTCGTTGCATCCTGTGGACCTTTGGCTTGTGACCGACGTTGCATGCGCTGCATAAATTGCCAGTGATCCGTTCCATGCTGGTCATTTCCCCGAGGCTGGTTGCGGCCCGCCCGGTTGCGCGCCCTGGTTGCTGCTTCCTCACCGATATATATCCCGCGTCTAGCATGGCGCAGTCCATTCCTCCCGATGTCCCTCTTCACTCGCTTCGCCGTTGTCGCGTTCACCGCGTGCCGGCTGGCCGGCGCGCTCACCTACCACGGTGCCGACTTTTCTTCCCTGATCAACCTGGAGAACGACGGCCAGACGTACAATGACGGCGGCTCAACGCAGCCATTCGAGAAGATCCTGGCCAATCATGGTACCAACCTCGCTCGGATTCGCATCTGGACGAGCGACAGCTACGACGAGTATAGCTTGCAATACGGTTTAGACCTCGCCAAGCGCGCCTCGGCTGCTGGAATGGCCATCATGGTTGACTTGCACTACAGCGATACTTGTGAGTCCGCCCCTCCAATTTACAATGCCGAAACTCACTTCAGGAAGGGGCGGATCCTGGAAAGCAAGCGACGCCGTCCTCCTGGCCCACCGACCTTGATTCCCTCAACCGCTACATCTACGACTACACCAAGGACGTCGTGACCCAATTCTCGGATCAGGGGACCCCCGCCGACTTCATCCAGGTATGCTACTCTCCATCCTCACACTCTCTACCCATCCTTAACCTCCCCCAGATCGGTAACGAAATAAACTCCGGGATGCTCTTCCCCGCCGGACAGATCTCCTCCAACGGCTACGAGGGTCTCTCACAACTCCTTCACTCCGCTGCCGCCGGCGTGCGCGACGCCTCTTCCAGCACCAAGATCGTCGTCCACCTCGCCGACGGCTGGGACAAGTCGACCGTATCCAACTGGTACTCGAAGGTCCTCGACTTCCAGGGCGCATTCACCACGGACGACGTCGATGTCATGGGCTTCTCCTTCTATCCTTTCTACAACACTGGCGCCACGCTAGCGAACCTCCGAAGCAGCCTGTCATCAATGCAGAGCACCTATGGCAAGGTGGGTGCGCTTGTTGTTTTGGAGAGCGCGAGGTCTAACAGCCCGAAGCCCATCATGGTCGTAGAAACGGATTGGCCCACCTCATGCAGCGGAGTCACCATGAGCGAGTCCTCCATTCCCATCTCTGCGGCGGGCCAAGAATCTTGGGTCGCTAGCATTCGCGAAGTCCTCGCCGATGTCGGTGGCACAGGGTACGTTCGAACGCATCCCCGGTGACCATGCCTGACCGTACTCCAGAATCATCTACTGGGAGCCTGGCTGGATAGGAAACGCTGGTCTTGGCAGCTCTTGCGCTGTACGTCCGTCCACTTCGAGGTGACACTCTTGCTGATGCTTCTCACCAGGATAATCTCCTCGTTGATTGGAATACCAACGGGGTCAAGGGATCCATCGACATGTTCTCTGATTCGATGTAAAGCGTCGTGCAAGCTGAATAAAGGCATAAGCTTCTATCGACTGAAATTCCATTCTCTATTTTGCACATGCACGTCGGGAATGCCGTCTAGTATACAACCTAAGATCTCTCCGCCGCAACTTCCTTCTCGATGTGTTCCTTCATATCACTGCGAAAGCCGTCAGCATCTTTCCTTCGTCCCAACGATCGCAACACTCACTACGAGTTCATCTCCGGAATCGTCAACTTCGTCCACCCGTCCTTCTTATCGAACGCGCTCGGCAGCCCGAGCGACGTGAACCCGATGCGCTCGTTGATGTCGTCGGTAGCAAGCCGGCTCGCGGTCTGCACCCGCGTCGCGCGCGGCTTACGGATGCGCTCGTACATGCGGAGGCCCGCGGGGACGTCGTTCGAGTACTGCGGGTACTTGGCAGAGAAGAGGATGCCGAGGCAGGCGGCGTCCTCGATGGCCTGGCAGGCGCCTTGGGATTGGTGCGGCATCATGGGGTGCGCGGCGTCGCCCAGGAGCGTTGTCACACCCTTCGACCAGTACTGTGAGGCCGTTTGAGCTCGGCAGGACCACTGAGTTGCAGACGACCTACCGGGTATTCGTCGTGTACGTATAGCCGCCACGGCATCCGGTCGATAGAGTGCTTGAGCAGGTCGACCACATTCTTCTCCAGCTTGTCCGCGTACGCGCCGACGAGAATCTCGTCGACGTCCACCTCCTTGAAGGTGAAGCCTTCGGAGGTGTGCTGCTCGGCGTACTCGGTTGGCATGAAGCAGTAGAACGAGACGATCTGAACGGTGGTTAATTCGCACGAGGCGTCATTACTGAGTTCGAAGAACATACGTCGCCGCCCGCGCACGGGGACATGACAATCTTGAAGTACTTGTTGACGCTATGTGAGTGTCAGCCAAGTGGCAAGCAGGAGAAGGCGCCCTGCATACTCCTCATACTGCTCGAACCCATTCCAGTACTGGATCGCCGGCTCGTAGCTGTAGTCGACGAGACCCAGGCGCTTGACATCGGAAGTGAGGACATTGCACCGGAAGCACGTCTGCGGCGCATATTTGCGCTCCGTCTTGATGCCGAGCGCCGTGCGGACATTGGACTGCAAGCTCAATCAGCACAATGGACGCAGCCCCTCAATCGTCGCCTGCCAGTCAATGGCCGCCCGCCAGTGAGTATACGCACCCGAATGCCATCAGCACCGATGATGATGTCCGCCTTCACCTCCTTGCCGTTCCTAAACTTCGCGATGCCCGCCTCCACGTCGACGTCGTCGCAGACGTAGTCGACAAGGATCTTCACCGGCTCGCCCTCGCCCTCCTCCGACATCGCCGACTCGAGCAGCATCGCGTGCATGTCTTGCCTGTGGAACATGTTGTAGACCTGTGGGCACGCATCAGCATTTGAGATGTACAGCAGAACAGCATGAAGGCCAACTTACATTACCCCACTCCTTCTTGTAGTCCCCAAGGCTGTAGATGGCTAACGGCTCGCTCGTCTTCCAATCGCGCATCGTCAGGTGCTCGAGGATGACGGGCCTGCCCGCCGGCACGTCAACGTCCCACTCATGCAGCCACTGCGTCCCGTTCGCCGCGCACGAGATAGACGCTGGGCACACAGTCGTAAGCGAAACGCATCTCATACTGGCCATGCAACACTCACCTCCGACTTCGGCGGCGAAGCTGCGGCGCTCGTAGACCGTCACTGTACCGTAGTCAGCCTCGCAGAACACGAAGACGACACTCCACGCCCACCTCTATGCCCGGCGCGCCGCATCGCGACGGCGGCAGCCAACCCGCCAATCCCACCGCCCATAACCGCCACATCCAGCTGCTTCCACTGCGCAGAGGTCGACATTTGTGGCAACTGGCTCCCCGAGGTAGATAGGTAGGTGAACAAAAAGGGTTAGAGCTTCTCGAAGACACCAAGCGGAACTGGGTCAACCCAACACCTCCCTCGCCCACCTTTATACTTATCGCCCCCCGCTCCCACGAGCGCCCCTTTCACAGAGGGATGAATTCCGCCAGAAGCGCAGCTGCCCACTGTGTATCCCATGCATCACGATCCCCGCTGGCTAGTTCCATCCGATGACTTGCCCCCCAGCGGCACGTCCGATAAGCGATAGGATGGTTAGCGGGGGACAAGGCCGCCCTCGCCGCAGGACGGGATGCCATGAAGGACGTCATCATCTTCTAGTGAGGGCATACAACGCACCGCCGCCAATGACTTTTGAAGGTAGGGACTGGTGATGCGTGGGGTAAGTTGAGTTGAACGGACGAAGGCCCAGGTGCGCGTTAGTCTGCCAACGTTGATGCCGACGACGAGCGCATCGGAGAGTGTAGGCCTCGGGCGGGTATCGTATCGCTGCTATTCGCAGTGTATTCGGTGAGGCATAGCAGTGCATTCGACCAAGCGCTAAGGGTGACGAGAGGCGCTGCGGTCCATACATGATAAAATGAGGTGGCAGCACATAGCGGCCTCACGCGGCTGCTCGAATGGGCCCTCTACGGTCATGACCATTGTCCGAGTCTGTTACAGGTGCATCAGTAACGTTGAGCGACACCGACGGCGTGCGGACGACGACTGACAGACCTTCACCCTCACCCGCTCGAGACTTGTCGTCTCACTTGATGAAGTGCGTACTTTGACAGGCCAAGAGTCAAGGGCGACGTCATCCCGGTTCAACAGGTCGTCGCCGAGCATTCGGTGTGGCCAGCTGCAGCTATACGACCCCGACGGTCGCGCTGACGGTGTAATCCCAGCATTACGGCTTGCCTTCAGTCTCGTAACAATCGACGATAGCAACAAGGTATTCAATGACGTCATCCCGTAAGCACCTTTGAATGCTTTTTTGATTCCTTTACAGGTATCTGAGGTGGATGGGTGAGCCCAAGGCTAGCAGCTTGCATAGAGAAACAAGGACATACGCTATGATACAACTTGATTTCCTAGGTTACATCGGAATGCTCTGGGTTATGTTATCCTTCTTCACGCTACGCGCCGAGCCTGCTGAAGTTGCCGTCCGTCCCAGCAATCTTCTCGTGGTCAGCAAGATTCGCTTGCGCCTCGTAAACGGTGACGGGTATGCTGGTATTCCTCTGCAAAAGCCCGGTCAGCACGGACTTAATGAGGACTTCTCTGACACTGACCTCCTGCCAATGGCCCAAGAATCCGACGTAGTAGATGCGAGTGGTGTCCGCGCCTTGTGAGCCAGGGAAGAAGAGCGTAATGCTAGAGATGTTGGAGAACTTGGCGGTTCTATTGCATAGCATTAGACGTGATCGTGGATACTGCGCGTACGCTCAACACTCACTTCACCGCATATTCACCCACTTCCCGACCCTGCGCCACGTCGAATTCCTGGGTCGGCATCTTGTCCGCAACATCGTCAAAGTCCATCTCCGCCGCGTTGGCGAACTGCGAGGACAGACGAAGCGAAATGAGCGCCTCGGCCTGACTTGCAGCAATGTGATCGGTCACTCACCAGGACGACTTTGGACGGTGTTTGGTCGGCTGGGCCCGTTTTGAGCAGAATAGAGCGAAGGCGGACGGCTCCCGTGAACGGTACACGAATGATCCTGCAGGTCATGGGCGCTTAACCTCGATCAGTCACAGAACAAGCGAGATGGGCGCTTACATCTGGTCGTCTGCATCGGACTCGAGGAACTGCCGTGTTCGCTGTCAGCATTCCTTGAAGGCAAGGTTAAGATATATAGCGCACCCTGGTCTCGTCCATCCGCTCATGCCAGGGCTTGATAACCTCTGGGCCCTCGCCATTAGTTGCGTTCAGGGCGCGCACGACCCCGCGATCGACATGGTTGTACAAGTTGTCCTGAGGACCAAGGCCGGACGTATCGTGATCATGGTCGTGGTCGTGGCTCTCATCTGCGCAGCTATGATGCTGGTGGTCGTGTGGCATTTTGGATAGTATCAGTGATGCATGGATGGATGATGAAAGGGACGATGATAATGTGGCGTTAATGACCGTACGTCTCCCCAGGCCGGACTTAACATGTCACGTGTAGCATCGGCAATTGCCGGTCGGGCGCTCTGCTTCGCCCGATACTCACGCTGCAGCGGGTTTCCGTCCTTCCAACACGACATGAACACAGCTGCGCCCTCGACGCTCCCGGTGAATTTGATTGATCTTTCAATGACTCGATCCAGTCCTGACCTACATAAATACCCAATAGCAGTGCTGCATGCAGCCCCCATCGATATCTTGCGCTCAACCCATTCCTCGCAGGAGTATTTCTCGCTATGCGCACAACGCGGAGCAAGAGCGGGATCCTTAAAGAGGGGAAGAAGAGACAGCCTAAGGCCGTGTCTGATGATGGGCAAGAGGAGTCCGACATAGGTGGGTCTATGCGATTCTGAGGACCGCTGAGACCCTTAGCGCGCTCACCCGTGCCCCAGAGCCCGAGCGCCCACCCAGGAAGCGCACGCGTAAAGGTGCAGCCTTCAATGCAGACAATAAACCTACAGGCACTGCGGCGCCTGAGAGACAGGGCGTGAAGCAAACCTCGAAGCTCATGTGCATGCCCCTGGACATTTGGTTCGAGGTAAGCAACATCCGGCCCAAGAGGCGCCCTGCATGCCGAGCTTCAAGCATTCATCTGACATACTGCTTCCTAGATCCTACAGCGGCTCGACATTGGAACTCTGCACGCTCTCTCGCACACGTGCACTCAAGTACAAGACACCCTCGCGTCCCCTCAGGCCGCCGGCATTTGGAAGAATGCCCGAGGTTGCTTAGGGCGCTGTCCGACCCCTCCGCCCGGGACGTCAGAGACGCGGATCGCTGACCTGGTCTTCAAAGGAAACAGATGTCAGGTGAGGCTCTGCATAGCGACCGGAGTCTTTGCGAGCAGCACCCAAAGTGCTCTCGTCTAGCCCTCCGGTCTCTTGACCGGTAGAGTACTTATGCATATCCAGAATTGCGGCCGCGCCAGCGTCGACATCGACTGGCAGCTGCTCATGCGCGTGTGCGAGCCCTGCAGGAGAGTATAGTGAGTCTATCACCTCACATTAGCGTTAACACCCTCGCTCATATCCCCCAAGCTCATTCAACTCCAAAAGGTTCCAGCGCGAATTTCCCGGCGAGGATGCGTCCGTCCTGCCCTTGGTTCTCTACACCAATAGTATGCGCCTGTCTATACATACACTCATGAAAGAAGGTATCTGACGACGACGTTCTTTCTAGTACACCAAGGCTGGGCGTCGCCAACCACCTACTACTGGAGGTCCGACGTCGAGCGCATGCTCAGAATCGTGGCGCGATACAAGGGAGATATCGCTGGCAAGAAGCCCGGTGCGGAAGCAGCTTACAAGGAGTTCCGCGAGCGTAGGATCGCTCGTGTGCTTTCGGTTGTCCAGGTAAGTCAGAAGTCTTCTTCTATCTATTGCCTCAAGGGTACTTGCGAAGTTCTGAGTAAATGACGCGATCCATCTAGTCTGCTCCTCAATACAAGTCCTGGCATTCAGAAGTACGGTCGGAGAGCTGGCGCGAGCTCGCAAAGTTGGCCGAGGAGCGGAAATCAGCGTATGTGTCGCCTTCCTTCTAGTCGCTCGCCAAACGCACTTCTAACACACAACAGCATCCGGGCGCGACTTCTGCAGATCGGTCATGACCCTCGGGATGTTGAACATGTCATGACCAACGGCGACATTGAGGTTGAACGAAAGGAACTCACCGAAGCCTGTGCGTAGTCGCTGCGTGCTCGTCATCCCACGCCGAAAATTGACCTCCCACTAACTTAGCTTGGCGGCGTATCAAGAAGAAATGGGAGACCCAAGTCGCCAAAGCCCGCCGGCGCCGCCTCGCCACGGACCACCCTGGCATCATCGGCCAACGAAAGCGCGCCGCTGCCCGGGTGTACAACGAGGTGTACCATAGAAACGTCGGCCCGCTGGAGTGGTTCACGCTGGAGTGGTTGACGCTGCCGCCGGCCCACGAGGTCATCAAGCTCGAGCCGCTTTGGGAACCCGTCTACTCCGACGTCGATGCGGATGTTCCGGATGCCGCATTCCAGAAAGCCCTGCGGGCCTGCGCGAGTGCAATTAGGAAGCATAAGAGCGACAACATCTATAGTGTGCGACGCGCCTTCGATGATGTGCCCAAGGAGGTCAAAAAAGGCGGCATGCTGCTCAAAGACGCGGGGGTGGATGTCCTCGATCTGGCGGTAGCGACCTGCAAGGAGCGATGGCATTCATCTACACCGTTCTCCGAGCAATGCCTCAGTGCCAAGGAATACCTCTTCAGGCGGTCGTACTGCATGAGTGACTGTAATCCAGAATACTGCTCAGACCTCTCGGGCGTCGTAGTCGCACTCCTGGACGCAGTCAACCGGTCCCCGGCGACGACGACATTCGCAGGGCTAGACCAGCTTGATCCACGGTTCTTCTGCTCCCTTTGCCCACCGCAGGAAATTGGCGGCACATGGACGAGGTTGTCCTTCAAATGGCGTTCCGCTGTATGTGCTCAATCGCGTTCTCCGAATGCGTCGCACTAACACGAGCCGTAGGTGCTTCATTACAACGAGCATCACGCGGAAAAGCAGGAAATCGCGAAGTTCAGAGCTCTGTCCGCAACCGAGGCGGGTCACGCACGCAGGAACGAGATCCCCGAGCTCGCAGATGCGAAGACCTGGTCCTGCGCCCATTGTGGCGAACACCTTGACAATTGGCAGCGGCAGTGCGACGTTGAGGCGCATGCGAGGAAAAGGTGGCCCTTCGAAGATTCGCTTAATGCTGTTGGCTGAATGTGGCTGAACATATGAACAGACACGATATCGCTGCCCCTAAGATTGGTGCCGATGTGTTATGTGTGCCCGTCGTACTCGTGAACGTCAAGCCGGTTCGCGTATCTGTCGACAGTCCCCTAGTAAGTTAGACACCAGTCTTTGAAGCAATGTACAGAATTCAGTAGCTGACTTCGATGGATTTTCGGAGAGGATGCACGACTTCAGATGAAGGCATTGACCGCGCTCACAGCGCGTCGCCGAGGTGGAAGAAAGGTCAGTGATTTTGTGGCGTAATGTTTGCCGTTGTGATCAGTTGACTGAATGATTCGCTTGCGTGATCAGCACCTTGCCTCCTGCGTTCGACCATACCGTATCACCCTCGGGAATGGGCTTGGTCTCAGGGAGGCACTGAATCATACGAAGGCCTTTGCAATATACTCGGTCACTTGAAGGAACCCAATACGCCTGTGTGCTTACCGTCTCCATCCAGCTCGGCGCATCTGTCCATGCCATGACCATGCTATACTAGGCGCGTAATTTCGGAGCCTTCCACGTTTCTTCCCAATGGACTGCTTCCGCCGCTGCGATTGAGGAACGTCATCGCGCGCCAGCGTGCAGGCGATGTGTATCGATGGCTTTCGGGAGTATATATACGCCAGTAGTTGCCACCCTCACAACTTTCAACTTCTTCACCACAGCAACCTGCCCTCTGTTTAGTCAACTCGCCAAAAGCCATGTCCACCGAATTCACCGTTTACAAAGGCTCAAAGGACGGCAAAGTCCTCAAGGGTAAGACGTACCGGGTGCTGAAGAACGATGATGTCCTGGTCAAAATCACCCACTCTGGCCTCTGCTACACCGACGTCCACTACCGCACGACGGACATGGTCCTCGGCCACGAAGGCGTCGGCATCGTCGAGAGCGTTGGTCCCAACTGCCATGATCTGAAGGCGTGAGTATGACCCAGAAACTTCCTTCGTTCGCGTATGCTGAGAAGTTTCCCAGCGGCGATCGCGTAGGGTGGGGATACGTCCACGACACATGCGGCTCCTGCAGAATGTGCCTCCGAGGCGAGGATGTAGGTTTTTCCTCCCCTAAACACGTCCAACTCACCCTCTAATCGAGCCATGTTCAGATGTACTGCCCGAAGGCCGTCTTATACGGGGTCGGCGATCTCGATATGGGCTCCTTCGCTAGTCACGCCGTCGTTCGTGAGGCATTCCTGCATCGCGTGCCGGACGAGATTGAACTCGTCAATGCGGGTCCGCTCTTCTGCGGTGGTGCCACCGTATTTGAGGCACTGAACAGGTATGGTGTCACGTCGACCGACCGTGTCGGCGTCATCGGTGTCGGTGGCCTCGGTCATCTTGCCATCCAGTTCGCGTACGTACATCCTCGACTTTGAGCCTTCTCGTCGCTGACAATCTGGCAGCGCTAAAATGGGCTGCAAAGTCGTCGTCTTCAGCGGCACCGAGAGCAAAAAGGACGAAGCCATCGCGCTGGGCGCGACCGAGTTCCACGCCACCAAAGGCCTGACCAGCCTCGCCCATGTCCAACCCATCGACTGCCTGCTCGCCACTCCAAGTGCGCAGCCAGACTGGAAGCTGTGAGGAAGCTATGCCCTGCTTTTGCTTCCATCCATGCTAAGCTTTCCCCAGCTACCTCGACATTATGGCGCCGAAAGGGAAGGTCTTCCCACTCACCGTCGAATTGGGCAACTTCGAGAACTTCCCCGCTTTCCCTGTCAACGCCAAGGGCCTCACTATTCAGGGCTCTGCGTGCGGCCCGCGCATCCTCTATCGCCAGATGCTCGAGTTCGCCGCGCGGCACGGCGTAAAGCCCGTGGTGCAGACCTTTCCCATGCCGGAAGACGGTATCGAGGAGGCCTTCAAGGTGCTGCAAGAGGGCAAGATGCGCTACCGCGGCGTTCTTGTTGCGCAGAATTGAGTAATGGGGAAGATTCAATTACAAGCCACTTAGAGAGGATTGTGTACTAGTAGGCCTTCGCTAGATACCATATAGATGATGAAGACCGTGAGCTGAACAAGCAAAAGGTTGATTGAGAGGACCGTGAGGTTCGCAGTTCGTCATCGGAGTGAGCGCTCGGCAAACGCCGGGTTCGTGGGAAGTTCGAATTCCGCTTGCAGCATGTTTTGCTTCGCGCCATCAGCGTCCTCGTTCCTGCGAACTCGCTTTTGTCAAGGTCGCGAGGGGTGCTGACTGTACTCCTACAGAGAATTGTAGGTTGAAATGATGCACGCCTTCCGAGGTTTCCTACCGCTTTCTCATTCGCGCTGACGCCAACATGAACCCCAGCATGCATGGCGCACCAGCCCGCGTTTGAATGCTTCGCATTCAATTCAGTACATTCGTCTCTGCGCGAACCTCCGTAAACCCTCTCTGTCGCAACAAGATTCGTTTATGGTCACCAGAATGGGATAAGCATCAGTCGACGTCAAGAGCACACTGTCGAAATCCTCCTCCGACACACCTCAAGGGTCTCAGCGTACTAAGGCAGTGTTTCTGCTTGGGCTTCTGCGCAATTCCGCATCAACGGTCTCTGGGAGCCCGCAGGATCCAGGTACTGGTAAGGCTTTCCCGCTCGGTATTCATTGAGTGCTATTCATCTACTCGTCCTTCACTTCGACCACCGCTGATCGAAGCGTTTTCGCCATCGCCGCGCTCTCTCTGCGCCGCCCCTAGATATGGTACTCTATAGACCATATCATGCTATGGGCCGAGGCGCCGTATATAAGAAGGCGACAAAGATACTAGGTAGTCTCTAACCTGTCCCTAACTTATCTCTTCCCCGCCATGCTCGGACTCGCCAGCCTGTCCCTTCTCTCTCTCGCGGCCCTCTCCCTTGCCCAAGACCTCGGCGTGCCGCTTAAGTGGAGGGTGAGTGGACTGTCGAGCCTCACAACTGCTCGCGACTATCTGCTTGCCCCATCGAACTGCTCCCTCTTGGTAACTGACCTCCTACCTCCACCTACCAGAAATTCTCCAACGACCGTTCAGATGCCGAAATCATCAAGATCTCCGAGGCCGCCATCGACGCTATCCTCCCGAAACTGAAGAAAGATACGGGCGAGTTCGACGGCATTGGCTACTGGCAGTCGGGCAATGTCTGGCGAGTTGACGCGTGTCCCTATCCTTGCGCCAGAGTCTGACTGCTTTCTCAACAGGGCGTCCATGGCGAACGAGGACTATCGCGCCGGCACGACGAAGTACAAGGACCAAGTCGTCAACCAGCTGAAGAACGTGTGGGGTCTGCGTGACAACTATGATCAGTGGGGGTAAGCACCGAAGTGAATGCTCTCCCGTATCCTCGCTGATATATTTGAAGGGTATGTGGGCTTCCTTCAGCTTGAGATCGTCAAGGTTGACCACTTGAATATGGCCAGTTCAACGATGACGCTGCGTAGGTCCATACGTTATTCGGTCGTGGTACGGCTCATTGTTAGTGTAGATGGTGGGCTACCGCGGCCATCTACGCTTGGCGTGCGTACAACGACAAGGACCTGTTGAACAACGCCATCAAGACGTGGGAGCACATCAGCACATAGTACGCTGCACTCTCGACGCTCTGACAGGTTCTCACCACCCCATCCAGCGCCATCTCCGACGACGACGCCAAGGCAGGCAAGATCTCGACGAAGGACTTCACCTTCAAGGGAACATGCAATGACAGTAAGCTGCTCTTCTCATGCAATCAGGGTTCATAGCTGAACTGCCTATGCAGAGAGCATGGCCGGCGGTGTCTTCTGGGTATGTGCCATCCGTCACGTATCGCGCACCGGGGTCGTTGCTTATGGATCGTAGAAAACCGAGAAAGGCAGCGACGGCATCAACAGCATCACCACAGGGTACGTCTCTACGCGAGGGCTTTGAATCCCACCTAACGCCTGCGTCAGCCTCTACATGACCCTCTCCGCCTACCTCGGCGAGGCCACGGGCGACGACAAGTACATCACGGCCGCCGAGAAGAGCTTAGCCTGGATCCGCAACATTAACATGAAGGACAACCTCGCCCTCGACTCCATCACGGCTAAGGACTGCAAGCACGGCGCGGACTGGTACCTCACAGAATGCACACACCTCACCAGAGTGCTAACCCTGCTGCAGGCTCTTCACCTACAACACTGGCAAGCTGCTCGAGGGCCTTGAAATCCTGGTGGACTTGACCGACAACGACGACTACAGGAAGCTCGCCGCCAACGTCGCGAACGCGGCCATGAAGACAAATGCGTGGCACCGTGAGTCACCTGCGCCCTCTACCTCCCTCGACCGTCCCCCAATCCCGCATTCTCACCCACCCCCAGGCGACGACGGCGTCATCAAAGAGGGCGCCTACCCCAACGAGAACAACGACGCCGTCGGCTTCAAGTCCGTCCTCGTCCGCGCCCTCGACGAAGCGTACAACCGCCGGAAGGGCGACAACGAGGCGCTGCGCATCCTCATCCATTCGTACGTCTGCGTGCAGGTGAGCTCAGCGGGGTTGTTCCACGGCCTCTCCCCCTTCGGGGCCGTCTGCCAGTGACTCATGCATGCGCCTACAGTTCAACGCCCTCCTCGACCTCGCGGCCAAGGGAGACACGTACTCCAGTTCGTGGACCGGGCCCGCTCAGGACTTCACGACGTGGGGCCAGATGGCGGCGCTCGACGTCTTCGTCGCCGCTATCAATGCGGCCTGAGACGAGGGTGGTGGCAGTGGTAGGGTGGCGTCTGAGCAAGTTTAGCAGGATCGCGCCCAAGTCCATCTGTCTTTACGATCTTTACTTCAAGTTATTCTGTCTGTGAATGTGCTTGAGGGTAAGAAGAATCAGCTACTCCTCGCGGTAGAAGTCAAGCACATCCCATGGCTTTACGTTGATCAGCGCGTCTACATGCAGCACCAGACTTCGTCTACGGCGCCCGCTGGGGAGGAAGTCGCTACGCCAAGCTTTTCTTCATCCCCCACCTTCGAGAGAATCTGCGTCTTCGTCTTCGTTACCTGCGGCATCCCGCATGCGTACAACGCAGCGTAAGGTTCACACAACAAATCGGAATAAGTCCCATTCCATTGACCCAGCAAAAGATATTCGCCCGAAGAGCCCGATTACAGTAACTCAATCCCAAGAATCCTTCCTCTAGATATCCCTCGCTTCAATCCCATGGAACCTCCGCGGCACGTTGCGGCGCGCCTTCCTCGCCTCCTCCGACCTCGCCTTCTTGCTCGTCCCCGCCGTGCGCGTGAGCGTCACATCGATGTCGCCCTTGGCGGCGCCGGCACGGAAGGTCGCGGTGAAGGGTACGTCCTGGCCGCACTGCTTGAACGCGGCCTTGATGTGCTGCTCCCAGCGGCCCTTAGACACGTTGATCGTGTCGCCCTCCTCGACGGGGTCGATGGTGAAGGTGGCGGTGCCGGAGACGCCTGAGAGGAGGTTAGTTGAGAGTCGAAGGTGAGGGAAGCATGGATTACGCACCCGTGGTCGAAGTGGGGTTACCCTGGCACTTCTGGATGCTGCCGGCGATGCCGCCGCAGATCTGGAGCTGGGCGACGTTGACGTCGTGCGAGACGAGGGTGCTGGAGTTGCGTTAGTCTGACGCACATATGCGATCGAAGTTGGGTACTCACTCGCCACTGTCATCGCACACGAGGTTCGACACTACGACAGGGACGGCGTTCGCGCGCGCCTCGACATCGGCAGCACGGACAGCCTGCTCAATCTCCCCGCGCGCAATACGCGCCGCGAGGGGCAGCGGGCCCGCCAGGACGCTCGTGAAGGAGGCGAGAGCAACAAGAACAGCGGAGAAACGCATGATGAAGAAGTTCAAAAGTCGTGGATTGGCTAGATGCGAAGAATGAGAGGGAAATCCGTATCAAACGGTGGAGAATGAGGAGGACTGAGGCCTGTAATGAGAAGATGGGCTGAAAGAACGAAGAACCTGGGCCGCCGGGACCAAAAGAATGGACTTGGAGAAAAAGAACGTGAAGGACGGAGGGAATGGGGAAGAGCCCCTCGGGCGGACGTGCTGGGTTTTATATGCGGGCGCGCTCGGCATTCGGATATCATTCGCGTTGGCATGGTCGCCCTCGAAGACATCAGGAACCACTTCCTCGGTCGCTGCCGTCGCCGTCGGGATCAACAAGGCACGGGAAATCCACGTGCGACCCAGCTGATGTTCCCACGCAATTTTTCCGCTTCTTGGCGCGGCGTCCGGCCTGTTGCTCTTTCTTCCGTACCACCATCATCGCCGCCGACGAGGAGGAGGAGGATCTATACTCGTGAGAGACTCCTCAATTTTGTGAGTCTCGTGTCTACTTTGCCTTCGCATGATGGTACTTTGTAATTTGCGTTCGATCGCCAGGAGCCTCACACCAAAGGGAGCGCTTGCCGGCGCTCCTGGGGCTCGTGGTATGAGACAACTACACATTTCTGATCTTCATTGCATTGGCAACTCCTCATCATCATCGACTAACTCAATTGCAGTGTCTTCGAAGAACCGAAGCCATATCAAAGAGTATCTGTACATGTCGATATGCGTAGCGTCGTGAATTCATCGCCATATACTACATCTCGAGCCTGTCACATCCGCATCCACCTGCGGCGCAATCCCCATGCGATGGTTACATCGGCTTTTGTGAGTCTTGAAGCTGTCTGTTGATGTTCAGGGCTGGTGTGTTCGCCCCGTCTTCGCTCGTCTGGACGTTTATTGAGATGGTCCATGTCAGTCTGGGTTTTACGCTGAGCTGATGGCCAATTCAGCGCTGGACTTGACGTGAGCATAAAGGACAGTACTTACACGAAGTCTGTCCATAGCAGGCGATGTCTCCAACGCCAGTCTGAATATCTCGGGCTCCACGTGCACCTCGGCGACGTTCCTTCTTTGAGGCGGCTGGTATTTTATTCGATGTCGCTCATTCGCGAAGGCCGTCCGGTTCGCAAGTTTCCGTTTACAACACCCTCGAGATTTTCGACGCGCGAACGCTAAGCGGGAGAGTACATTCGGACGAAGGGCCACCGAGGAATGAGTTTGACGAAAGTAGCAACTTGTCGATCAAGAGCTCGAGAGCGGTGAAGTGAAGCTCGAGGAAACCATTGAGGGGAGCGACCAGTGGACGCAATTGAGGAGAGGGCCTTTCCTCTACCCTCCCGTCGCGTTGATGGCGGCCACCCGAACGACCTTGGGATCATTCTCCTGCCCGACCTTGACGACCTCGATAAAGGCGCTGTCCATACATTGAGTGGTCATCTGCCATCTCTCGGTGGTCTAGCCGGTCACACACGACTTATCTTCGTACAGCGCTTGCATAGCCTGGCGCAATACACCAGGTCCCCGTATCAGCTCCGACCTTCGAAAACCTAGGACGGCACTCGTGACTGAGGACCGCTCATACGTCCACGTCAGTCTCTCCCTGTTAAGCGCCCACTACGGGTATATATACCGGGGCTGGCGCGGTCATAGCTCTTCCTCCCCCTCATCTACGAACCTGCTCAAGCCCTCAACCCAGTCGAAACCCACCTGCGAAACTCAAGCCAGCGAAGCACAACGAAGATGGCACCCAAAGGCCGTCGTAATCAGAAGGGAACTAGCGTACCCAAGGTCGTAGCCCAGCCGGAACTTGCACCGCAGCAAACGGGAATCGCAGATGGTGCGTGATCCTTGACTCTCGCAAATTCTGAGCATCGCTCTCGAGAGTCCTCACCCTGTCGCTGAATGCTTCCAGCGCCGGTCACCGCCATCGGCGAGAAGCGCCCCGGCTTTGGGTACGCGGGGACGAAGGAGAACAACGACGTGAACATGTTCGAGCTCACGCTCAAGCGTGGCACGATCTATCACTATGACGGTACGCATGCAAGTATCCTGCTTCTTGCTTTATGCTGATCAGATCCCAGTCGGTGCGTAGGGCTGCACAATTCCCGCCATGCAGCCGCCTTCCCGTCTTACATGACTCGATAGACATGGTCAACGACAAGCCTCTGCCCGTCCGTCGCGGCCTCGAGTTGTTTGCCCGCCTCCAGGAAGTGTCCCCCAACATCTTCACCCAGAAAGTCGTGTTCGACGGGAGGAAGAACATGTACTCCTCCTACCGTCTTGACGTCCCCGACAACTCCAAAGAGGTACTTACTCGTTCCGTCTAGTTGTGCGACTACCTCTCATGAACTCCAACTTTCCAGTTCGAGATCACCGTAAGTCCCAGAAACGAGACCCGGCCAGCCCGTATCCGCATCGTCAAGATCAAGCTCGTGAAGGAGATCAATCCCGAGTTCGTGCCAGCTAACTCGGCGGCATCCTTGCTCCTGGCTAACCCTCGCCGTCTCAGGTCACTCCTCCGGTTCACCCAAGGCAAGCAGTCGTTCGACGAGGAAGCGCAAACGACCCTTCAGGTGCGTGTAGATCGCGCACGCCATTGATTCACTGACCGACTTACATCGTCAGGCTCTCAATGTTGCCTTGCGCATGGAACCAATGCAGAATCTCCCCTTCAACACACGCAGCTTCTTCACCCCCATTGGCAAGAAGGCGTTGCCCGGAGGACTCGAGCTATGGAGAGGGTATGCTGCCTCAGGCGTCTTCGACGAGCTGCCGCTCACCAATGGACTCCATCAGATACTTCCAGTCCGTACGACCTGTCATCGACAGTACGTCCATCTTCTCACCTGGTTCCTATACATGCCCGTGTCCCCCCACGCTCACAAATCCTCAGAACTCGTCGCCAACGTCGACATCTCAACCGCTATCATGTACCAGACGGGCTCGTTGATCAGTCTATGCCTCAAGCATCTCAACCTCCCTCTCGACAACCCATCCGCCCTAGCAGATCTCGACACTCGTCGATCGTACTCTCTCAAGCGCTTCCTCAGCGGGCTAAGGGTTACTACTACCGGAGGCCAGACGGCCCAGCGGTTGCCTCGCGCGATCACTGGGCTCCGGCGAGAGGGCGCCAGCAAGACCATGTTCAACCTCAGGCGCGATGGGGAACCCGACACCACCATTTCCGTCGCCGAATACTTCAAGAAACTCGGCCGGCCTCTGCGGTACCCTGCCCTGCCCTGCGTTGAGGTATGCTACTTCGATGGATCCGCATTCGGTCACTCCTCATATCGCACCAGGTCTCGTCGGGCAAGGCGCTTCTGCCACTTGAGGTTTGCGACGTGCCGGAGGGACAATCTTGGCGTGGTCAAATCGCACCTGGTGCGTTCTTTGCCCGGCGCTTATCCTATCGGCCTCACGCTCACCTTGACTATGTAGAACTGACGGCCGAAATGGTCAAGTTCTCGACGCTCAACCCCACAGCTCGCTTCAATGCGATTCAACGCGGTCGGGAGGTATAGTACACCGCTCGCGCGAGAACAGTCGTGTGCTAAGGATCCTTTGTAGGTCCTTGGATACGATCGGAGCGAATGGCTTCAGCAATTTGGCATCACGATCAGCAAGACGCCGATTCAGGTCGAATCGCGCACGCTTGCTGCCCCAATCATGCAATACGGAATCAAGCCCGGTCTCCGCCAGCAGGCTGAGAACATGGTCCGCACTAATTCACTCGTGTATCGATCCTACTTACAGCTTTTGCTTTCAGATTCCTACGGGAGGCGCTTGGAATGTGTACGGAAATCGAACAAATGGTCAGTATCAATTCCTTACTGCCTCTGTATAGGAAGGGGAAGCGATTCTTCAAACCGATGCCGCTTAACTCGTGGGCTGTCTTGGTGGTCGAGGACAAGTCACGCTTCCCGCTCGATGCCCTGAAATCCTTAGTCAGTCGCTTCTTTTCGTAGTGCCCTGTGTATCGCGCTGATCTCCATTAGATCATCGGGCTCAAGAAGGAAGCTGCGAATTACGGTAAGCCGCTCGCTTTTACACTCAGAGCTGGCGGTACTCAATGGTGTCTTAGGCATGCTCCCAGTCAATGACCCCGTTCTGTCAGAGTACGTTTTTGCCAAACGGTTGTTTTAAAACAACTTTATGATCCTTCTTCAGGCATGTCTCTCCTCAGCAAAGCGTAACAAAGGTACATCTACATTTCCCCGGTCGATCAATCTATTCTTGACTTCCAACGCAGCGTCTAGAAGAACTTCCTGCTAGATTGCGTGCAAATAAGCTGCCACTGCCACAGATCGTCTTTTTTGTCCTCCCCTTCAACGGTGACGAGAGATGGACTGAGGTCAAACAGTATGCACGAAGTCATCTCAACCGCGGAATGTTCACTAACGGTCCTGCAGCTGAGGCGACATCGTTGTTTGTGGATTCTCATCGTCCTTGAAGATCCCTCTGACATGTTACCATCAGAGCGGTGTGGCTACGCAATGCCTGAAAGCGCAGAAGAGTGCACACGCTAATTCTCAGTACTGGGCCAATGTTTGCATGAAGTAGGAAGCTTCGCCGTCCCTCAAGTGGAAGCTTACAGGCGTGCAGGATCAACGCCAAACTCGGCGGCATAAATGTGATCATCAAACCCGGAGACCCTTCGAACCTCCTCGCCGACCGGACCAAACCGACGCTGGTCCTCGGCGCGGACGTCATCCACCCTAGCCCAGTAAGTGCCTCGCCCAAGCGTTATGATCCTGTCCTAATCAGCTCCAGGGCGCTGTCGGTCAATCGTCGTATGCGGCGATGGTAGGTAGCGTGGATCCTGATGCAGCCAAGTACCGTGCCACCAGCCGGGAGCAGACGTCGCGCCAGGAACTCATCGACGACTTCGAGGACATGGCAAAAGTGTGTTTTCTCGGATGCTCTGCAAGTGCTGGATTGAGGTTGATTGTTCCTGTCTGCAGGAGTTGATACAAGCGTACATGGACGCAAGGAAACAAGAGGGAAAGTCAGCCGGAGCGAGTAAACCAACGAGGATCTTCTTTTACCGCGGTGCGTCGGTTGCTTATCTACGTATATCCCATCGCGTGCGTCTTAATCTTGCTTCAGACGGTGTCTCCGAAGGTCAGTTCAAGCAAGTGAAGGACGAGGGTAAGCGTCTTATAAATCACTGCTTGTGGCGCTCACCGAGGCGGCAAAGAGCTACAGAAGCTACGAGGTACGGGAAATTTCGTACTAAGATGCTGCTATCATCTGACCCCTTGTTTTAGCCGCATGCCGCTCGCTGGAAGTGACAGCCAAGATCACGTTTATTGTGGGTTGCACTGCTTGATATCACCAACGGCCCACTGAGTTCATCTTTCTAGATCGCCACAAAGGTTCGTGGAATGCTGCACGCTCTCTTTCCGATCTGAGTCCTACTCGGCATCCCCACAGCGGCACAACACGCGCCTGAATCCTTTGGGCACTAAAGACAGGAGCGGGAATGCGCCTGCGGGCAGCGTTATCGATACTAACATCGTTGATCCCGTCGAGTTCGACTTCTACCTGCAAAGTCACGCGGGAATCCAAGGGACGAGCAGGCCCGTGCATTACTGGGTCAGTGACTACCCCCCTTCTCATCACACTGATGGCTGACGAGTATACACCCACAGGTCCTTCGCGATGTGAGTGGCTATTTTTGAGGTATCTCAAGACTTAATTCTTTGGCTGACGCGTGTCATCGTAGGAAAACAACCTCAGGTACATCTCAGCCACCTTGCGCTACGGCATACCGTCCTGATCCCCCTCGCAGTGCTGACGCTCTCCAACGCTTCACGTACAACCTCTGCCACGTCTACGCTCGAGCGACGCGCAGCGTGTCGATTCCCGCGCCAACCTATTGTATGCACCTTGTATCTCGCCATCGTGATTGCCGCTGACAGCGTATGACCATGTAGACGCCGACATCGTGTGTGCACGCGCGAAGACTCACTACAAGTACCGCAACGACCATTCCGTTCCATCCGGAGAACCCACGGAGGCGAACGAGCAGGCCAGATTTCAGCAGGTACACCCTCGGCAGAAGGGGCACATGTACTATCAGTGACGGCGCAGTGAAATCATGTAGCGTCCAGAGGATCACTAGGTCACCATGCAGAGACGTAGCGCTCGTAGTTTCCCGTATTTTTCTGTGGTTCCTCAGGCGCGGAACTATGGCGATTCAAAATTCTATTCCTTGCACTCCGAGTCTAACATGCGAGGCTGTAAATCCGACGAGCAGCAAAAGGACAACAACACACACTAACAAACGACCGACTGATTGCTACACTGCAGACAATGCTGCACCACAGAACGAGCGAGGATGGGTTGGAGGTAAGGTAGACGAACGCACGTTGCCGCGCGTCAAACGAAGTAAGGATCCGCGGGGCGAGAAGGTTGGATCCACAAGGCGAGGAGGTTACTTGCCCGGGACAAACATCCAGGAGAGGGAAACGAGGAGACGGATGCCGGTGCCAACGCCGAGAGCTGCTCCTGCACCGACTTCGGCAAGGATCCTATGGCGAAAAGCGGTCAGATTGCTATGTGCGAACGGGAAAGAACAGTAACCCTTACGCCCTGCTGACAAATCCGCCGAAGAAGAGAGCACCTGCGGCGAGGAGACGGTGATCCCGCGTACGGACGCTCTCGCGAATGCTGAAGAGCTTGGGGTCGCTCATGAGCTCCACCCAGATAGTGGTCAGGACGACTGCAACGACGATCAGCGCATTATCGAGACCAATGTCACAACACGACATACTCGTCGTCCCGAACTGCGTATTCAAGCGCTTCGCCTGAATACCCTGCAGCCCCAAGCTCGCGCTCATCAACACAAGCGCGACGTAGGTGCGCACATTCGTCCACGCTGGGTCGCCGCGGTCGCTCGCGATGCTTCCCTGGCCGGACTTCCACAGCGCGAGCGCCGCGCCCATGAGGAACAGCGTCTGCAGGAGGGTGCCGAGGACGAGCCAGAGACGCTTCTTCGGGCCGATGTGGTCGCCTATGCGCCCGATGAAGGCACCGGCGTTGAAGGCGATGAGGGAGGCGAGCGCTTGCCGATCGGGTAGGTGGAAGGTGTGGTCCATAACGCCAGTGAGACCGTCTTCAAAGAGGCGGGCGATGGCGACAGCGAGCTGAGAAGGGGGGTGGTGTCAGTGGGTGCGGGGAGGTAACAATAAAGTATCCGCACCTGGATGAAGTTCCCCGTCTGGAAGCCGCACCAGACAAAGATTGCTGAGAAGGCAACGGCGTCGCTGAGGTAGGGTCAGCAGTGGCATACTTCCCCTCGCCGATCGACTCACACGTAGCCCGTCATGAAGGAGTAGGCAGCCAGCGGCGTCGTGCTCTCATTCGCGTCGACTTCCTGCAGCATATACGCCTTCAAGCGCTGCACCCGCGTCGCCGGTGCCCTCCCCTGAGGAAGGGGAAGCTCGAGACTGTCGCTGCTCGCCTTGGGGTCGATAGCCATAGTGTCAAACGAATGTGGTGGATGAGTAGAGGCAGAGGCTGGTATGCTTCGACTGCTCGGCTCGTCGACCTTATGACGGTGGCGATTGCGGCAAGCGAGCGCGATGGGCAGCAAGCGAGTGCGAGGGGCGCGACGGGGGGCCGGCGACAGCTAGAGAGCAGCGCGCATGGATGGCGTATATATGCGCGATGACTCGGTCTTGGCGGTCGAAATCTTCGGTTCCCGCTCTATGTCCGCTGGCAGGAAAAGGACAGATCCGCTACCTGCGCAGAGGGAGGGAAATGGATGTCCGGACAGTATGAGAGGCACCGCGTCTTGGCGAGGTACGGAGGTCCGAAGCAGGTGGGCATGATAGAGCTAAAAGGTCGCGGTTGAGGACAAGGTGTGACGGATATATATACTACGCGTAAGTTATCAAGTAGACATCCAGACATCACTCGTTCCCGTGCTCACGCCAGCCCACCACTTGCCTGAGGATAGAGAACAGGGTACCGATGAAAGCATCTTCACGTAACCACAAAGATAGTTGCAAGCCCCCTCTTGCCAAGGACGATCTGCCATCTACATCGATGTGCGCCACAGCGCCCAGCTCAACACCCGCCAGCCCATGGTCAATCAGTCGTAGATACGCACAATGCACGCTGTAGCTTCGGGACGCTGAAGGGTCCTTGATGACGAGGCGTTGGTCAGGCATCGGGAGTTGGCCCTCGCCGTCGACGCGCATCGTGCTATGTCCGCGACGGACACCGCCTCATACCGCTGTCCAGCATTCAATGATGATCGCACTCACTCACTGGCTCCGGGAAGGTCGACAGGATCGACGTCATGGCTCGAGTAGCGCACGATAAACTTCGCACAGTCTGCACTCGCTCGCGAACTGCACTTGGTCTCTCGCCTGCATCCGACAGCATGCTCGTTGATCATTGATATGGTACAGATTGCGTTGTCTCTAGATCCAGCAAGGTCGGTCACTGCAGATCGTGACGATTACAGCGAATACAAATCATTACTTCTCTGAATACCGTCGTCAGCATCCCCATCACTCGTTCATCTGAACGATGACTTACTCTTCAACCCTGCCGCGAGCCACTTCGGGATCTTCTTCTCCCCACTGGCGCTCGGTTTCGGTGGCGGAGCAGGCGCGCCCTCTTGCGGCGCGGGTGCAGGAGGCTCAGGCTGTTCGTAGTTGGCGGGCGGGGGTAGGTCTTCGGCGAGGGCAAGAACTTCGGGTAGAAGAGGGGCGGGGGAGGTGGGGTCTGCGAAGAGGCGTCAGAGAATTTGCACGGGTAAGGTTGGATGGGCGACATAAGAGGCAGAATGTTGTAGACAAGGAAACCATGATAGGATGTATGGGAAGTCGGGACGGACAACGCAAAGAGATCGGTTACATACGATTCAGCGACACGTCCTCAAATCGTAACAATAGCACACTAGACGGCGCAAGGTGCAGCTCCGCCAACGACTTGTCGCGCACGTTCGGGTCGGAGTTCTTCAGATCGAGTCGTGGAGGTTGGTCTGCGATGGCGCTAAGGTCAGCTTGCCATACACACGCCTCTCGTCGACGAGCACGCACATAGAATGAACTTGATGGGCTTCACATCGTCTCGCAGCCGCTCGCGCACGAATGCGTACACCGCCTTGATCCTGCTCGTTGACGGGAAGATTTTCTCCAGCTGCGTGCGATCGGGGAAGCGGATGCGGATCGTGGTCTGTGTGAGAGGCCAGGGTCAACATAGACAAGCTCAGTGTAGGCGTCCAGTCCACGCACATTTGGCCACCGATCCCGCTTCGCCTTCTCCCTTGCCTCGCGAACCGCTTTCAGCTCGAGCGGCCGGTCCGTAAGCGCGTGCGTGCGCGCAGAGAGCGTCGCCTGTGCGTTCTGGATATCCGCGGGACTTGGGGTGAAGTACGAGTCCGGTGGAGGGGCTGGGGGACGCGTCAGTGGGGGTTGAGCAGAGCTTAGTGGCCCGCAAGGAAGGAATTGTGGCGGGACGTACGAGGCGGATGCAGATGGGACCAATCGGACGGCTTGTAGACCTTGTAGTCGGCGGAGGTGCTGGCGGTGGGAGGCGCAGGCGCGGAGGAGCCAGAGGGAGGGACTGGAGCAGGCACCTCAGGGCCAGCAGATGCTGTGGACGATCCGGGGTCCATGATGAGGGTAAGAGCAAGCGTTGATGTAAGGTTCGTGCTGCGACGTGGACGAGGATGAATGATCGTGGTTTGCTCGGCAGGAAAAGGACTCACTGGATAGGTTAAGTGCACAGTTAGCGCGTCTATATCTCCAGCGGTAGTAGGTATCAGCAGCAAGCAAGCCGATGCGTGATGACGGCGAGAACAAAGAGTAGAGCCGCTGTCTGATGGCGTTCCCCTCCTTGCTTCCTCCCACCATCATGGCTACCGACTGAATCACCTGGAGCGCCGTTCCATATAGGCCAAACCTCTTGACGATTTTTCGAATGTATCGATACCTCATGCTTCATTAATGAAAACCTCGAACTGCTGGCTTTTCACCATCGGTGACACCGACAATACGTCCCAATGGCCATCGATGCACTGAGCGCTGCGATCTGCGGGGAACACAGGACCTCTTTCCCCAATATTCCTGGCAGCAGTAATGGGGTATGCACTTCACGCTAGGTTCAGGCGCTTTGGTGGGAAGGCGACAAAGCACGCAAAACCTTTGCGCCTGAGTTCAGCCACGTGCGCAACCACCAGCTCCTGTCTGCGTCGAGCGCGTTCTCGCTTGGCTGCATGATGGCCGCTTGAGGAGACGAGAGTCTTTGTCGTATTGGCAAAATATATAACTCCGCTCGTGTCACTCATCCAAGAGCAGACTGAACGCTCGATTGCCCTATCGTCTTCGCCAATATTGCGTGAATTCGGTGCCCAGAAAGGAGCGCATCACAATATCCTTTGAAGTCATACGCGGGTACACATACTACAAGTACATTTTCGGAGCATTCAGAGTCGAAAAGGTCAACTGCGTAGATCGGAGGCGAACTCAACATCGCCGCTCGGATATGTGACTAGACAATGGTCCCCTGTTTATCCTTCTCCATCTGGTCCAGGGTCTCCAGCTGCACGTCAGTGATGTTGGAAGCCTGTCGGAACCGATCCGCTGGAAAGGAGTTGAGTATTCGTGCTCCGGCGGCCAACTCTCTGAAATGGACGCACCAGCTGCCGCCAACGTTTCCCACTTCTCAGCAATCTTCTCCTCGATGATGCGCGCAACGATCGCGTTGACAGCCTGGATGTCCTCTTCCATAGCCTGACTGATAGAAGCTAGGTCCTCAGAGATGCCCTGCCAGGCGCCCATCATCTCCTGCACCATAGTGACCGCGGGGCTCATGGCACCAAGGAGAGAAGTCAGATCCGACTAGAACATAATATGCATCATGGTCAGTGAAGTATCACACGCAACAACAGTAGCTGCGTACTTCAGTTGCGGCCAAGGCAGCGACGATGCACCTCTCCTCTGCGAGCTGAACGTCGGCAACGTTGGCAAGTCCCGTGAAATATTGAATGGCCTCGCTGAGTCTGTCAGCCATCCTGCGGAAGAATCCAGACGGCCTTAGCCCGAAGACTACCAGCACATCCCAAGAGGGCGCTTTGGACGCCCTGATGAGGTCTGCGAAATATAGTAAGTCACGCTATACATGCTTGATGAACGGACAGGGCGACATACCTTTCTCGTAGTCGCGTACATCGACCTGGATGTCGTGACGATAATCCGCCAAGTGGCGCTGCAGCGTGTCAAGCGTCTCGAGGTCCATGTCGAGCGTCTTCACTACGGCCGCCTGGCAGAGCAGGATCGTCTGCCTATCAGTCATGGTCACCGACTCGAATTCGCGGAGGTTGTTGACCGCCGTCTGAGACTTCGAGATGATCGTGTTGATGAACGTGAGATGGAAATCGAGGATGTTGCCGATGGTCTTCTTCAGAGTCGCCTGCTCAGAGGGGGACTCGGTGCTTGCGAGCTGTTGAAGGGTCTCGACAAGGTTAGCTAGGAAGACATCAGCTCGTATTCGTGTTACATGACCTGTGAGCCGCAGCGTACCGTACGCGAAGAACGGTTCGGGACCGTGACCAGCGGCTGTCTGCGCGTAGTTGACGATGTCGTCCGCAGTACCCGTGATACTGGGATAGGTCGTGTCCTTGAACGTCACGCAGTGATCCTTGGTCTGGATCTATGTGAGCCAACGAGCCATCAAGCGCATATGGGGCCGCTCTCGCCGTGTTATAGGCCGCAATCAAAGGCGTAATGACGGGCTCGATGTTGGAGTACGTCTCCTCGTGCAGGCGCAGGCGTTCAGCGTATTCCCAGTTCGACCTGGGGAGGATCAGACCCGCCCAGATGTATTTGAGCAAGTCGTAGAGTCCCTGGTCTTGCAAGATATAGTTGTTGTCGCCGTTCAGTAGGCCGCGAGGAGTGAGATCAATGGTGGACATGGCGGGGGCAAGTTCACGACTCAGTCTTCGCAGTGTAGAGCGAGGAGTGGGCGAGATGGAGTAGCGATACGAAAGAACGCGCTTGTATATGCTGGCGGGAGTCCGGAAAGGCTGACGTGACGCACGGGTCGAGCTTGCACGGTTTGAGACTCGTACAACGCCTGTCGAATCAATTCAAATTAGATGTAGTAGAAGGGCTAGTGTATTAGCAATGGAGGGGTAAATGCGCTGGTTAGTGACGAAGGAGGGTACGCACCTAGGATGGCCGAGTTGATTACTCAACTTCACTGTGGTCTGGTGAGCATTAACTGCGATGGTGGTGCGGCGGTGTGCGCCACACAGATGTTATGTACTATTCGCGTCCTAGTCGAACGCTGAGTAGAACTGACCATCAGAAATCAGAAGACCGCGCAGCTGGCGGCGCGAAGCCCTCAGGCGCCGGCGGAGGTGAGGGTACTTCCCCGAAAGTCCACCAAAAGGCCTCCGATCACGTCCCGCCACCTGCTGACGACGAAGACCAAAATCGCAGCGCTCGCCGCATTAACGCGCGAGAGGCATGTGTTCACTGTGGGGTACCCGCTGAGGGACATCGTCTTCCTTCGTAGAACACTGTAGTTCATGACCATTCTGTCGCCCAGCGGAAGCAGAAGATGAAGACGGTCAGAAGCAAGCTTTCAGTATGAGATTTCGCAGCTGGCAACTCCGGAGAGCGCGATGCTGTGAATGTTGCGCTTTTGTTTCGACGAGGTATTCGAAAGCAGCGAGAGCAAATACATGGCGAGAGTCGAACATCAAGACAGTGACAGGCCTGGGTAATAATGTCACAGTGAATGTCACGTCGGGCGGGCCCTGGGCGCGAGCTTGACTTGGACTGCGACGATCTCCCTTCATGCTCAGCTGTTCATGCCCCACTCGAGGCGCTCAGCTCACATGGTTCTTCAGGTGACGAACTCAGACGGCATACGCCAGACGACCCATCTATGACTATACGTTCACGGTCGCATGCTATTTTTTCGGCCTTCCAAACTACTACATGACCGCACCAGCAGTCCTTGTGCATCACTCCTCGAGCTTCTCATACTCATGTGGCGACGTAATATTGACCAATGAAGGCCACATCTGTGCGGACGCCCAAGCCACCGACCTCACAAGCTTGCAAATGTTACCCTGACAGGCCCCTTCCGATTGATTCTCTTTTCTGGGACTTTTAATCTAGAAAGTGCACGACTGGGCTTATGTCGGCTATGAAAGCTTGTCATCACCCCAAACTCCCGGGATTTTTTCCTCTCCGGTGCACTGATTCTGCTCAGCCGTCTTTCTCCCAATATCGACGTCGACGATAGAACTTCGACCAGCTCTAACCTCGTATAGATGCAGGACGCCCGGGTCTGCGGCGAGCCATTGTATCTCATGTCCATCATGTGAGGTAGCGCTATTGCCGTACTGCTTCTGACAGAAGAACTCACAGTGCGCGTGCCAGCGCTGCGCACCTAGCCCAAGCCGTTTGGTAGCTCCGCAGTGTACGTCGTCTGCCCGTCCTAGCATCCTCTGCTCTATATAAGCATGAAAGGCTTGAGGTGAATCTCAACAGCTCGTCTGTCTACACTGGTCGTCCTCGTCAACCCCTCGCCGCCTTCAAAGCCATGTCTTTTGCCCCCCAAATCGACCTGTCCCCGAAGGGCCTCATCAACGACGACGGGAACTATATTCTCCAACACGGTGATGTGTACAACCTCTTGAAGTACGTCTGGGCGGGCGTGCTTCTCCCGACCGACGCGAAGAGCTACCAAGAGCATCTGAACATCTCTACCGATACCATGGTCAAGCTCGAAGGCGTTCTCAAGGACCTGGTCGATTCGTACGCCACAGTGAGATTTATCCACGTACTGGGCGAACGTCGTGACTGACATAGCTATCGCAGACCAAGAGCCACTGCGTTCCGTTCAAGGACACCACCTACCCAAGCATCATCACCGTCGCCGACGATGTCTACAACTACGCTCAGAATGCCGGGGGCACAGTGGAAAACTCGTACTACGGTACGTCTCCCCGTGACGACATGTCTGGGCTCCGCTGATATCGCTTGCCAGCGAATATCTTCCAGATGATACGGCAGCTACCCACGGCCTCGGACCAGCAGGGGACCTTGAAGAGCATCAACGGCCTCATCGACGTACAGCTGAAGAGCGTGGACACCATCGTGACGAAGGTCGCGGCCGTCGTCAGCAACCTCACCGCGTTCCAGGACCAGTGCATGCAGGACCAGTCCTCGCTGAAGGAACGTCAGAAGGCCGTCACCGACAGGCTCGACACCGAGGTCGGCCAGATTCAACAGCTCGAGGATGACCTTGCAAGCAACCGCCGCATCATCAAGGCCGACATGGATGCGTACGAGAAAGGTAAGTTCTGCGCGAAAATCCAAAACAATAGCGCCTACTGAGAACTTACTGCATCGAACAGACGTCATCATCGCGTGCACCACCGTCACTTACGCCTGGGTTTTCCCCATCGGCACGCTCATCGCGATTGGCATTGCCGCCGCATACGGGAAAACAGCTGCCAGGCTGAAGAGCGCCATCGATGGCCTTGAGAAGGACGTCACCGACGAGGAAACCAAGATCCAGGACGAGAAGCGCCTCATCGCCGACCTCAATTGCATCGGGGTAAGTGCCCCAGTCACGCGCTCCCGTTATAGGCTCTGAACAACTCCTACAGTCGAACTTGTCTGGATTCCTGGACTCGCTCGCAGCCGCTATCGAGGTCGTCCAGGCGATGCTCGGGATCTGGCAGTCCATTGCCGCGGACCTGAGCAGCCTCAGGAACATGGTCAACACGAACGTCCGCCAGGCCAACGCGGCCATCGCAAGCTTCGTGGACGAGAAGCTCGTTGCCAAATGGAACGATCTCGCGGCTGCCGGTGAGTTTTTCCCTATGCCATACATGTTTGCGAGCTGAAATCCGCTCGCAGTCGACAAGTATCGTCAGGCTGCGTTCATCACCCAAATCGAGCAGGTGTCGCTGGACAATCTTGGCAAGCAGGTTCAGGCCCAGGTGAACAAGCAGGGCTAATGGTTGATTCGCTGAACTTGAACTCGCTGGTCATGTCGAAACGCCGCGCCAAAAATCGTTGTACTTTGTATTTCTGTGTATCCGTGTAACAATGTATACTGCCGTACGTGATCCTGAATAACCGGCTATGAGCGAATGCTGTTCTCATACGTCAAAGGGTCCTTTCCTTTGATGCCGTCGCATTGCGAGGGTTTTCGCTCTGATCTTTGCTTTTTGAGACACTGAATCAACCTTTCGCCAGCTGACAGACGCAGTCACAGTAATTGATACATTGTATGGGGGAAAATAAGTATGACTTCTGCTGTACGCCCCTGTCTCTACATCGCCTCAGTCTGCAACTGACTCCACGCCTTGATCGTCTCCTCCGGCCACGGGTACGGCGGGTTCGGGTAGAACGTCTCCGCGAACTCCTCCACGCTCTTCCTGGGATACATATCCGGATACAGCACCTTCGCATCCAGCGCCCCATCCCTCACCGCCTTCTCCACCGTATTATCCCCCCTTACAAACGTGCTATACCCATACTCGAGGAAGAACCGCATCGTGATCCCCGCGTCCCCCTTCGCCTTCGCGTCCTCGATCTGCGCGGCGAGCGCGTCCGCGGGCACGCGCACGATGCGCGCGCGGAACGCCTCCGCGTCGCCGCACTTCGCCTCCGCGATGCGGAAGAAGTCCGCCTCCGTGCGCTCGTCCTCCCACGCGAAGACGGTCTGGTTGAGCGTGCGCGGGTCGAGCAGGATGCGCGCGACGAAGTCGCCGATGGAGGCGAGCGCGGTGCAGGCGGTGGACACGTCGCCTGCGCCGCGGAACAGCATGCTCATGTCCGCGAGCGGGTTGCCGGCGTAGCTGGGCGGGTACGGGAGGAGGGACTGGCGAGAAATCCTGGTGAGTGGGGTGCAACTGCTGTAAGGCAATAATCGACTTACCTCGTACCAAAGGCCGACTTCGACGAAGGTGTAGCCAATGCCAAGCTCGCGAATATAGTCACGGATACCAAGTTTCTGTGTGACCAATCCCTTTAAGCGACCGCATCGTCAACGATCCAGAAGATTCTCACAATATCGTTGAGGAGCATAGCACCAGGGGGCGCGTGCGTGCTGAAGTCGTCCGGGACGACGCGCTTCACGCCGGCCTCCTTTGCCGCAGCGAATAGCGCACGCTGCGCGCTCAAGATGACCGCATGAACGGTGGAGACCACGAAGTCTGCACCCTTGAGCAGCTCGACAAGTTCGGCGTGCGTCGCCTTGGCAAGGTCGGGGCAGACAAGGATCTCGACGCCGCGGTTCTTGAAGTCGACGACGGCAGGCTTGTCCGCAGAGCGGACTATGGCAGCTACGCGCTGTAGGCGAATGTTAGTACAGATTAAATAGGGGCCGAAGTGAGTCGTGCGCACATAGTTTCCAGAGCGCAGCAGACCGTTGATGACGCTGGTACCGGTGGCACCAGTAGCGCCGGCGACAACGACAAGGGGCTTGCTTGCGTCAGACATGCCGTTGAGTGTGCGAAGATGCTGGAGTTTGCTGGAGAGGGGAGAAGACAGAATTAAGGTCTCATGAGAAGGACCCGGTACTTATGCAGGTGTACGGTTACCTCCAACCGAACCTTCTAACTGGCCTGACATACATGCCTTTTTCCCGGAGTCTTCGGGAAAAGGCGAGAAGTCAGCGGATAGTTCAGCTATTGCGAATATATGTTTCGCACAGAGGACATGTTTAGAGCAGGAATAGGAGATCCGATGTATAGCCAACGGAATTCAGCCCAAGACTTGCCACCCACGCCAGCAGTTCAGACGGTGTAGTTGAGTCCAACCCATGCCGCTTCGGCGTCGGATGACGTATGCCGGCAAAAGCCGAAGGAGGGCTTGGCTTCGGCCCTCTTCCATCCCTCATCATGCCCAGTGCATCTTGCTTGCTCTTCGATGACGCGTCGAAGTAGAAGCTCAGGTTTTTCGATCTATAACATACCGATACTACAGCATGCACACAAAGGATTCCCAAAGATGAAGCAAGAAGACCCTCGGACACTTTCCAGCGACAAGTCAAGTGACGAAGTATCGAAGCGCGCTCCTATGGCTCCTACGAGGAGCTCAGGGATGTTAAAGAACTTGAAGCTATGCATAAGTACAGCGCTGGAAGTCGAACCATGGATTCCCACCATCACGAGCAAGCCACGCGAATCTTGCGGCCAAGTCTCCATCGGCCCGCTTCATCCGTAACGCCGCGAAGGCGATCGGCGGCGCGTCTCTGCAATTGAACCTTGGCTTCGCTCTCGTGTGTAAACGGGTTTCCCCAGAACATCATCTTGCGTATTCTGCTCTCCTTATCCGACTTTACGCAATACCCGAGTAGGAACAGTCGACCATGGTAAGCTGAACGCTGTAGACAGCGACCATGTTCTGAACGCCTCAGTTAGCAAGCCTCAGGCATGGATCGTCCTCAATATGCAGGAATCTTGCACGCAGTCCGACACCATGCTGCGTAGCACCCAGGATCCTCTCCTTGAGAGCGTTCACCACGTCCCCAAGAGCGCTGGACCCTGAGGAGAAGCCCCGGAAGCCCAAGGCAGCCACCCCCCTCCGCCGCGCCGCCGCCCAGTCCCTCCCCATCCGCTCCAACCCGACGCCCACCCGAAGCAGCATCCAGCCAGTAAACACTCTCACCACCGCCGAACGCTTCGTCCTCTCCCGCCTCCGCTCCCGCCCGCCCACCTCCGAGCAGCTCATCGCGCTCTACGACTCGTGGTGGGTCCCGCGCTGGACGAACGGCGCGCGCGAGGGCGAGCTCTTCATCTTCGCGAACGGGAGCATCGTGGGCTGGGGCCTGGAAGAGGCCGACCTCAAGACCTTCGCCGCGCAGGTCACGAAGCGCGTGCCCGGGCTCGAGGTGAACCCGCTCGCGGAGCCGGAGACGGAGGAGCTCGAGTTCGTGACCGACTCTGCAGAGTGCGTGCCCCGTTCTTCCTCCCACCCCTTTCCTAACCCCCCTCCCCCTCCAGAGACACCCGCCTCCAAGGCGACCTCATCCTCCTCGGCAAGCCGACCACCTTCAGCAACGAGCACCCGCTGCTCGACACCCTTCCCTCCCCCGTCTACCCGCGCGAGACCCTCCTCGCGCGCTACGCCTTCTCCCAGGCCCTCGCGCGCTCGACCTCCCTCTCCGCCCTCGAGGTGTCCCTCGACGAGTACCTCTCCTCCCTCGCCGCGCTCCCCCTCGCGCTCGAGCGCACGGGCAAGCCGAATATGGACCGCAAGACGCTCATCAAGAAGCTCGGGACGCTGATGAAGTTCAGGCAGGGCATCAGCCTGAACCGGGAGAACTACAGCGACGTGCCGGACTTTTACTGGGAGGAGCCGGAGTTGGAGCGTGAGTGTAGTGAGAGTCGAAAGATGGAAAGTGGTGCTGAACGGGGTTTCCAGGCCACTTCAAGTCGCTCAGTGATGCGCTGGAGATCAAGGCGAGGACGGACTCGGTCAACGAGAAGATCACGTACGCCGGCGAGATGCAATCCACGCTGCGACAACTCCTCACGGAGGTAAGTTTACTTTGATTCGAGCCAGACAATGACTGACCTTCCTCTAGAGCTCCGCGCACGACATGGAGGTCATCATCATCCTGCTCATCGCCGTTGAGGTCGTCATCGTACGCGGCTCTGTATCCTCCCTCGCTGCCATCGCTGATTATTGACAGGCCTTCATACGGGATGGTCCCGAGCTTTGGGAGATGCTGACTGGTTCGGGGGAGAAGGAGGCAGAACACAAGACCGCGTAGGGGAAGAGGTTGCCGATGCTCTCCGGGTTAGGCGCCCAAGTCAAGCGCTCGCAAGAGGTATTGCCCACTAATCGGCTAGCGATCTTCTTGCTTACTTGAGAGCACGTCGCACACGTGTGTGCTTCCCGCCGCCTCCGAGTCCTTGAGGACGACACGCTACTCACAATATGCCGCCTAACGGGCTACTCATCATACACCCCCTAACGCGCTACTTATCATACAGACCAAGTTATTGCTACAATACACACCCCGTCTTACTCGCTTCCGTACAGGTCACTGAGTGAAGCTCTCGAGCGTCGCGTGCGCGGCTCTCAGGCGTCGTGTGTGCAGCTCTCGAGCGTTGTGTGTGCAGCAGAAGAGACACTCATTTGGCCTAAGGATCGTCCTCATGCTTGTCCGTGGTCAGGCGGATGAAGATCGGGATCCGTTGTGGTGGCATATCGAAGGGCGCGGGGTTGGCAATCGGCGGTGTGATTTCAGCGACGATGAAGTCCTGGTAGACATATCAGCGATGGGATCGAGAGCCTTGCGATACCGAGGGTATGGTGGGCCCGCTCTGCAACACTGAAGATTCGCACCTTCGCCAGCAGCGCACCGGCATCGAATGCGGGTACCGTCTCTGGCTGGGAGACACGCACTTCTCTGCAGGTACGGTTCAGTCGAAGCAGACAGCGTGGGTAATCTCGACAGGCTTACCCTTCCCAGCGCAGGACCGTATCTTGATTCCCGTCAGCAATCCTGCGGACCGTACCCTCGCCAAGCACCATCTCTCCCCTCCTGATAACCTTCCGTACATTTGCGACGACCTGGCGAATCAAGCTGACACTGACAGTGGCTGCCCCATGCTCCGGAAATAGAGATCGCAGTGCATCGGAGGGCCCAGCGAGCGTGAAGTGGAACGCTATGGAGTGCCCAATCCAGTACACCTTGGCCGCGGGAATGGAGAGTTTCGCCAGCAGTGGCTGGGTCGTAGGGGTCTTGAAGTCGATCTGAGAAGTCTGGTGAAACCAGAGCGCCGCGTCCGAGGCCGGTCCAACACGCATCGGGAGATGCGGCTTGCTGCGTCGGACGTAGTCGAAGGGGATAGAGAGGCTGGGTCTATCAGATCCGACACAAATGAGAAACGGAGAATGCACTTACGATTTACTCCTCGGTAGTACACCGTGCTTCCTCCGTCGGTCGACCGTCAGCGTCATGGTATAGGACGCGCGCGCACGAAGCGACGTAGGGCTTGGGAGAGAGAAATTGCAAGTGGGCGGCAGTGGCCTCCGTCGGCCATCCTTGTCCGCAAATTCGGGAGTCAATTCGATGGTGAAGGGCAACTGAGAAGGCGGGGAGGAAGAGCACTCGTGCGCCTGCCAGACTACGTGCGTCTCGCTGAGGAACGAGATCGTCTGACTGACGCCGCCATCGATCTCGATGGTGAGGGCGCCCTCGAACTGGCGATAGTTTGGGTTAACGTTTGAGCCCCAGTACGCATAGCTCAACCCACCTTCAAGGCGACCTTCGTCGTACTGCTGCACTCCTCAGACTGAATGAGAGCGGCTCCGCTGATGCGGTGCTTGTGATATATGGTAGGGCGCGAGACGCCGTCGATCTGATCGTGCAAGCGGAGGGCGAGTGGCCCACTAGTGCGCTCGAAGTCGCCGGGCGACGGCCCACAGATGGATGCACTTTCCAAGGTGACCTCGTCGGCCAGAGGTTTAGCGGTGTAGATGGGAGCGCTCGAGCCATTTTCGGAGGTGAAGAGAGAGGATCTCGAGGGTAAGATGTGGGTGGACATGGTGAGGCGCTTCTTTCCCGTCTGGTGCGTCGAGGCGCTGGGCTTTTATACGCCTTCGAGCACGGGCATATAGTCCCTTCACCAAGTGACGCGTACCCCCGAGAGGCCGGTCAGATACGAGCAGCATAGAGAGCACTGATTCATTGAGCCTTCCGGACAGAGGCAGGCCGGCGATTCAGCCCCAGTCAGGTCGCGCGGGGAGAACGTGCCGCGTCACCCATCTTCTCGAATGTCGAGCACTAATCTAGAGAGGGCATATATAGTGCTGTCCCCTTCCTAGAGCACTTTCCATCAGACCCCACATGAGACCTCGCTGCAAGATACGCGCTGAGCGGCGAGGACGATGAGGCCGGGGAGCAGGCCTCTCCACTGTAACCCGCGTGCTTGTATTGATGAGACTGCCGTTTGGGTGAACATGCTGAGCGATACGAATACAGAACTTGGAGCACCTTGCGTGGAAGGCTAAACGGGATGAGTGTGTGTGGGACGGGAGTTTATGGGCGCCACGTGCTGGTCCCAAAACGTCGGCAAGCGCCGTGTCACGCATTTGTGACGTTCGCGATCAACTTGAAATCGCGGTCATGCTCTGCGAATTGGCTCGCCCAGATCGAGGGTAGAAGGCATGAATGTCTCTTGAGCAATGAGGCTCTTGTGGTGAGGGACATTGACGGGAATGTTCGCGGCAAGAGGGAGGCAGCTCAACGCAGAGCAACATATTTGCTGTGATTTTGCGTCTTCATCCGATTTGCGTATCTTCCTCGATGTGTTCACCCTACGGTAGCTTCGCAAGGAAGTCAATGAATATACATTCTTTGTGATTCTTGTATCATTTGGCGCGATGTTACGCGAGGTCATCTTCGTGGCGATCGGTGGTGAAGCGGATGGAGATGGGGATGTTGTGTGGCGCGAGATCGAAAGGAGTGACTGTGGTTACAGGCGGCGTGATCTTGGCGACGATGAAGTCCTGCGCAACGCGTCAATATTGGAAAATGGAAATGATGCGCGTATTCCACACCTTCACAAGCAGCGCACCAGCGTCAAAGCCCGGTATCGTCTCCGGGCCTGAGACTTGGACCTGCCTACGAGTAAACATCAAAACACGAGACTGCCGCACTACGCGAAAGAGCCTCACCCTTCCCAGCGCACGACTGTGTCCTCGCTTCTCCCCGGAGATCTGCGCACGGTGCCCACACCGAGCACCATCTCCCTCCGCCCCGGCATCTTGCGGACGCGCGCGACGACCTGGCGGACGATGTTGACACTGATGCTGACGCCCTCCCCGGAGGGCGGGAAGAGCGCACGGAGGACGGTGGGTGCGCCGTGTATGTTGAGACGGAGGGGGATGCAATGGCCGATCCAGTACACCTTCGCGGCGGGGATGGAGAGCTTGGCCTCGAGGGGCTGCGTAGAAACGCTTTTAAAGGCGACCTGTGAGGTCTGGTGGAACCATTGTGCGCTGTCGGTGAGTTCTGTCGAAGGTGCGATGATCATCGGCAGATGAGGCTTGGTGCGTCTGACGTAGTCGAAGGGGACCGTCAACCTGCTCGCTCTTAATCAATGCAAGTTCTCGGGATGCATCAGAAGGGACTTACGACTTGCTCCTCGGGAGAACGCCGTGCTTCTTGCGCCGGTCGACTGCAATCGTCATGGCGTATGTGGCGCGCGCTCGGAGGGAAGAAGGAGGTGGGAAGGAAAATTCGATAGTAGGTGGAAGTGGGCTACGCTGGCCGTCCTGCATGACGAACTCGGAGGCGAGTTGAATGTCGAAGGGGATATAGCTAGGAATCGCGGCCGAGCTCTCAGTAGCCTGCCACAGCACATGCGTCTCATTGAGAGTGTGATGCGTCTGGCTAATACCGCTGTCGATGTCGAGTGAGAGGTTCCCTTCAAACTAAGATGAATGATTATAATGTGAGTATCTGTGTCATCGGAATTTGATGAACAGCTCACCTTCAGGGAGATCTGGGTCGCTGCTGTGCACTCTTCGGGTCTGAGCATGATAGCCCCGGTGACACGCTGCTTGTGGAAGACGACGGGCCTCGAAATACCCTCAATTTGACCGCGCAGTCGAAGTGTAAGAGGGCCGCTAGCTTGCTCGTACTCGCCCATGGGCATCGCGCTCACGAAGGACCCCTGCAGAGTAATTTCATCGGCTTGTGGCTTGGCGGTATAGCTGGGTGCAGAAGAGCGATCGCCGGAGGTCGAAGTCGTGAGCGAAGCATCAGATGCTAAGAAACGGTAGGACATGACAGAGTGCCACTATTGACCGCAGGATGAACGGAGAGGCCAAGAGTGGGTTCGGTGACGCCCTCGAGAACGCCGACCAGTCATTTATACAGATCGACTTGACTCGCAAGAATACGGGCAAAGCATGCTAGCAGCCACAATCCGGAGCATTCAGGAGGTCTCGCAGTCAGGACTTGGCGTGTTGACTCACGAAGCTCGTTCAGACGGTATTTTGCCGTGCATTCAACTAAGTCAAAGGCAAGGGTTGGCGCCATACGATCCCGCTTTTGCTCGAATGAGCGCGCGATACACCGAGGTCAAGGAATTGCTTCTTTCCAACGTTGTTGTAGGGCATACCCGGGATCTGCACAAGACATGGCTGCGGTAAGTTCTGAAGATAGGCACTGACTGGGCAGCAGTAAACATGAGTCAAGGCTGCTGTTGGTGGATCATGACTCCGACGATGGACGCAGAAAGCAAAGGAACCAAAACGGGGTTTGCCGGCGGCCGTATGGGTCCATTGATTGATTCGGCCCGGTTCTCCGGCGGACCCTCTCGATCGCGATCGTCTTGGACTTGAACAAGTCCAGCAACAATGCCGTGCACGACTATCACTGAGCTGCCCCTATTCGCGACGCCCGAGGAGCACCAGGCTCTGACTGGGAGCACGCCTGCCTCCTTCTCTGAGATTCGGCCTGTCTTGAGACATAAGGAAGAGAATGTGTCTATAACTCTCGATCCCCCACTGGAAGGCTTCTCGACGGAGGACGGTGCGAGGGGAACGTTGTTTGTCATCGAGAAGTGAGTCGCTCACTCAGCATGATCTAGCCCGTCTACTCACCGATATATCACAGTGCCTTGTTCTTCATGTCAGCGTCCGGACGCGGTCTTCAGATCGACTACCCAACCATCACCTTGCACGCCATTTCCAGGGCAGAGTCCGGTCCTTGCGTATACTGCCAGCTCGACGACTCAGTTGGAGCTCCTGCAGCAAATGGTGCACCCCAAGAGAGTGATGAATACACCGCTCTGCGCGAGCTCAGCATCGTGCCACAGTCAGCCGCATCTCGTACGTCCTCTCATCATCCTCCATTCCTACATCAAACTCTAATATCACCTTCTCCCCCACCCCAGTCGAGCCCATCTTTGAAGCACTCTCACTCTGCGCATCCTTACACCCCGACCCCAACGACGACGAGGACGACGCGTTTGATGACGCGCTGATTGACGGCCAAGAGGGCCAATTCGAGACCTTCACCGGCGGGGAGGACGAGGAACTCAGTGAAGTCGGGCGGGTACGCAACAATTCCGCTGGCAACAACCGCTTTGCTCCGTACTAGACTTGCGAATGACGACCGCTTGCCAGGCTGCGCTCGCTCACTTGGAGTCCATCATCGTGTATCCGGAGGGTCACAAACCTGCTGTGAACGGAACTGATACCGGAGGGTCAGAGAAGAGCCCTGGAGCGGATGATTAGAGCTGAGTCTGGAGTTGATTTTGAGATGTTGTCTGCCTTCGCTTGCTGCAGTGTACTTCGTCGATGCTGGTTTTCGTATCATCCGGGTCAAACTCTGCATGTTGACCCCTTGGAGCTTTGCGCAAAGGTACCCTGTGAAACTGTCTCTTATACCAGCGTTATCTATGGGCGAAGATACAGGAAGAGTCCAAGATACCGCAATTGAGGGGAGGTCGATTTGCCATTGTTTGCTCTCGGCAAGTTCCGACAGCGAGTGTCACAGTGGTGTCACAAAACTCCCGTCTCTTCCTCGAACCACCATCTTCGTATCAAAAGAGCGTCCACATATCGGAATTTGCCTGTCCTTGTCGGCTTCACGTCCATCGAGGGTACTCAGTGCGATATTATGCCTCGAGATGGCGATGCGGCCGTGAAATCTACGACTCCTTTCACGTTGTTCACCGTCTTCCGAGAACACGAACGCAAACTGGATCAGACGACACTCCCCAATGGCTCAATCCGCAGTGTCAAAACTCAATCTAAGCGTCTTCAGAATACCAGCCCTTCCGCGGTCGTCGTCAAGCCCAAGGCCCGCGAGTATCTTCCGTTCGTCACGTGCGCGGTAGCGTCTTTTGTGGTCCCACCATCGCTCCGGAGTTCCTGTGCGCGGCGAGCAACACCAATCCTCGTCATCTCGGGCCTCTCCATTCCTTTCCTTGCCCACGCCTGCCAGCTGGTCGCCGGGGCGGTGTCGTATCCTGAGACTTCTTACAAATTTTGTGGTATGAAGGTGGGTGAGTCACCGTGAGTGTGGCAGCTCTATAGATTATCACCATTCCTCTTCGTTCCTATCCAGCATCTCCTCCTATCCGTATTAATCTTCAGAACGTGTCATTGCAGAACGTTCTCGTACTCGGAGGCTCCAAAAACACCGGGTATCTTGCAGCCGTCCGTTTGCTAGGTGGGCTCAACGCTGTTGCTCACATACATACCTTTGCTCACATTCCCTTCTTGCATAGATGCCGGAGCAACAGTCCGGCCGTCTTTGACGCTGATCCTGTATTGCGCAGAAACATCGGGCCAGGGAAGGCGCGCCTCGTGAAAGGCGATAGATCGAAGCAAGACGACGTCGCGCACGCATGGGCAGAAGCAGCGAAGGACAAGCCAGTCGACACCCTGCTATTCACCATTGGTTGATCTTTCCGCGTCTACCATCGCTTTCGTGTTCTCACAATACATTCAGGAAGAACGCCCCGATTCTCACTAACGGAAGGCTTCCCCATCGAGCCGCACAGTCTCGTCACGCGATGTCTCCTCAACACACTTTGCACGATACCTAAACACTCGCCGCACCCACGCATCGCCGTCGTGTCCTCTATAGCGTGTCTTCAAGCCGTTCTGAGCGCACGCGCTCGCGATGCCGCATTGCGACAAGCTGGACGTAGAGCGCGTGCTTGCGCCCTTCGCAGGCTTCCCGTGGGACGAGGAGGAACCCGAGCCGGCGGAGGACATCGTGGGCGCGAACTGGCGCGAGTGCAAGGGCCTTCCCGCCTCGGGCGAGCTGCAGAGCCGGCTCTGTTGACTCATGGAGAGTGCGAGGCGGACAAGGGGATAGCTGAGCCGTACACGGCGTCAGAACAAGAGCCGGGAGACACGGTGTCGCGAAAGGACGTCGGGAACTTCATCGCGCAAGCGATCATGACGATCGGGAGAAGTATCAGGGGAAGATCATCAATGTAGGCTACTGAGCGCTGTGTGAATATCTATGTAGCATACTGTAGTATCTTGTACAACAGAGGATGTAGTAATAATGTATACGTATCGCCTTGAACCCGCTAGCCTCCCAGTGCCTATACCATAGTCCACTCTTCGCACCAGAGACGGCGTAATTCGACGGAATCGTCGTGGTCAATGTCGACTGCGGGCTTCCCCTCCAATCGACAAGACTGCAACCTTTCCTTGATGTTGTTGATTTCATCCGGAAAGGACGTTGGGTGTTGGAGCCCAAAGCGAATTCTCAGCACAAGAGTCTCCAGGCAAGGAGCGACAATATCCGGTGCAAGGGCTCGTGAGCGAACGATGTCGTACAGCGAGGCGACCTCTTCCGAGCAAGTCACCCAGATCATCATGATGCCCAGGCGACGAAGAGCAGGCAGGTAAGCGCGGCGGTCATGACGAACCACAAGGGAGGATAGCGCGTCGTTGAAGGCTACCGTATTCTCGTCCAGACCTTCTCCCGATTGATCTTTCGCGAGGAGCCTAAGCTGCAGATGTTGCAGCGCGTCGCAATGAGCGAACAGCTCGCTCAGCTCAACAGAAAGAGCAGATCCGACGCTGATGGACAGTGTGGTGAGCTTGACGCCTTCTCCCCGAACGTAATGTGTCACAATGGCTAAGTCTTCGGGGTCGAGGGTATCCTTTATGACGTGGCATTCCGCAAGATTTGGCGCGCGAAAGCAGCGGAGGCGGTGGCCCCTTGCGACCGTGAGTTTGTGGAGCAGAGGACGCTCGACCCGAATCAAACTTTCCGGTCGTAGCAAGCCATGTGAGGACCTTTCAATAGTTTGCTCCGTGAGATAAAGGGCGCGAGCGCGTGTCGTGCGCTCAAGTGCCGCAGGTGAAGGTCGTCCTTTCAGGCTTAGGCGCTCTAACTGCTCCCACGGGAAGTCAATCTGCGGCCCCCAGTGCTCAACGTCTGTAAGCGCTGGACAGTCACTGAAGAGGTCGCGTAAGGGCGTCCAGTCCAGCCTGGCTAACATCTTGAACCGAAATATGGACCGTACGCTCCGAAGCTGTGCAAGTCGACCACGTGCGGGAAGTAGAAGATGGAAGATCGTCTCGCTGACGAAGACATCGAGACGCGTCCACCGCGCGCAGTGTTCAATTAGGACGTCAACCAAGGCTTTCGCAGCGTCTGTAACGATGTACTTGTTGCAGTGGGACCTCATCGATATGCTCAGTGGCAGCTCTGCAGATCGAGAAAGGATGACACGGAGGAGGGCTGCGGCGCTCGACAGGTTATCCGAATACGTCCTAAACTTGATGTGGACATCGGTCCAGAGAGTGGGTGTGTGGATAGCAAGATTGTGCCAGCTTTGACAGACGGCGGCGACGGCAGGAGGTCCGGCACGTACGATGACTCGGTTCTCAGGCCCCAGAGATGAAGGGACATCATCAAAGGTAACATCGTTGACGATGCGGCAGGCGTCAAATATCTCGAGGAGGACATCCGGCGGAACACGCGCGATGGGTCCTTGAGGGTGTTCGGGGTGGTCTGAGCTCATCGCGGAACTGTTGGTGAAGCATGCAGTCAGCCCAAGGTTAACGCAGTCGTTATCACGCAGCGCTCGCCTTTCCTTTTGTTGAGCCCGCCGAGAGTAGCGATTCTGTCAACGGCCGCCAGTGCAGGCTCAGAGGGATACTTGCACTGAACGCCGAACAGCTGTATGTAGTAGGAGGCAAGGTGCAATTCGGTAATGCTCGAGCACAAAAGCTGGGTCACGTGGTCGGCGCAAGCTAGGATCCACACGGTTACACAAACGTATCTTGTTCTGATTACGACCCTAGATGCCAGGGGACCCCCGCGTCCCACTCTGTCACAAGACAGTGCTTGCGTACGGTGGAACCCAGTATGGTGGACGTGCAATTTGCCACGCCTGCGTTAGTCTAGAACACCACTTAGACGGATATACAGCCGTTTGCAGAATAGAATGCAGTCCCGTGCTGCGAAATTTCGAGCACGCGACCGTCGTAGACCAATCAGACGTGTCGCTCGAGGGCCACCGACGCTCTACCGTGACATGTCCTATGTCGTGACACGAGGCGGCCAACACACGGACGCGTTCAAGTCGACGGTAGGCATCCTCGCGGGAGACTCTGCATCACCGGGCCTCTGGAACATCTACTTCTCGGACATCGCCATCCCGCCGCTGCCGGACGTGGTACGCCTGAATGGAGTGGGGGTCTCCCACGTTGAGCAGGCCGACGACGTCGCACTGTTGGCTAAGACGCTCGCAGCGTTGCAGATCATTGTCGATGCCTTCGCCAGATGGTGCGCAGACAACTTCATGATCATCAATGCGGGAAAGACAAAGGCAATGATGTTTGGGCCCATCCCACGGCGTTTGGTGCGCGTGACCGTGAACGGCGAGGGGATCGATTTCGTGCGCGAGTACAAGTACGTCGGAACCATCTTCTGCTCGACGACGAAGAACATTTTCGAACGAAATTACCATGTCAAGGAGGTGAAGGCGCGCGGGATGGCCAGCGCGATGTTTGCGGTCGAGGACATGGTGGGGACTCTGCCCGTGCCAGTGGGGTTGAAGCTCTACATGATGCGTATTGATCCCCACCTCGTCTTCGCCTGCGAAGTGGCGCTTGATGTCGATGACAGACTGGTGAAGGAGCTGCAAGGGGTCCAAGACCATTTTCTGCGGCGCCTCGCCAGCTTGAATCCACGCAGCATCCGTGGCGTCCTCAATACGGAAACTGGACTCATGCCGTTGCGCGCTCGACGCTTATTGTTGGCGCTTCGGTACCTGGGATATCTCTTGACTCTATCGGACGACCATCTGGCAAGGCTTGCTCTGGAGGAGTCCTTCGATCTCGCCCGCAACGGGTGCCCTTGCTGGATAACGGACCTGCAGCATGTCCTCAAGTCCTACGTGCCCGCTCATCAGCGATCACTGGTCCGCTTGCACGACCGCAACCTTCTACCTGCCCTGCAGACAGAGGTGGAACACGCGGCAGACCATCTCTTAGCGGCCGAACTTCAGGCAATGTCGCGCCTGGATCTTTGGAATGCACGCGCGACAGGGAAGGTGCGGGCGTTGCGACCGTACCTCTCAATTGCGGTGCCCGCTCACAGGAAGGCACTGACGAGGCTGCTGTTGAGCGATCACACCCTAGCTGTCGAGGTGCAGAGACGACCGGACCGCTATCGACACGCAGTGGGCGCAAGGGAAGATCGGCGTTGCCGCATGTGTAGGGGAGCTGTCGAGGACGAGGTACATGCCCTCCTCCACTGCCGAGGACATGCTGCACTCATTGATTTGCGCGAGGAATTCCTGCGTAGGCTGGACGACCTCGGCTTGCAACGCGAGCCTCCTCCAGACGACCATTGGGACCTACGCCTCATTTGGTGGCTGGCGGAACACAAGCGGGACGACGTTAGGGCTTTATGGGCACATTTCGTGTACCGCGTTCTTGCAGTTTTTGATACCGTGCCGATGTTCGTTCTTCCACGCTACAGGAAGAGTGTCGTCACATAGATTACACATAGCTACATATCCTGGGACTGTGTTTCAGTAGCCTCGTGCCAATGTTTGAGTTCGTGAGGTGATGGGTGCAGTCATTATTGACATAGCTACCTGTATGCCACAGCGATAAGAACGGCGGTGCTCCGTCGCGTAGTTTACTCTCTCCTAGGCTACGTAGGACGGATAGGGCCGTTCCTTTTTAGGGACCTCCCCCGAATTAATATATTCCTTCCTTCCTTCCTTCCTTCCTCTGGGCGCGCAGGTATGCGTTCCTGGCGACGCGACGGGACACACGTGCTCGAAATCTCGCGGCACGGGACTGCATTCTATTCTGCAAACGGCTGTATCACCCCGGGCCCAGGGGAGTCTCTAGCCAACTTCTCGCGTCGGGGGCTTAATTATTGTCCTGATAACTAGTCAAGTGGCCCCTTGGGCATATATTACCTGCTGAGATTGTATTTACATTTGGGTCTTTCTCACAACAAGAGGAAATACGAAGTTCAAGCGGCTGCGATGGCCTGCCATACCCGATCCTCGACCTCCCGCACGACCTTATCCTCGGTGTTAAGGCTGAGCATCAGATACGCTACGTCACCCAGCGTCCGGAAGTGGATGCTGAAGGGCGCGCCCCCAGGCGCAGACGACAGCCCGCCCTCCCCACGCTCAACATTCCCGAGCCCCTTCAGCAGCTCTTGCGCAGAGTGGGAGACGTAACCTGGTGGTAAAGGTCAGAATATATGTTACGGCCAGGAGCTGCAAGCCATCCTTACCGCCTTGCTCCGTCTTGACCTTAACCGCCAGGACGGTGCCCAGCGTCATCACCTCCGCGATCTTGTCGTGCTTCGAGAGCGCCTTCACAAACGTCGGGTCCCACAGACTCCACACCCTCGCCTCCTCCGTCGTGGTCGGCGCCCATCTCGCTCTCGCCGAGTCCCACGTACCCTCCTTCTCCAACCTCGCAATTTGATTGAGCGCCTCATTCGCAACTGCGCACCCGACCGCGTGCGCAGAGTAAGAGTGCCCGTGCAGGAGCGCGTCCGCCTTCGAGTCGCTCAAGAACGCATTGTAGATGTCGCGCGAGGCGAGCGTGGCAGCGAGCGGGAGGAGGCCGCCGGTGAGGATCTTGGCGTACACGGCGATGTCGGGCGTGACGCCAAGGAGCGGGGCGGCGGACTCGAGACCGAGGCGGTGGAGGCCGGCGAAGACCTCGTCGAAGATGACGGGCATGCCGGTCCAGGATGAGTTGGCGGTGGAGGTGGAGGAAACGGTCGAAGATGAGGGGGAGCGAGAGGAGCCCCGCCCGCGCACGACGTCAATGAGGACGCGCTGGAAGAGCGGATCGACGAAGATCATGCCGCCCGCGCCCATAACGAGGGGTTCAAGGACGAGCGCGCCCAGCTGCGTGTCATCGCGCTCGATGTTCCCAAGCACCTTCCGGATATGCGCCTCATACGATTTCGCCAACGTCGTCTGCATGCGGTATTCTACATCGTACACGCGCGACAGCGAGTCCGCGCGCACGAGCTCGTCCGCGTCCTTCCCAACGACCGCCCCCGGAACTCTGACATACACCGCACCTTCCCGAATGCCCACGGTCGGCGGCTCGAGCCACACCCCTCGCGCATTGTGCCACTCGCACGAGTAGACACCCCCATCCTCGCACGCGTCCATCGCGCCGAGCGTGTCGCCGTGATAGCTGCCCTTCAAGCCGAGGATGCCCAGCTTCTTCGCCTCCTCCGTGCCGCGCAACTCGTGGCGCACCGCATACGCGCGCAACGCCATCTTGAGTGCGACCTCCATGCCTGTCGACCCGTTATCGGAGAAGAACGCGTAGTCCGCCCACCCGGCACCTGGCCCTTGGACGAGACGCTCGGCGAGCTCGAGCACGGGGGCGTGCACGGCGGAGGGGAACATGACGTGTCCGTAGCGGCCCGCGGCGTGCGCGGCAGCGAGCGCGACGGCGGGATGCGCATGCCCGAGGGCCTGCGTCCACCAGGAGGCCGAGCCGTCGAACTGGGGCTGAAGAGCGGAGGCGCTGGGGTCGGAGGTCGGCCGGTGCACGCTGAAGAAGTCACGGTGGGCACTGTCGATGACGTTGATGTCCTTCTCGCCGGCGATGAGACCGTGCTGAACGAAGGGCCACCAAATCGTGTCGAGCGCGCGACGCGGCATGGAGTAGAGCTCGGTCTGACGTTGTGCGTGCCGGGAGTCGAGGTGGTCGAGGATGCTGGCGATGCTGTCTGCGCCGTCTGCCGAAGTGACTGACTGGTAGTACTTGTCCGTACGCGCGAAATTCTGCGTGGGGTCCGGGTGCAGGTCGGGCGGCTTGTCGAGGGCGAAGACGGGGATATCGCGCTCGGAGAAGTATGACTTGAGGTACTCCCAGTTGCGGTAGTATCCCTCGCGGAAGAGCAGGATGGCGTCCACTGTGTAGCCGCGCAGGTGCAGCGACTCGAAAGAGGAGATGGTAGAGGATATGCCGCCGAGCTTGGAGTCTCCTACAAGGATAGTCGGGAGGAAGAGAGGGCGATAGAGATCCAGTTGTGTGGTACCAGACAGTGATGGACTGTGGACGCCTGTAGTATGTCAGTCGACTGGGATATAGGCGAGATATCATTTGCGCTCACCTCCAGCAGTCTCGACATACATATGTGCGAGGGGATTGCCTGCCAGTTTGTGCGCGCGCGACGCGCAGGTCTTGATGTGCTCCGCGATGGCGTTGACCACGGTCCCATCCGCGGGCGCGCCGCTGACATTCTGCGCGTCCTTCTGATCGAGCTTGACGGCGAGGTGGGGACTGACGGGTTCTGTGTACCGATACAAGCAGTCGGCGTGTACTTTGCTCTTGACCGAGCTGGTGAAGCGCTGAATGTGACTGCGCTAGGTCAGTGTATATCCGATCTGACTGGCGGCGCACTCACCCATCGTCCGCCTCGTTCATCGACCCCGTGCTGACTGGCTTGAGGTAGAAGACATCATGTCCTCTCGCCGCCGACGCGCGTACCAACGCCGTCGTGAGCAGGGTCTTCCCGACATCAGTGTTGGCACCAAAGATTTGGTGGACTCTGAGGTGTTTGAACAGGCTGGACATTGTTCACGACCGTTTCATGACCTCTGGAAGCCGTCGAGGGAGAGAACGAGTCAGGTCGGGGAGAAAGAGGCGCAGGATCGCGTCAGGCGTCGGCGCTCCGCGCGGCAAACGCGATCGCCGATCATTGCATCATGTCCGGTGAAATACCCCCAGGCATTGCCAGGCAAGTCTTGCGGGACCCCCCGCGCAGACTGCCACGACAATCATGGTCAGTTGGTCTGTGCACGGAGATGTCCTCTCTGAAATACCTCGGATATCGATTGTGAAGGACACAGAAACAAGAAACGCTCAGAGGTCTTCTACGAAGTCGTTGTGTACTTGGTGCGGGCTTCGGATGGTCTGAGATGACCCTCGGGCTCTACGATGGATGCGAAAAGTGCGTCTGTATGGGGCTCGGGCGTAGGAACATGGAAGGAGAAGAAAAGCCATGATACAAGTACGACTACAATACCTGCCATATCGGGCAATAGCACGTGCTCGAGCGGGTCAATCTGCCACGCGCGCCTCGGCGCTTAATTCCCAACCATCACTCGAATAGACGGTCTGCGCGCTAAGTCTTCGTCGCGGTCAGAATGTTCGCCACTACCATACGACGAGCTTCAAGTGTCTCTACTGGTCCTCTCCGCGAGGCAAGCGCGTCCCTGCTTCCGCCTATTCAGTGCGTTCCGCTATCCGGCCCCGCTCGGAACGTCGACAGGCTGACAATCCGGCTGCAGGTTGTACAGAGGCATACTGCGCGGGCACAGGTATCTTCCACCAGAGATGAGAAGTCTGGGGGACGACTATGTGAAGGCTGGTACGTCGCTTCGCGCGCAACCAATCCGGAGCCGCCTCTTACGCTCGTTACCCCAGAGTTTCGGAGACACCGCAAGGTCGATAACCCACTGCATATCATCGCTTTCTTGACGGAGTGGAAGCTATACCTTGACCAACTACCGAAGGATGAGGGCAGCGTCAACTTCTCGGGGCGGAAACTCGACCCTATGTTGATTGAGAAGGTGAGCCGAGGTCGCGCCAATCTCTGCAAGTGTTGTAGGCTGAATTTCTTTCGTAGATGTCCGCCGAGCAGTTGGGGCAGCTATACGAGCTGATGCATGCAACGAAGGACGTGTGGAAGCCTGCTAGCCAGGACTTAGGCGAGTCAGAACCTGGTCACCAGTGAATTCTGCACTAGTATCTCTCGTTACCCACTTGGCTCTTTTATTCATCTTCCTTCGGACTTTCTGGTACTCACTCTTGAGCCCGAAAAATGTGTCTTATAGCTCATAGCACGGTAAGCGACCAGCACTTTCGCGCTCGCGTCTACAGGCAACTGACCGCTCATCTCAAGATGCAAGGTTGTTTCCAAGTCACGAGATTTGCTCCTGACATGCAGGCATCGGAGTGATAAACGAACTTTCATGGGCGCATTCTCGTTATTGCCTCGATTGGATGCGTTTCCGAGGGTGTGTCTGCCGTCGCGTCACAAAAATGACGTTTTCGTCAGTTACGGTTACGGACGACCGGTAGCAGCGCTGGCCATCATTAGGCTGTGTGTGCGTGGGCGGCGCCTTCTTGGGGCGAGGCCTCACGTTGGCAGCCAACAGACCATCCTCCTGCTCAGCTGAGCGGGTGTCATCCGCACGCAAGTGAAGAGGCAGTCCTGATTTGATTCGGCGATTCAGCGGTGGCAGTGGTCCTCCTCCTTCTTCCCATTCTGTCCACCTACCACCTCGCGTCGTCCGCACGAAGATTACCGACATGACAGGTGAACTGCTTATCGCGCAAAAGGAACGAGACGCTGACGTCGAATGCTGGTGCTGTTACAACATGGGAAGGCAGCGTGTGAGGTTGGTATAAAGGTTATCGATACGCTCCACGCTTCCCCACTCAACGCTTTCCCTAGCCCGTAGTCATCTCCTAGACCCTCGCCTCTGCCATGGCACCTCCCGGAGTTGTCTTCCTACTCAAGTCCGTCCCACCCCTCATCTACCCCTCCGTCTTTGCCTACGGCTGCCTGCGCGCCATCGAGCTCCTTCGCGACATCCAGCTACCCGTCCATGTCATCGCCATTGCCGTCCTCCTCGTCAACCTACTGCTATCGCTCGGCCAGCGGGTCTGGGCGCAGAGCAGGAACCGGCGCAAGGCTGCCGCGATGGGCGCCGTCATAGCACCCGCCGTTCACAGCAGGCTTCCCTTCGGCATAAGCCATATGCTGAACAGTCGCAGGACGGTCGGGAAGGCGATGTTTAGTGAGTGGAACGTGATACGCTCTCGGAGGGTGCGTACTCATGAAGGATCAGCTGATCTTATGGGCAACTGGGCGAAGGAGACGAACTCGAATGTCTTCCGCGTCGAGATCTTGGGCGATGCGAGGGTAAGTGAAACTCTGCTGACTGATGCGGTGCGTGTGCTGAAGGTTGTTTGTGCAGATAATTACGCTCGAGCCTGAACATGTGAAGGTATGTCTCAACCGGGCGAGTTTGAACCCTGACTAAGACGATGTGTCGTAGGCTATCCTGGCCACTCAATTCGAGGAGTTCGAGAAAGGTGCGGTACTTTGTTGTAGCTCGTACCGGCTCTGACCTTCGCACAAAGGTCACGTTCAACGCCAACTTGGCCGATCCCTCCTCGGTCAAGGCGTCTTCAACTCTGATGGCGACATGTGGAAGTAAGCAGGCCAAGCACACCCTCCCTCGAAGAAGCCCAACTCAACGTCCACCATGACTCACCCAGATTCCATCGCACCATAACCCGCCCCTTCTTCTCCAAGGACCGGATCGCGCACTTCGACATCTTTGACCGGCACGCCGAGGGCATCCTCAGCCAGGCTAAGACGCGCCTCGCCCAGGGCTTCCCCATCGACTTCCAGGACATGGTCGCGCGCTTCACACTCGATTCCGCTACCGAGTTCCTCTTCGGGCACGACGTCGACTCCGCGGGCGCGGGATTACCGTACCCTCCAGGCTCGCCCTTAGCCTTCGCAGGCCTGCGGGACCACCCGTCGGATCGGTTCGTCGACGCCTTCACGGAGGGGCAGAATCTGATGGCGCTGCGCACGCGGACGAGTGGAACCGCGTGGCCGCTGTTTGAGTTCTGGCAGGACCGGGTGGCGGCGAAGCGGCGCGTAGTGGACGAGTTCGTGAACAGTATACTGGACGAGTCTGCGTTTGTCGGCGCGGGGCAGGATGTGGAGGCCAAAGTGGGCGCGGCGGGAAAGCCGGGTGAGGAAGATACATTACTGCATCATCTATTGAACTATACGCAAGGTAAGTGTCGTGCACGAGTTATAATCGAAGGACATCTGCTGATGCGTCGTCTGCAGTCAGGCAGGTCTTGACGGACGAAGTTGTCAACCTTTTGGTTGCTGGACGGGACACGACCTCCGGCACCCTAACATACGGCATCTACAAGCTGGCCGAGCACCCAGACATAGCGGACAGGCTGCGCGCTGAGGTTCTTGACAAAGTAGGGCCGACGCGCCGCCCCACGTACGAGGATATCCGCGACATGCAGTGTGAGTGCCTTGATCGATACATGCTGACGATGAGCTGACTGGGGTTAACAGACATGCGCGCCTTTCTGAACGAGGTTCTCCGTCTGTACCCCATTGTGTACGTGAACATCTTGCTCGAGCTTCCATAGACTTACTAATGAATTTTGTAGTCCGCTCAACAGTAGGCAAGCATAGAGCATCCTTGAGCTCAGCCTCCATCTAATCGACACTTCAGGACCTCTAACAGGGACACCCTTCTTCCCTACAAGGACAGCAGCAGGGCTCCTATCTTCGTGCCCAAAGGGACTCGCTGCGCGTACAGCGTCTACCTCATGCATCGGCGCACCGACCTCTGGGGTCCTGATGGTCTGCGTCCAGCTCTCTTTCGTCCTCTGACATCGCTCACCCCCCGCCCGTAGCCGGCAAGTTCGACCCCGACCGCTTCCTCGACGCGCGCCTCGGCAAGTACCTCACGCACAACCCGTACATCTTTCTCCCCTTCAACGCCGGCCCGCGCATCTGCCTCGGGCAGCAATTCGCGTACAACGAGATGTCCTTCTTCCTCGTCCGTCTCCTGCAGAGCTTCTCGTCCTTCACCCTCGCCGACGACGTGCAGTCGGCGGAGTCGATCGCGCACTTCCGTACGGCAGACGCGCCGGACGCGGAGGTCGAGACGAGGATGTTTGGGGCGCATCTGACAATGTATCTGAAGGTGCGAACTCATTCTGGAGCTCGTGACGGTTTGGTGACGCGAGCGATGATATAGGGTGGTCTCTGGGTACGCATGTCGGAGGATCCGGCGTCAAAGAATCTGTAGACCATGACAACGACCCGTCCGTCGCGATATGGACCTCATATCTCGCATGAATTCAAGACGATGAGATATTTGTACCTATTCGATTTCCAATGACTGAAGACAACGAGAGAAACCCTGCCCTTGGGCACGGATTGACAACGCTCCAACGGCCAAGCGAAAAAATCACCCTTCACGAATTGGCTTGCTCTCGAAGCTGTTGCGCCAGCTCTTCCATCGATATCGACGTGGATGAGTCGCTGGTACTCTTGAGACGCGCTTCAGCGGCCCCTTGATATTTCTCGACTATACCGATAGGTCAGAGCAGTGGCATAGTCAACCGGTCTCGCCCGCTTACCGGCCTCTGCAAGGTCCTTCCAATTGCTGATGATCTTCTTCTCGTTGAGGTTGGCGATGTATTCATTCGCGCTCTTGATGTCGTCCTTGACCATCTTGCCGAGGTTCGCCAGATCGTCCGAGATTGCCGTCCAGCTGCCCATCATCTGTTCGACGACGCCAATGGCGGTGTTCACCGGAGTGAGGACCGCGGTCAGGTCAGCCTTAAAGTCGATGTGGTGATCAGCTTTTGTGACTAGAGTAAGCCGCAAGACGCACGTCTATGGCCAGAAGATCGGCCAGAATCGAATGCCTGTCCTTCTTCTCGCCTCCGTCGTTTGCGATGATTGCCCAGACGTCGTCCGCGAGGTTGGCAATCTTTGTGGCGTCGGAGCCGCGAACGCTGGTGATAGCAGACATGACGATTGTGCCGGAAAGCTCGAGCCACTTATAAGACGGAGCAGCGCACGCCACAAGCTGATCTTGACGACGAGAACGATCAGTGGGTGATACCGGTAGTCTGTCTGAACATACCTTGCTCATACGGTGCTGTGGTCTGCGCTACTTTCTCACGGAGCGTCTTGAGCTGCTTTTCAGTATTCTCTGCGTCCTCGACCATCTGTGCGATGGCTTCGTGCAGGTCATCGCTGCGCTGCTTGACGACATCTTGGGAGGCGACCATACGTCCTTCGAGCGATCTGAGATTCTCGGTGCAGACAGAGGACTGGGAGTTCAGATCATCTATCTTTCCGGTCTGTACGCTGATGAAGTTGTCGATCTCCTTGCTGAGCCGGTCCGCCTCTTCTTGGTCGGTTGCGTTCGCCAGATCCCTCACGCATTGGAAGATATGACCTCAGATATGGGCTCAGTGCACCCTCGGCAACGTCAAACGGCATAACGTACTGTAGGGCGATTCACCATCCATGCCAGCAGCATTCCGGGCATAAGTGAGCGTCAGATCTGCGACGTTGAGGATGCTTGGGTAAACTCTGTCTTTGCATTCGGTGCTGTCTGATTTCACCTGAAGGGGCGGCGAGTTCTAATGTCATGGAGGCGGAGAATGTGTCGCTGTGACAGACCTTGCCATATGCCTCCCAGAGAGGCGAGAGCTGCTGCCAGAGGACATAGATGAGAGCTAGGAAGTTGAGTCGCAAGCGATATTCGTAGGCCTCCAGCGTTTCGGGAAGCGATTGTCCCACTTGTATGTATTTCAGAAGATCATACATGGCCTGATGCTGAGCAGCATAGTTCCCGTCCGAGTTCAGAAGGCCACGGGCGGTCATGGATCCGTTGTCTGCCATCAAGACGCTGGCGTTGCGCTAGGAGGTCGGCCTAGAGTAGAATCGACTGAGGCGGCGGCAACTGAGTGGTGAATGACCGACTCATCCTATATATCGCCCGCGCTGAGTGAACGATGTGCGGCATTGTGGCATATGAGCTCCACAAAGCCGCCCATCGTCCGAAGCCATATGGTGCGCAAGATGCACTGCGGGTCAGCCGAGCTTTGCGTCGCATCCTGACTCGAATGGAAGGAGTCATGATGGACGCCTCGGAGACTTCGAGACACGCCGCTATCGCCGACTTGCCGAGTCGAAGTGGGTGCTCGAACCATTCTGATGATGTGTGACACAGAAGCATCGACGAGCACGGATGAATAGAACTCTGGTGGATATTGTACGTAGTCAGCTGGAAGTTATGTTATGACGGTAAGCACTCACCACATGCGGCCCCATAGTCAAGTTGATGGGCAAAAGACAGGTAAGACCATACAAGGGTCAAGTAGCGCGCATAGATGTGCTACAAACCAGTCAGTCGCCCTTGTCGTTGATCACACCGGCGGAGCGCTCCCCGCTCTTGGAATTTCGAACCAAAGCAGAGATCGGGACTTGCCGAATCAGGTACGTGATAGAGCTTCATGTCGTGTATAGGTGGCTAGACAAGACGGCAGAGCCAACGGCTACCCTACTTCCCTGCCTGCGCGCGCAACTGACGCGCCAGATCATTCATAGATATAGACGCGGGTGCGAAACTGCGAAGGTGCGCTTCGGGTTGGGCAGCGCCTTGAAACTTCGCAACTGGAGACAGTGATGAGTCTGGCGCTTCTGCGGTCGCGCAAAGAAGCGCTTGCTTACCCGCGTCTGCGAGATCTTTCCAATCGCTGATGATCTTCTTTTCGTTGAGGCTGGCAATGTATTGGTTTGCGCCCTCGATATCATCCTTGATCATGTCAAGAAGGTTGCTGAGGTCGCTCGAGATTGCGGTCCAGCTACCCATCATCTGCTCGATTACGTTGATAGCCGAGCCGGACTCGCTGAGGACAGAAACCAGGTCGGTCTGGCAAGGAGGGGTATAAGCTCCCGATCAACGTTGTATGAATGTATGGGCGCACGTCTACCGCTTTGAGGTCTGCGAGAATAGAGTTCCCGTCCTTGTTGATGACATTGTCGGCGGCGATAGCCGCTGCGACGCTATCCATTAGGTCCGCAGTGCTAGTGGCATCACGACCGCGCAGAACAGCAATGGCCGACGCAGCGAGGACCCCGGAAAGGTTGAGCCACTCGTATGTTGGGGCCTCGCATGCTACAAGCTGCTCTGTCAATGAGTGGGTGATTGATACATGGGATCCTATACAGGCTACAAGCGCACCATGCTCGTATTTCTTGGTAACTTCTGATACCGTCGAGCGCAGGGTCGACAACATGCCCTCGAGCTCGCCCGGATTTGGAAGCGCCTGCGCGACAAGGTTATGCATGGCTTCGCTGCGCTGCTGGACAGTAATTTGAGAGCGCCTCATATGCTCGTCGAGTCCCTTGAGGGCTTCGGTGCATATATCGGATCGCATTTGCAGTGTTTCGACTTTGTCTATCTGTTTGCCGATGAGATGATCGAGCTCTTGGGTGAGGATGAGCACCTCATCCGGACGTGTTGCGTGGGCGAGGTCTCTGACAAGCTGGAAGATACGGCCTGCGTCGCAGTGCGGTCAACGGATGAATCAACGAAGCCAGTGAGGACGAACTGTAGATCGAGGTGCCATCGATACCCGCCGCATCCCGTGCGTATTCCAAGGTTTGCGCGGCCACGTCGAGTATCGTCGGGTAGGTATGGTCACGGCATTCAGAACTATCCGCTATGATCTGGAGGATAACTTGAGCGTCATGTACGTTACATCGGACGGAAATTCGAACATACGAGCGCATACGCCTCAACGAGAGGGTCAATGTCGTCGAAGACCCACATGAAGGCAAGGGGGTCGAGTTCAAGACGATATTGATACGCCTCGACGGTGTCAGGAAGCCGCTGTCCAACAAGAATATACTTGAGGAGGTCGTACATGGCCTAATGTTGTGCGACGTAATTTCCATCCGAATTTAGAAGGTCTCTGGGCGTCATAGAGTCAGCATTCGCCATCGTGAAGACTGTGTAGAGGTCGCAGCAGAGTACAGAGGAGGAATGGACATAAAAAGCAATAAAGAGCGGAAGCAAACGTTATATATGACCCATGCCGTCCAGTGACGACCGACATCGTGGCACAGGAGAGCATAGAGCCACCGGTCGTCCGCACTACAGTGCGCGTGTGACGGGCTGCGGGTCAGTCGTACGTCTTTGGTGTATTCGTAGTCGAAGTGAAAGGAGCTATGGCGCCGCTAGCACAGGATCGAGCTCAGCAGACCGGCTCTCGAGAGCCAGCCTCGATCTCGTCAAGGTCTTGTCAAGAGTTGTGCACATGCCAAGAGAAGCCCGGCTGAACAGCCCTCAAGCGCGGTCGCCTGAAGATCGGATGAAGAGAAAAAGCGGCTGTTGCGCATCTGATAGACAACCGAGTCTCGAGGGATCGAAACAGAGCAGCTACCGGGACTTGCCGAATCGAGTACAGGCGGCGGAGCTTTATGGCCACGTTTACATAACACGCCACCTCCGATACGACCACTGCCCGGCCTGCACGCGGAGCTAGCCCCCAAATTCACCTATCAAGATCCGCACTGGGCCGCCGAGGGCGCGCATGAGCAGCTCCTTCGTACTCGGCGACTCAATAAATTTGTGAGACCAGCGCTCTCGCGGCCGATCAAGAAGGCTGGAAACTCACCTTCGTCTGCAAGGTGCTTCAAGTCACTGATTATGTTCTTCTCAATCAGGCCAGCTGTATACTGGTCTGCGCTTTTGATGTCGTTCTTGAACATGTCGCGGAGGTTGTCGAGGTCGCTCGAGATGGCGGTCCAACCGCCAATAATCTGCTCGACATCGTCGGTGGCAGTGTTCACCAAATTAAGGGTGGCCTTCAGGTCGGCCTTGTGGTCGGGGTGGTGGTCAGCTAATAGAAGTGAAGATAGCTGCGAGACGCACGTCCATGGCTGCAAGTTCGGCAAGAATGGGGTCCCATCCTCCACCATCGTTCGTCACGATCGCCCAAACGTCGTCCGCGAGATCGGCGGTCTTCGCGGCGGCGGCACCGCGAACGCTGGTGATAGCAGACATGATACTCGCGCGGGAAAAATCGAGCAGACTATAGGATGGAGCGGCGTCCGCCGCAAGCTGATCTTGACGAGGAAAATGATCAGTCCGTACTACCAAAAGCCCTTCTAGACATACCTTGCTCATACGGCGCTGTAGTCTGCGCGACCATCTCAGGTAGAGCCTTAAGCTGCTTTTCGCCGTCTTCTATGATCTCTACAAGGGTTGCGATGACTTCGTGAAGGTCATCGCTGCGCTGCTTGACCAGCTGCTGAGATTCCTTCATCCGCCTCTCCAGCTTGTGAAGGGAATCGGAGCAGCCATTCGAGCCCGCGCCCAACACCGTAATTTCCTCGATTTGCTCGGAGATGGAGTCGTCGATTTGCTCAATGAGAAGCTGCGCCATGGCCTCATCAGTAGTATTGTCAAGATCTCTGACAAGTTCAAAGATTCCGCCTACGCGACAATGCAGCCAATCAACGACTTTGTGGCAGCAGAAGAGCGTGAACGCGCTCACGGGTTGTGTCGGGGGCAGTCCGCGCGTAATCTGAGATCAGGACTGCGGCTTGTAGAATGCCAGGGTAGACTGCATCTCTGCATTCGCAGCTATCTCCCTTGACCTAGACGTGCGCAATTAGACATGGTCTAATACAATTAAAAAAACTATGCATCGTACCCTGGTGTATGCCTCAAAGAGACCTTCAAGGACCTGATCGAGTTCCGAAACAATGAGAAGGGAGAAACCAAAGCGTTCTTGGTACTCCGCTATAGTCTCCGGTAGTGACTGAACAATCTCTATATATCTGAGCAAGTCATCAATGACCTGATCTTGCGCGGCATAGTTTCCGTCAGAATGTGAAAGGCCTCGAGGCGCTATGAAGTCGGTGCTGGACATGATAACGGAAGGTCGTATCGGGAGAGGCAAGAGAGAAGTGAGGAGAAGTTGGAGCGAGGTCGGAACGAGGTTTACTTTATATACCTGAGTCAAGAAAATGGTTGAAGGAGGCCGCTCAAGCGACGAGCGCGACACATAGCCTCGATTGCGGCTGACTTACGTCAAGCATAAGGCCTAAGGACCCAAAGTTATTACTGTGCTTCGCAGGGTCCACTCGACGCAGCTAGGTGAGTTGGAATCCATCCGCGCGACGCTAACGTCGACCACGCGGGCAGGTTGAGGGCATGGTCATCGGAAGAGAAAGCAGTAGCAAATCTGTCAGCCTAAAGGTCGGGGAATCATGCAGAGAGGCCGAATTCCAGTCAACTTCGAGTTCAATTAGCATTGATGATGACCGTCAAGGTCAAAGGTTGCGCGGACCGGGATTTGCCGCTGAGGACCCACGTGCTGCGGATCGAGCCACGGTCCGATCGACGCGCCCCGGTGCCTGAGCCACGACTCTCTTCTGACCACCATCATCAGCAGCAGACGCGTCGCTTCCTGAGGGCTCTCACGCCGAGAATGAACCTGCATGTGCTCCCCCTCTTCGATACCCCGATGTATAGATTATTCTTGCTGTCCTTGTCTACGGGAACCACGCCGAGATCTCCGTCGCCGAACTGCGGTTGTGCTGGCCCTCAGTCCCTGCAGGCCGTACTCTCACAAGTGAGCTATTCGGTCGCAGCCTGGATTGCGAAGGACGAATATACGGGCAGCTCTCCCCGCGCCATCTTGTGCAAGTGGCCTGCCAACGCGGACGAGCCTGCATCAGCGGTCCGCAGAATGGTATCGAAGCAACGACCGTATGACCCCCGCGCCGGGTATTGCGACGGCGACGGTGTATAAAGGCCAGCTCAGAGTTCGGTGTATCCCCAGAACCCGACCTGCACTCGACCCCCTCCTGAGCCCGTCAAGCAAGGGACATGTTCTTGTACGTCCCACCCGCCTCATTTGGCGGACCTCTCTGACTTTGACGCAGCCACGGCCGAATCTCCTCTCTTGCGCTCGCTGTCTCTGCGGCGGTGATGCTGTCCGGCAGCGCACCGATCGCTCAGGCTGCCACTACGGTCATCCCCAAGGACTCCTTCTCGTCGTTCGACGATTTCTGGAAGTACCTCTACCCGTGGGGAAGTGACCACAACGGCAGTACGTACTGTCTGTTCGCGTACACCCATTCATAGACTCATTCTGTCCGTCTCAACAGGCGCTCGCATGGCGGAGAGCCAAGTCGACGTCGACTCGGGCACGCTGGTGCTCAAGGCGACCCCAACGACGGTCTCGGACAAAGCGAGCATTCACTACCTCAGGTACGTTGCAGTCTCGACGTATTACGCATGGGTGTATTCAACACTCATCTCTCTTTACAAGTGGCGCTGTGCACTCGACCAAGCAGATCACCGTCACCGCCGAGAACTCGTACACCGTGTACGGCGAGTTCAGTTCGCCAACTGCTAAGGGTACCTGGCCCGCCTTCTGGTAAGAAACTATTGCTTCTCGTCTCGTGACCAGCTTTCTGACAGCTATATAGGCTTAACGTGCGCTCTCCTTCTGCCTTGGCTGACGCAATTGCTGGACGCTTTCCCTACAGGCTGCTTCTGGCTGGCCGCCTGAAATTGACATTGGCGAATGGAAGGGCACGGCCGACAACTGGTTCAACACCTTCAACACGTCCTCGGCGGTCAAGTCCACCACCGTCCCGTGGCCCACGGACCTCTCCTTCCACTCCCTTCAGGCGGTGCTCACGGCGGAGCCCAACGGCGCGGACGTGCGCGTCGACTTCTCGATGGACGGCGCGCTCAAGGCGACGCACTACGCGAAGGGCTACGTCGGGAAGACGCTCAACTTGTGAGTTCGATGCCTTTCGCGATTGGACTGCATGTCGCGATACGATTGAGGGCGTACGCTGACCGACGTCATCACAGGATCATCAACCTGCAGATGGAGGGCTCGTCTGGCACGCCGGCGCCTGCTGACGGTGCTACGTACCAGGCCCGCAACGTTGAGGTCACGATCAACTAAGGTGGCCCCGTCGCAGGCTCATCGAAGGGTTTGCTTTTCACTCTTTTTGCTTTCGTCTGTCAAGTCGAGCTGCGCTCATTCCTTTTGGTCCCGTGCTTCAATGTAATGATACCTCGAATGTGATGCCATTCTTTCACCCTCCTGATCACGCACCTGTACGGACACAGTCATCCGCATCCTCCGAGTGAATGGCAAGCAGCAAACTATCAAGCCCGACCGGCAACGCAGCTGGGCCATCGGGAGTCACCCGCGGGTTCCCACATCGGCTTGAACGTCTCCCTGCAGCTTGCTGTACGCAAAAATGGACCGATGGGAACTCGGACGGGGTAGAAGACCCTTTTGCCGTCCTGCTCCGTCGCTGGTGGCACGCCGGCATGGCGCATCGTACCCGATTTCAGAGGTATAATATGGGTGACTTTATTCAAGAGCAGCGTCAAGAACCATCTCAAGCGTTCTGAGCAAACCATGGTCACTCCTACTCCTCGTAAAGTGAACGTCGCCATCGTGTACGTTCTTGTCTCCCCTTTCATTACCATCCCCATCGCTCACTCAATTTCAGAGGCGGTGGCATCGGCGGCCTCACTCTCGCCCTCGCCATACAGCGCTTCTGCGACATGTCCCAGCTGGACGTGCACATCTATGAGGCTGCCTCCCAGTTCTCCCAGATTGGCGCCGGGATCAACATCTGGGGTAGGGTGCACCAGGTATTCAACGACCTCGGCTTGGAGGCGGATTTGGCTAGTCTTCTTCGTGCGGATGATATTGGGTGTGAGCACTGGATTTCCCTCGTAGCCCGTCTTCACTCACCTTCGGTATCAGACTTTACATGCCGCAAGAGCGACCAGGCGGAGGGCAAGACCTTCCGAGACGTGTACATCGAGAACGGTGAGCTGTTGAATTGAGCGATCGCTTGCAATCGTCGGCTGAACACGATGCGCAAGGCAGAATGATGATGCTGCACCGCGCTGAAGTGCAAGACCTACTCCTGAAGCACATCTCGCCAGCCATCAAGATCCACCTCTCTCACCGCTTGGACGACTACTCCCATAACAACCAAGCTGCGGAGAGCATCGAGATGCGCTTTCGGGGCGGGCAGGTGGCCCATTGCGACTTGCTCATTGCCGCCGACGGCGTCCACTCTGTTGTCCGTCCTATATTCTTGTCCAATCTAGCAGAGCAGCTCGATAAGCCGGAGCTGAAGGACGCGCTTGCGCCCGTGTTCAGCGGTAGCAATGTCTATCGTGCGCTCGTCGCGCCGGAGCAGCTGGAGGACGTGTGGCAGGGTCATCCCGTTATGAAGAAGCCCTTCATCGTACGTTCATAGCTTACGTTCTTCGGCGACGCGTACTGACTGGCGTCTGCGGAACAGTACTGCGGGAAGGACAAGGTTCGCCTCTCCAAACTCGCTGTTTCGGACACAGATCACTCAACACTCTGACAGCACGTCGTGGCGTACCCCATCTCTTGTGGTCGTGCAATCAACGTCGTCGCATTCTACACCGACATGTCCAAGGAGGACACTCCGTTCGAGGGCTCGCAGATCGGCCAGGCGACAACTGAGCAAGTGTTGAAGACCTACGAAGGATGGGAACCCGAAGTCCGAGCCATTCTCTCTGTACGCTCTTCTGCCCTTACATATCCTGAGCGCTCTCCGTACTGACGATGACACTAGTGCATGCGCGACCCGTCGCATTGGGCAATCATCACCCAGAAGCCACTCGATGTATGGGCCGCCGACGGCGTTTTTCTGCTTGGGGACTCAGTTCGTCGTTCATCTTTCTTCGAAGCTATTGATACTCATAGCTAAGATAGGCCCATGCGATGGCTACCCATCTGGGCGCCGGCGCTGGTCAGGCCATCGAGGTAAGTATTTCCTGTGGCTCTTTGTTCTCCACCCCGCTAATCTCGCACAGGACGCCTACATTCTCGCGCGAATCCTCGCGCGCGAGCAGAAGAAGGGCCCCCTTGCAGTTCTCTCCTCCGAGACCGCGTCACTCTACAACCGGCTCCGACCGCCGGTCGCCAACTTCGTGTCCGCACGCGCGAAACTTCAGAACCGCTTCTACGAGTTCAACGAGGAGGGCACTGATCTCGGGCCACTGCAGAAGGACTCGCCTGTCTTGACGGAGACGGACCGGCTGGCAAGGATCGGGCACGCGATCTGGGACGGGTTCCATTGGCGGGAGCATCCTGTGGTAAAGGAGACGGACGCAAAGGTCGCAAGAGCTCTAGACTCGTGAGCGACTAGGGACATTCGTGCATACTCTCAATCTGTGTAGTGGAAGACAACAACATGAATTTGCTCGATTCCCGCTCCTTACAAGTAGCAGCACTCCTACTACTCGTTGGTCCAGGCTTGCGCTGAGCACGTGACCAGTTGAATCTGATGGGCGGACATTGCCGAAGTGCGCTTGCTTCAGAGCTATCACCCGACTTTCATTAAGGCGCTGTCGAAGCATCAGAGAATCGCGGAGGTGATGACGCTGGGCACGGTGCTTGCGACCAAGGTCAAGACGGAGCAAGGCGGTAAGACTGGCGTCAATCTGTATCCTCCATTAGAAGCTCGTTGATGTCTCCAGGCTACGCCTCCCACTCCGCGCAAGAGCTGCTAAAGGGCTCGGGAATGTTGAGCGTGGGGAGGGCGGTCTTTCGTCTGCGCCTAGCGGCGTGCCCTTCAGCGTCCACTTCCGGATGCTGGATAGCATGACTACTGGAACATCGAACCTGTAACATTCAACAACTACCTCGCTGATGACCGGTAGGATTGCAGATGAACTTTAGTCGACTGTCGTTGCTTCCTCAAACCGCCACGTCCTGTCATCCGTTGCAGCTGAGAAAAGCCCTGCGTCCGTTGCATTGACATCTGTTCCTGCTTTCAGGGAGGGGGTGGAAAACATAGGTGAGCATTGTGTGATAGACTGTGCTCTCCTTGTACTGATTGCGCCCTATATTGACAGTCCTGCGATGTGCTCAGATTATTCCAGAGTTCCTCGAGGTCCCATCACCCTTATACCCCCGGACGTTCTCCTCGAAATATTCGACGCCTGCCGCATTGTTCACGAAGATACCAGCGAAGATCCCTCATCCGTCCATGGCCTCTCCGTACGTGCTGGTCCTCCCGCAATCGCCGCCGTCTGTCAAGGCTGGCGCGATCTTGCTGTCCACACTCCAACCCTTTGGACCGATGTCCATATCAAGCTCTGGTCGAACAACCTGTCGAGTGCGACGAGGCTCCTCCGTGTCATACTCGCACGCTCTGCAGAGCTGCCGCTGAGTATCTCGATGAGATCCTTCGAAATCGAACCCGACGCGCCGGAAGCCGTGGAACCGCTGGTCAACGCCCTACTCGAACAGTCTGCGAGATGGTCGCGCCTCGACGTGTGCGTCAGCGAAGAGGTCTTCCATCTCTTGCTTCCCGCCCAAGGCCGTCTTCCGCAGCTTCGCAGCCTGCGCTCTCGGATTCTGTACAGGATGACAACCAGGCTTGACTGGGCGCCCTTTCGCGACCTCTTCAGGGACTGCCCGGCACTTGTCGATGTCGAGCACTGGGGGCCAAAACTTGACTTCCCGTGGGAGCAGCTGGTGCGCCTTAGCCTGAAGGGCCACCCTCCACCAGGCGCGCTTGAGCGCACGACACGCGCTCGCGTCCTACATCTCATGGAACACCCTATCGAAGCATCGTCGTACGATAAACATTTGTGGGAGAACGCTCTCCATCTCGAGCGCCCAAAACTCGAAAAACTCGCGATCAGGATAGTGAGGCGCCTTCGCTGCGTGCGCGCCCCAAATCTTACGGATTGTCACATTCTGAAGAGTATGATGTCTCCGGAAGACTTGGGCGCTGTCACGAAGTACGTTTTGGCCGAAAGCCTGAGGCTGACTACCCTATCCATCGCCGTTCAACCTCCTATTGCTCAGGAGTTGAGCGAACTGCTCGCTCATTGTCCCGCGCTGTGCCTCCTGCAGCTTCGCCTTGTCCCGATCTCCTGGGAGCCGACCTATACTGTGCACCACAATACGGCAGCCTATAGCAGCGCGCTTTCCTTACTCATCATTCATCGTGACCATCCAGTCCTTCTGCCTGCCCTCCGCCACTTGCGCCTCATGATGGATTATGTGCTTTCTGCAGACGCGTTCGCCTCGCTAGTAGACATCTTCCAGTCACGATCCGCGGCACCAGATGACATCGCTGTCTCTCTTCAGTCTCTGGAGCTGCGCATTCGATCCGGCCGCGAGGTGGATCTCACGGAAGGGATAAGCGACTTGGATGTACAGTTACAGTCTTGTCGCGTGGAAGGGTTGCCCGCGGTCAGCATATACCAGGAGCTGATTAACGAGAATCGTACAAGTTTACGCCGTATCTGGCTCGAAGTTTCTTATAGGCTACAAAGGATGCGTACAAAGCAAGTTATTACCGTCTGTTAAGTCCCTCAAAGCCATATCGCCCTGTCCTGAACTCTGTAAAAGTTGATTAATGCTCTTGTGGAGCGTTTTGCATGCAATAGTCCAGCCTGAATTCCCTATTTGGCCTTTGTTTGTCTATGCAGGTCCCAGCGTGCAGCTTCCACGTGACTAGCCCGACTTGATGCTCGGCCTTTGCCGACATCGTTTGTTTCCGTCACCATTGCGGCTCGAGCGCTTTTGCACGTTCTTCTACTCAACTTGTCCGCGTGATTTCGACGAATCAATTCCTAAAATAGTTAAGTGGGGGACCCACGATAGCTCACGCAGGGGCTTACAGCGCCTTTGGCGCGCTGGCGGCGCCACGGGCCGATGGCCCGCGCCATACGCCACCGCCGCTCGAAAGGCAGGCTCAGGACGTCGAGTGCCATCCTGAGGTCACAAAGTGTACTGCGCACCGCCTATGTAAAGTGTATACGAGCATGGCATTGTTCACCGCTGCCAGCGGCGCTCAAGAACGAGAGCTCTGCTCATCTTGAAAGTCAAAAGACAGGCCCGGCGCTGCGGAGCAACGTTATGTTCGAATTTTCACACGAAAATTGGTCCGAGTGTGTATGGCAGGGTACGGAGTGCCCTTGCCAAATCTCAAGTAAATACGCTATGAGACGCCCGCGCTGCGCGCGGCAGAGCTCGCGGAGCTCTTTTCGAGTAATCCCCGGGAAAACATTTGTACTTGTTTACACGGCAAGTCCAGGGCACCCATCACGAAGTCACGATTGCTCACGCTTCCCCTGCCTCGTACCTCGGCGGGGCCCCTGCGTGAGCAACTATAATGACCTATGTGCGCTCTATCCCAAAAGCCCTATATTTCTTTAAATATACGAAAGACAGCACCTTCACGCATCCACCTCATACTCGCCCACGCTCCATCCATTCCATGCGACGCCACGCAAATTCCACTTCCCACTCTCCGGCTGAGCCTCCCCAGTCCGCGACAGCGCCCTTGAGCGCACGATAATCTTCCCCTTCCGCGCCCTCGCCACCACCTCGCCCTCCCACAGCGTCCACGCCCAGCGCCCGCCCTGGTACGTGATCCGCGCGTCCTCCCACACCCGGTGCGCGTCAACGTCAAGGCCCTCGGGAAGCGGGAGTTGTTGGATGTTCCTTGTCTTGACCAGCTTTCCAGCTGCCGCCAGCTTCTCACCATGTTCTGCCAGCTTGCCATTGACCGCCAGCTTTCCAGCCAGAGCCTCATTATCCGGCACACGTCCCTCTTCATCTACCTTATGCGTCTCGTCGTCGACGCTGATCTGCACCTCGTCGACCGGTACGCCGAGCGCGGGAAGCGCGTAGCCCTTGACGCGGAGGCGGAGGTGGCCCGCAGGGATGCCATCGTCCTCGACCTTCGTCACGCTCGCGATGACGGAATTGAGAGGCATGCTGGTCATGGAGGGCACCTTATCCCACCATGGCGCGGCTTGTTTCTTGTCTTCGACCTGCAAGCCGTGAGTTTTGATCCTTTGATTTTTTGAGAAGATTGACCGAGCCGAACAGATTAGACGAATCGACCACACGAAACGGATCGAGCAGCCTAAACGAGTCGAGCAGATCGAGGAAAGGTCTACGCACCTCTTCGGGGAGTACCTTGTAATCTCGCGCCTGGTAGTAGTTCGGACTCTCGCGATTGCTCAGGTAGATGCCGTCGAGCCACTTGACCCAGCGCGCGCCGAGATAGCCTGGGACGACGAGGCGTAGCGGCCCGCCGTGGACGGGAGGTATGTCATCGTCGTTCATCTACATCCTCGCATTAGCTCACGTTCCCGACAGCTTCGACACGGGACCATACCTCCCAAGCAACCAACACATCCCCCTCCGGATCCAGCGCCTTCGACAGCGGTATGCTCGCCCCATAATACGCATCGTCCTCGCACTTCGCGCCCCGCGCCGTGAAGCACACATGCGCGTGCTCATCCGTTCGATTGGCCCCATTTGCCTCCCTCTCCAGCCCCGGGAACACCTCCAGCAGCACATCCCGCAACCGCACCCCGCCCCAGTAGCAATTCGCCACGACCCCCGCGCCCCACGGCACGCCCTTCACCTCCCGCCCCGTCGCCCCCATCTCCGCCCGCCGCAGCCCCGCGCACTGCAGCACGGCCTCCACGCGCGCCTTCGGGAAGCGTCTCTCAAGGTCGTCTATGGTAAACGTCGTCGCCTGCGTGATATCCGGCAGCACGCGGCGCGGTGGGGGGTGGGGATCGGTGGGATCTGCCGGGGGCGGGTCGGCGGGCGCGGCGGGGTCCTCGGCGCCGACGACGAGGGTGCCGTCGTGCGCGGGGACGTCGCTGTGGTTGCGGTGGTAGACGAGCTGCTCAGGAGTGATGGGGAACTCTGCCAAAGCGGAGGTGGGCGGCTCGGCGTTGAGGGGACTATCCTGGCGGACGATGAAGAGCTCCTCTTGCGCTGGATCCATGATGGTGGGAGGAGATTCCCTCTAGGTTGAGTTGGCTGTCCAGTCTAAGGTCTGGACAGGTCAGGGTGCGATGCAAGGTCTGCGGGGAACGGACGCACCGTCTGCGCAAGGGCCAAAGGCTAATGGAAGCAGAACGGACACGAGTAGTGTCACAGTGGGTAGTCACTGTCGTTATCGGTAGGACAATCGGTCGAAGACACTGGGAGTGACCGAGGAAATCTCCACGGTAGCACGGATCCTAGCAGGCTCCGGTATGGCGACGGTCGTATACAGATCAGAGGAGACGGTGGGAGGAAACATGAGTTCTCCATGTTGGGGCGCAATGGACGTCGGAAGCAAACGTCATTGGTGGCGTCGCGTGCAGAATATGAACCGGCACATGACCGCGTGCGTGATGGACCTACAGGTGTACTCGGTAGTACGAAACTATCTTGGAGGTACGGTTGTTAGTAAAAAGACTATACAGCTTCATATATATATCTCAGAGGGCAGACTATGAAAGTGTCAATCGCATCAGTAGCTGTGTGAGTTACGGATGCTATGGTCTGGGAACGTACCTCGCAATATCTGCACCGAAGCGCGCGACGGCAGATAGAATTCATACACCATCGATAAGGCAGTACCGCGGAAAAGGCAGATAGGTCTTGAACGAGATATTTGCGTGCAGCCACAGAGTGAGCTCAGCCAGTTGCCAACATTAAGTCCTCGGAGTCGGAGTTGACGAGCAATTACGTGTTTGCTCATGTTTGGTCCGTTTGCTCCTTGCCATCAACGTTCACGAGTGTACATGCCACCTGCCTCATCCCGCGAATCAAGGTCGCTCAGAATAGTGACGCACCTAATCTGGCCCGTCAAGCCGCGTCGCTCAGCGAAGGTGCGGCGCCATCGCAATCATCGAGCGTTTCATCCGTTCTCTTCGCGACAGGCCTTCAGACTAAGTACTCGCTCGGATCATGGGGAGAGCTGATGCGCAAGTCTCTTATGCGCACGGTGCTGGACTGTCTATTGTACTACAGACGGTCTCAAGAAGTCGATTGTTGAGGCGCATGCCGCGGACCGCGTGCATGTATCCGACTGGGAAAGATGAGTATACAGCAGTCGCACTCTGCGCATCGTACTTTCTTTCGGTGCTCAGATTCGGTATTCCACACGGTGCCAGGATCCAGACGAAGACTGTCAAGTCACCCTCCTCTCGCTATCATACAGGTTTGAAGGAATGCAGTGCAGTGCAGCCCAAACGCGGTCAGCATGATTGCATCTGTCTGGTAGGGCGAATCCGCGTTGACTGTACGTCTAGACTGCCAGTGCGGTTGTCCGCTCAACCACCAAGACGCTCCATAACGCCGACTCAGGCAATTGCGGGGCCGCGAGTGCCCACTTGACTACCGCCACCATGGCTGACAACGCGACCTGCAATACCGTCGATGAGGCACCTCTCCTCCTGATGATAGATCGAACGCTTTTGTTGGGCCCCCTCATTGGAGGCGGGGCCTGGGGTGAGTGTTTTTTTCATCGCTTACAAGCAGTGCTTACTGACCTACCTTTACACATAGGCGTCCTGATAGCGGTCTCCTTCCTCACAGTGCGGGCCCTCTTTACCTGCATGTCTTCGGGGTCACGGGCTAGTCGCAACTACAATGGATCCCTGCTAGCGTTCGTCGGACTCGTCTTCGCCTGTGGGACCATCAACTACGGTGCGCTCTGAGATACTGACATTGAGTATGCCTGATGCAGCTCCCAGCCACAAACGCAGAGCTCAGTGTACGCATGTTTGTCGAGAACCGACTATACGCTGGAGGCCCGTCTGCATTCATCGTCGCAAATTATGGCGATCCCTTCGTCGTGTTGGGCAACGCCAGCTACATTGCCGCTAGTGCTTTGGCCGACGTTCTCTTGGTATGGCTCGTCATTCTTCTGTTCTCGACGATGCGCGCTAAGGCCCAACAGCTCTATCGCTGCTACATTGTGTGGACCAAGCGATGGGGGATCATCATCGTTCCGGCTTGCGTCTACCTCGCGTCGATAAGTTAGGCCTATCAGCCACCGAAGCCCGCTCAAACGATACTGATGGCAGCCCAGGCATGTCGATATTACTCCTCTACCAGGTTAGTCAACCGGCGCAGAGTCTGTGGCGGCAAGTCAACTTTGGCCTCGCGTACTTCTCGCTTTCACTTGCGGGTGCGTCGCGGTGCAAATGAGTATTTAAAACGCTGACTCGCCCCAGTGAACGTCCTACTGACGCTCCTCATCGCCGGCCGCCTGCTTGCGATGAGCAAGCGAGTCAAGGCGACGCTAGGCCCGCAGCACGCGCATATGTATACCAGCATCGCCGCATTGGTCGTCGAGAGCGCCAGCCCATACGCCCTGACGAATCTCGTCTTCATCATCACGTACGGCATGGGCAGCCCCGTTTCCTACACGCTGCTGCCCATCCTGTCGCAGGTCATGTGCACGAGCGCGGTGCTTATCATCCTCCGCGTTGCTAGTGGTCGGGCGTGGAGCGCACAGACGACAGATCTGGCGTTCAACGAGCCCGCTCGTGTGGGGGACGATATACCGGGCAAGGGGGGATCCCGTACTATGATCGTCTCGAGCATCCACTTTAAAGGGTCAGGCTCACGTTGCGGCGGGGACGCAACCTCGGAAATTCAACTTGCAGAGGTGTGAGCGTGTCTACTCCGCCTGTGCCATCGAGGGGCGCGGCATAGCGCTTCACCAACACCATCGCGTTTTTGTGAATATGTTGCCCTGATCGTAGTTATTGTTGCAGTTTTGTTGAATGGACTCAATGTTCAGAACTGTGCGCCAACTGTCTTGGGGGAAGCTGATAGATAATGTTTGCGTGACTTCTCCGCCAACATGTCACGCGCGTTATACGGAACCCATGCCGGCTATGCATACGTTCCGCGACACTCGTATCAATCGAACCCACTCCATCCTCAACTGCAGACCAAGACGGGTGAATCCGCATGGGCCTACTTATGAAGCGATGAGCCCTGGTCTGTGCAAGTCAAGCGTATGAGGCTACTAACCTGCGCGATTAGCTGCAATTGCCGCGGGTGCTACATCACAGGCAGCACACGACGGCAAGCGGCAATGAGTCAGACTCATGCCTACCATGCTCAATCTATCAGCGCTTCGACAGCTCATAAGTAAGGTGGGAGTTGCCCCTTTGATTCACTAAACGCCGCTCTGCCCACAAAGCGGCGAGTGGGCCCATACAAATGGAGCCCACGACTACGTCGTGGCATCTCCCATCCACATCCAGAGCCCATTCACACGGTGAGCATTACTTGAGCCAACGAGAATCCAAAGCAGGGCTCACTGACGCTCGGTTAGCGCCACCATGACTGCCTTCCCTGACTACAGCGATGGCAAAGCCCCCTACACGGTTGGCGAGCGCACTTACGAGACGTACTACAAGATCTTCGGCGACCTCTCCTCCGGCAAGCGCCCTCTCATCGTCGTCCACGGCGGCCCTTCCTTCACGCACGACTACTTGCTGCCCATCAGCGACCTTGCGAGCACGCATAGCACCGCTGTCGTCTTCTACGACCAGATCGGCACCGGCCTGAGCACGCACGTGCGCGAGCGAAAGGGCGATACCGATTTCTGGACTTTCGACTTCTTCATCGACGAGCTTCTGAATCTCCTCGCCCATCTGAAGATCGAGGAGTACGACTACCTCGGCCACTCGTGGGGCGGCATCCTCGGGCAGGAACTCGTCTTGCGCAGGCATCCCAAAGGGATGCGCAACTTCATCTTGGCGAACACGATCCCCAACAGGAAGTGGTGGGACATCTCGTTCATGCAGCTGCTGGAGAAGGCGGACATTCCGGAGCAGGCGAAGAAGACCATCGTTAGCCAGAGCGCGACCCGAGAGGAGCGCTGGGCGGCGGTCCAGTTGTTCTATGCGCAGTATGGGTGCATGGTGCAGCCATTTCCGGAAGATTTCCTGCGAAGCATGGCGTATCACTTTGGCGAGAATGCGGATACGACGACCGACGACGCTATGTGCGCTTTGCTTGCTTCCTCCCTCTCGAAAAATTGTACTGAACCGTTATAGGAACGCTCAGGGCGGTGAGCTGAACGGATGGGACGTGCGCGACAAGCTAGGAGAGATATACGTCCCCACGCTAGTCCTCAACGGGGCTAGGGACTTCGCGCAGGACTGGATTGTCACACCTTTCATTGACAAGATATCTGGAGTGAAGTGGGTGAAGTTTGAGCATTCGAGTCATACGCCTTTCTGGGAGGAGCGTGACGAGTTCAACCGTGTTCTTGCCGATTACCTTGGGTGTGAACGAGCGTGAAGGGTGCGCAAGGAGCTGAACATGGTATATCTAGAGAGAAATCTAATCTCATCAGTCAGCTTCGTCTCACAAGCGGGGAAAGATTGAGTGAGAAGAGGAGAGGGCAATTATAGTTTTACATTGAAATTATACATTTACCAACAATAGCGCGACGGCAGACGGCATGTTTCTCGAGCAACAGAAATCCTTTTCAAAGCTGCTACGTCGCCTCCTCTATGCTACGGAGTCCGAGGGCGGTGCTGATGAGCCTTCCGACATCATTGACAAAGCCGAATCACATCTCAGAACGAAGAACACATAGATGAATTGTTAGGAAGCGCACGATAACACTGGAAAAAGAAGTCCATGGGTACGAAAAGGGCTGAGCCCGAGCCGGCGGAAATTCCACACGACCAGACCTCGCAACCCCGACCCTCGACGCCCTCTTCAGCGATGACCGCCGCGCATGATCACAACCCAACCCTATTCGCGCCCACCACCGCGCCATGTGCCAGAAAAGGCACCCCTGCCGCGGAGAATGGACGCGAAGAGCGAAGTTGTGAGTGCGCTCGCCCGTGAAGAAGAGGCCGAAGGTATGTAAGAAAGACCTTGGGCAGTGGGTACATGTACAGACGTTAGATAATCGGAACGAGAACAAGTATGTACTCAGACAACGAACAACCACGGCCGAGCCCAACAAGTCGGGCTTCAAAACCGCCACCCACGTCCCCAGCCCCAGCAAAAGCAGCCACGCACAACCACAAATCAATCTCCCGCGCGCACACGAACGGTAACATGTGCTTCGAGCGACCCTACTGCGCAGCGTGGCGTAGTACGCGCTGTGGAAGCAACCCTGGACCGCAGGCGTGCGCGGAGAGCGAGATGTGGGGGCGTTCGCCCGCTGGAGAGGGTAGGTAGATGAAGAAAATAGTAAGTAAAAGGAACTGAGCGAAGAAAACGAACGAGAAGGCGAAGATAAAGGTAGGTACGCGACGGCAAAGGTAAAGAGGAAAAAGACATAATCAGAAAGTATGAAAGACGAAGAAAAAAGTAGAAGGTATGAGGCAATAGAGGAAGGGTATAAAGAAGGAAGGAATACGAAAGGGGTATATGCTAGGCAGGGAGCCACATTAGGGTATAAGATAGAGGTAGAGGGTGAAGGCAATTAAGGAGATGGAGGATTAGGAAGGTAATTAGAGCGTAAGGGGTATAGCAATTATAAGGGGGATGGCAGAGGAGAAGAAAGGAACCACGAAGTAACAGACAGTAGAAGAAAAAGCGACCAGTGCGCGAAAGAAGACAACAACAGAAGGGGAAGGAAAGGAATTAGAAGTAAACAGGCGACGACGTGAGCAGCGGACTCCGATAGAATCCAAACGTCTGCGTCTCCGCATTCCAAACCAGAAGCGGGCCGCGATGCCGCGCAATCGGGGGTATAGGGGAAAGCAGCCGAGGCGAGGGCATCTCTTCGGGTATATCGTACAGCGGGCGGCGTGGGAAATAGACAGGACGAAGGACGTGTGCGGCTGCGCGTAGCATGGCAAGATTGGGGGAAGGCGGAGTGGGAGAAGAGGGAATAGGGGAGGAAGGGCTGTACGAGGAAGGGGCAGGAGAGGAGAGGAACGCCGCGAGCGATCGAGAAGAAGAGGAGAAGGAGTCGAAGGGGGTGTACGAAAGGGCGGGAGCGAGGAGGGGCGAGGCAGGGGTAACGGTGGGGGCGGAGAAAAGGGGGAGGACAAAGCCAAAGATGCCCTTCTTCTTCTGCTTCTGCGGGGTAGAGATGGCCTCGGGAGCCGGGGCAGGCGCAACAACGGGGGCAGGCGCGGGAGCGGGGGAGGAGGTGACTACAGCGCGGCCAGCGAGACTGGAGATGGAGAGGGAAGAAGTAGAAGGGTATCCAAGACCGAGACCAGCTCGGTCGTCGACGAGATCCAAAGGGAAATCGTACACGTCGTCATCATCCTCGGCGATGGGGGTGGCAGGGACGGCCTCCGAAGGACGCCGGGCGGTGGTGAGGATGGAGCGGAAGATGTTGGAGAGGGGTGCGAGCTGGTAAGGCATGGCTGATGAAGAAATGCAAAGATACGCGCGAGAGATGGAGGAACGAAGGCAAGAGACGTCTGTAAAGGGGTCAGTCTGGTTCTGCGCTTATAAGCCTCCCCGGCATCTGCCGCGGCACGTGAGCGCGTCTGAGACCTGACTCAAAGTCGAACTTCGCGGAACTGTTTGTGCTGCTGGATCCCTTCGCGGTGTCACTCACTGGATCGGGACGTCTGGTCTTGTTGTTCACAGCTCGAAGCAGCACGCTATGCATCACCTGGATGAGTACAGTCCGTGGCACCTCTGTGCACTGGGAGATTTTGCGGTCGAACACTCGCATCCTCGTCCCATTCTTCACGTCGGAGAACATGGTATTCGGCCGTATCGAAGGGTCCGAAACATCCCTGATTCGCAGCGACCACCGCGAACTTGCGCTTACGACGTCCCCTCTGACACGCGCGTACCAAGAGAGCCGACGATCCGCGCCTTTGCGCTCTCTCCCTGTCAATCAAAGCGTCAGTCAGGCATATCGCTGACTTGTACTGTTCACCCCTCAATGATATAGGGCTATTGTGGTGGTGCTCCAGCGCTCAGCGCTCAGCTCCCTACTGCAATATCACCGCATTGGTCGGAGACGGTCTTATCGCCTGGGCTCACTACAACGTCTATTGGGCCGCGTCGAGCCCCAGCGACCATCCCAGATCGTTTACGTGGAGAACAGGGATTGCAGCGGCGGCAAGATGCAGGAAGCCAGGTCAGCAGAAGGGTGGCAGCGGGTGGGCCGTGGCTGGTCAGAGGGCTACAGGTGAAACTCCGGAAGCCATGCCCGTTTTAGGCATATCTGCTCCGCAACCGGACCGAACCTCTGCTTGGTCTGTGCGGGGCGGACTTTGAATTCGGGCCGATCGGCATGCGTCTTGATATCTTTGGGCGCAGCGGGCGAGGGCAGCGCAGGCTTTCTCTCCCCCAGCCAAGCCCCGCCCACCAAACTTTTCCCGCCTTTATTCCCCCTCGCCTCCCCGCCCTTCCGCGTATACAGATCATCGTAAGTACACTCCTCCCCCCTTCCTTTGGTCCTGTTCCGAACGTGGTGCGTGCTCGTCGTCGCCGACGGTGACGAGCGCAACCTTCCCGCGCTCAAGGCGCGCCGCCAAACAAACGACGCGACGCGTCGACGCGCTCCCCGCCGTTCGCGCCGATGGGTCTCTCGCCCTTCCAAACTGCCTCGGGCGGTCTCGGGGGCGACCTCCACGTCGTGCTCCACCCCAAAAGTCTCGTGATATGACGCTGACGAATGTTGGTCGCCACCAGATGCCCAAGGACCCCGACACCAAGACCAGGGTGAGTACACGCGTCTGAGCGGTCGACGACGTGGCGAGTGGCGTGTCGAACGTGGGCAGAGGGTGTAAACGTGCGTACTCGTCCATGTTTACGGCGCACAGCTTGCTGACGAACGAACTTTTGCAGGTCGCGCGCCACCCCCGTCCCATGTCGCCACCCTCATACCCGACGCGTCCTGAGCCCCCTCGCTAACCCTCTCCCAGCGCAAGGCCGCGACCAAGTCTGAAAAGACGCCCCGCAAGGCCAAGAAGGACCCCAACGCCCCCAAGCGCGCCCTCTCCGCGTACATGTTCTTCAGCCAGGACTGGCGGGAACGTGTCAAGGCTGAGAACCCCGACGCAAGCTTCGGTATGTGCTCTGCTTCCCTATCTCGACGTGTATGCTGACGCTTTGCAGGTGAGCTGGGCAAGATCCTCGGTGCCAAGTGGAAGGAGATGGATGAGGATGAGAAGAAGGTGAGTACGAGTCCATACCATCTAGCCACTGCACCCCACTTGCGCACCCCTTCCTCCTTCCTCGCGCGTACGCGTCAACCCTTCAATTTCCCCTGTCTTCGCGCAAGCGGCACAAGTCCTTACAAGTCCCCGCGTGTATGCACTTGACGAATACTAATCATTTTTGCAGCCCTACGTAGCGAAGGCCGCCAAAGACAAGGAGCGCGCTGAGGCGGACAAGGCGGCTTATGATGTGAGTGCACTGGCCTTACATTCTATACTGCGTCTAACATCCCTCGCAGGAGAAGAAGAGCGCGGAGGCCTCGGAGGCGGACGAGGACGACGAGTAGAGCACCGTCGTCCGATGCACGGGTCTGTAGCGCGCGCCACCACGCTTATATCTGCGCCGCTGTCTTTGTACGTTGCATACGTTCCTTGACCCTTCTTGTTGCGCTAGCTCGTTCCTGTTTGCGCTCGCGCTCGACTTTCCCTGTTCGCGACCTGCCTGTATTACCTTAGTCATGCCTTTACATTACTTGCTCTCCCCCTCCATGTATGTACACACCACAAACCCCTCGACGTTCCGTACATACCCTCGCATCGTACACTTGCTCGGCGTATATTATTTGTAGTTATCGATAGACGCAGAATACGAACGTCAGGATACATAGCGCTGCTGCCCTGGACATGTCCTTCACCCCAAGGTAATCTTCCATCGTCTCTACTCAAGTCGACCCCACCTATCTCGCAAGGGCTTGCGATTGGAACAACTAAGTTGTTACTTGACAATTGCTGATCTCCGACTCCTGCGATTGCTTATCGACTTCATTAGGTAGTTGTGAGGGCCCGAATATGATTCCGATATGCCAGCGCCCTTCAATTGCAATGACTGTGATCACAACTTGTCTTGAACATCCACCGGGGTATAGTCGTCGTCGGATTCAATCGCTAGCCCGCGCGTAGCGCTGCCCTGAAGGTCTCGCCGAAGGACAATTATCGATGTGTATACTGGGTTTGGGTATCATTAGCACAGAGGGTGTGTGGTCGAGGTACCTTGTACTTCATCTGGAATCTTGTCTTCCGTCGTGCGCCCGGAATCGCAAAGCCTGCAGGCTTGGACGTGCGCGTGAGCCTTCATGGGATCCCGTCGTGCGCGCGCGGAAGTCTGCGGAAGTGCGGTTCGAGTCCTGACATCATCGACGAACGCCCATTGTATCCCTGCCTCTTATATATAAGTGCCTGCTTCCGTCCTTGAAGTTTCCCACCACCGTTCTTCGCACTTCCAGCACACTCACCCTTCCCAAAACATTTGCCATGTCTTCCGTACGTCTCTGTGACCTTTCTTCCCCTCTGTCGCTAAGCAGGCCGCACGGCAGACAATCGCATCATTCACGACCATCAGTGAGCGCCTCTTCGAAGCGAAGGCGCGCAAAGGTCATCGATGGCCACGCTGGGTCATTCGACGTACGCTCACCTTCACACAGGCTTGACCTTTGACGAAATCGCGAAGGCCGTCGGCCGCGATGAGGTTTGGGTCGCAGCGGCGTTCTATGGGCAGGTAAGTCGGCGCGCGACAACTATGACGCTCGATGGTTGACTTCACACTGGCTTGCAGGCTAAGCCAGACGCGGAGGAGCTCGCCAAGCTCGGCGAGGTGCTTGGCCTTCAGAGCCTGAAAGAAGAAGTCAACCCCCAATGGTGGCCGATGCGCGGTGGCTTGGGCTCTTCGCCGCCCACAGACCCCGTCATCTACCGCTTGTATGAGGTAGGTTTTCGGTTGACCAGAACGTTCGCGCCCTGACACCAGTGCTTGCTTAGGGCGTCTTGGTGTATGGTCACGCAATCAAGGTGCGTCTGAGGACATGAACCAATTGCTAGATTGCCGTTCAGAGTTGACCCGACCTTCTCTGGCAGGCTATCATTAACGAGAAGGTCGCTGTTGAACACTTCCTTCGTCCGAGGGTCGGCTGACAATTATGCAGTTCGGAGACGGTATCATGTCCATGATCAACTGCAAGGTGACCGTCGAGAAGAAGCCCGATCCCGCAGGTGACCGCGTCTTGCTCACCTTCGAGTGCGTTATCCGAACCTCCTTCTTTCCGCATACTATGGCTCATGCATCATATTCAGCGGGAAGTTTCTACCTTATAGCAAATGGTGAATAATGTTGGCGGTAGATCCGCATCGAAGATGAATCAAATGTGTATTACGCAACTTCAGGACGACGGAAAAGCAGCTGAGGTCCCGGTCTGAATATTATGCCGAGTTGAGCTGTCGTATATGATCGTCATAAGTCGGATGCCCCTTGTTTGAAAAAGAGCGCACGTACGAACGACGTTGTTGACCAGCCGGAACCGCAAGAGCCCTCTCGCGCAGGCCTTCGGTAGCATCCCACACAACCAGTCCGTGATAAGGCCATGCTCCCCTCGCCTCTGCATCGACGGCGAGCAGAGCGACAGCACGAACTTCATCTCCTGAAAATGCGGCAAGCACGCAATACGATCGTCGAGCTCTGCCCACTTCTTCGGCGATTTGGGGTGGCACGAGTCTTCCGGAGGGCCGCTGTCGTTTACGGTGATGAGGAAGACGATCTTCTGCATATGCGGGGCGTCGAGCCCGCGGAGGAGCAGGTCGAGCAACTTGTCTCCTTGCCCGCGTACGAACCAGTCGCTAATGTGCATTGTGGGCTCGACAGTGAGAGACCGCAGCTGCCTGAAGCGGGCAAAGTCCAGTGTGCTGTCTGTTTGGCATGAGCGACGGGCAATTACACGCATGATGATGCAACCAGTGAATATAGAAGAATTCGGTGCTCACATTCCTCTGGGACGTACTGCGTGAAACCCGGATTGATGCGCATGAACTTCAACGTCGGGCTGAACCCATTCACTAGATCACAGATGCGTTCGCATATGACAACCTCTGGCCACGGCAACTTGAGCTCAAGATGCTCCACCGGCGGGCGATACGGTGCCGCCAGCATCCCCTCCAGGAATACCCTCCAGTCATAGGCGCGCATGGGGTCGGAGCTCAGGAAACGAAGGTTGCGCAGGGCTCCTGACTCCGCCGGCCATGGGACGTTCCGCATCCCGTGGAACGACAGGCTTCTGCAGGAGAGGCTCTGCAGGCGAGGCAACGCGGCGAGCACCATGAGGAACATGTCGAAGGAGAGGAAGCTGACGTAGTCCAGAGTCAGGTTGGTCAAGTGTGGCAGACTGCGCATGAGAGGACCCATGAGGTATAGTTGACACTGGGAGCTCGTCATGCGCTCGACGCGGAGTGTGGCGAGGTTGGGGAGGCGTTGAAGGCAGTCGAGTGGCGTGACACCACCATCGCCAGACATGTCATGGTTCAGCGAAAACCAGTGAGTCTCTTGCGCGAACGTGCAATGTGGAGACTCGAGGAGAGAGCTCATCTTCCGCACGGATTCAAGACCGCGTCTCTTGAGCCTTCGGAACGCGCGGCGGCGACTAGGTCTCACGAAGAAGCGACAGACCAGCGCGCATGTCAAGCAGGTCTTCCGGTCAGAGACACAGCAAATGATGTACTCCAATATCTCCAGAGGCAGCCGAGGAGGGTTGTCGTCCGAAAGGTCAGCCATCACCAAGGAATGTCAGCGTGTTCCAGGCGTGCTCTAGTAGGTGTATGCCCTGCTTATGAATGAGTTCGAATCTTCTAAGGGCATACAGAGCCGACCAGGTATTGAGACCCACTGTAATAGGATACGTGGGGTACTGTAGTTAAGCGCGTCACAGTTGAGAGCAAGTTCGACGCGAGTGGCTAGCACGTGTTTTATGCTTCGGGAAATGCCGAATCTGGGCACGTGCGCATCAGGCTCGCATCAACTTTTTGGGTTGTCAGGGAGCCGGCGCAAAGATCGGGGTGGCACAGACATTGAGACACTGATCATGTTTATCGAGAAGCAGATAATGCATTACCAGAGACAAATGATACTGTACAATCTAGTTTACTTCTAATGCCATATGCGACGGAACACAATCACATCGCCCAAGAAAAGCTAACCGACCATCGACAGTGATACAAAGCAGAAAAAAGAGACTACTCCTGCGCGATCTGACCGCCTGGCGTCCAGCGCGACCCGCCGTCGTCGTTGCACATCTCCAGCACGGTGTACTTGTCAGACTGGTAGTACAGGCGGATGTGCTTGCCGCCTGCCCATTGAGAGGGCGCAAAACGAGCGGTACGAGGCAGATTCCCAACGACCGTCGAGATGTGCCAGGTGTTGTTGACCTGCACGGCGCGAGTGATCTGCGACGCGAGGTCGATCCAGAACACGTTCAGCGTGACGCCGCGCCAAGTCTCGCACAGCGCGCCGATATGCGTCCGTCCAGGAGCCTTGCCGACGTTGAGGTTTCCTGAGAGCCTGATGAGAAGGCGCGGAGGTCCGAGTGGGACTTAGAACTTACCAGCGAACCAGGCATCGTCGTTCTCACCGACATTGAGGCAGTGCTCGCGCAGGATGAGGTCCTCCGTCTGGTAGTACACGCGGAAGCGCCAGCCGTCCATATTGTAGGCGAGTGCGGCGATGCCGGTCCCACTCAGGGCGGCAGGCAGGGCCGCTCCACGGGACCACTTGTCGCTGCTGTAGATGAACTCTTGGATCACGATGGATTCGTGCTCTACGAGCGCGGTTTAGTCCAACGTAAGTGCCGAACGTCGAGGAACTGACCCTGGCAATAGACACGGATGTGTCGACCAGTGTCATCCTCGTACTGAAAAGCGGCTATGGAGGTGAAGGGATCGCATTGGACGTTCATAGTGTCCAGCGAGCCCTTGTACCACTTCCCTTTGACGAAGCGATACTCGCACAACTTGAACTTCTCGTCAAGATAGTATAGCCGAACCTATATCTCCAGAGTCAGCGACCGATACAGTGACGGACGGCCAACCGGACGTACTTCGCCTCCGTCCTCGGTATGCACGCAAGCCAAAGGCGTGAAACGCGCGGCTCTGCACACCTTCTGATGGTCACTCGCCCATAGACCGTCTTGCTGGCGGCTCTCCAGAACGTCGCCGGCGGGGTTCTGGAAGTACACGCGAGAGACGGCCGCGTCCGAAAGTGCAACGGTCGCTAAGCCGGTATGGGGAACGACCTTCGCCGGGCCGTTCTGGAGGATAGGATAGTTCCACCAGCCGCTCTTCTCGACGGCGTCATGGACACTCCAGTATGTCCAACCCTTGGTGGCGTACTGTGGGTTATGACGGTTCTTGATGTCGGTGCGCACTTCGATGACTTTCTGCGAGGCGTCCGCGTATCTAAAGAGGGGTGCGAGCGACTGAGGTCCAAGCGCAGACTCGAGGGTGGGCGCGATCTCCCAGGCGGCATACTGCTCCGCGGGTATGACTTTGCCTGTCTTGTAAGCAGTGTAGACCTCGTTCGCGGACGCCTGGACGGCTGCCACGGTGCGGTGGATGTTGTCCGCGGCGACCTCGTCGAGAGCGCGCTTGTCGCCGTAGCAGGTCCACGAGTCGCCGGCGCGGTTCTTTACCTGCAAGCCAATTGCACAGTCCTCGTCATGCATATGCTGGGTGTGCACGTGAGTGACCGCGCGCGAGACAAAGAGTGAGGAGACGCCGTACCTTGGCACATAGGTCAGCGAATGGATTAAGAGTTGAGTGCAAATTCCGTCGAGGCGTCCGTAGATGGCCTGCTGAGAAAGAGTCCTCGAGATAGTGATCCGCGAAGGCGTTGAGTGCGTATGCCTTGTCGAGCTCGCCAAACGCCGCAGCCTCCAAAGCCAAGGCGTGGCCTGCATTGTAGGCAGCATGAGCGTCCGCACCGAAGTGATCCCAGTTGATCCTCGCCAAGCCCGCGTAGCTGGGAATATGCCAGGGTCGAACCATCGTCAGAAGCTGGAGCTTGACGCTGACGTCCGCCAGGGTGCTGTATGCAAAGGAAGGATCGGTGTGATGCTGGAGGGACTGGTTAACGGCGTTGACCTCGGCCTGCAGGACGGCAAGGATGTCATTAGCCTCGGCGGGTTGCCGAAGGCGAGGCTCCGCGAGCGAGTCGAAGGCAGCTTGGAATCGCGACACCCGGGCGCGCGCGTCGGCGCCGTCGCTGATGGGCTCCGTTGTCCCGTAAAAGTCGCCCGCGAGGCCATTGATCTGCCCGTAGGTGACGGTGAGACCGTTCTTGAGAGTGAACTTGTGGTTCTTCGCGGGAACCTTCCTGCCGTCCTTGAGGGATAGCATAATGGCGTCGCCGACGTAACTGTGCTCGGCGTACTCGTAGACTGTTGGTGTAGTGATGTGAGCGGAGTAAGATTGTAAGAAGTGCAGGTGAACGCACGCAGAGAATCCGTCTTCGACTCCGTGTTGAAGCAAGGTGCGGGAACGACGGTGCGTCCGAAACTGATAGGTGTCTCGGAAGCAAGGGCTTCAGCCTCGCGAGGCGGGACGGAGCTGGCGATTGCCGTTAGCCATAGCCCATGGACGTTCTGAAATACGCACGAGTTCTCTTCTGGCTGAGGGCTGGCAGACATAGATGCGACGGCGTATAGTACGAGGAGGTCAAGATGAGCTGGAGGGCAGGACGGGCTCCTTATATCATACAGAGCCCCGCTGAGCGTACGCAATATCGAAGACGTCGATGGAGAACGGCAAGCTTGGATGCAAACGCCAAGAGGTCTCCACTCGTCATCGGTCCTCGAGAGTCGGCGGTGGAGATCTTGACTCTGCTGTCAGTAAGCAAGCAAACAAGCTCGCGCCAGACGAGTTCGCGCATCCAGACACCATGCGGTCACCCGTCGAAGGTAAATCGCTCATCGAATGAGCCCCTGCGTTCGACACTTCTTCTGCGCTCCATCTCGATATTTTGTTCGACACGGTGCTGATCATTGCTTGCCAATCGTGTCTAGAAATCGTCGTCGGCCCAAGAAAACATCCGAGTTATCCCGCCAAAGAGAGCGTTGCGCCAGTAAGCTATATACAGCGGGTGCTTCATTGCCGTCCAAGGACACCATGAATGTCGGCAGGTCGTTGGCCTACGTAGAAGATCTCCACTTATCCCTCGCGCGTCAGATGGCGGCGTTGCCTCGTCGCACCGATTCGTGCGCCACATGATCGTCAGAATCGCCTCGCAACAGTTCGATGCCAGCTGAGTCCCAGAGGAAGTGACAGGCCCTGTCCAGTAAGGATGGAACTTTGGAAGGGCTCCAAGGGAAGTTAGGGAACCCTGACATTGTGCGCCCTAAAAGCCATCTGACGGGAATTTCATCTCCTCTGTTCGGGTGTGGTGTGAGAAGGTCGGTATACTCGAAGGGATCTGGCTTCTGCGGTCGGAGCAGAGGCCTCGCGCAGCTGAAGCCACCAGATGCACATGAGAGCGCTGGTTAAGTGGCCCTGCGCGTGGCTTGTTTGGTTGGGACTTCCGGTCAGTCGGCATATGCCGGTTCGACTCCTATGTTGCCGCAGAGGCTCTTGACAATGTCACCTCAGGCCATCGTCGCTGTATGGTACGGCAAGACTTCGGAGAACGGAGCAGAGGAACCTGGATCTCTCAGACAGCGGCGGCGAATGTGACTTCAAGTTCGACATCGATCCCTCCATCTCGGAGTCGAAAGCTGCAGTCGTGTGATCCTAGTACGCGAATTTTCACCCTACAAACTACGCCACGCCCGACTCCGGCTTACGAGCATCTAGCTTTTCCCCTCATAGAACTCACCAGCTGCTAGCGTCTACCGATGCTGTTGAGCCTCGATGTTAACTTCTGCCAAGTCTCCATGAGCGACGCCCTTCTACGAATCCTAGTACTGTGCACGAGTAATCACGTATCGATCTCTGACGTATAAGCAATTATGACCGAATTCATTAGACGTGTACGAACGACAGCCTTGCGGACTCCTCGCGTACGTATAAGTACGGTGAGTTGGCGGATGAGACATATCACTTCGTCCTACACACTCACACTACTGATTCCTTCCTTTCACTGAGCACCATACCCATGGAAGGACAGGTCTCTCACTCTAAAACGCGCCTTCACAACCGCGTCATTGGCCATGGATGGTCACGGCCTGAGTACCAATATGAAGGCCCCACTGTAAGGGAGGGGGGTACCAACCAGTGGTTGTGCATCGTCCGAAGTACGTGAATCTTCTCCCCTATAAAACACCCTTGTCTAAATGTCCACAGTGAATGCCTCAGAATGGGGTCGCGCATACGGGCCATCCAGGCATGCAGCATCCGAGGCTGCAGCTGCCATCGCCTACAGCGTTCTGATCCAGCAAGGCTACTGATTTACTATGTTTCTTCATGTAAAGTCTTCTTTCCCGTTGCACCCTCAAGACATGCCCTATTTTCGGTAGCCAACTGAGGACGTTCGTATTACTAGTACTAGTACCTTGGAGGCTCTGAGTATAAAGCACATACAGTCGTAGTTCTGAATATCCGGTCTTCCCCAATGACTCTGTATAGCTACGCCAACCCAATGTCAGATATATCGCACTGCAGCTGAGCGCACGACAAGCGGGTGACTCAAGGAATTATGCCCCATTAACATTCGTGGCGTAAACAAGTGGGCCGAATCCTTTCGGGAATTGCCGCACACCAACTTGCCTTTTGCGCTCACCCGGACCGCCGCATGAATCTCCCAGATATGCACTACCAACGATATCCGACCGCGGGATAAGGGAACAGCGACTGCACGGTCATTTGTGTCGAGGGATCTTTGGGTCGGAACGAACTTCGCCATCTAGCGACGAGGTTTGCTTTGGGCGCTTCAAGACGACTGCTAGGCGCCGGCGTCAGCCCTAGGACGCCTGTCTACCAAATCGATGAACGCGGTCTCTACAGTCTCTATCGCCTGCCATGATCGATGTAGCATCCGCTCGAAACGCTGCAGGAGGACCACCTCACACGGAGAGGCATCGGACAGATGAGAAGACTCTTAGCTAGATGTGCTCGACGAGAGACTGCACGGCAGTAGCAGCTGACCACGTACGGACTTCAACTGAATTTGGGAATGTAGGTCCAACTCGCAGACCAGTCACGCAGAATACACTCGAGCTTGATCTACTACGACCTCTCCGGCGATCAAGAACGATGATCTTCGAACCTGAAGGTCTCCGGCGAATGAATGACCACAAATCGTCTATACTTCCTAGCATTCTCTCTGCACTCCCTGCAGACGACAACGCTGCCTCCGACCCCGACGGCTCTGGTCTATGACTGCAATGCACTCTACGGCTCTCTCAACCCTACGCCGGACGTCTACCCGAGCAATGCACACCACGACGACGAGACTTCGTGCGACGAATATGGCAGGCGCCTCAACTGCAGCCGTCTTTCTCCTGTCCTCGTGTCGCTGCACACTCAACCTGGGCTTCCTTGCAGCAATGGCGCCTACGCGTCCGAAGCGGTAGACGACCGGGAATACCAGGGATGGACGGTAGTATAAAGAGGACCGAAGTGTAACCCACTCACCATCGACTCCCCTCAACCCTCCCTTGTCCAAGACTCCCGTTGGCTATCTCCCCCCACCCCGCAGACAAACAAGCCATGTCAACGCGTATGTCAAGCGACCTCTCATTTCTGCCCAACTCGTCGTCCTGATTATATCTTTAGACGAGAAGACCAAGCTTCACAACCGCGTCACTGGCCTCGGATGGCCTCGGCCCGAGCTTGAGTACTTGTCCTTCCCCAGGGAGCCGGCCGCCCAACAGTGGTTGTGCATCGTCCGGAGTACGTGCCTCTTCCCACATATTGGGCGACTATCTAACCGGCTATAGTCAACAAGGGGGAGTGGGGTCGCGCGTACGGACCTTCCAGGCAGGCCGCCTCCGAGGCCGCCGCCACCGTCGCCTACGACGCTCTGACGCGAGCAGGCTATTGATCGTCCACATTCCCTCACCTATCACTCTTTTGCGCTATCGCAGTCTCTCGCTCCTGTTTTTTTAACCCGCATCTCCAGCTGTATTATAGTGCCAAGCGCGTATGATTTTGTGTCCTAGTTTCTGACATCCGCTTTGCACCGTAGACACCATAGCATGTACTTACACGTCTAGTAGACTATTGTATTCCACCTCGGCCAGGTATAACATCGTTCTCATCCTTCGCATTGGTCCTGCCCTTCGAAAGCAGGTCTGCGCCACATACGTTCTTCAACCCGACAAGAGCTGGCCTTCCATCGAACGCGCACATCAACTGACTTTTGACTGCGAACCCAATTCTCATATCATAAATCAAGAACATACAATAGAGACTGCCGCGACACGTCTATCGAGCCGCTCATATACATAGGGCGTTATACGTCCATTGCTGTCAGGCCGCGTCGTTCATCCTGCGCCTCGCTGCACACGGTTAACTCGCCCTGCTCCTCGTACGCTACCTCCTCACACCGCCGTTATGGCGCCTCCTGCTTCACAGGCCACCCGCCTCCAGAGAGAAAGTTCAACCAATCGTCCTTTCCCTCCCCGTGGGGGTCGCCGCCCCCTCCTCCACCGTCCCCATCTCGCGCAGAGTTCCTTCTACTATTACTCCCGCCCGAGGCTGGTGGCCACTCAAACGGCGGAATGCCCGGCTTGAACCCGTCGCCGCCGCCTCCTAGCGGCCCAGGAAACGCACGCGCGTCAGACAAGCTGCTGGCACGGACGGCGCCCCCGCCTCGCCCATCGAACGTGTCGCCGTCAAAGGCGCCGACGCCAAAGGGCAGACTGGGCAGGTTGTTGAAGACGGAGAGCGGGGTGGGCGTGCTGCCGAGGCCGAGGGCGCCGCCGCCGCCGCCTGGCCCCGAGCCACCACTACCGCCGAGACCGCCTCCCCCACCCGCGCGGGCGGCGAGCAGCGCCCAGTCTAGGTCCGGCCCCGCCGTGCCAGGTCGCGAGACGGGACTGGGGATCTGAAAGCGTGCGTCGGAGCTGGCGCGCTCGCGCTCGGAGGTCAGGGCGGCATGACGCTCGCGTTCAGATGCCAGCGCCATTCGTTCTGCGTTGAGTAGGGCCCGGTCGGAAATGTTGGGTATGCCGCCGCGTTCTGAGGAAGTAGGATGCGTAGCGCCGCGCGAGGGGCCGGGACGATAGGATGAGCTAGGGAGCATGGCGGCTTGACGGGCGAGAGCGGCCTGATGCGCGAGGGCGGCGTATTGCGCTGCATTGAAGCCTGGGGGTGAGGACGAGCCGAAAGAACCTGCGGCGGACGGGTTAAAGCCGGCTAGGTTGTTGTAGGCGGCGTCCCCTGCAAGAGCACGGAGGAAGTCAAACTGTGACAGCAAGTTCAGCAGATGAATTTTCGCGTAGATGTCGAACGTACAGATGGAGGTCCATGCTTGGAGTCGCCGTGGCCAGTGCTACCTTTGCGCTCGCGGTTATCCTGCGAGTCGTCCTCGTCGTCTTGGTCATCGCGAGGTCCGGCTACACGACGTGCGCGCTTCGCAGGACGTACGTCTTCTTCGTGGGCATCGTCTTCGTCTTCGTCGTCATCTTGCACGTACTCAGCGCCACCAAAGTCCGCTGGACCAAGGGTGTCGGTCTCTCCGCGGTACTGCAAACATGACCATTAGCCTTTGGATCGGTTTCCTCATTAGCGGCCTCGCACCTTTGTCTGGCGTTGGACAATACGGTCGATGTTGGAGGAAGCGTATTGGTAGAGCTTGACTCTGTGATTCGGGCGTTCCTCTGGAGATTGGACCGATAGGCGTTTAGGTGAATGGTGATCGGAAATGAGTGGAAGTCGACATGTGCGCGTTGGCGGGTTTGTAGGGTGCGTGGGAAGGTGGGGAAGGAAGGTCAGCGGCAGGTCAAGCTCAACACGCTGGCCAACGCACCAAAGATGATGACTGCTATATCGACACTGCATAGTACGCCGAGTTCGTAGGCCTTCTTCAAAAGGCCTGCCTTGCGCTATAGGGGGAATGAGCATGCTGATCAATCGGGGTCGACGGCGAGCGGGAGGGCGTGCGAGGACGCGGTAAGCGGAGGGATGGGGGTAGGAGGAGAACAAGGGCTGCTGGAAGGAGAACAAGGGCGCGGCGTGGGTCCAAATACACGTCCTGCGCACGCCAAGGCTTGGCTTGGCACCCGTAAAAATAGGACCCCCTTCCCCTTCTCCCTCTTCCTTCATCTCGCCCGAGTTCGCCCTCCTCCCCAAACTGCCTCCAGTGCGCCCTCCACGGCCCCCTCCTCGCCCAGCCGACATTCCTTGAGGCTCACCTTTTGCAGCGTTACGCTCCGGTTGCGTTCATTCTGCACGCGGGCACCATAATTAGCGCACTTCCTCTTGGCACCGCGCCCAAGAGGGCACTTGCCTTGATGGGCTCAATAGCAATCTTGCGACGTCCCATGGCGGGCACTGGGTGCGGGGGAAGCGGGGGACGATGGGGGGAACGTTGAGCGTTGCTCTGAAAAGAGGACGCCTACGGTGACGGCGGCGGAGGGTAACCGATCGGCATCCCGGCACGCTGCGGACTCGCACGAGCGCCTTTCCACGCGGCGCTCGCGTGCTGCACCGCCCCCGCTTCAGGCTCCCCGCCGACGACTGAATGCATGTCCCTTCTGCGACGATTCTGCGCGCGCAGGAATCGGAGTGTCTCTCCTTCTCAATAGGACTGAGACTGCCGCTCAACCGTCCTGGACTAGCCACGAAAATTCATCTGAGAGGACTTTTCGGTACCAGCCTGTCCGAATCTCCCTCCCCATCACAGGCGTTGTCCAATATAGCATCCCCGCTGCCACGATCTTACACGGACTCCGAGGAGGCGCAGCTTGGTCGCAGCTGTCTTCGTCCTTTCCATGGTATGTACTGAGCTTTATATACCCCCGCAGCACTCCAGCTACTGTCATGAGTCAGCGCATCGCTCAGGGCCATGGTGCTTCTCGTCTATACTTACCAGAAAGACTGCCAGCATCGCCGCCTCGATGGGGGCTTTATGTAGGATGGAAAGACTTGCTGGCTCTTCGCCCATCCTTGCCCCTCTCTTCTCACCGACGCTTGTCAGGCGAGTAATCTTCTCAGCGCCAGCGGTTGTTTGAGCAAGTAAGAAGGAATTCATTCCTTCTCATTCTCTCGAGTATCGGGCTCACGTCGGGCTCCGAGCGGAAGGAACCACCTGGACGAGTGACGGCGCGTGATACGCATGGTCACGTGCGTGTCACAGTTCAACTTCGATGTCACACGGCAAATCCCGCGCGGTGCTTCGGGGTACACATCCGAGGTCAGTACATGCAGCTTGACGCACAAGCATGTAGAGTGGAGAACGAAGCATATCTCCTATCATCGATCTAGCCTACGAGGTCGAGGTACTCTTGCGCCGAGTGGAAGACGGGTGGGTGAGGCAAATCATTCTCCACGTGCTCGAACTCGTTGAAGGGCATCTCGGGCGCGAGCCGCTCGCGCACCCAGTCCTTGATCTTGTTGAAGTTCCGGCAGGAATGCGCGACATTGACACGGCCGGCAACAGCTTGATAATGCTCGGACCACTGCCAGACGTTCACGGAGACGTCAGCAGAGCACCTAATAGCCATGAGATGCGTGAACTGGGACGAGAAGGATGGACGTACATCAACGATTGCCTGATGGAGTCCACGCAGTGGCTGAGGTGCTCGTACTCGAGCAGGTCTGGTCGGATGAGGGGCTTGTACCGCTCAGGGCTGAGGCTCATGCGGAGGTAATTCTGCGAGGAAGGGCTGTCAGAACGCATAGGCACAAGATGGGCATACTCACCAAACAGTGGATTTGATGGAAAACGTCGAGATGGGCGAGGTAGTTGCCCTCCGGGGCGTCGCGCGTGACAGGATGGGTTCGGTTGGGGAGGCGCGTGGCCACGTCGCGCGGTATCATGAAGATTGACGCTGTGAGAAAGGGTGAAGTGAGGAAGAAAGCTCATGCACTCAGCGGGCACGTACGAGTGTAAAGATCTTCCCAAGCTTCGTCCGCTTCATCCGTGAGCTGCTGATACAGGGTTTTGTGCTCACTTCCTGCGCGGAAGACTACGAGCTCATCCTCGAGTATGTGGTTTGCTGGAGCTATGATGACGATCAGCAATGGAACGGATAGCTCATTCGTGATCCACTTACAAAAGAGGAAGTTCGCGCTGCCAGGCGACCGTCTCTCGGATGCGGGGCGCAGGAAGAGAGCAACGATCGCCGCGGTCTCCAGAATGACGATGAGAACTAAGAGCCTGGCGCCCCAGTTCTGCCAGACGCGCTTCAGGCGAGTTGGCTGAGGGTCGAGATGGTGTTCGACGTCGTCCGATGAGTCGATGGCGCTTGCCAGAGGCAGTTATTCTTCTGCAAAGCCCATGGCGAACAGGCAACGTGAGTCGCCTCGAAGGATTGCAGGCCTGCAGATGAGGATGATAAGCCGCTGAAGAGACGAGCGCGCCTACCTATCCCCGGCCATGCCCTGGTCATTGGGGCAGTACCGAGTTAGCGCTTGAAGTCCGTCCTTGCAGGACTGGACCTTGACTAGTGGGCCGCACTGTGGCCGCGACGGGAGGGTCATAGGTCGTCCTGTGGCGCTGGCGGCGGCGCCTGGAGCTGATGTATTCTGGGCGCTCAGACGCCCGCGATACTACACGCCAGCGCACCAGCAATCTCGGGTGACTCCCGCGGGCTGAAGCGAGAACTGAGGCACAAAAATCAATGCTGCGCGTACTCGTGCATGAGGTGGAAGAGGTGATCCTTAGATAGTTCATAGGCTCACCATTGTCTCGCTGTCAGACAGGCAGCTCTTTGGAGTTGAGTCGCTGCACTGAGGCCCTGCATCATCGGCGCACATAGCCGATATGAGTACACGTACGATGTTCATATACGGGAAATCTTTCCAAGGTGAGGCCCACGTCGGTCATAGGTCGACGAGCTATGAAGCCGCTTGTCCGATTACAGCAGTGAACATCCTGACGTGCTCTTCGCCACCGAAGCATCTGTGACATCCGAGGACCAGCTGACGCCAGTGGAAAGGTAGATAAGGGCAATCAACCAGGGAGCAGCAAAACCGACCTCGCATCACGCCATTGTGCTTCCAGAGATGAAGCTGTCGCTAGTTGTTGTCGTATCCGTTGTAGCCACCCTTACACTCGGGGCACCGATACATGCCCTCGCCCGTACTGAACTGGTTATTAGTTTGACTTTGCAGATGTCATGCACGATGCTGATACTCACGGCAGAGGCGTAGCAAGGCAAAGGAGGACTGGTACATGACGGTATGCGGCTGGGCGTACGAGGAGGTGAGTAATTTGTTCATTTGAGAGCGCAGAGGAGGATTTCATGATTTCCTCTCGACGCAGAAGCGCCGGTCTGAGGATTGTCCACCCCCTCCAGGTGCGGCATAGTCCGTGCTGTGATCGTCCATTCGCCAGGGAAATTGCTGAGCGAAACAGTATGTCTGTTTGGCAGACGATTGGAGAATTGGAGCTTGATCTTTGTATACATACCTGTCGAAGTTATCGCTTGAGCCCCGCGCAGACCGTCCGATTCACCATCGTACCACATAGTCGCGCCGCCGCCTGTCAGTATCGATCATCAACTCAAGATGTACAGCTGGCTTACCTAAAGCCTTTGCAAGAGAGGGGCAGGGTGCTGATATGGCGTATCTTTCCCGTCGTTCCCGTCTCTAGAACGTCTTGCGCAGAGAGAACGCTGTTACCAATTGCGAAAGTTGGCCTGTCAATGCTGAGCGACTAGACGGCAACAGATGACACTCGCGCGCCGTTATTATTGCTATCCGAGCCCGATTTACTCGTGGGGCGGAGCACAATGCTCTTTCAGTAGCACCCTGGATCGTTGGACCTGCGCCACCGATCCAGCACGCAGAGTACAAAAGAACACACTGATGGCTTGTTCACTCACCTCAGCGACTGGTATACCGACGGCAGGACCCATTACTCGTTACAATGAAGCTCTCCCTAGCCGTCATTTTCTCTGTGGTCGCGACCAGCGCGCTCGCGGTCCCGTTGTTCGAAGTAAGCAGGATGGACAGGGCATCATTATAACAGTCGTCGAACAGCCCTGTCAACGCAACGACAACCGCGAGCTGCTGATGAGGCGTCGAATTCGCAGAAGCGCGGCAAAGACGGAGAGGGATCGTTCTACCGGGCGTCGTGGGCAGTGGAGGATGTACGCTAGTTGGTCTTGCGGGCGACGACGATCGCCGCACGTCGCTGATCAAGGTCACCGAGCCAACAGAAGCGCAGTGAAGTCGTCGAGAGTCGCGAGGAGGGGGCAATTAAGTACCCTACGTGGAACAAGGAGGACGTGAGTTTGCGCTATCCTACCTGCCCGATGTGATAGCTAACTCGCCTTCGCAGAAACGCACCGACGACGCCCGTTGGGTCGGCGCGAACTGGTCGCTTGAGGATGTAGGCTGCAGGGGACCATGCTTGTCACCACCTAGGATACTGAGTGACCATCCAGAAACGCACAACCGAGGAGTACGCAATTGCCCATCAATGGGGTCACGAGGATGTGCGTATGCTGATCTTGCCCGCTGCTGGCTACGAGTTGCTGACTGGTTCATGCGTAGAAACGTGCGGAGTAAGTCCCAAGGGACCCTCTAGCGGGAGGCGCGGCTTGAGGGTTTTCGAACGTTACCTTGAGGCCGCCGAGGTCTTAGTGAAGCTGTTATACTTAGGACGCGTCAGACAAAAGGAGAAAATTGGCTTTTGAGGTGTCTGTAGGTGTCGGTTGATGGCGCGTGTACACGACACGTGAAGAGACCACTGCAAGGCGTTAGCTCTTGAGGCGCGGTCAGCAAAGCACGTACTCATGCTAGTTCCGACTGCAGCGCAAGAAAGGACGGTGTCAGGTCCGATGCCCTTAGCAGGAATCTACGAAGCGTGGGTGGTTAGTGACACCTTCATACAGGCGTCATGCGAATTAGAGCCAGACGACGCCTTCCAAATGGGGCGCGAAGAGGCTCACTACCTCAAAGGGCCAGTAAGCCCTGGGATTACCTAGACGCCCAAGACGTCCGCATGGCAATGAAGTCGGACGTGCACGGTCTGATTCCAGCGAACCCCCAAGTTGTAGGCGTTGATACGGCGCGAGTCAGACTTACCGATGACTCGTACGTCGATGGCGTCGTCGGTGTGAGCTCTCGGACAACTCCCGCGGCAGAAGAAAGGGGCTTGCAGTTGGAGCCTCGTCCTTGTCGAAACCATTCACGGAGCGTATCCCGCAGAGGGCGTGCGGATCTAGTAACTATGGTCAGACCTGTCAACGTTTGCGAAAATGGACGGCGGCAGGTGATGCTCACGCGGGGTCATCCGTTGGTATATTTGCTATCGGTCCAAACTTCCTCGAAAAGTCGGCCCGCATGAAGGGCACCCTGGACCTCTGCCATGCACCATTGACTGAGCATGAAGACTATAAAGGCCTGCGCAGGAGCCTCTTGAACTCATCTCACAGTGAGGAAGACCGCTTTACTATGAAGCTCTCGCTGATCATCACCTTCCCCGCTGTTGCAAGTAGCGCGCTCGCGGCCCCACTCGCGAAGGTAGGATGAAAACGCATCGTTGTATCTGTTGCTGCTTGACATTCCCGCAGCGCCACCAGGAGGAATGGGCGGTAGACAAGAAAGCTTGGAACCTGGAAGACGTGAGTGAGCCAGCGCCTGCACATAGGGACGGTGTTTGCTGACGAAATACTGGCGCAACAGAAGCGCAATGTAGCCGTCGATCACAAGGAAGACACGACGCGGAACTGGGCACCGTGGGTGAAGGAGGAAGTGAGTTGGCTCCATAGGCTCACTGCGTCGCAGACCAAACATCACTGACGATCGCACAGAAGCGCACGGACAAGGCCATGTGGCATGGCCCGTGGTCAGTTGAGGATGTAAGTCTGAGGGGAGCGTTATGCGGAACCTTGTCGAGGAAGAGCTGACGGGTGGTGCAGAAGCGTGAGGTGGAAGGCTGGGGCGGTCAGAACTGGGCGCTCGAGGAGGTAAGCGCAGCCCTGCGAACCATTTTCCAAGCTAGGGCGGGATATATATATTGTCAGCTCGAGTGCTGATCCTTCGTCTAAACGCGCGTCATCAATGATGGCCTGAAGCGGAGCGAGGAGGGGAGCCTGTTGTTAAGGCCGTGCGGCTGGGGCGTCGAGGATGTGAGTCCTTTTGAAGGAGGCATGAGAGCAAGACAGCACTGACACGATTGAAATTGCAGGAACGCCGGGCTGGGGATTGCCCGCCTCAACGAGCGTCTAACGAGTGAAGGGCCAGATCACTGGAAGGATACGGCGAATCATACTGTGAGCGCGGGTGAGGGGCAGGCGTCAGACAATACACGAACTGTACAGGACGTACCCGGCGAAACTGTTGCTGCAAGCGGAACGAGGCCTCAAGGTGTTGAGGTGGCACGACAGATGGAAGTGATCGTCGAAGACCGAGCCGGATGCGCTGCTGTTCGTCCATCGCTTCCTCCCGCGCCTTCGGCAGATCCGGAAGATCGAATTTATGTTGTGCTGCATAGCAGAATCCCGCTGCTGTAGAGCTGAGACCCACATCGTGAGCTTCTGACGCAGCTGTGAGCGCTTGACATCGATATAAAAGCGGAGCGAGGGACGTACGGAAGCAACAACCACCTTCGCCCCCTCCATCCATCTAGACTTTGAAGGCCGGCGCTAACATGCAGCTCACCGCACCCATCTTCGCCTCCATCGTCGCTCTCCTGACGCTCGCGGCGCCGGCGGTTGAAGCAAGCCCTGTCGCGCTGCGAGCGAAGGTAGGCGAGTCAAGCCCTCCACGCACTCGCATCTGGATGGCGGGAAACGTGAGTGCACATCTGCTCCTTCGAACTCGTGGATCGGCCCTTGAAGTGCTTGCTCACCGTCCATGAAATGAGCTGACCGTTCTCGAAGTGTGAGCTGACAAACTGAGCAGACGCGCGACGAGGACAAGAGCGAGATATTCAAGCAGACGCGTGACGAGGACGACACCGACATATTCCGCAGGTGCTCGCCTGAGGTGGGAGACTGTTTCCCGCGAATGACCGTGTTCATCGTCAACTGACAGGATGTACAGCAGCGCGACGATGCCTCCTCCGATATCTCCTTCAAGTGCTAGATTGACACTATACCGACACGACGAGCAGGTATCGGGAGGACGCTCAAGGGCGTGAGAGGGGATTAAGTGCAAGAAGTATTGGACGTGCGAGAGGTATCCCTATGCATGCATGTGATATTCAGCATGGCGGGGTATAGATACATTAAATGAGGCATGCTGGGACGAACTGCTGAGCGAATGAAGAAGCCCCGCCATATCTAGCGATACTCCGTGCTTCATCGCAGGTGGACGCCCTGATCCCTCCATCCCAGCGCGGCGTCGCCCGCAGAAGCGTCCTCCGTCTACGTACATAGGGTGTGTCGTGGAACGTTGCGCTGGTAGGCAGAGGTCATGTCCTCTTGAAGTATGGGCTGTTAACGACGGTCGCTTGTGCCATGTCGAATACGCTCTCCCCGACGGAGAGGTACTTCTCGAATATAGATCGTGGGGTGCCCTCGGGGACCGTAGTAGGGTTCACACTGCGATAGTGGAGGTGATCGAGTAAGCGACCGCAGCGCGCAGATGATAATGAAGAAGACACTGTCAGTAAGTTGACAGGAGGGTCTAGAGACACGACGCACGTAAAACCGCTTGAGCGACGAATGCCCGCGAGGACGGTCGAAAGGAGGACTGCGTCGACGCCGTAGTGCACGAGTTTCCCGAGCATTGCCATTCGTGCTGCAGGTAATGTTCGCGAGTGTTAAGTGGCAGAGGATGCCTGCACAGAGGAGAACACTCTTAAGTACGGAGAGAACGGCGGCGACGCTGGCGAGTCGTCGCGGCAGGGGACAATGATGCTGGCGAACACATTCGGCAGGTCGGCAGCCTCCGATCACCGGATCCCGGGCCGATTTGTGACATTCCATCATGGTCACACACAAGTTGACTGCAGACGCCTCTTCGCTCTGCCCTCCATGACCCGCCCCTGCTTCTGAATTTTAGATCTTCTGTGAGACATAAACTTATGATGACTTAACTTCTCTCGTTGACCAGGTTTCCACCTTCGCAAGCTTCGAAACCATTTGAGGCGCATGAGTGTATCCACTTCCCGAGACGATTCAATGGGGTGAACGTCGATCTCAGGTTGTTATTCGGTGACCTTCTCGTTGATATCCCTCATCCCTGTCCCGATGTGTGCTGCAGGATAAAGATATCAGGACGGGCAATCGACCCGAGCAAACCCCACTGATGCCCTTGTCCACTTTCTCAGCCTCGTTCAATCCTATGTTTATCGTTAGCCTTGGGACGAATCACTTACCGCCCGAAGCACTGACCCGCTCTCAAACTTCTCCTGGTCGACACACCGAGCTGGGTCAAGTCCGCCAGACCGGCGCACGTTGTGGACCCACAACTGATCCTATCAGATCAATAGATGTCAACCGATGGCTATCGCTGTAGACGACGACCATCATCGCGCAGTTGCACCCCCAGTGCACGCGCATAGCAGGACCGGAACGGTCACAAAAGACCCTAGAAGAGCAGGCGAGTCCCCCTCGTGCTTGTTTCCGATACAGCCTGCGATAGGTCGCTTTTAATGCCAAGCTCAGCGTTCTTTCCCAGCGTCCCGCGAAAGAATGCACGAAGTTCAAATTCTGAATGTCCGCATCTGACTGTGCGATTGTTCAGCCCATGACGGTGGTCTTGTAAGCTCTCCCACCGTGTCGATGACCTATCCCAGGCGGGTCGCCGACGGCGCGCCAGGGGCGAGACAGCTGATGAACCTGACCGCCATGAGATTGCATTGCAGGGGTCGCCACGCCCGACCGTGCTTCTATCCGGTCCCCAGATCAAAACCTGGCGCTTAAAGAGACCCGCATCACACACACACTTCTCCATCTCGCTCTCCCACCCGATGGCTTTTCAGTACCCGCCTACCGAGCTGCCCACCCTCCAGAGCCTCGGCGTCACCAGCGCCCCCGCCGCGACCGACATCGACGCGTCCGCCGTATCGGAGAAGTGGCTCGCGTCGCTCTCCAAGGCGCTGGACGCCCGCGACGCGGCTGGCGCAGCGAGCCTCTTTGTCCCCGGCGCGTACTGGCGCGATCTCCTCGCCTTTACCTGGGACATCCGCACCTTCCGCGGGCCCGACAAGATCAAGACGTTCCTCGCGGACACGCTCGCGCAGGCAAAGCCCACGAAGATCGCCCTCACGCCCGGCACGGCAGCCGCGCAGGCACCGTTCCCCGACGTGCTCTGGGTGATCGCGCTCTTCTCGCTCGAGACCTCGGCGGGCCCGACAACGGGCGTCCTGCGCCTTGTGCCCACGCAGGACGGCTCGTGGAAGGCGCACGGCGTCCTCACCAGCCTCGAGGGCCTCGCGGGCAACCCAGAGCGCATCGGCCCCTTCCGCGAGAACTCTGAGCAGCCCCCTCACCATCCCCAGCCAACCCTGGAGAGCGCACAGCCGACGGTCGTGATCGTCGGTGGTGGGCACAGCGGCCTGAACGTCGCGGCGCGCCTGAAGGCACTCGGCGTCAACTCGCTCATCCTCGAGAAGAACTCGCGCGTGGGCGATAACTGGCGCGGGCGGTACGAGTCGCTCGTCTTGCACGATCCCGTCTGTGAGTGACGTGCTTCTTTTGCGTCGGATGGTTTCTGATCAGCGTGTCCTGCAGGGTACGACCACCTGCCGTATCTCCCGTATGTGGTGTTCCTTGGAGCAGGAACTCGCGGCTGACCCTTTGCTCTAGATTCCCTCCCACGTGGCCTGTGCACACCCGTGCACCCAAGGTGGGTCATTCTTCTCGGTTTCGTTCCACTCAGAGATCCTCGATATACGCATCTGCCCCTTCCTAGCCGCTATCTTTACCTTTTCTCCCTTCTCCGCTATGATGACGGACTGATACCCTTCGCTAGCTCGGCGACTGGCTCGAGTCCTACGCGACCTCCCTCGACCTCGATGTCCTCACTAGCACGCCGGTCGTCCGCGCCACGCACGACGAGAAGACGGGCTCCTGGACTGTTGTCGCACGGCGAAGCTCTGACGGCAAGGAGCGCACCTTCAACGTCAAGCACGTCGTTCTCGCCGTTGGCCTCGGCGAGGGGTGGAGCAAGATTCCCGAGTACAAGGGCTTGGTGAGCATAGCGAGACGTAGCAGCTGACTTCTCTGTACTGATGCGATGACGATAGGATACGTTCGGCGGAAAGGCCTTGCATTCGTATAGCCACAAGTCGGCGGACGAGTACAAGGGGAAGAAGGTGCTTGTTGTTGGCGCGTGCACGGCTGGTGGGTGTCCTGCTGGTCTTCACCTTCAGGGTCAATGTAAATGAAACTGCAGCCCACGACATCGCCGCGGAGTGCGTCAGGAAGGGCGTCGGTGCGTACAACGGCATGTCAAACAAAGGCTGGTGCTCACGTCGTTCGCCTAGATGTGACGATGTACCAGCGCAGCCCGACGTATGTCATCACCGTCAAGACCGTCAAGGAGGCGTTCATGAAGGGTCTGTACGCCTTCACGATCCTCTTCAAACAGCGATGCTGATGTCGTCTCAGGCCTCTACGAGGAGGGCGGCCCCCCGACAGAGATCGCAGACCTGCTCGGCGCCTCTTTCCCATACCCGATGCAGGGCGAGCTTGGGGCGCGCTCCGTGCTGCACTTCGCGGACTTAGACAAGTGAGTGATAGATGCTTCCATCCTCGTAGCTTGACATTCTGACGCTGTATCAGGGACACCCTCGAGGGCCTCGCGAAGGTAGGCTTCCGCACGAATAAGGGTTTCATGGACAAGGGTATCTTTTGGTCCTTGATCGAGGCCGGTGGCGGGTACTACATCGGTACGTCTCCTGCCTTGTCATGAACATGCTGCCTGGCCGAACGCGCTACGCTCAGACACCGGCGCCTGCAAGCACGTTATCGACGGCAGCATCAAGTTGAAAAGCGGCCCGCCGGCGAAGCCGCTGCAGGGCGGCAGCAGCGTGAAGCTGACGCACTTTACGCGCGACGCGGCAGTCTTCGACGACGGGTCCGAGGTCAAGGCGGACGTGGTCATCTTCGCGACGGGGTGAGTTGGGCTCGGTGACTTCACAGGTCGAGTGCTAACGCGCGTTTCATCTAGCTTGGGTACTGTCAAGGATGCTGTCCACCAGATCTGCGATCCGAAGACCGCGGAGAAGGTGAAGAAGGTCAGTGGTCCTGCTCGTCCATTGTGATAGTGGTAATTGATTTGGTGTGTCGCAGATCTGGGCTCTTGATAGTGAGGGCGAAATCAACGGCGTCTACCGCGACGGCGATGTGCCGGGTCTGTATATCATGATGGGTGAGTCGCTACTCTGCGTAGATATATCTTGGGCTGACGGGCTTTAGGTAACCTGGCCATCTGCCGCTTGTACTCAAAGTACGTCGCGATGCGTAAGTTGTATTCATCATCATACGCTGAAGGTTACTAACCCTTGTGCAGAGATTGCCGCGAAAGAGACGGGTGCCTATGGTACGCCGTACAGGGTGGGCAAGGAGTAGACGTCCCACGGCACATGACTCTTGTGCATGGTTTCACGCATTGGCTACGAGGTTTCCATTTCTATCGCATCTGTACTTATACGACAATCACATATCGAAAAGAATCAGCTTTGGAATCTGCCAGTCAGGAATGGGGGGTATAGGAGCGGCGTCCTTGCCTTCGTGCAATCGCTCGCTGATGAGGGCTACAGTCAAATCATCCATCTCCTGCCGTTCAAGCAGCGCAGCTGTACCCTTTTTGCTTTTAGTGGAGCGGGCAATGCTCGCACAGACGGCTCCTCCTGCTGGTAACAGGTGCGCTGGCCACGCGGGAAGGATCGCGGACAATGGTGGGGAGGACTTGGACGCTACAAGAAAAACCCAGTCATGCTCATCTGACATCGAGGTGCAAAGGCGCTCGTCCTTATTTTATGGCACGAAGGTGGAGGTCGAGTCGACGGCGCAGACAGCAATATAACACGTGATCCCGGCAGTTCCCGTCCAGCGAAGGCCGATGGTCTATGGTTTCAGCTTTCGGCGCGCTCCTTGGCTCCAGCGCTGATCCAGTCCTCGCCAGTCAACGAACACAACTTCGACCTCTATATGCCTCAATCCGGAACCCGAGGGACTCTTGACCCTGAACCTACGCCTGAGATGGCAGAGGAGGGCATATCGGGCACCAGGCGTCCGCACAACGACGCGGAACTGCATCCTGCTCCGGACGCTCACTCTGTGCGCGCCAATGAGCAGATGCACGCAGAAGGACTACTACATCCAGGTTCTGCCAATTTCATATCGGAGACAACGAACGCACCCAAGCTCAAGACCTCTGAAGCCGAACAAACCGCGCGAACTTTGAATCGGCCTTCAGCGACCCCAGCTACTACTACGATGACCGAATTTGGGGCGGGCTCCAGGGTCTACGCGGACTTTGGTGCAAGCAGCGGTGGTCGTGCTACGCGTCGGCGGGAAATGGGCCACGAGATGGCAGGAGCGATGCACTTGTCGACCGAGCTCGATCACACCGCGCGCGCTGATCAGCCCCGCTATACATCTAGCGCTGTCGACTACGAGAAGAAGTATGCTCCAGACGCACATGGCGAGGAGCTCAGCTCTAACGCTCGGATCTGGAGCGTCTACAACGACGAGGCGCAGATCGCTGACACGGAACTCGTGAAGGGGTTGAACGGCACGCTTGACGTCCTGATGGTGTTCGTAAGTTATCTGTCAATGGCAGTCAACGACTCATCTTGATGCGTAACGAATAGGCAGGTCTCTTCTCAGCGGTCGTCACAACCTTTGTCGCTCAGAGCTCGCAAGCATTGAACCCTGATTACGCCCAGATGACAACGTCGCTACTATACGAGCTGACAAGGGTACAACGCGCGATGGCTACCGGAGCCCCAATCAATGACATCCCAGAGTTCCAGGGCGCATTCACCTCAAAGACCTATGCGATGACGGACGTTTGGGTCAATGGATTATGGCTCGTCAGCCTCACGCTTTCCCTATTGACCGCGCTGATCTCGGTACTCGCAAAGCAATGGATTCATGTAAGCTTCCATGGTGTGGAACACAGTTTCCTCCCGAGCTTAATAGTGATGCAGCACTTCAACTCGATTACTGGAAGCACTCCGCGAGACCGGACCTACGTACGTCAGTATCGTCTCAAATCTTTTGGACACTGGAAGGTCCCTGAGATCATTGGGTTCCTCCCAGCCCTGCTCAGTACCGCTCTGCTGCTATTCTTCGCCGGGCTTGCTGTCTACGTTGCGCCTATGAACACCGCAATATTGGCAGTCATCATCATACTCTCCGCGGCCTCTTTCCTCGCGTATCTCTTGACCATCATCCTGCCCATATTCGTCCCGCATTGCGCTTACAAGACGCCCACTTCCGACTACATTATCGTCTTTGCTCACGTCATGACGAACTATGTGTTTCACTACATGGTCCTAGTGATACGCCTGCCCTACGATGTTTTGCGCTGGCATATCAGACATCGTCATCGCCCACGCGCGTCGAAGGGCTGTTGGACACCTTTCGCGACGTTTTGGGAATACTGTGCCCCTGCTATTCCTCCGCGCGTCAGCCCACGCGAACTGGCCCACGTCGAGACGCAAAGCCCATCATTGGCCATAGAAGCATTGCTCTGGCTCTGCTCGTCGCCTCTGAATGCTTCCGCGGCTGATATCTCCGTCCAAGCGGCATCCGCATTTCCTAGCGATTCGCTATCCGCTGTAAGGCGGGGATACTGGATCCTGCACTGGAAGGCGTCGAAGCGCCTGCGCGCGCTGAGTCAGATGATCGCTCCCGCGCGCATTGCGGAACACGCAGACGCTGCAGAACGTCTGGCGCGCACTATGCTACATGTCCCAAACGAAGACTGGTATCTTCTCAAGTACCACATATGGGAGCTGCGTCTGTGGGAGAACCTGTACACGGTCCGCCAGCAGATCGCCTCCCCACAAGCCAGTGCGATGCTCCGTCTCGCCTTGCTGGTGCGCTTCTGCTGCAAGACGCTCAGGCCAACGGACGACGAGGCCGCTCAGCGCGCCGCTCGTGCCGTCGACTGGCCGATGTTTCACTCGCACGACCTGAGGCTACATCCCGTCGTCTGGTGTCAACTGGACCGAGCGGTGCGGCTGTGTCTATTGAGGCTCGAAGACAGGCCACGGTGGTCGGAGTTCAGCGTCGAGCCTCGATGGAGCCTCACCATAGGCTATACCTACGTTCTATCAGAGGAGGAAGGCCAGCCGTACGCACCACCGAACTGGAAGAAGGACCTTTACGAGAACACAGGGATCACTCTGAGGAACTATGCCAAAGGCTGCAAGTGGAACGAGGGGCGCGACAGACTACTCGACAATATGAAAAAGGTCAAGCACCTACTTTCCCAGCATCTGGCGCAGCTCGAAAGTCATATCGACCTTAGCAGAAGCGATACATGGACTCAGACCACGGCGCGACAGCATGGGGACAGCGGCGCCGAGAGGATATTCAGGGCGACAGGGCTCGTCACCGCCGGCGAAGTGATAGATCCTGAGAGTGCAGTCAGGACGCGTGGCAGTCATGCCGGAGTAGATGGATCTGATGTCTCTGAAGTGGCCATCCTGGTGCCAGTGCAGAGCCAAGTTGCTGCAGTCGCGAGCGACGAAGAACAGGACGACGCCGCTCCCGACATCACCAAGCTCATGCACCGCGCAGACGTGCACGATCACGACGATCACGACGACCAGGTCGGTGGTAGCGCCGTCGTGGCGAGGGACGGTGCCTCAGCTACTGCAACCGTTCCTGCCGCCTCCAGCTCAGCGCCCGGGCGTATCACCGACGACGCCGAAGGCTGGAGCACGCACGTAGGGCACGCGATATGAACCTCATCACGGCTGTCAAGTCGAGAGCTTACGCAAGCCGTGGAGGGTGATTATGCGTTGTGTACGTGTTTGTGTAGCGCATCAAGGACTTGAAGACATTATTGTTGTAGCGGACATATAGTACCGAGATGATCCTGCGTATCGTAGTAGAAGGCGGCGAAAATTGTGTTCGAGTGCGCGCACGCACCATGAGAGAATTCATCCTAGTGGCTGCGCTGGCTACTGGAAGTCATCGGCGTCATGACTATCTCCTCCTCGCACCATCCCTTCCTCGTTGCGTCTTGACCGGTCTCCGAGAAGCGCGTCGACTGAGACGACGGTGACCACTCGCTGACTATGCCGACGTCGGTGGTGATATCCTGCGCCGTCGCCTCGTCAACAGCAAGAGCCTGCGGGTCGGCGTTCGCAAAATGGATAGTGTGCGAAGCCTGAGGGTCGAGCAAGGTCTCTGTGGCTGAGCGTTGCAAGCCGACGACGAGGATGATAAAGGTCGGGTAGATGCCCTATGTGATGCCGGTCAGAATTCATCGTAGCGCGAGGAGAGCAAGGCGTACCGCGATGTCGTGGTAAATGGATCCGATGATGAAGTAAGGGAAACTAGGAAGCTCCAAGAGTATGATGATAAGGAAGAACGCCTTAGAATGTTGTCAGTGCGTATAGCTTGCTATGATATGCAGCGCCATACCCATATGAGCACATAGAGAAAACCAGATTCGACGAGTAGAAGTAGCACCCTCTGGACTTGCGTCATCCTCGTCCAGGGACTGAAGCTCGGCTTTATGTTGCGCTGATAGGACCTGTAAGCAAGGATTAGCCATATGCGCGATGGAAATCGCCGAGACGATCGCACCAGGCTTGTATGCCAACCAGGATCGTAGCGGAAAGGTTGATGTAAACTTCGGGAATAGTCAAGGCGAGTGATTTTATCGTCGATTCGACGGTGTGTAGGGACCAGACATATTCGAGGACGATGCCAGCTGAAAGGCCGTCAACAGATTGGCGCCACCATTATCGGTATAGCTCACCTATGCTGCCGCACATCCCTGATAGCAGGATGATCTTCACGAGAAGGTTATCTGGCCACAGAACCCATGCTCTCCATATCACGATCGCGTCGCTCACGAGGTACTAAGTGGATCCTGAGCAAGATCAACAGGGGACGAGGTGAAGAGACGCACATTGTACCGCCATGCCAGAGTTGAGACTATGTTGAGGCGTGTTACCAGGTTCGCCGGATCGTTTGGGACGATGACATACGGCGGGACTTGAAGCAGGTAATATCTGTCGGTGGCGACTACGGCTATCGTCGATGAGATGAAGAGAGTGACGATCGCCGATGTGAGCCACCGAGAACGTCGTTCATGATGCCTGATATCATGCCGAGGTTAGCGCAGTTCATGCTCAGAAGGCGACATACGAACGCTAGAGCAGAGCCAGCAGCAACGAACAATGCTGCCTGTATACCTAGCGCCGCCGTCAGAGATGATGCAGCAAGCCAAAATGAAGGAACACTCGCCGAAGAACAGGAAATCGAGGGCCGTGCGCATGAAGATCCATTGCATCTCCAGGACGTCCCCTGTGGCAAGGGGATTGTAAGGCGCCACAGACGCCATGATGACGGTGAAGGGGAGTATCAAATCCAGGCAGGGAGCGTGCCACTTCTCCAATAAGTACTGCGCTACATCGACTTTCCCAGCGTGCGGCAGATGCTGATGGGTGAAGTGCAGCTCTCAAAGCCCTCGAGAGTCTTGGCCAAACAGCAAAGTGGCGAGTGGACGGAGAACTTTAAGTCGTTCGCTGTATCACCTCATCAGCATATCTGATATCACTGGTCGTATACAACATCCGAGGACGCACCCGTGGGCGTGGAGTGGAGTTGAACTGCGCCCTTTTCAATCGGAGCTCGTGATGACGAGAACACGATACGAGACGGAATGGGCGTACTGCCGACCAAACACGCACGCTATGTCCGGTGACATTGGCTTTCAGAGTTCGAGGATCCCAGCGGGAGTCCTCAGAGATGCGTGCAGCAATGAGAATAGGTGAAAGCTCCAGACGAACACAGTAGTCATCGTATCTTTCCCACCATAGGTTGCCAGGTGGATGCCAGTATACATGATAAATGCGCCGACGTGCTCGGACGAGTTCGGCGCTAGAAGCTATGCGACTACACGCCAGTTGGAAGTCGACGTGAGAGTCAAGAGCGAAAGCCCAATACTCTAATGGGGCAACAAGGCCACGCGGCCTCGGCAGATGCCGTGGCCTTTGTTTCCGTATCCGGAAGCAATTTTGCCGCCGTTTCTGCAAGATTCGGGCGTAAGCTGCCTGGGGAGGTGACGCGCGTATGGAGGCAGCACAGATCGTCAGGTGAGTCGTTGCTTACAGTCTGACCTCACATCTACCAGTGGCATGCCTACCACATCAATGCAGTCTCACTTCAGCAACAAGCAGCATACGTTGAACACGTTCATGATACAGATACAGTAAGAATACAAGGATCAGATTTACATGCGAAGACTAAACTGTCCGAGTGGCAAACGGCTCACTGATTGAGCTTCGCCTCCTTCGCAATCCGCTCTGCATTGGCCTTCCCCGCCAATCTCGCCACCTGCGCATACGAGCGCGCTGACCCCTGCTTCACGACTTCCGCCTGGGACGCCGCGCCCGCATCCGGCGGGCCTCCAGAGTCCAAAGTGTCCGACGCGGAGGAGGCGGACCCCTGCGCTGCCTGAGACTCGCCCGCGGGCTTGCTGAACAAGCTGGAAGCCGGGATGGGTAGGGGACGATGCCTGGACAAGAAAGCATTGCCAGAGCCTTCTACCAGCCGGCGGGCGTCCTCGCGCTGGCAGCGCTCGCGCCACGTCCGGCGCTCCGCGTCGGCCGCGTTGAATGCGGTTCGCAACGCGACGTGCGCGGTGTGCAGTCGCACGAGGACCGCTTGAAGCTGGGTATAGGCGGCCTCGGGTTGCACGTGTAGAGTCTGAAGCTGTGCGTGGTCGGCTTGAAGACGGTTGTGCTTGCGATGCAGTTCGGCGTGTTTGCTTCGAAGCCTCTCGTGATTGCGTCGAAGGCGGTTGTGGTCAGCTTGAAGATGCGCGTGGCTGTCCTGCAGGCGATTGTGGTCGGAGCCTAGCTGCGCGCCCTCGCTTTGAACGCGCTTGTACTCGCCCTGCAGCTGCTCGTAGTCGTCCTTAGCCTTGTCGCGCTCGCCTCGCAGATGCTCGAGTTCGACCCGGAGTTCGTCGTACTCCTCTTGCAGGATCTCGCGATCTGCCCGCACACGGTCGTGCTCGTCCTTGAGGTGCTCGAGCTCGTCTTGGACTCTATGAAGCTCTTCCCGTACGCGTTCCAGCTCGAATCGGGCTTGGTCTAGCGCCTCCTCCCTCTCCCTCAGCTCCCGCTCCACCTCCTTTCGCGCCCGCTCGAGCGAGTCCCGCTCCCGTTCCAGCACATCCCGCTCCCGCTTCGCATCCGCGCAGCTCTGCACACACTCCCAGTACCTACGCTCCCGCTCCGTCCCAATCTCCTTCAACTCCGCGACCTGGCTCTCCAGCGCCTCGATCAGGCCGTCTTGCTCCCTACCAGCCTCCCTCAGCGCCGTTATTTGGCTCTCCCGCTCAACCACCCAACTCTCCAACTCGGCGATTTGGCGCTTCCCCTCCCTCTCGACCGCCGCCAGCCGATCCTCCAGCATCGCACGCCCGCCTTTCGCGCTCGCGTATCGGAGGATCGCCTTTGCTTGCGCTTCGCAGCGGCGCTTAAGCTCGTCCACCTCCTTCCCGCGCGCGGTTGCCTCCTTGTCGCGCTCGCGCAGCGCTGACAGCTCCTTGTGCTGCTCGAAACAGCGCGCCTCCCACTCCGCACGGCGCGCGCTCGAGGCCTGCAGCTCGTGCACTTGGTCGACCAGGAGGCGCAAGCGCTCTTGCGCACTTTGCATTTGGGCGCGCGCGGTCTGCAATTCGACCTGGGTGTGCTGTAGGTCGGCTCGTGCATTCTGCAGTTCCGCCTGCGTATTTTGCGAGTCGGCTTGCCCACCCAGACTCGACTCTCTCACGCTCTCACACCCGTCCAGCCCCCGCAACTGCGCCTCCAGCCCCCTCAGCGTCTGCATGATAGCCGCGGTCTGCACGCTCGCGGGGATCCGGGGATGCTGGGGTGGGGTAGACGATGATGCGTTCGAAAACACAGATGACTGCGCATGCGCAGACAACGTCGATGTGTTGCTGAAGCGCGGAGGACGAGTATGGCTTGTCGCCGGAGGATCGGTGAGACTTAGACCAAGCTGATTGGGCCGCGAGGAGGGCGGGGTCAGTCCTGGTGGAGTGCGTAGCCCAGGTGGTCGATATATTCCAGGTGGATGGGGCGGTGCAGTTGGATGATACGCCCCAGGTGGCCGGTCGATCCCATGCGGCCGAGATATTCCCGGTGGAGGTCCCAGGACGGGCGACGGGGTGAAGGATAGAGAGGAAGGGCTGGATCCCAATATGGTGGGGCTGTACCCCGATGCAGTGGAGTAGCTGTTCTGCTGCGAGGTAGGGTCATGCTGATGCGAGGACGAGGAACCGTTTCCCTGCAAAAAGGAGGGGCTGCTCCCTTGCGGAGAAGAGGTACCATTACCCAAAGGGACGAAGGTACCGTTCCCCAAAGGAACGAAGGAACCATTCCTCTGCGTACCAGGGGGAGAGGGTCGCCACGACATGGGTGTCAGTGGCGGTCGAGGTCGGTTGCGCTATGGTGGACGAAAGGAAGCGCTGCGGTGGCAGGTAGACCGCCAGATCGTGAGTGGTATATATGGCGTGTACTTTGCTTTCACGAGACCATGCTTTGAGTGCGCAGGCCGGAGGGTGAAGTCGTCAAAGAAGGGTGTCAGGGCCTGCGAGATGGTGGCAGCGACGGAGTGCCTAGACCTGATTACGCGCTACGACCGGGTCCGCGGACGAATGAAAGGGGGGCGGCGCGGGTGGCAGCGTTGATGCCATAGGAATCGACGCCGACTAGGACGACGCCTGCTCATTGACATTCGCAGACGATCGGCCGTGCGCAGGGGTCGACTGGCCGCTTGCCAGGGAGTCATTGACAGGGTACGGATTGGTGACTCGGGTCGCTATGCCATTCCGGGCCTTCGCCGCAATAGTGAGGGAATGAAAGGCGAGGTCGGAGAAGTCCTTTGGTTGTCCGGGCGGGTTGCGCTCGTAGTGGGGAGCCTCGGCGTAGGCAATGGAGGCGACTTTGATCTGTCGGGAATGTATTGAATGAGGTGTGGGATGGGGAAGGGAGCGATCAACGCACCAGCACATCCGCGGTAAGCCCTGCGACCGGGGAAGCCGAGCTTCGGAAGCGGTGGTAGCGGTAGAATAGGCCTTGAAGGCCAGGGAAGGCGGAGAGGGCCTCGTCGGTGTATCGCTGCGCAGATGTAAGCAAGGTGTCGGAATGGATGTCTGCCGCAACGTACGTGATAGTCCTCCGTCCATGGCCAGTCCTCGGAGCCTTTGGGTACGAGCGACAAAGATTGGGCCTCGCTGGGATCGAGGATAGGGTGCAGCGGATGAGTGAAGATATGCGCGACCTCGTCCGCGTTCGCCTCTAGGGTGTCAAGCAAGCTAACATCTGACAGCAGCGCGATGACAGGCGTGACGATGAGGTGATGGGCGGACACGAAGGGATCGAGAAGGCAGATCGGATGGACATGCGGGCTGGACAAAGGAAGCTTCACTTCCTCGTGGGCTTCCCGGAGCTGATGAGGGTGAGATTCCATCTTCCCTTTGAACTTCCTTTCGTCTTACCGCTGTCTCGACGATGTTCACGTCCGTGGGGTCCACCCGTCCCCCTGGCAGGGCTGTCTGTCCGCTATGGGTCCTCAGTAACTTGGAGCGCGTCGTCAGAAGGACGTGCAGCTGCCCATCGCGCTCGAATAGCAGTACAAGGACGCCGGCCAATTTCGACGTGGGGTGGGTCGACCTGTACCGGTATGATCATGCCATTCAGCTTGGAGATAGGTGACGAACAGGTCTGCTAGGTTGCTGGTAGCATAATGGTCCCTCAATCGTCGTACGCATTCTCTCGACGTCTCCGAGAGGCCCTCAAGCGCTGTAGATAGCAAGTCGGGGAGAAGGACGGTGTTCATGCTCATTGCTGGCAATGAGGATGACGCAAACGAACACGTGCGCGCCGAACAATAGGCGCGTGCCCGTTGTGTACGGCTGTTAGGCTGCGCCCCCGCGCGCAGGTGCAATAAACTCGTCCTCGACGCTCATGTCGCCCCCGCCGCGCAACCCCTCCCCCGAGCGCTCGGGCATCTTCTCCAGCGTCTTCGACTTTGTCTCGCGCGAATTCGAGTGCTTTGTCGCGAATGCCACAGGGCGGGCCGATGAGCAGGTGCGGCGATCAACTATCCGGGAAATATAATAGATCACCCATATCCGTATCGCAAACCAGCCATCTGCTGCGCCCCCGCAGCACAAGACACATAACAGGCTGAGGAAGGAGCCGGGGAGGTACAGGAAGACGCGACACGACTCCCCGAACGCGCGCAATGCAGCGAAGAAGGTCGAGAGGGCGAAACAGGCTGCGCGCGAACGCGACCGCGCAAATGCGGGGGAGACAGCCAGGAAACGCGCCGAGACGCGTCCCCAAGAGGGGGAACAGGGTGCGTAGCCTGCACACGCGCTCGCGACGGGGTTCTTATTGTCTGCAGATCAACCAGCTACATCCATGCCGCCCCCACCTGTTCCAGCCGCCTCATCTTCACGACCCACCATGCCGGGCTCCCTGTTCCCTCGGTCGCCATCGATGATGCCAGAAACTCCGCGACCTATTCTTCAATTCACCCCCGCGACACCTATACGAGAGACCGCTGAAGAAGACCCACCCACACCGACGCGCTCATCCCCCAAACACGCACGTGCGAACAACGGCGCATCGAACGCGTTCCCCACGAGGCCTATACGCGAGCCCAGGATGGAAGACAACGCACCCCCTCCGACGCGCTCACCCTCAAAACGCACGCGTGCAAACAGCAGCGGGTCGCATCGCTCTCAAGCAGACGACAACATCATTGTCATCTCCGACGAGGAAGAAGAGCACGACGATGATGGCTACCCACCCCGGATTCCCTCCTCCGCCAAGGGCAAGGGCCGGGCGGACGAAGCCGACACAACCATGGCACGACACGAACGAATGCTACGCATGGAGCGCGAACTTACCGTGGTCAAGCAAGAGCAAGACGAGAACGAGCTGCGCTGGGCGCGCGAGCCCACAGTCGGTCCAGACGCGGAGCGTGAGCGCGAACGAGACAAGGAGCGCATACGAATTTTGGAGGAAGAGATACAGCGGTTGAAGGAGGAGGTATGTGATACGCGCGTGATCGTCTCCTGCACCCTCCCTCTTCTTCCCTCCCCCTTCTCTGCCTCCTCCACCCCCATCCCCGTCTCCCTTCCCTCTACCCCTTACTGCTGCCATTTCAACCTCAACTAATCCCGCGCACAGCTCTCCCGCCGCCCGGTCATTACTCACTCGATGGGTCCCCCACCACCCCCTCCGCCCCCGCCTCCTCCACCCACCATGACCGTCCGCGCACCCACCACCCAGTCCGACCAATTACTCTCCAACCTACGCGCTGGACTAAAGCACATGCCCCCTCCCACCGAGAAACCCATAAACCGCGGTGCCGCGGCGCGTCCAGCTGTCGGGCTTCCTGCAGACAAGATGGCGGCGTTTCTACAGGAGATGAAGAGCGTGAGGCTACGGAAGGTGCCGTCGGGGAAGGAGCTTAACCAGTCGACCGGCGGGGGCGGCTTGGTATCAGCGGGGAGCGGCGGCGGCTTCACTCAATCGGTGGGCCCCGGTGTACCCAGTGCGAGCGGGCAGCAGGGCATCGACCGCGGGGCGACACAGAGCATCGACCGCGGGGCGACGCGGCCGTCGGAGATTGCGGCGAGCTTGGTGAAGTCGCTGAGGCGGACGGGATCCAACCTTTCGGTCAATCGCGAGAGGCGGCGGGGGGCGCGACGAGTTCGGCGCTTGCGCGCCGCGGGGGAGGGGGGACAAGTGGAGGGGGGAGGAGGGGTGACAAGTGGAGGGGGAGGAGGCGACGTGACGCGTGTTGGGGTGGGGAGGGGGGAAGGGGAGGGGTGTGAGGGGAGGGGTGTGAGGGGAGGGGTGTGAGGGGAGGGGAGGGGAGGGGAGGGGTGTGAGGGGAGGGGAGGGGAGGGGAGGGGAGGGAATGGGGGAGGGGGAAGGGGAGGTGGGGACTCAGGAGCACGGTGCGGCGGGGGGCGCGGCGAGTTTGACGCTTTGCGCGCCAACGGGGGAGGGGTGGGGCGACGCGGGGAGGAGGGGGGCGACGTGGGGAGGGTGCGAGATGGGGTGGTGCGACGAATGGAGGAGGCGACGCGACGTGAAATGGGGTGGTGGGGCGAAGGGTGGGGGGAGGCAAGGTGGGGGAGGGGTGGTGCGACGTGCGGAGGAAAGGAGGAGGGGGGCGATGCGTGAAGAATGTGAGGTGGAGTGGTTCGACGAGTGGAGGAAGTGAGGGGGCAAGGGTGGGAGGAGGACCTCACCTTCGAACAAGAGCAAGCCGCCGTCTTGCGCGAGCTCGTCGAGTTCGCATATCCCGCCCACGCCGAAGACTGGCCCCTCGCCGACGACTGCCCCCTCCTCACCTCGAGACGAGCGAGGGTGCGGTCGCGTGAGTTAGCACGTCGTTAAGGTGAGCACATCATCCTCGCTGTACGTCGCTGACGAGGTGGCGGGAGAGGGGGAGGCGAAGTGGAGGGGAGGAGTGCGAAGAGCCTGAGGGGGAGGTCCGACGAGGGGGAGGAAGACGAGGGGAGAGGAGGAGTGTAAGGAGGGGGAGGGGGAGGTGCGACGAAGTGGAAGGAAGGTGGAGGGGGCGGTTCAAAGAGGTGGAGGGACGGGGAGGGGAGACGAGATGAGGAGGGGTGGAGTGGGGTGGGGTGATGGGTGAGGGCAGTTGCGGGGGGGACTCGTCGTGCACGCCGAGTACTCGTAGGGTACGTCGAGTACAGATATGTAGTAGATAGATTGCATAATAAATTGGAGTCTTCGTGAACACGAAGGGAGTGAGCAGAGGGGGGTCGAGAGGGAAGGGAGACGGGGCACGGCGAGAGAAGGGGAGTCGAGGGGGGAGGAACGAGCGAAATCGAACGAGGGGACATAGGCCGATGCGTCGGTGGTGGCACTCGACCATGCAGCCGGCATAGCCGTGGCCAGGGGTTTGCAACCAAAGTGGTAAATCGTAAGGGATGGGAAGAGGTGGGAGACGGGAAGGGGTGGGAAAGCAACGTTGGGAAAAAGGATAATAGACAGGAGGGGAGAGGGAGGGGCACGAAGAGAGGGGGAGAGGGGAACAAAGAGAAGGGAAGAGGACAGATGAGCGAGTCAGAGGAAAGGGGGAAGGGTGCAGTGGGGGGAAAGTAACTTGCTTCGGAACCTTGAGATGATGCAAGGGCGGGGGTCACGGTCAACCGACAGGCCTGAGGGAATGGTAAGGTCAGTGCCACGCCCTTCGCGAAGGGATAGAAAAACTCACCTCGATAAGAAATAAGTCCCCTGAGCTCGGCAGACTAGACGTGCGTGCACTTCTTCATTCATTTCTTACGACCGAACGCGCGGACGCGCTGCAACGGGAAGGGCACCCCTTCTCTCACCATTATATCTATCCACGACGTGTGTTTACTGTTACCTAGCTACCTAATACGACGCTCTGCCGAAAATCTCAGAACCACCGTGATGCTCAGCTCACTCGATTCGGCACGACGTGCAGCGCACGACCTCGTCGTGGTGGTTGCTTAACATTCAGATTGCGTAGAGGCACGGGGCGATGTGTCCGGAGGCGAGGGGAGGGTCGCATCGCTCAAGGGGTTCGCGTATTTTTGGGACGACGGGGCGAGGGGTCACGGAAAAGCGAGGAGGTCGATGAGCAGGCGAAGGGGCAGGGGTCAGAGGTTGGTAAAATGGAGATGGGGGTCTTGTATCGTCTCGCCTGTCTTGTCCTACACGACGAGCTCATCGGCTCATCGTCAATTCAGCAGCGTGGAATGCGCCTTCGCTCAGACTGACACCTGAGAGCGACGTGACTCATCTAAACACCCATGGTCCTCGAAAAGGGGGGCAGCACTTTCGGGCATGCTTTGTCAAGGGGAAAAGTTCCCCCTTCGCCGCTTTCATCACCCAAGGCGCCCGCGCATGCCTCCGGCGGCTCAAGGGTCGTAAAAAAGGGAGGTCGAGGGTCTGTTCGAAGGGACGACGGGGGTCGCGCAGAGTCAGAACACGGGCTTGACGACTTTCCTCGCGGGGCTCACGGCAACAACTCGCCAAAACAGGTTACCCCTTCGACGGAAAAATAGCGTGGGCACGGTCCTCACGGTAAGCAAGAGGAGGGACCCCCTCCTGCATTCGCTTCCCTCAGCCGAGGGTGGCGCACGCGTGTCTCCGGCGGTCGGGCCTCGAGGAAAATACCTAAAAATGCGGATCAGTGACTTGAAGCAAGGGGAGGCCAGCGATTAGGTGCACGTACCGATTTTCGTACCATCCACCCATGCAGGCGACAGGAATGAGGGAGGAGGGGGTCCTCCCTCCCTCGTCGTATCTACTCGACGAGAGGCCGCGCGCATGCCTCCGGCGGCTCGGCATCCAGGAAAATGAGCTTGAAAGGGGTCTCAGTGCGTCGTCGTGCCACGTTCGCATTTTCCACGTTATACAGTCCCTGCAGAGGGGCCACGACGGTGAAGGAGTCCCCCAGATCGAGATCGACGCGCAAGATCTGCGCCTAAAGTCAGTCGGCAACACTTCCCGAGGAGTACGGTAAACGTACCATGCCTGCAGCGCGACCGTATCATCACTCCCGCCGTCATTTCACCACCCAGATGTCGATGAAGCGAGCGCCTCGTTACACGTGTTCCGTCTGCCAGTCTCCTCGCCGTGCTGACGATATCCCGCCGGTCTCCCAGGCATGGCCAGGGCGCATACGTGGCACGACGGCGGAGGCGATGGACGGCGGTGCGCGTGACGAGACCGTCAACACCGACAACGCCGCGGGGAGGACGCGAGCGTGTCGTGGAGGGGATGGGGCGAGCGTTGGGTTCGGTCCTGCAGATGTCAGTCAGCCGTTGCGCGTGGATAGTAGCGATGAAGGGCGTACCTTCGGGCAAAGTCGGCGTCTTCGAGGGGGCACTGGCCCCTCCCTCGGTGGCGAATGCAGCTTGCGGGAGTATCGCTGGAGTCGTCGTCTTCGACGTGGTTGAAACGGATGAGAGGCGGCGTGCACGCAGCGTGTCGGCCGTGGCGAGCAGCGTCGACAGTGGCGCTCTCTTTGACAGCGGCGTCGCTTGGCGAATCCTGCGTGCCCGTCGTCGGAAACGTCGTCGAGGGGTGGCGGACGGCGCAGAAAATGAAGAATGCCGGCAGCGTGCATCTGCCGAGGCACGGTGCGTAAGACGTTGAGGTCGCCGTCATCAGCAGCGAAGGGCGCGCTCGTCATCTGCGGCTTCGGTCAGCTAGGCCAGATGTGACTGAAAGACGACGCACCGTTTAGCAAGAAGATGGCGATGCGCGGAAGCCAAGGCGACTAGGTCCGCCATCGCTGTCGCCTGCGTTCTAGAGCGCGTCAGAGGACGCAACGGGAGGAGTATAGAGCCCTACGCACCTGGGGCTCATCGCTGGTCGAAACGGTGAGCTCGACTTTTGCGGTCGACGTTGTGAGCCTAAGGGTAGTGGAAGTAAAGGAAGAGCTGTGCATTACTAATTAGTCAATGAAGAATAGTGAATGAAAGGACTGACCCAGTCTGATAGCACACGTCAAGCTGCAAATGAAATCAGGTCAGTAAGGAAGTAGGAATGGAAAATGTACGGCTCACCTATTATCTGAAGCGCCAGTATCGAAGAGCGGAAGCAAGGATACGATGAGAATGAGAGAGTACATGGAAGGATAGGATAGGATAGGATGGTAGAAGACGAGGGGAGAAGTGCTGGATTGCTGATGAAAAAGGCCCAATCTCGCCATCCTTTATACCCCGCGAGACGGCTACGCCGCCCGCGCGGCGCCCGCAAGAACTTCCAGACCAGCTCCGCCATCAGACCGAGGCGTTTGCGGCTAGACGGGGCCGCGGATGCCCAGAGAAAATCGGAAGATTGGGGGAGTAAGCGCGCTTCGCGCGCACACAATCTTCCGCCTATCCCTGCGCGAATGTCAGCCAGATCGCGGACAAAACTAGTCGAAACGTACCACTGCGGACCCGGGAAGCCGCCCGTGGAGTCGCGGAGAAGGAGGCGAGAGTGGTGGGCGCTGTCCTTTGCGCAATGCGCCGGTGCACTCACTAGTCGTCCTGCATCGTCCCCCTCTACAACGCCGGGATAACCACAGCGCTAGAGGACTCTGGTATGGTACACGAGGCAAAGTGTGACGCGTGACGATGACGCGAGGTCGAGGGAGGCGCCAGAGAAAGGCAGGAAAAAGTTGAACTTGTGCGATCACGCTGGATCTCCATTTAGAAGGCTTTGAGCTGCACGGAAAATCAGCGCGCCGTCTCCGTGGTCGTCGTTTTTTTCCGCCTCGCGCGCGCTCACCGGCGTTTTTACACGTGACCATGACCCTGTTGACATGCTACGGGGGTCAGTTGGGCAGGGGAGGGCAGGGGAACTCGTTCTCCTTGCCAAGGGTGGGAGCGGTTGATTTCGACAGCGGCGCGGCCTCCGTCACCGCGTATCAAGCTTCCATCGGAGTAATATAATGATATGTCATGCAATTCCTCGGTGTTGGGTAAGGAAACAGGGCGAAAAGAGAGAGAGGATACTGGGGCGGGGAAGTGGCGCGCAAAGTATATGCGGATTTGCGAGGCCGGTAAGCACTCGGCGGGGATGGTTTCATTGAGCGCATGTTGGGGAGATTGTATATGAGGGATTTTCCGTACGTGGTCAGTCGTCAGTGCGACGACCGAGGGTGGGGGGTGGGAGGGGAGACGAGGAGGCGAGGATGTCTAGCGTCGTGCAGAAAGTACGGGGCGTCTCGGCGTGTCTGGAGATTGAAGGGGATGACTGAAAAGATCGTAAGCTCTGAAGTTCCAGGAGCAGAGGCGTCAACTCACGGATGGGGGAGAGCCGTCTCGATCGCGCTCGGTACCTCTGATGATCAGAGTTACGTCGATATTTGGCTGGGATCGTTCAAGCGCTACATAAGCCATCACGTACTCACACGAGCAACAATCGACGCGTCTTACACTCAGGATTATAATGGAGGGTAGGTGCCGTAGACGGGTCTGTCGCCGCGCGTCACCGCAGTTCAATCTGAGAATTCAACGCGTTCTTGGATAGCTGACAGCGTCGCTCGGAGAGGATAGCATCCAAATATGCCGGGGACATAGTATACGTGCTCTGAGACGCGGGGGACAACGACGATAGACGAGAATCGAGATGGACGCGGGGAACAAGGGGCGATCGGAAGCAGCGGGCCGGGGACGGGCGCTTAGGCGGTGCGTGAGCCGGACGCCATCTCTTGATCCCGACCATCACCTCCGTTCCCTTTGTCCCTCGCCGTCGCGCCTATCGCCCTCCTGCAACGCCTTCGCGCACATTTCTCGCTCCTCTCACACAATACCTCGAGTACTCACGAATATATCGCATTTTCTCGTAGCGCTCGATGAGTAGCCTCCTAGGCCCGGCGTTCGAGCGTAGAGGTAGACGCTGCCTTCACAGACAATGATCTTCCCTCGTGTCTCGTTAACGAACGCGCTCAAGAGTGACAGGGCATGATCTGGACTGAGGACGGGATGAGTTGTCGACTTGTTGTCTCCGCTCCGCGGATCCCTTTGCCTTCCGTTCGGTATTCCCCATGTCCCCTTGACCCTGAGCGGCACGTCCTCTGCTCGCTCGTTTGCAAGGACCCCGTTTCTGCCTGTCCGCCTTCCGGTGCGCAGCGTGGAGCGCCGCTGCATTACGCGTGCAGGCTGATTTGCTCGTCGTCCATCCTTCCCGTGCCGTACCACACTCATTCCTCATGGGGCCATGCAACCTTCCTTAGTGTCCTCGCCACTGCTGCCCGCTAACGGCCACCTTCTCTTCTTCCACACCCACCTCATCGCCGCACGCCACAAGGAGTTGCTCGTCGCTCGTTTGACTCGCTCATCAAGTCGAGGTTTGGGAGCTTTGCGGCATAGCTTAGCGGGTGCGCAGCTGTGGTGCATCTACAGCTCTCGCCTCACAAGTTCTATACTGACTAGCGGCAGAATATACCGTCCTGCCACGCATTCAAAGCTGATGCAAGTCCGGCGAGCAAGACTTCAATATCTGAGCTCACCCCCTCGTGGACTGCGTTTCTTGGTTCAGGCCTCCGTGGCACCTCCCTTCTCTCTTAGTCTTTACCTCCTCTCCTAGCCGTTGCCCTCGCTTTCAATCTCGCGTTATTTCCTGCATCCCAATCGCTTCCCAACCTTGAAGCGCTATCGAGCAAGTGTCGACAGTCTGGCCACTGCTTTTTTGTTCACATCCACCTCCCCCGAGTTCGTCAAACCTGTCTTCTTGAGGATGTCTGAACCCTCGCCTCATCCACAAGGAACGTCAGCACTGAGTAGAGGCTACATACAACGTGTGACGGGCCTCGAGTCCCTGTTGTGCTTGCTCGGAGTCACGAGTACCATCTCGACTTGTCCTGTCCTGTCTGCCTCAGCCTATCCTATCCATCTCACCACTCTACTTACCCCTTGATCAACATAGCAACATCCCGTCATCTGGCAAGCGAGATGAGGCATCAGAGAAACCTCACCAAGCCCTGTGAGCTCCGTACATCTGTCCATGCTTCTCATGTCTCGAATACCTTCCTGGGGTCGCTCAGCCCCTCCGTAGCTTGATTGTCTTGTGGGTATTTCACTCATCCCGTCTCTGCTTCGCTCACTTGTATGCATCTTCCTTGTCTTCTCTGTACGGACTGTACCCCACTTGTCCACCCATCAGTCTGAATTTTGCCATACTTGTTCGAGGCCGCAGTCGGCCACCGCAAGTGTTGCTACTTTGGACTTCCATACTACTATGTAAATTGACTCTGTACGTACGTCTTGCGAGTGCTTCTTGTTCTGTCTTGATCCCCGTGTCTTCCGAGTGGACCTTGATCCCCATCTTCTGAGCAGTCTGATCTCCGTCTTCCGAGTGAACCCTGATCTCATCTTCTGAGCACTTTGTGATTCCGCGAGCAACCGTTAATCCTCGTCGACCTCTGCATCTGCACTGAGCTCAAGGTCTCGCTTCGAGTGAGCTTAATTCATGCGTAGCCTTGCTGACAAGGCCCATGAGCGTCTGCATACTCTAGTCTTGAACTCGGCCTGCCTGAATTTCTGAAACACGGCCTTCCCACCAGGTACGTACAAAGGAAATGATGGTGATACTTGGTTATCCGCCCTGAGCATGCCCTGACCTCGTGCATCACTGCCCCACCGTCCCTAAACACGCTCCTTGCTTCACACTGACTGGCAGTTCCCACTGAGCTTGGCAAGGTCATGTGCAGGACAAGTAGAAAAATCGTAGCCATAGCTGCAGACTAGGCAATGGCTAGCAAAGTACATAGAGTGGGAGAATAGACTTGTACTCACCTCCCCCAGCTTGAACGGCAGCAAGAGCTACCCTACGACAAGTAGCAGCCCACATGTCACACTTATAACCGAGATCGGGCAGTTAAGGAGGGTGTAGGACAAGGACAAGGGCGAAAATCGCAAATTCGCGCGGTAATCGAGCTCACATTCACCCCCTGTAGCGAGCCCGCGAGGTCCGGAGGCGATTGGATGATGTTTGTGTTTTTCGACGCTCGGCTAGGTGGGACTTGCGATTTCACGCATGGCGACCGCATTAGGAAACGCGCCGGTTGAACTCCCGTCACATCACGCCCCGATGCCCAGCCCGCCCCCGCAGCACACTCCAGGGTAGACGGACCACCGGCGGCGGACAATGCAAGACCGCATAGTGCGTGGCCGCTACTTATACAGCGCGCGCAAAGCACACCCGCCAGCCCACGTCATCGCCTGTCGACGCGGCACCGAGCGAGCGACGCGGGCAACGCAGACCCGGTCCGACAGCGGCACTCGCACCGATCGAGTGACGCAACGCAGAGACAGACCGACAGCGCAAGGAGCCGGTAGCGCGAGAAGCCTGAAGCAGCCTCGAGCGACGGCCACCCGACCCAGCACACGCACGCCTGTCAGCCCGACTCGACGGCTGCGTTGCGAGAACGACGACGTTCATGGAGGACGGCGGGCGGCGAGCACGCGCGCCGAACAATAGGCGCGTGCCCATTGTGTACGGCTGTTAGGCTGCGCCCCCGCGCGTAGGTGCAATAAACTCGTCCTCGACGCTCATGTCGCCCCCGCCGCGAAACCCTTCCCCCGAGCGCTCGGGCATATTCTCCAGCGTCTTTGACTTTGTCTCGCGCGAATTCGAGTGCTTTGTCGCGAATGCCACAGGGCGGACCGATGAGCAGGTGCGGCGATCAACTATACGGGAAATACAATAGATCACCCATATCCGTATCGCAAACCAGCCATCTGCTGCGCCCCCGCAGCACAAGACGCATAACAAGCTGAGGAAGGAGCCGGGGAGGTACAAGAAGACGCGACACGACTCCCCGAACGCCCGCAATGCGGCGAAGAAGGTCGAGAGAGCGAAACAGGCCGCGCGCGAACGCGACCGCGCAAATGCGGGGGAAGCGGCGAGGAAACGCGCCGAGACGCGTCCACATGAGGGGGAACAGGGTGCGTAGCCTGCACACGCTCTCGCGACGGGGTTCTTATTGTCTGCAGATCAACCAGCTACATCCATGCCGCCCCCACCTGTCCCAGCCGCCTCATCTTCACGACCCACCATGCCGGGCTCCCTGTTCCCTCGGTCGCCATCGATGATGCCAGAAACTCCGCGACCTATTCTTCAATTCACCCCCGCGACACCTATACGAGAGACCGCTGAAGAAGACCCACCCACACCGACGCGCTCATCCCCCAAACGCGCACGTGCGAACAACGGCTCATCGCACTCGGCTGACGCGCCCCCCACGAGGCCCATACGCGAGACCAGGATTGAGGTAAACTCATTCCCACCGACGCACCTATCTCCCAGACGCGCGCACGCAAACAGCAGCGGGTCGCACCGCCCACAAGCAGACGACAACATCATCGTCATCTCGGACGAGGAAGAACAAGACGGCGACGGCTACCCTCCCCGCATCCCCTCCTCCGCCAAGGGCAAGGGCCGGGCGGACGAAGCCGACACCACGATCGCGCGGCACGAACGCGTGCTACGGATGGAGCGCGAACTCACCGTGGTCAAGCAAGAGCAAGATGAGAACGAGCTGCGCTGGGCACGCGAGCCGACAATTGGGCCTGATGCAGAACGTGATCGCCAGCGGGATAAGGAGCGCATACGAATTTTGGAGGAAGAGATACAGCGGTTGAAGGAGGAGGTATGTGATACGCGCGTGATCGTCTCCTGCACCCTCCCTCTTCTTCCCTCCCCCTTCTCTGCCTCCTCCACCCCCACCCCCATCTCCCTTCCCTCTACCCCTTACTGCTGCCATGTCAGCCTCAACTAATTGCGCCCACAGCTCTCCCGCCGCCCGGTCATTACTCACTCGATGGGTCCCCCACCACCCCCTCCGCCCCCGCCTCCTCCACCCACCATGACCATCCGCGCCCCCACCACCCAGTCCGACCAATTACTCTCCAACCTACGCGCTGGACTAAAGCACATGCCCCCTCCCACCGAGAAACCCATAAATCGCGGTGCCGCAGCGCGCCCCGCAGTCGGGCTTCCCGCAGACAAGATGGCAGCATTTTTGCAGGAGATGAAGAGCGTAAGGCTGCGGAAGGTGCCGTCGGGGAAGGAGCTTAACCAGTCGGCCAATGGGGGTGGCGTAGTATTGGCAGGGAGTTTTACCCAATCGGTGGGCCCCGGCGTGCCGAGCTCGAGTGGACAACAGGGCATCGACCGCGGTGCGACTCGGCCGTCGGAGATCGCGGCGAGCTTGGTCAAGTCGCTGAGGCGGACGGGGTCAAATCTGTCGGTTAATCGCGAAGGACTGACGAGGAGTCGCAATGGATCGAATGCATCGTTGACGGACGCATCGTCGCGCGAGCACAACGTACCGTCGAGGTCGTCGAGGGACGGTGGCTCTGCTTCGGGGGCGCAGACGGCCTCCTCGAGTGGTCAAACTGCGACGTCGAGGGACCACACGGTATCTTCGCGAGATCAGACGTCGGCCTCTGGAGAGCACTCATCCTCTGGCGAAGAACGAGGACGCGGCGGACCCCGCCGTCAAACAATTGCAGTCGCGCCCGAGCTCGCGCAAGTGGGTAACAAGCGCAGGCGGGAGGCGAATGACGGAGGGAGCGTGTGGGATAATATTCGTACGTCGCTATGTCTCCTAGCCAGCACCTTGTGCTTACACATAGATCCTGCAGGCGCAGCAGCCAAACGGCGTACCCTGGCTCTCGCATCTGGCGAGTCGAGCTTCGCGTCGACGATCAGCTGGCGGAGTCGGGAGTCGATCGACATGGGGCGGCGTAATTCGCTGGAGGGGCGGCACAACTCGCTCGACACGTCGAGTGCTGCTGCTCCTTCGAGGACGGCCTCTGCGACTTCGTCGTCGGGGACGTCGAATACCTCGATGGCGTCTGCGAATACATCCACGGGGTCTGCGAATGCGTCGATGCGGTCCGCCAACATGTCCACGCGGTATGCTAATGCGTCGACCGTGCATGCGAACGGGCCAATGCGGACTTCCTTCTCTGCTAGCTCCTCTCGTCTGCATAACGCAGCATCGGGCTCACGCCCCAACGATGCGCCTGCGGCGTCTAACTCCCGCTTCAACACCGCGACATCCAGCTCTCGAACCGACGATACATCCTCCAGATCTCGCTATACCGATGCGGCCTCGACCTCCCATGTTCCCCGTCAGTCAACCTATCTCGACGCGCCTGTACCACCGCAATCATCCTCTGTCAACCCCACGCCCTCACTTTGCTCAGACAACAGTGGTGAGCGTGAGGAGGAGCGCCTTCCGTCGACACCACCATTCCCGCCCGCCGATACGCGACCAAGGATACGAGTGCCGCCGCGCGACGGCGAAACCTATGAAAGTCAGGCCACAGGCTACCCGACACGGGTCTCTGTCTACCAGAATCAAGGCGCGTCAAGCAGCACGGGCATGCGGGACGAGCAGATGGATGTCGACATGGAAAGGGTATCCATGCGATCCAAGACGCCGCCGCGCAGACCTCCGACCCCGCCACCGCCATCATCGCTGGGAAAGCGGGTGCCCCAGTCCCCTTTGCCTGCGCGGGAGCTCTCGCTTTCGCGGCCGAGGGCACCAGGGAGAATGGGCAGAACGCCCAGTGGGGAAAGTAATGGAGGCCGCGAGCCACCTCCACCTGCACCCCGGTTCTCCACCAATGGTCCTCAGCGCGTACCTGTGCGACGGGTGCCGGCCATCCCTCCACCTCGAGTGCCCATCTCGGAGTCGTCCGATGACGAGTTGTCCTTCAACCCGTTCTCGACACAGCAGGGGCGGGATATGTCGTCGCAGAACCTGATGGACATGACTTTGGGTGACCTGCGTACGACGCGCGAGCTAGACATGACGATGGACGCGAGCCCATCTCCGCGGGGGATGCCTACGCCGAAGCCTCGGGCGCGCGAGGTCAAGGCGCAGCGCGTGCCCAAGTCTGCGCAGGGACAGGCTTCGACCTCCCGCGCGCCTCAGGCATCGGCGAATTCGTTCCACGAATCGGGAAACTCAACGTTCCGCCTCACTGCGCCATCCCGCCAGCTTGCGCCCTCTCGGCAGGCTGCGCCTACTCAGCAAGCCATATCATCTCGTTCGCCCTCCAGGCCCAGGATACGAGTTCCTCCGCCGCTTTCTCTACGGCGTCCGCAGACTCCTGAGGTTGATCAAGATCCTGATGAGTCGCTTGCCGCGGAGCTGCGTCGCGCATCGTCCGACGACGATCCACTCGAGAGCGGTGTCCTCACGGGTTTCGGGCAGCGGAGCAAGCGTCGCGGTTTCCAGGCGCACGGCGGCGCTGGAGGAACGCCCGTCTTCATGGGCGTGGGTTACGTCCAGGGCGCGGTGGATAGTGACGAGGAAGACCAAGAGGAAGTCGAAGTCGCTGTACCTTTGGCGGACGACGACGATGAGGACGAGTACCAACCAGATGAGGAGGACGAGGACATCGAGGAGTGGGAGGCGGAGGAAGCGAGGAAGAAATGGGGCGTGAGAGGGGCCCGGCCGCCGACGCCTCCGAAGCAAAAGGCTCGGGGGCGTGCGAGAAAGTAGAGAGGGGCCATCAACGTCTTCCTTATGACTGAACACATCTAATACGCCCGCTTGTATATATGTACGTGGCTGTCTGTCCAGCTTTCTCGATGCTATCTAGGCTTTCTTGTTTGCTGTGTCAGCTTCTTGGCTGTTGTATTTTGAATGCACTCGTCTTGCTTTCTGTCGCCGCAGTTCGATATCCTTCGACTGACAATCGCCACAATGACTCGAGTAAACATGGTATTCGTGACCACGTGAGGTTCAGACTGTAAGCAGCAACTGACTGAAAGAACTACGCTGGCTCCTCGCGCGCATCACCCCCTCAGGCAGCCTACGCCCGGATCCTGCAGAAACGATGGCAAAAATGCTTCCGGATACGGAAACAAAAGAAACGGCATAGGCCGGGGGCACGTGGTCTTGTTTGTTATTGACCCTTTACTCCTGACTCTCACTTCCTTCCTACGGGTGTGCAGTCTTATGGCCTCTAGCGCAGATATTTTCCGAACATGTCGGCGCATTCGTCACGTACTGACATCCATTTGGCAGCCTCTGGCGGGAGAGATCGATAGCCAGCGTGTTCGCCTCGAGCCTTCGCCAATTTTCATCGCAAGTTCGGAATTCGCGTCGCCGATGCATTTGGCAGCAGCAAGCAATTTTTTGCATCGTCTAAGTCGCATAAACTATTTGGACCTATGTTCAGCGCATTTATTTCTCTGGCCTGTCGTCGGACTTCTCCTGTGAAGCTCAAGGGATCGTAGAAGCTGTACGAGAGCAGAAAGCACGTTAGCAGCGGCTGCCTCACCTCGGCGCGGGCCATCAGAACCCTAGTTCTGCTACTATGGGTCAATGTTTGTCATCTGCTCTTCTTGAGAGCCCGCGTCAGTGGGTGTCGAGAATATCCTTCCTTAACGCCGTCTGACCAATTATTTTCAGTTTTGATGCGCTGTACACGAAATGATCTATCCTTGCTATCCCAATATGTCATCTACCAATAATATGCAACGCTATGGATGCGCGACAGCAGCAGTGACCTCTCACCGGACTTTCTTGCCGATATTCTCTTTCTGCATAATCGCCTTCCAAAGCTACGCATGGTGCAGGCACGTGGGGACCATGTCCATTTGCTCGGCCTCGTTCGGATCAGGAAGACCCTGCACTACAGGTATTGACAAGCGCTTAACACGGGCGTTAAGCGCCATTGCCCTCCGAGTGGGAGCGTAGCTTGGTTTGCCACCTTATTCGCATATTCCCCTGCTTCTTCGGAGGTGCTGTCCGACTTGTATGATCTCGAATCGGTCCTGGAAGGCTGTGAGTACTGGAGAGTCGATCAGCATCGTTCGTCGCTCATCGTGACAGAAGTAGACAGTCCTGTATATCGGATCGACTTACAAGACCAACGAATGCGTTCTGGCGCTATTCACCCACGCCCACGGCTCTCAATGAGTACTAGTATATCCGTTGGACCAGCTCAGAGTAGTCTTTTGGAGGCCCCCGAAATCGATATACCGTACAATCAAAGGCGGCCGAAGGCGCGACAAGTCAATTCAATACTTGCAGGCCACGGTCTTTCCCCTTTCGCATTCCCCGGTCCGCTCTGCCCGTCGCTCGACCTCAGGCGCCTCTCGACATTCGGGACTTCATCTTCCAGAATCTAGGGATGCCACCGCCAAGATATCTGAAAGGTACTTAAGCTCGTGCCTCTGCTACTCCACCGATCCACCATCCCACATTCTCCTTGTGTCTACCTATAGCATGCCGTCCGTCGACTTCACCGTGTTCAAAGGCTCGGAAGGCGGGAAGATCGTCAGAGGCACGACACACAGGGAACCTAGGGCCGACGACGTTGTCGTCAAGATAACGCATTCGGGCCTCTGCTTCACCGACATTCTCTTCTGCAAGCAGGACATCGTCCTCGGGCACGAAGGCGTGGGCCTTGTCGAGCAAGTAGGGCCTAGTTGTACTATGTTCAAGCCGTACGTTCCCTCCTGAACTTTGTCCGCTCACTTCCCCATACCCTTGTGCAGCGGCGACCGCGTCGGATGGAGCTACATGCAGGGCACCTGCGGCACTTGTGATTTGTGCTTCCAAGGCGAAGACGTGCGTATTCTCCTTGGCCTTCGTATGTCTCGAACCTCACGAACTCTTCCTTAGATGTACTGCGAAAAGGCAGAGCTCTATGGCTTCTGCAACCCTGACATTGGATCCTTCGCAAGCCACGCCGTCATCCGCGAGCCCTTCCTCCTGCGCGTCCCCGACGCCATTGAGTCTGTACATGCCGGGCCTCTATTCTGCAGCGGCGTGACGGTCTTTGAGGCGCTGACGCGCTACGGTGTCCAGTCCACCGACCGCGTAGGGGTCATCGGCATCGGTGGGGTCGGCCATCTAGCGATCCAGTTCGCGTGAGTAGTTTCCCACTGACCATTGGCGATCATATGTGACGCTGCCCTCCGCTATTTGCAGGTGTAAGATGGGCTGCGAGGTCGTCGCTTTCAGCAGCACCGAAAACAAGAAGGATGAGGCTATCCAACTGGGCGCCTCCGAATTTCACGCCGTGAACGGACAAGAGAGCCTCGACAACGTCAGACCCCTCAACTGTCTGCTCGTAGCGACGAGCTCTCAACCAGACTGGTATCTGTAACTAACCTGTCTTTCGTGGCGCTGTCGCTTCCAATCTAAGCCACGTTCTTCAGGTATCTCGACATCATGGCGCCAAAGGGCACAATCATTGTACTGACCGTCGAGATGGGAAACCTGGAGCGCTTCCCGCTCTTCCCGTTGCTCAGGAAAGGGCTTACCCTACAAGGCACTGTGGCCGCTCCCCGCATCACCTACCGCAGGATGCTCGAGTTCGCGGCGAGGCACGGCATCAAGCCCATCGTGCAGGCGTTCTCGATGAACGAGGAGGGCATCGAACAGGCTATGCAAGAACTACGAGAGGGCAGAATTCGTTACCGCGGTGTACTCGTTGCGTAGAGGATGGCGTAATTAGAATCGGCCACTTCAGGCGTTGCCAGCTGTGGAGACCCGGGGCTCCGAGAGGTCTCGCTCACGGAGACGCGAGCGTCGACGCAGGGTGGTCGCCCGCTGGCGAGGCGACGCGGTGAATTAACGGCAGTCCTGTAGATTCAGACCGCGTCCGCTCGGGCGGTCAAACCTGCCCAAGTTCTCGTCTAGCGAGGCCTACCGGCCGAGCGCGAGGCTCTGAGTGAAAGTGTGGAAAAGAGAAGTGATGATAGGCGTGACCGTGACTACTAGTACATGTTCGTATCTACGCGTGCGCTCGGAAGTACCCGAGTGCGCGCGGGTTCGAGTCGTAAGTATACAAAAAAGAAAGAAATGAATATACATGCTATCGTGCGTGGCGTCGCCGAAGAGGTCCCATACCCGAGTCTCCACAAAGCCCCCCCCTCTGAGGTGAAGCCGCGCGCCTCAAACGAACAACCGCCTAGGCTGCAGCCCAGTCGCGAGGTCAGAGATCTTGACAAACTTGCGGTTACCGCCATAGACGCGCTCGAAGAAGCGAGCCCACGCCTCCGCATCCGCAGAACGCAGAGCGTCGTACTTGCGGAAGCCCGACCCTAGGTTACTTCGCCCGCGCTGCCGCAGCTTCTCCTTCCAGCCGGCCTCGGTGGGGATTTCCGCTGTGCCTTCCTCCAACGCGCTTGCGATCTCGTCCGCGAATTTCTGTTCCTCCACGCCCCACTCGCCACTAGAGGGCCAGTGCGAAGACCAGACGTTGGGCGGCGGGAAGGCGTGCCTGTACGACGTCTGCGTAGCTGTCTGCGACTCGATGAAGCAACCGTGCAGGTAGGCGACTTGCTCTGCGTCCGCGAAGTCATGGAATAGCGAGGGGACCGATCCACCTGGGAAGTGTTTTTCGCCGCTCCTCCGCAGTTGGGTATCTCGGCAGGGACCCGCACCCACTTTGTCCGCGATGAGGTTCCAAGCCCAGCGTCGCAGTACATAGCCACAGATGGGGGTTGCGTAGTAGAGCGCCGCTGCATCCGGACGTCTCGCGAGCGCCTTGACTCCGCTTCGCCACTTCCTAAAGAGCGTCTTTCCGCCCACCGAGTAGTTGACGAAGCTGGCCGTACGTTCTTCCTCTTCGTCCAAAGCGCCGTCCTCTTCTGCCGACGGGTACATGGACTGCGGGCGAGCTATGACGAGAGGTATGGCAGCCGCGGAGAGCCGGTCCAGCGCATCCTCCGCTCGACGATAACGTTCGAGAATGCGCAGGATGTACACCCGCACTTGGTCCTGCGCGCGCGCGAGCACTAGCCAATCGTGGTCGACCACCGGAGCTTCCCACATAATCCTCGCCTCTACGTCAGCTAGCCTTGGAAGAGGGAAGGGCGAGAGCTTGGCCTTCAAGAGTCGCGCTTCCTCGTGGTGCTGTGCGACCAGGGCTACCCAGTCCGGCGCCGATGAAGTGACCAACGAAAATCGCCCAGAGGGATCGGGCAACTGCGCTCTGTAGTCGCGCGCGGCAGCAGACCCGCTGGCAGAGGAGGCGGCGGAGGCCTCGCGGCGGGCCGCGGCTGGCGAAGCGCTGCGCCGGTCGAGCATGCGGCGAGCTGAGGGAAGAGGACTCGATGATGCCGCGCCTCGGGACCTCCCCCGCGACTGTGAACGGTCGGTCGCCCTCGCTGAATCCTGCACTGAGTCCGAGGGATTCGAGCGAACCGGAGGCTTATCGAGTTGTATCCCTAGCCGCGCGGCGAGAGAAGGACGAGAAGGTGGCGGGCCGAGTCTCCTCAGTAAGCTGCCGCCCGCCGATTCATCGCTCCCATCCTCTGATTGGCCATACATGCCTGAATACTGAATGCGAGGTACGGAAGGGATGGAATCGTGTCCGTCGCGGCTGTCATGGTCGAATGGCGGCATGCGGGAGCGCCGCAGTTCCCATTCTTCGTGGCGCTCGCGCTCCATTGCCTGCCCCAGAAGATACGAGAGGTACTGTAGCTCGATCTCCTCGACCTCGTTCTCGGGACGCTCGGCGTCTTCGCCCTCCTCGTACAGGTTGACGGGAAGAGGGGCGCAAGAGAGGCGTCTCAACTCCCTTCCGTGGAAGTAGCGGCCCTCCCGGTAGCTCGCCGGCGTGTCGAAAATCTCCCAGTCCGCCAGATCGTCCTCGGCAGCTATGTGCCCTCCCTTCAGCACCCAACGATAGATGTACAGGTTAGCGGCTGGAATCTCGTCCTCGGGGTCCACAGCGGGATCTCCATCCATGTACGCCATGCGCGCGCGTTTAATCAGCGCGGGGTCCTTCAACTCGTGGGGCAGCCAGCCGTTGAAGTACTCCACCCAGAAGAGCGTGTCCTCATGCACCCGCGCGGGCAGACACTCCGGTTCTCTCCTACGCTGCTGAAAGTACCGATCGTAGTTGAGCGCCTCCCGGACGTGCGGCGGCTGGTCCTCGAACACCTCTTCGTCGGTGGGTTCCCTCCCTAAGAACCGGCGCAGCTCCAACGTTCGAGCGATGAGCCAAGGGCTCGCGCGGACGAAGCGAGGTGAATAATGCATGGCCGGCGTCCAGATGTAGTGGATCGGGACTTCGTGTTCAATGAGGAGCTGAAGGTCGATCCAGTGGTAATCGACGAGCAGATTGAGTACGCATCCCCGCATAGCTCGCTCACCCAGTCGTAGCGCCTTCACGAACGTCGAGACTTCTCCATCAACGCTCAATGCCCAGCTGTCCACCGAGTGTGTGAACCAAGCCAAGAAGCCCGTATTGGCGATGGCAGCTGCCCGAGCCTCCCGCGCGCGACGCAGAGCGTCTGCCTTGATGCGGAAGCCCTCTCCCAATGCGATATCACCGGTCCGCCGGGGACTGAAGTCGAGAGGCTCAGTACCTTTTGGGCGCGCGAATAGGGAGCTAGCTTCCGCTCCAATGGCGTCGCATGCGGTCTCGATCTGTGCCGCGATGGTCTGCACTCCCTCCTTCCAGTCGTCCCGCAGGTAATACTGTCCTCCGAGAAGCGTCACGATCTCGTGGTCGGCTTTGTCGACTATGAGCGAAGCGAGAGGATCGACACCCTCGACTAGTGAAGTGGGCTGGTAACACGCCCAGGGAATGCTGGGGTTGAACTGCGCGAGATCCAGGGATGGCCCTCGCTGGTGGTAGGGAATGCGACGCTCTGCTGGGTCGATGCTGTCCAGGTCCGCCGGATCGCCACCGATCGTCACCCATTGCGTATAGTTGCGAATGCTCGCGACGAAGAGCGGGAAGCGCGCCGCACCAGGACGGAGTAGGAAGGACACCATCTTCCCGAGCTATCGAAACCGGCAATCCTGGAATCGTAGCTCGTATTCACGCCTCTGAGCCGGCAATCCTGGCTTCGAGGACGCGAACAGCGGGTCCGCCTGAACGTGGTGAGAGGCAAGCGAGGGATGTTTTTTCTTTCGGTCTCCGCGTCATGGGACGCACGATAGCGTCGAATCCTATGATTACATGTGCGCGCACCACGGGAACGGTCGCGCACCTTATAGAAGTACATCTATACACACGCCAGCTGCGGGTCGTTCACAGGCCGTTCTCGCGCTTGTACTCGGCTAGGACGTCCGGGGAGTTGCGCAAATCCCGCTCGACCTGCCAGGTATCGTAGTGAGGCCCGAACCCTTTCCAACGCACCAAGTATTGCCGTTTCCTCTGCCTTTTGTTCCATTGATGTCGGAGGATCTTGTCGACCTCGAACTCCTCGGTGGGAAGCTTATCGGGTCTTGTGGTCGGCATCTTCGCGCGGCGGTCTTCGACGCTGGTCCTGCCCTCGTGATACGGCTTGAGATGTTCGAAGTTGAAGATGGGGAGACCGGGGTATCGGTCGTCCATGCGCAGTCGATAAACATTCGGGTTAATGCGTTGCTGAATCTCGAGTGGTCCTATCCATCTCTCTCGCAGTTTCGGCTTGTCCTTTGCCTCTATCCACTTCAGAGAATGGGGGTTGATGAGCACCTTATCCCCCTTCTTAAACTCGGGGACCGGTTTACGCCCCTTATTGTACGTTCTGGCCTGCTCCTCCTGCGCTGCTGCTATGGCATCCCTCGCCTGTTCTCTCTTCATCTTCAGGTCCTCCATGAACTTGTCTGTCTCGCGCGTACGCTCAGCCGCTCGCACGAGATTCTCGTTGTTGTTCCAGTAGTCGAGAGGAGAGCGAGGGTGGTAGCCCATGAGCAGGTGGAAAGGGGTCTCCTGCGTCGATCGGTGCACCGTCGAGTTATACGCGAATTCGAGTAGAGGAAGAAACTCGGCCCAACGGCTTTCGTCGTGTGCAACGTACGTCCTGAGCATCGTCTCCATGAATCGATTGACGATCTCCGTCTGCCCGTCCGTCTGCGCGTGGTGCGACGTAGACATCAGCAAGTCCGTGTGCAGTTCCTTGGCCACCTGCGTCCAGAATTCGGAGGTCCACTTAGGGTCCTGGTCGGATATGATGCTGGCTGGTACGCCATATCTGGATGCGACATATCTGACGAACAGACGCGCCGCCTCCTTCTTGTCGATATCCGTGTTCGTAGGTACGAATTGCGCGTGCTTTGTCAGCCTATCCACGACGACCAGTATCGCGTCGAAGCCGTTTGATTCCGGCAGCTTGATGACGAAGTCCATCGACACCGACTCGTATGGTGATGCCGGTATGGGGTTAGGTATGAGCGTGCCGTATTTACTGAAGGAGGAATACTTGGCTTTCTGGCATGGATCGCAAGTCCCGCAGAATTCCTCGATCTTCTTCTTCATCCGCCGCCAGTAGAAGCGTGGGTGCAACTTCCCCCAGAGCTTTGCCGGCCCTGCGTGCGCGGTCTCCATGGGGCCCTCGTGTGCCCGTATCAATATCTCGTCGATGAGGCTATCCGGGACGCATAACCGCGGTAAGTAGTCCGCGTCGAGGAAGTATAGCAAGCCGTCGTCCGATCTGAAATATCGCCGCCCGGCAGTCCACGCGCTCGAGACTGTATCTGCCTCCTCGTAGCGCCTCCGCCAGTAAGCTTCCTTGAGGTACGCATCCTTGAAGCGCTTTGCCCACTCTGGGCTTATGTGCGCCGCCAGCGCTGGGGGCCTCTGGAATATTGGTTTGTATGCTGCGCGCTGCTCGGCGTTCTCTAGCTCCCCATCCTCCGATGGCTCAAGGTCTTCCGACGCCTGGGCTTCCTGCTCTTGGCGGCGTGTCTGCTCGCGGTCTTCCTGCGCTCGCACGTCCTGCTCATGACCGTCTCGTAGATCTCCTGTTCCCTGTTCGGCTTCTGGAGGTTCCTCGCGCTGTGCTTCTACCATATCCGCCCCCCGGCGTGCGAGACGGGGAGACCGGCGTGCGGCGGCATATGCGCGCGGCGCGTCTTCGAGGTATTCTCCTAGCGCGAAGCCCGCAAACGCTCGTTCGGCCTTTGCTCGGGAAGCGGCTTCCTCACGCAGGGCGGCGGTCGCGGAGTCTGTATGGATAGGTGGTGACTGCGGTGGCTTCGGCGTCACATACGGCGGTGGGTCGCGAGGAATTCGGCTGAGAGGGTCGACATTAGAGTGTGTGCGTCCTGCTCGATGGACGATCTCCAAGCCGGGAGCGTACGCCGAGAACACCGCCCCCCAGGACGCCAAACGTCGGTTGCTGTTCTCATACGTGCGCGCCCACTGTAGCGCGCTGTGATCCGTCACGAGCAGCACTGCCGCGCCCTCTAGGTAAGGTTGAAACTTGATTAATGCTTCCTTCGCTGCTAGGGCCTCCCTCTCCGTTGTGCTGTACCGGGCCTCTGCTCCCTTGAAGGTCCTCGACCAGTACGCTACGACGCGCTCGACATGCACCACCGTTTCGTCCAGGGTAGGACCCCAGGCGTCATCTCGCGGCGTGTCGTTCGCTCTCGAAGCGATTCGACTCACGAACCTCGGGACTGGTTGCCCTTTCGCATAGGCCTCCGCTAGCTTCTCGTATGCAGACGTGCCCTGAAGATCTCCTACGCGGATGGGTTGAACTTGCTGCAGCGCGCAGCCGAGCGCGTTGTCGGAGGCGTCGGTGTAGAGTCGGTACGGCCTTCCTTCCATCGGATGACCGAGAACGGGCGCGCGCTGCAGGGACTTCTTGGCTTGCAGAAATGCGTACTCTTGTTCCGCCTCCCATCGCCAGGGTGTTCCTTTTCGTAAAAGCTCGTGCAACGGTCCGCAGACGTCTGAGTAGTACGGAATAAAGGCGTTGAAGTAGACCAGCATGCCTAAAAACGTCTGCAGCTCCGACGTACACGTAGGTCTCTTCATCTCCAGCACCGCCTTAACCTTCTCGTAGTGTGTCGACAGCCCCAGTCGGGAGACTTTATGACCTAGAAGAATGATGGAGTCGTAAAAAAGGTGGCATTTCTTGGGCGCGAGGGTGATGTTGGCCTCTTCTACGGCTTCGAGCACTTTGTCGAGATGGCTGATGTGCTCCTCGAATGAGCGCGAGTATACCACTATGTCGTCTATGTAGACCAACGCGAAGATCCAGAGGTACGGCGCGAGCACGGACTGCATGACACGTTGGAAGATCGAGGGACCGTTCCTCAGTCCGAAGGGCATGCGCTTAAATTGAAACAGGCCACGATGTGTGCGGAACGCGGTCTTCTCTACATCCTGCGGATCGAGACGAAGTTGTGTGAAGCCCGACAGGGCGTCGAGGGACGATAGGACTTGCGCGCCGGCCAGAGACCCTAGAATTTCCTGCTGGCGCGGTATGGGAAACTCGTCCGCTATTGTCTCAGCGTTGAGTCTTCGGTAGTCGACGCAGAACCTTGCTTTGCCGTTGCGGTAGGCGATGACGACGGGTGCGCTCCATGGGCTGCGCGAGGCCTCAATCACGTCCTGTTCAAACCACTTATCTACTTGCTCGTCCATCACCGCTTTCTTAGCCGGTGACGAGCCTCGCATTGGCAGGGCGATAGGCTGCACGCCCTCGCGGGTGCGTATCCTAGCCATAGCGGGGTGGTTTCCCAGCCTTCCGTCCAACGCGAATGCGCCTTTCCGTCTCTCCAGCATTTCCCACGCGGCGTCATGTAGGTGCGCTGGCAACTGCCCTACGTCCAGCGTCTCGCGGAACTCCTTCGATGTCACGTCCTGCGTGTCTGGCATCTCCGCTGTTTTCGGTCCCACCTGCTCGTCTGTTTCCTCGGCTCCCGGGTCCTTCTCAACCTCTTGGGCGAACGAGCGCTTCCACGACTCGTACGAGCCGGCGTCAGGCATGGGGAACGTCCGCTTGCCCTCCATCCACGAGTCGTACGTCCTCGCTTCCGGCATGTGGAACCTGGGCTTAGCGCGCTCCGTCTTCGCCCTCCTTGCCTTGGGCGTGCTGGAGCTTCGAGGGCCTGCTTCGCTCGCCTTCTCGGCCGCGTGGCAGAGTGAATCCACAAACGCAGCATGCTCCCGCATCTCCTGGTGATTGGCTTCATCCTTTGGATGGTCGAAGAAATCCTCGGCCAGACTCGCCTTTCCCAACGCTTCGCCCTCTCGGATGAAGCGGGGAGTAGTGGCGGTGTTGGCGACCGGCACGAAGGGCGCCTTAGCAGAGATGATTGTGTTGGGGACGACGAACGGCTTGTCGTGGTTCGAGGAGATGAGCTCCTTCTCGACGACCCATTCTTCCTCGCCTTCAAACGGTCCGCACACCGGCACTCGAGCGACTGATTCAGGCTTGATGATCATCTCCTTGGCTGCCCGCACCGTACGATCTCCTTCCTGGATGCGCTTCTTACGAGCTTGGAACGCTTCCTTCCAGCGAGCGCGAGCCGCCTTCTTCAAGTAGCTGTGCGTCGGTTGCTCGCCTATATACGCCCTTTCCACTTGCAGGATCTCGTGTCTCAGCGCCTGCGGTTGCGAAGCTGGTTGCGCCGTCTTGCTTAATCCGAGCTGACCGAACGAAAGGACCGTTCCTCCTTCAATGCTGCGCTTGACGGTGATTTCGTACGCCTGGTGGAAGTCCTCCCCGAGCAGCACCGGCACTGTCATGCCCTCGACAATGTAGGCGCCGGCCTCCATCTCCACTAGCGAGCCATCGTCCAACCTCGTCAGGATCGGCACTACCGAGTGTCCTCGGATCTGGGCGGACTTTTCCGTGAGCTGCCATAGTCGCATCTTCCCGCCTTTCGAGAGCTTGTAGGTCTGCTTCAGCGAATCGTAATGGTCGCCGCTCACGAATGTCTTGCTCGCTCCCGAGTCAAACCTCAAGTCCGTCTCAGGCTCGTGCTCCGAGCCGACCCATCCCCGAACGCTCAGCACCGACGTGTCCATCGTGACCAGTGGACCTTTTCGTGGACGAGGGCGTAGTTTCAACTTCGGCGGCTCGTACGGCTTGGGAAGGGCGATGATGTGCTCGGGCGGCTCGTTCGTGGGTGCCAGGTCGCCCTCGCCCCAAGCCACTGCACAACTCTCTTCTCGCACAGCGCCCGTCCTCTCGTCTTCGACGCCTCCTTCCTCGTAGATGCTTTCCAGGATGTGCGGGGAATCCGCTGGCAACAGCTCGCCCTCGTACCAATAATCGTCCTCAATCTCCTCGATGCTCGCCACGAAGCTCTTCGCCTGGACCACGTACGCGACTGCCTCTTGGACCTGCTCCTCGTGCGACGTCCCGAGTACTCCGCTCTGCTCTTCCTCGAGGCGTTCACCATCCTGGGGCTTACGCTCCTCCGCTCCCTCTCGTCCGGGGAGGCTAGGAGCTGCCCATTCAAAACCCTGGTCGCAGAGGTAGTACGCGACATTGTACGCGCGGTCGGCGTCCATGTCCTCGGCGTCTGCCAGGTAGCCCGCCGGGTTCTGCTTCTGGTAATCGCCCCATCGCGGACAATCCCGGTTCCAGTGGAATGGACTGCCACAAGCGCGGCAGGGAGCTGGCGGTTTCTTCTTGCTCTTGAAGCTCTCACGCGGAAAGGGGTAAGTAGTCGGCCCCTTCTGCTTCTCCCTCGTCGCGACTACGCTATACGCGACGGCGAGCATATCTCCCGCCACGCCATCGTCGTCCTGCTCGGGTCCATCTCCTCGGTCGCTAACGGATTCCTCTGCCTCCGCGTCGGCCTCAACGTTAAATGCGGACGCTGACTTCCTCGCGAAAGGGCGCGGCCGCGAAGACGCAGACGAGGGCTGCCCCATCTCCTTCATAATGGACGCAACCTGTGACCGCAGATCGCTGCTCGAGGCACGCGACGCGGTGGACAGCTCGTCCTCGAACTCCAGGACTCGGTTGGTGAGGACATCGGTTGATTTTATCGACGAGGGGACCAGGATGATGCTCCAACTCGCGGGCGCCGCACTCAAAATCAACTTTACTTCCTGTCTTGAGTTCATCTGGGCGAATGCGAGCGCTCGCGACGCCAGGATGTGGCGATAAATGAACTGGCTGGGCGTCTCGAAGCGGTGCTTTGGTTCGCGGAACGAGTTGAAGTGGAATTCGGTAGCCAAGTTCCGGATCCACTTCGTGCCTAGGTACCCGCTCTGGACGACGCTCATGAACTGGCGAGCATTTCGCTTCATATTCCTTTTGAGGGCGTCGGAGAGCGTCATATACCACTTCCACACCGGTGAATTACGCTCCAGCTTGGTCCATAGCCAGAACCCCACCGCTTCGTTGAGATAGCCTCCGCTGTTCGCCAGCTCGTAGACGGTCGCCATGTACTCGATCGCAGTGGACTTGTCACCGTCCCAGGAGGGTATATCCGTCGACTTGATGCTCGACTGAACGGTTGGCGCAGTGAGTCCGTAAGGGATAAGCGGCGGGTCGTCGTCGTTCAAATTGACCACCGCGTTGGAGTCAGAGTCGTCCTCGCTGCTGTCCGACTCGTCCTCATCATCCTCATCGTCCTTATCGGTCATACCTCCTTCCCCGTCGTCGGGCGGGTCGCCCCCCGGTCCCCCTCCTCCCGTACTACCTTTGGTGTTGGAGGGACCGGGTTTGGACGGTCCTGCGCTGGACTTCTTCGCCGCCGAGTCGTCCTTCTTCTCCTTGCGCTCCCCGGGTGCTCTCTCCTTGCCCTTCTGCGTCTCCTTCTTCTCGCGATGGCGTTGGAAGATCGCCGAAGCTGAGTCGCCCACCTCGTCCGGCAGGTTACGGTCGTGCTCGGCGAACATGCCAAACCAAGACGGGGATTCGCGCACGGGGCGGTCTCGCCAAGATGTGGACGCCTCTTCCCGGCTCTTGTGCTTCTTCCTCTTCTTCTTCTTCCGATGAGTCGAGGGACCCCCTCGCGTCGAAGGATCGTCGTCGGGTTGCGGATAGAAGGAGATGCTCTTCTGAGGTTTGGCTGAAGTCGAGGGATTCCAATGGTCCTGGAACAGAGAGCTCCCGATCCACGGCGCATACTGCTGACCTGGCTCGCGGTTGCGTAGCACGCCGTGATCGTAGTAGCGGACTGTTGGGGCGCTCTCGGGAAGCCTCTCGGGAAACGCTCGGACAAGCGGTGAAGGAGGGGTGGCGACGTCCTCGGGCGGCAGTGATCTGAAGCGCCCTCTCGTTCCCGGAGAGGAAGTAGGCTGGTAGTTGGTCTGGTAGCTGGGCACCGCGCCCATCAGGTAACGCAACTTCTCGTCGGCTGCGGGAATCGCGGGTAGCTCTTGGTAGACCGAGGCTGGCGTCGTGAGGGGCGAGAGGCGAGGAGGGGTCTCTCCCGCGACTCTTGCCTCCGCGATGCCGCGCAGCTTGCGATAGACCTTGAGCGCGGTGTTACAGCGCGTATTGAACGCCGTCCAAGCGAGGTGCAGCGCGGCGAGACTATTTGCCGAGTGCAGGTTGTCCACCAGTACTCCTTTCTCGTCGAAGACCCAGTGCGGGTTAGTGACAGTGTCGTCCTCCACGGCCGCTGGGCCTAGCACATCCAATACGGATTGCGTCCCATTGATGGTCCACTTCACTAAGTCGTCCAGCTCGCGGCGTAGGGCGAAGCGGGCGTATCGACGATCCGCGGGGCGTCCCCTATCCACGATATCTTCCGGCGCTAGGTTGCGGTGATTAATCATCCAGTCCAGGCGTTTGCGCCCCGTGTTGAACTCGGCGGGAACGTCAGGCTCCGCATCGACCGTGTTGAACCATTCGTAGGCCTGCGTGAGGATGTTCCTCCTCCCGTCGCGGTCGCGCTTCTCCTGATCGTCAGGCGACGGGGGGCGACCGGTTGCAAGGCCCGAGTACGACATCTCGCTTGCTCCTCGGCTGTCTGCCACCTGTTTGTCGGAGGAATTCGGGCACGAGGGGCAGGCGTGTGTTTCGGCAGGCGCGTTCGCTAGTGACGACGAGTCCGTCGACGGCGTCGACGGAGGGGAGAAATTTAAGCGTGCAGAGCTCGGTTTCGGAGACTCACCTCGTCGAGGAAAAACAATAGAAGAAACTCGGTTGAGCGTCGAGCGCTCGGGGGCGGGGTTCTCTTGCCCCAATTCTCCGCAAGACCCCTTAACGTCCACTCTGTGGAGACCCGGGGCTCCGAGAGGTCTCGCTCACGGAGACGCGAGCGTCGACGCAGGGTGGTCGCCCGCTGGCGAGGCGACGCGGTGAATTAACGGCAGTCCTGTAGATTCAGACCGCGTCCGCTCGGGCGGTCAAACCTGCCCAAGTTCTCGTCTAGCGAGGCCTACCGGCCGAGCGCGAGGCTCTGAGTGAAAGTGTGGAAAAGAGAAGTGATGATAGGCGTGACCGTGACTACTAGTACATGTTCGTATCTACGCGTGCGCTCGGAAGTACCCGAGTGCGCGCGGGTTCGAGTCGTAAGTATACAAAAAAGAAAGAAATGAATATACATGCTATCGTGCGTGGCGTCGCCGAAGAGGTCCCATACCCGAGTCTCCACACCAGCATGGGATCGAGTAGCAGTGATTGTCAAGATTGAAAGCTATACCAGTACATCAAGTCGTGAGACGGTGAGCCTTGGCGCCCAACCGCTGCTGGTCAATATCAAAGTTTCCGAGATGCGGCGCGTAGACGAGAGTGGGACTGGATATATGTATGCGTACTGAACAGTAGCGACCGCATACAACTGCTATGCAAGGTTAGGGCGACTTGCGCGCGTCGGTTGACTGCTTGCACCTTCCTAGCTGAGCCACGTCGTATATTTGTTATTCTCTCCTTGAAGGACCTGCGCGATCTGCTGAGCAACAATGCGGTTCGCCTGCTCGCTGGGATGTAGCTCATCCTGCCTGAATATATTATAAGACATACGTCTTGCGAATAGATCTTTTCCAGCCCGTCACTCACCACATGTAGCTGTCGCGGTCCGTACCATTCACGACCGTGCATGGCACGGTGTCCGTCGGATCCTGGTTCTCTTTCCAGTCGCACGTACGGATTGCGCCAGTGACGTTTAGTGGGGCAGTACCGTTGAGGTAGCTACCGGGATTGGCAATCATCTCGGTGAAGAGAGAGTGGGAGTCGAAGAGAGCTGGATATATTTGTGCGTCAGTATAAGTTCAGAGATCACAGAAGGGCGTAAGATCCAGATGCGGGAACTCGATGACTAACATGACGAGATTCGGAGAAGGTACTGCTCAAAGGCACGACAAACTCGCCGTCGCGAACGCGAACGACACGCGCAGGGTAGGAAGGACCGTGGACTTACCCACATGAGCACCGTCCAGACTAAGGACCAGTTGCCTGAGGAGAAGCTCGGCGATCTTGTTTCCTGTCGTTGTGAGCTCCTGAATGAAGATGTTCCATTCTGTCGCGTTCTTGGCCGCCGTCCAGGTCCCGGTCGGACGTCCATCGCGTGAGTACATCGGTGTCTTCTCGAGCGGATTCATCTATTGAAGAAGCGAGTCAGCGTCTACGCTGTAATGACCAGCGCGCGTTACACGGCGGTTGATGCTGGATAGTTACAACTGTGATTGACTCACATTCTGGAACAAGAAATTCCTCGCGCCCTTGTCGTATAACGTCTTCACCCAGTTGACAGCGCATCCGACCGTGTCGACTACCGTCACCCCGTCCGCAGCCTCCCCCGTCAGCAGTGCACCAGGACCCACGTCGTTCGTCCCGATCCACAAACTGTAAAGAGTATTCTCTGCGGAGATGTTGCCGAGGACCCCGCTGCTAGAGTCGTTGAGATACGGCGGCAGCTCATCTTCGAAGACGGAGGGCCAGGGAAGGAGGTTGAGCTCGTGCGAACAAATGCCACCGGCCAAAGCGTAAGGGTGTAGAGACAGAGAGCCATTGCTGGCGGAAGAGATAGCGGCATTGTTGCTGCTACTGCCGCCACCAAGATACTCGGCGACGCTGTCAGCGTATGCCTGATTGCCGACGACGCTCCCACTGGTACCGCGTGCGCTGTTCACGTAGTCCATAACATACAGTGGCCACGCCCTACCGCCGTCGCCAGCCCAAAAAACATCAGTGTACGAATCCCCGAAGGTAACGAGATGCGTAATCTGGTTGGGCGCGATGGCGGCGCGACAAGGAGTACCCAAGAGGGCAATGAAAAGGAGAGGAATGAGTAAACGAGAGACTTGAGGGAGTGAATGCATGATTAGGGTAACAGGTGAGATCTGTCGTTGTCGTGGGGGTTAAGTATGCGCTCACTGTTGGCTTCGTCGGCCAGCGCTTCGGCCACGGATCGGCAAGCAATGTTGCCGGACATGTGCCGGACATCTGTGCTGTAGAATGACGTTTGTCGCCAGGTGTTCATGCAACGTTCAGGAATCGTACTCTTGGCGGATTCCGATCGGACGCACCACGTTCCAGTTCAGTGGCTGGGGGTGCTACAGAGACTGTATAGGTACGGCGGCGAGACGAGTCAGACAAGCGTTGGCTCCAAGTCCAGTATTTGCCGATACCGTACCTTGGACTCTCTGGAACTGTCGAAGGCGGATCAACAGAGATCGTATTTGCTACGCAGCGCGACTGACCCACGCTATGATCTGCATGGGAGGAGCGGTGGTTTGCTGGCTTGGAAGGCGGATCATAGAGGCTCATGGAGGCTACCTTTACGCCCGTAAAGCAGCCTCCATCCTCGTGAATGGCTCTCCTAGTAAATTCTGCACTTCTGATGCAGTCGCCATGCACAGGGTGGATATTGAAGACAACCCACAAGAAAAGCTCTTGGGAATATCCATTTCCTCCTATAGCCCTCAACCGCTGGCGCACAAGCAAATGGCTCATCGTCAGAAGCAGCACAGAAGCGGCAGGGCCGACGGCGATGGGTCAAACGCGCGAGTGGCGATAGGGCAGGGAGCGAAGGTGGATCTTGGGAGGTAGAGGAGTACGGCTGTGGCACGAGGTCCAGCTGACTTTCTGATACAATGCCAGGAACCAAAAATCTGTATAAGTGAGCGACAAACGTACTTGAGAAGCATGCCCATGTCGGGTGCTGAAAACACCGATTTCTCAGCGCATTATCTGAACGCCCAGGGAGTATGACTGGTCGTTGTCGGGTCAAAAATGTCGCACCAAAACCTCTAGTGAGTCGACTTGTCCTCGTTCTCATTGTTTTGCGGCACGGCGCTGGTGGGCGGAACGCAAGAAGGAGAGATCAAGCTGATTCAAGTCGTCTGGGTCCGCCACTTCAGCCACGTGGCAAGCTCGGCGGATACCGAAAGTCAGGGGCGTTTCCTCCTTCCTCTGCTCACCCATCTTCAGGTCCTTCCACGCTTTCACTGGACCTGAAAGTTCAGCTCAAGACAATACAGCACTGAATCATCCCTACGACTATACCCGGGCCGCCTCTGGACGGTCGTGTGCGTCGCGGAGGCCAGCTGCCAAGGCGGTAGTCATGGAATTGTCCGAGGTTCTCGCCTCACCATGCGGTTCGGCGAGTCCAGGACGCGCGCGACGGGCATAAAAGCAGAGCAGACGACCGCGGTCTCTTCTCACTTTCTCTCTCTCTCTCTCTCTCTCTGTGTGTCAGCGACTACTCAGCGCCGTTCTCGACTATGAAGGGCGCTCGGGTGTCTGGTCTTCTTGCCGTTAGTCTGGCGTCTTACTGCGCGGCGCTGGAGGCATTCCCTGGCGCTGAAGGTGAGAAGCGCAAGTTGCGTGCGTCTGGGAGGGGGTCGCTGACCCCGCATGTCTAGGCTTCGGCGCACAGGCAACGGGCGGCCGCGGAGGCAGCGTCTACGTCGTCACCAACCTAAACGATACTGGCGACGGTAGCTTCCGCGATGCCGTGTCGGAGTCGCATAGGGTGGGCGCAGACGATGCTCAGGCCTATCTGTGATACTTATGCCGGCTGCAGATCGTCGTCTTCGCGGTCGGCGGAGTCATCAACATCGACAGCCGCATCGCGGTGAAGAACGACATCACGATTGCGGGACAGACTGCGCCAGGAGATGTGGGAAATACTAGTCGAGAAATCATGCATTTGGACTTATGACCTACCAGGGCATCACCATCTACGGCAACGGCCTCTCGTACTCGAACGCGGACAACACCATCACGCGCTACATTCGCTACCGAATGGGCAAAGGAGGTACGCATATCCCATACAGCTCGATAGACATCCATCCCTAATCCCCCTCTCAGGCGACTCCGGAAAAGACGGCATCACCATCGCCGACGGCGCCAACATGATCTTCGACCACGTCTCCGTCAGCTGGGGCCGCGACGAGACCTTCTCAATCAATGGCGACGTGTCGAACGTGACTATCCAGGACTCCATCATCGCGCAGGGCCTCCAAACCCACTCCTGCGGCGGCCTGATGCAGACGACGGGCGGGCTGAGCATCTTCCGCACGTTGTACGCGGACAACAAGACGCGGAACCCGAAGGTGAAGGGCGTGAACGACTTCACGAACAATGTGGTGTACAACTGGGGCGGCGGGGGCGGGTATATTGAGGGCGACTCGAGCGCGGTGTCGGAGGTGAATATCGTGGGGAACGCGTTCATAAGGTGGGGGATCCGTGGACGTGGCCGGGTTGCGCTTACGAGTGTTCGCAGCGGACCGTCGACGTCTGTGTCACCTTGTGCGTAATTCGGGCTCGGTCGCTCTTGTGAGAGTACTGACCAAACCAGTCACACGCGGCAACAAGAACTTCAACGCCTACGTAGCCGACAATTACTACGATCCTGACCAGGTAAGGCCATCGTTCTTGTCACTGTAATCCTGCGAATATCAATGGACGTAAATTCATAGGACGGCACCCTCAACGGCCACGTCCTCTCCGTCGACACGGACAGCTACACCGACATCACCTTCAAGGACGCGCGCTTCGACTACCCCGCGCCCGCGACCCTCATGAACTCAACTGACGCCCTGGCGTACGTGCTGGCGCACGCCGGCGCGAGTCTCGTGCGTGACAGCGTGGACAAGTACATCTTGGACGAGGTCGCTTCCTACGGCACGAAGGGCGCCTTAATCTCGGACGAGGACGAGGTCGGCGGGCCGGGCACGCTTGCGGGCGGTGAGGTGCGTAGTGTATTCCGTTTGTCCGGGAAATGGCAGTTCGTCCGGGCAATGACAGTTCGTCCGCCTGCTTGCGAGTCCAACTTATACGCACGCGAATCCTCTTTGTCTGCGCGCGGTAAAGTAAGCGAGCGCTGACTGAGATCCCTCCACCCGCAGGCGCCGACGGATACGGACGGCGATGGGATTCCAGACGAGTACGAGACAGCCAACGGGCTCGATCCGCAGGTGGACGATGCTATGGACATCGCGGATAATGGCTATGCGAGTGCGTGCGACGTCGGGGGACTGCTCGATACCTGCGCTAACTGGCTCGTTCTCAGACATCGAGAACTATATTAACTCGCTCGTGTGAGGCGAGGCGGGTCAATAGCGCGGTAATTGACCGTCGAACCATGGTTTTTGCCCTTCCTGCTCGCCAGCTGCTGCCCATCGGCACTTTATGGTGTAGATCTGACCGCGGTTGCGCAGCCATGATGCGTATGGGAGAGACTCATACTATTCGGGAGAGTATATTCGACCCTTCTTCACTGCCAGTGCTATACCCTCGGATGTTCCATGAATTGACGATGGAAGAGCGCCGCGGACGCTCTTCGGCCGTTGCCGATAAAGGCGGCACGTCGGTCCGGGCTCTCTACCTCGTTTGCTGAAGTCAGAGTAGGTCCTGTCCACCGCGCGCAGTTCGAGCTTTGAGCATGGCCTAACTTCAGACGACGGTTTCCCGAGGACCCGCCACACGGCCAGGGCACGATCATACAGACGCTTGCAACTCCTCGATACCGATTTCGACTGGTGGGCAGGCGCCGAAAGCTCTTCCTGGCCAATAAGTCATGCACCGATAGGTACTCGGAGCATACGAAGACAGTGCAGGACCGGCAGCTTCTCGCCTTCAATGCCTCTTCCACAGCGCAGTCTGGCAGTATAAGCAAGGTATGGCTCACAGTGCCGAAGAGGACGCAGAGCGGGCCAGAGCTGGTACCGTCTCGTGCGATAGCCGTCAGACGAGAATTGTTCGTTCCAGAGCCTGAGACAAGCGTATGAAGAGGCCAATTTGGAACGAGGTTGACTGCCTCCGGAGCCTGCAACTTTATCGTAACTCTCAGTAGCGTGAGCGCAGTAATAATAAGGCAGCGAGGTGGGTTGTTGGAGAATTTCTGGCGCGGTAGCTAGCCGTCGAACGACTGAGGATCGGGCTGGCCACTGAGTACAATGGGCGTCGTTCGAGAATAGACAAATTTGGAACGTCCTTCCCTCCGGAGTTGGCCTCCATCCGTTTCGATAACGTCCTGGACCTGCATGCGGCTGGCCGCCGACGGCCTTCTGAGCGTCGGTATTTCGGCGGAAGATTGGCTGCCTTATCCGCGAGAGGTCTCTGTATCTGCTGGCACTTGCTTGGAGCTGTATAAGGAGCTGTAGTGTCTTCGATGGTGGCAGTAGCGGTCAGAGGGGGAGCAGGTCCGATGAGACGCGGCGCCAAAGTTAGGCTATTTAGTGACGTCGTGACTGGGCCGGGAGCAGGACCGACGGACAAGTGTCAATTGATTACACTTGTCACAGTCCACCATGAATCGGACGGGATGCCATCCGCGCGCCCCTCCCATATCGTCTCTCTTGTCCTCAACGGTCATCTGCCATGGCCCCAATGGCTGACCAGAGTGCGACACCCACCATGACGGACCAGAACGTCCTCGTCGTCGACTGGGACGGTCCTGACGACCCTCAGAACCCCAAGAAGTTCGTCTCCTCATCCCCTCGTCCCCTACTGCCAGCTCACGGACGTTTTCAGCTGGCCGCGAGCGAAGAAATGGCGGGCTACAATCATCGTCTCCCTATTCACCTTCATCACCCCCGTCTCATCCTCCATGCTCGCCCCTGCCGCCCCCCATATCGCCGAAGAGCTAGGAATACACGGCACCGTCGAACGAGCACTTGTCGTCTCCGTCTTCGTCCTCGCTTTCGCCTTTGGTCCCCTCCTCCTCGGCCCCCTCAGCGAGCTGTACGGCCGCGTGCGCGTCATCCAGCTGTCGAACCTCTTTTTCCTCGCGTGGAACCTGGGATGCGGCTTTGCGCAAACGAAGGAGGAGATCATCGTCTTCCGATTCTTCGCAGGTTTAGGAGGAAGCTCGCCGCTCAGCGTAGGTGGCGGCGTACTCAGCGATGTATGGCGCGCGGAGGAGCGAGGCGCTGCGATCGCGATATACTCGCTGATGCCGCTGCTAGGCCCCGTCATCGCGCCAGTCACCGGTGCATGGGTTGCGGAGCGCACAACGTGGCGATGGGTGGTGCGTGACTGTCTTATCTCTGTGCAGGGCGAGTGCTCAGAGGCTACAGTTCTGGTCGACTTCCATCTTCACTTGCTTTGTCCAGGCTCTTGGCCTCATCTTCCTTCGAGAAAGTGAGTCCCCCCCCCTTCGCTCCCCTGCATCTGCAGGAGTATGCTGATTTACCCTTCTAGCTTTTGAGCCGGTTCTCCTTGCACGCAAGGCGAACCGCATACGTAAAGAAATCGTCGCTGGTGGCTCAGTAAACGTAGTCGAGCGTGACGTTGAGAAGGTCGGCGATAAGGACACCGAGAGGTCACCAGTGTCTCCTACCAAACCTTCGCCGACAGCCTCGCCCACCGACGCTCCCCCCGTACCCGCTCACCCGCAAGTCATACTCACCAAGTATCAGCTGAAGCCACGCTCGCCGACGCAGCACATCTTGCACGCCCTCGTCCGCCCCTTTGCGCTTTTTGCATACGAGCCAATTGTGCAGCTGATGGGCGTGTACATGGCGTTCGTGTACGGGATTTTCTATCGTAAGTCTTTATAGAGTACGCGGACCTTTGCATGAGCTAACGCTACGACTTCCAGTCTACCTCACGGTCATCCCGTCAATATTCGAGGGCGAGACGTACCACGAGTCGGTCGGTATTGCGGGCTTACACTACATCGCGTTCGGTTTGGGTGTGAGCTTGGCATCGCAGGTAAGGCTGTCCTTCTTCTCTCGCAACTCGGTGCTCATCGCTGGGACATTCTAGATCAACGCGCGCATGCTCGACCGTATATACGTGTACTTCAAGAATCGGAATGAGGGGAAGGGCGAGCCCGAGTTCAGGCTACGTGAGTTCATCGCATGCGCAGACCCCCTCCAGCGCTTAACACGCCGCAGCCTCCATGGTTCCCGGGACCATCCTATTACCAGCGGGCCTCATCATCACTGGCTGGGCAGCGCAGAAGGCCGTGCACTGGATAGTCGTCGATATTGTGAGTGCTTCTTTCGTACGTATCCCGATGGCGTTGGCTTGCTGTCCTCACGCCGCCCCCTTGCTGTCCTCACGTCGCTCCCTTGCTGCCCTCACGCCCCCCCCCTTTCCGACCTCATGCCACGCCCTTGCTAACCTCACACCCTCCTCCCTCCAGGGCCTCTTCCTCGTCGGCGGGGGCATGATCCTCAACTTCCAGTGCATCCAGACGTATGTCATCGACGCGTTCACGCTGCATGCGGCGTCCGGCCTCGCTGCGGTCTCTTTCTTGAGATCATTAGCAGGGTGAGTTGTTAGTGCGCCTGTAGGGTGATCGTACCGTCGCTTGTACGACGATCGAGTCTTCTCTTGCGCGATGCGTTCGCGCCTTCTTCTGCGCGACGATCCGTTCTCTTGTACGACGCGTGGGCGTCCCTTCGCATAATCTCCTTCCGCTGACCCTCCTTCGCACAGCTTCGGCTTCCCGCTCTTCGCGCCGTCAATGTACGCCGCGCTCGGGGTGGGGTGGGGGGATACGCTGTTAGCTTTCGTGGCGATCATCGTCGGTTGTCCTGCGTGAGTGACCTCGACCTCTCATGTGATCGTATGCTGACGAGACTACTTTCAGGCCGTGGATCTTCTGGTACTACGGGAAGAAAATCCGGTCGAAGAGCCGGTATGCGCATAAGACGTAGGCGGAACCGTATGGTATATGGCTTACGCTCGCGCGATGTCTCCCTACGGGGTGAACGATGACTTCACGGCAGGAATAACCCCCTAAGACGACTTTGAGGGACATAATGACGGACTGAATGCCTACGCCTTATAATTTTCTAGATGTACTTGGGTGCTTCGAATCATACACAAGGATCTATCACACGTCATTTTCTTTGACGATCGTTAACCCGATACAAAGATCTGAGCCCAATCTCGCCCAAGCGCAGCGTCGCAAACATCGATATCGACGTGGGGCTGAGTCGGAGGGATGAACATCACATGTTGTGGAGAACACGCGAAGCGCAGGCGACGCAAGTGTTGTGGCACCCAGAGCACATGCGCCGAGCCCGCCTTCAGCCAGCCCGAATCATCGAGGGACAGGTTTGAAGCCAACTCAAAGTTGCTACGCGGTGGGTCCATAGTCTGGCCTGGTGGGGCTGACTCTGAGTGGCGCCTAATCCAGTCCTCTTCGTCGGCGCGCGTATCCCACATCCTCACTGAGCAGTTGACGGCACTGCTCACGACGTGCCGTCCGTCTGGCGCGAAGGCGACCGAGTCGACCGCCGCATAGTGGCCTCTGAGGGCTGATCCGATCTGCTTCCCCGTCATCGTGTCCCAGACTCGGATAGTGCCATCGTTGGCGCAGGAGATGACGCGCCCGCCATCTGGAGAGAACGAGACGTATGTGATCGCGGCGGCATGGCCTGTCTGCGCGTCGACGACCGGATGACCAGTCATGGCATCCCATACTCTCACGGTATGGTCCTCTGAGCCGGTAGCGAGCAGCTTGCCATCCGGCGAGTAAGCCACGACAGTGATGGTGCCACTATGTCCACTGAACGCTGTGCCTACACGGCTTCCCGACGAAGCATCGCAAAGGTGAACACCCGGGTCGTTCTGCACCGCGCAAGCGATGCGGCTCCCGTCTGGAGAGTACGCCGCAGAGAGAACCGCGTTCATCGAGTCGGAAGGCCAGATAGTGCGAACTTTGTACCCCTGTGTTTTCACCGCGGCGGTCCATATTCTGAGCGAGCCGTAGTCCGATCCCGACAAGACGTGCTTGCCGTCAGGGGAGAACGTGACGTGGTGCACACGATGGACATCGCTAGGCTCCCGTCTGACGGCGCCCACGCGCTGCCCAGTACCTACATCCCACAAGCGCACAGTGCAGTCGAAGGATCCCGAAGCGAGATACCGGCCATCTGGTGAGAACGAGACCGAGGTGACCCTGTCCTCGTGACCTCGAAGAACGTAGCCAACCTGCTGCCCCGTAGACGCGTCCCAGAGTACGATAGTGCCGTCGAGCATGGCAGAGGCGATAAGCCTGCCATCCGGGGAGAAGGTGATACTCAGACAAATGTCCTGGCGATTATGATGCTTGGGAGGCGACTTGTGCTGGACGCTCGGGAGCTCCCAGATCCTGATCGTGCAGTCCGTCGAGCCAGATACGATGTGCGTGCCGTCCGGCGAGAACGCAACAGCAGTAACAGCGTCATCGTGTCCCTCGAGCGCCTCCCCGACTTGGCATCCACTTTCGACATCCCACAGCCGAACCGAGTCATCCAGAGCGCCCGACGCGACTCGGCTGCCATCTGGCGAGAAGGCGATAGAGACCGGCCATGCGCCATGTCCCAACGCCTCGCGGACCTGCTGCCTCGATGCGACATCCCAGATTCGAACGGTAGTATTGCCTGTGCATGTCATGAGATGCTTGCCGTCGCAAGAGAACGCAACAGATGTGACGCTCTCATACTGGCTACGAAGAGGCTCGCCGAGTTGTTGGCAAGTAGCTGTGTCCCATAGTCGGATAGTACAATCCTCTGATCCAGAAGCGAGGACCTTGCCATCGGGCGAGAACGCGACGGACCAAACAGACTTCGTGTGCGCACCCATCGTCAAGCCAATCTGCTTCCCGATCGCAGGATCCCACAATCGAACGGTGCAGTCATTCGAAGCAGAGGCCAAGCGCTTGCCATCGGGTGAGAACACGACGGAGTAGACATGATGTGTGTGCCCCGTGAGGGTGCCGCAAATCTGCATGCCAGTCGAAGCTTCCCATAAGCGTATTGTACGGTCCTTGGATGCCGAAGCAATGACTTCTCCGTTTGGCGAGTAGGCGACAGCGCTCACGATATCTTCATGCCCTCTGTGCGCAGCTCCGACCTGCCGACCCGTGATCGCACCCCACACGCATACAGTGCCGTCTTTTAAGCCTGATGCAATGTATTGACCATCCGGCGAGATGGACATCGCGAGTACCTCCGCAGGAGTGTGAATAATGAAAGGCTCGCCTGGCGGCCAGTCGTCCTCCGGCGCGTTCCCTGCGAGCTTGCACAAGTGCGAGAATGATCTTCTGTATGCGCGGCGGACCTGCGATCGGCGCGGCAAAAAGACCAATCCGCTGATATAGACTTGGGGCGCAGAGGCTGCGATAGCGTCCCGAAAGCGATTGTCAAACTTGATGGCATCCCTCGCTAGAGCCTCGAGTCCCTCTGCGTTATTGTTCTGGAAGTACTGTCAGCACGGAACGGTGATGGAGAGCAAGGACACTACCTTGATCCAAACAAGATATCGCTGCAGCTCTGCGGTGGGAACATCGGGTCCCAATCGCATACAGCTGCACGCCTCCATCCAAAACAAGAGTTTCTCCTCGAAGAAGCGCTCGACGCTGCGTCGAATGCGTGGCATGCGAGCGCCAACAGATAAATCAGCCACGACGTCCGTTAAGATGACGATAGGCGCTCACCTGGCTTCGCACCTGTGCTGTGGACGAGATGACTAGCGGCGGCACGGCACGCGTACTGCAAGCCCGGAGAGACGTGCTCGTTCACTCGCTGGGGCAGATCAAGAATAGCATCGTTGAGATCGAATGAGGAAGGCAGACAGCAGATGTTGAAGCGCAAACCGCTATTGAGGATCTGGAGACACGCGTCCACGAGGTCCAGGTGCGACTCGGCGCGAAGAGAAATGGCAAATGGACCGCTGGCATCACTGTCGAGGACGAAATCATGGAAGGAGGTATGAAGAGCGCGTACTGGGTGCTGGCTCCCTGCAACGGTGCCCATCAAGAGTGATCCTAGTCCAGAGAAGAGGTCATCGACGTCAAACCCGGAAAGGAGGACTTCGGCAATTTCAGAGAATGTCTCCCGCCTCTGCGGGGTTTCCGCGAGTAGTATCCAAGCGAGAATGCGCCTGTAGGCAGCCATGACCTCGACATCGTCGACGTCGAAGTGAGATTCTAATATCGCACGGTAGGTCGTGTATAATGCCTGGCCCGGATTGCGCATGACGCGCGCAACGAGATCATCACGGCGCAACACGACTCTCGGTTTGCGCACCTTCGTCAGCTCTCTGCAGAGCAGGGCAGCACATTCGAAAAGAGTTTGCGATGCGGCAACGACGTCGTCTATCATGCCACTGACGGCAGTGCGCGATAGCTTCTCCTCCACGAATAGCCGGATATCCCGATCCGTGTCTTCGGCACCGTCGATGGAGCAGAGCTTGAGTAGTGGCGTGGGGTGCGCAACGTATAGCCGTATGTCGTCGTCGGGTCGAGTAGTAATCAACAATCGAACGTTGCGTGGTAAGCGTTCGTCAGCGATGAGAGCGTTGAGAGTCTCGAGAAGCGTTCTGCGATCAGCAGCTAGACGCAAGCTGCGAGTTTCGTCCGTCGCGTCTTCGTTCGGGCACTCGTCGAGAGCATCAATTACCAGTACAAGTGGCGTCAAGATCAAGACGACTGGTAGCAGGCCAACAACCAGCCGGTCCGATTGGTCTTTGATATCGCGCGTTGACAGATCGTCGGCTTCCATCTTGCACAAGATATCGTGGCATTCCTTGTTTCGGCGCGCGAGCTGCACAGCAAGCGTCGGTAGTAGCTGGTAGGCCTCTCGATCGCGAGCGGTCCGGTCAAAGGCAAAGAAAGGTGCATAAGTCCCCATGCCTCTGAGACGCATCGCAACGGCATGGGCGACGGCCGACTTGCCTTTCCCCGCTGCGCCATACAAGATAAGCGCTCGTTGGCCGTCAGGGTCGAAAGCCCAGTCCTCGATCTCGCGGAGCAGATTGACCCGAGTGCCGGGAAGGCAACTGCTAGTCGTGCCAGCATGTACCTCCTTCGCATAAGGAAGGCGCTCCAGTGTTCTCTCGTCGACTGTCGAGCTCCGTAAGCCTATCTACACTAGGGAGAGCATGAGATACGCACCGATCTCTTTCGCCAGCCGCTCTGTCCTGAATATGGACAGCTGGGTATCCATGTGGCCTTTACGCTCAACAGCCTTCGCGCACGCCTTCAGGCCTTTGATCAGTTCCTCGACTTCGGCATTTGTGCCAGAAGACAGACGAGCGGCTAGATTATATTTGTTAAGCCTCGGAGGACGACATTCACTGAAAACTCACTCATGCCCGAGCTGGTTAAATTTCGTAGAAATATCAAGCAGCGATAGATATGCATTATGAGCGCATCGCGGGCGGCTTTTTGCTTGATCCTCTGAGCTCGAGCAATCGGATCGTCTAGATTGAGAGCGTACTCGCTCGCCTGACCCATCTCCTCCACGAGCGATAGGACGGCATCGTTACGTTCGAGTCTCCTGAAGAACTCCTGTAGCATATACGTTGTGGTCATGATTTTTGAATCGGGCGTGCAAAATTAGATACACGCACATCTGCACCGATGCTCAAGAGCTTGAGGATTGCCTTGGAGATTGGGTTGATCTGTGGCGCATTACGGGTCAGATCTCCACAAAGTGGTGTGAAAATGCATACCTCTGCAGGTACACTACCAATCTGAAGTGCCAGTCGTACATACTTATCCATTCTCTTCCACTTGTCGGACAAGGAGAACACCGTGGTAAGCTGAGCAGAGTCTATAATACCAACGTCTTCAGTCGTGATCCTCAGAGTCAGATGAATCGATACGTTCGAGGCGCTTTGCTCGTCCGCAAGATCAACTACCATCGCCGAAGTCAGTCTCAGCTCGGATTCAGGCGGCAGACGTACGTCGAAAAGGTTGATCAAACAGAACTTCCTGCACCGAGAAATCTTTGGATGCTATAAGCTCGTCGCTCGTGTTTTTGTGCTCCGCATAGAGCCGGGTGTGTACAGTGGATGTATTGCGTGCAGGTCTTCAAGCAGGATCAGAGCATGTGCACTGATAGTCGGATGAATCTCACATTGAAATGGTGGAGTTTGGCGAGAGAGCGAGATGCTTGCTCTCGCCGTCATCGACAGCACACGTGGCGTAGATGCGCCGGTATTGCTTCCGTCTGTAGCTTGTCTTTGGTATGCGGGGTATATTCTCCCCAGAGACGTCTGCAAGCTATGAGATTCCTATGTATGCTGGGCCGTCGCTCTTACAACGAAAGGTGTATAGCGCAAGCATCGGAGCAGCTTCGTAGGGTTATTTTCCTCGACACTTGCATCTATCGGAATGTGGTCCGCTTTCAGTATATATGCGGACTTGCTCTTTGACGTGGCCAGAGAGGGATGCCAGGATGGACGCTGAAGCCGACAAGATCGAGGCGAGCTCGCAGGTGCGACGACATCGTGGGAGACTGTTTCGGCAGTCGCCGATGCCGAAGCTCTGCCGAGCTGACGCGTTCGAATCAGCAATCTCTCTTCTGAATTGCACTCATGCCGCCCATACGCGTCGCACGACCGAGCCAGCGGGCGGGACAAAGACCGAGGCTTTTGTATTGCGACAGGTTCTGAAGGTCATCTTGTTGACATCGCTAACCGACGGGCGAATATATATGGCTTGATTCTTCCTTCGAATGCAGATTCTTCGAAGCATCACGCGCTCCTCTCGACTCCTACATCCATCTCACGGACCCTAATGGCCAAGTATCTTCAATATTTCAGGGAAACGTTCCCTCCTGCACCCGAATGGAGTGTCGACGATATCCCCGACCTCACGGGCAAGGTCATGGCAGTCACCGGCGCGAATACGGGCATAGGAAAAGAAACGGCGAAGGCGGGTGTCTGTTTGTACTCCCTATCTGTCGCTCCTACTAATTCCCCTCCCACCTCCAGGCCCTCCTCCACCACAACGCGACGGTCTACATGTTCTGCCGCAGCCGAGCGCGCGCAGAAGCTGCCATCGCCGACTTGAAGACGCAAACCGGGCGAGAAGCACGCTTCGTAGAGTGCGACCTTGGTGACCTGCGGAGCGTGAAGAGGGCTACAGAGGACTTTTTGAGGTGAGTACAGTGCTTTCGAGCTTCAGATACGCTACGACTCTGGGTAGCTGACACTTGGTCTATAGCAAGGAATCGCAGCTGCACGTCCTGTTTAACAATGGGTACGCGCGCTTATCGGTTGCCATACCGACTTTTCTGTTAGATTAATCATCTCGCTCAGCGGCGTCATGCTCACTCCCGTCGAGAAGCTCACCGCTCAAGGTTACGACATGCAATTTGGGACGAATGTCCTGGTGTGTATTTTCCGTCGTCCATCACTCGCTTTTTTGAATATCATCTACTCGACCTAGGGCCATTTCTACCTCACCAAACTACTCCTCCCCATCATGCAATCAACTGCCGCCGCAATTGGTATTCCCGGTGAGGACCGCATCGGGTCAGTCCATCTGCATCATCTAGCTAACCGGGCGTCCTCTGGTCCTTTCAGCCCGCGTTATTGTCACCTCTTCCCTCATGCACTGGTTTGCGGACAAGATCGACTACGGCCTGCTCATAGGCGAGAACGAGAAGAAGCGCAAGTGCGCGGGGACGACGTACTTGTACTCCCTTAGCAAGCTTGTGAGTGTATCCCCATCGCGAGGACAAGCAAGCCACGACGTCGGGGTGCTGCAGACGGACTCGGCGCAGGGCGCGCCCCCGACATGCATTGCGCGCTCATGAATTACCTCGAGTGTCATGACTAACGCATCTCCCCAGGGAAACGTCCTCTACGCCAAAGAGCTCGCCCGCCGCTTCGGCGACAAGGGCATCGTATGCATTTCACTGCACCCGGGCCAACTCAAGACGGAGCTCATGAGGGAGACGAGCGCCTTCATGCAGGCTACAAGGGTGAGCCAAAGATTCTACATTTACAAGGGCGCGTGCGACGGCCGCGACACATATGTTGCTGCATCAACCCGAATCATGCCGGCGCTATTCGCCGCGTCTCCTATGCACGCTCACCGCCATTCGTCCAGAACATCATCTTCCCCGTACACGAGGCCGACATGGGCGCGTTGACCCAGTTGCGCGCCGGTACCGATCCAGCAGCGGCGGAATGGAATGGAAAGGTGAGTGTTCTACTCGACACTTCTTGCTCAACCTTTCCGCGGGCACCCTCCGCATCGCGCTCTTGCGGCGCATCCTTCTCATCTCGATATTCCGTCATACTTTCCTTCTCCTCGGCAAATGCTCACCGTCCACCTAGTACATGACCTGCTGGGCGCGCCTATATCCAAACAGCCCGTCGGCAGACAACGAAGCGGAGGCCAAAGGACTATGGGAGTGGTTGGAAGACCAAGTCAAGGACATTTGACTCGGAAGTTTAGGAGTGCAGATGGTGCTGTAGTCCGACATTGACGTTAGGGCGTCCTGGGGACGTCGGAAACAAGCGTTTAGACATCAAAGAATCCCCGAAGGGCAATAAGTGGCGCATCAATGCACACGTCGATAATTCCTACACCACGTTGTTCGTTTTAACTCTAACCTTCGCGGGCCAGCAGGCTCTAGCGATATCCAGCGTGCCCAATATCGCCGACCAGAACAATTCTGGCGCGAATTCCGACACGGAGGCGAAGGTGGTGCTAAGGCCTTTCGGCAGTTCTGCGTAAGAACAACGTCCATCGCGGAACAGCCTACTTTAGCGCCAATTCCTCGGGTCACTCGGAGCACCTCCATACCATCGACCTCGCGACCCACTGCACAGAATATCAAGGCAGAGCTTTACGACGCCATGAGGCGTTCGCTGAGGTGATACAATCCCCCTATCATCGATTCCTGCTAATTCAACCCCACAACCTAGAACCGTTAGCGGAGTACGGACCGCCGAGATGAAGTGGACGAACCAAGAGCGGCTTCATGCGTATGGCGTTCGCCTGGTCGGCTGGCCCGCCGATATACCCCTGCAGAACCCCTCGATACTGAAGGCGACACAGAACGCCACGCTCCTCGACGCCTTACGAAAAGGGTCGATGCGCTTTGAGCGCTTGAATGCGCCGCCGGGTGAGGGTTTGGAAACGAGAACGGAGGAAGACACCGTCGACGAGGATATCTCGTGGGCTTGTAACGATACGGGGGAGGTACGCGCGTCTACTTCGGGAGTAAACTGTTGATCAGATGAGGTCTTGACACAGTACCTTGGCGGCGAGCTCCCTTGCAGCTCTGCAGATACACAGCCTGCACTCAAACGCCTTCGAAGCGGGTCGACTTCATGATATGCATCGTGCGTCTGCATTGTAACGGAATTTCTCCCTCAGGAAGCGGTTCGTATACCCCTATCGACGTGTTAGGATAGAACAGCAGGCAGGTTTTGGTCATAACGGTGGTAATATCTAGTTGGATTCAATCGCGTATTATACGCATTGTCAGTGCTTATATTCCTTTGAGAGCACTCGTATGAAGTGTGGTGGTCAGCCATATCTTCGAACCAGTGCCACAGCGCTCATAAGCGCACGTACCCACCATCGCTTTCAATCATCGACTTGCAGGTTGCTTTCAACCTGCACAACAGCTTTGCGACTTTGCCGCTCCAAAATTGTCCTTCAGCAGGACCTCCATCAGCCAAACCCAAAACCCACCGCAAGCGTTCACGTGCGCGGCGGCATTAATCATCAACCCATCTGTCCAGCTTGATCCTGACTTTCACGTCGGTTCCAAAGCCAGGTCGCCATCCTTCAGCTTGCTTGGGCACAGCAGACCAGAGTAGATTCCTCCGAGGTAAACGCCCTTGAGAGTACTTTCAATCACCGATCTCATTCCTGTCCAGATGGACGACGATACTGCCACGCGGCGCGCCACCAGCTCCATTTCTGCACTCCCTCCGGAGACACTAGTAGAGATATTCGACGTGTGTCGCATTCGCCACCACTACGATGACCTTGATCTGGACGCCCTCACCGTGCGCGCCGGGCCGCCCACTGTCACGGCCGTCTGCGCGAATTGGCGCCGCCTCGCTATTGCCTCGCCGTCACTATGGACCGACGTTCATCTCAATATTTACTCTCCGGCAGTCCTCCCCGATGCGGCACCTCTTCTCGAGACCTTCCTATCGCGGTCGATGAACCTACCCCTCCACGTCTGCATCACACTGCGTCGCAGCATCGTTTGGGAAGAGCAGGAAGTGCTGCCCCTCCGCTTGCTTGTCGAGCAGAGCATGCGATGGGCCTCTCTCGAAGCCTGCGTCGATATATTTCTCTGTCGTTCTCTGATTCCTATCTACGGTCGCCTCCCTATCCTCCGGACCGTGCGTTTCAAGACGCTGACGAAATGTGACAATGTGGAGTGGGCGCCATTCCGTGATATATTCAGCGACTGCCCGATGCTGATCAATTTCGATGGAGAGTCCGACTCCCCGTTCTTGCTACCCTGGGAGCAGCTACAGCGGCTAAAGCTTCGCCTGTCGATCCCCACAGAGGCGGCAGAGCGTGCAACGCGTGTACGCGCCCTGAGCCTCACTTGGTACAGCTCGGATTCTCATACGCCCGACGTGAACGATATCCTACACCGACCTCACCTCCAGAAGGCGACCCTCGAGTTCCATCTTCTCCGCCGCATACGAGCGCCGTTGCTATCTGAATGTCACATTGACGATATCGTTGGCCTCCACGCAATGCGTCCCCAACGTATACAGGATGTTGCAGACTATATTCGCGCGAACTGCAATTCGATTACCACGCTGTCGCTGCGTCCCAGTCCAGTCGATCCTGAGGCGCTACAAGCGCTTCTGATGAAGTGCCCCGCCCTGCGTCGGCTGCAGTTGGAGATACTTACGAACTACGAGGCGTCTGACGAAGACGACGCCCGAGTGCATACGCGGATGACCAAAGCACTTACCGTATGTGCGGGCGAAGTACCACTGCTCCCCGCCCTCGTCGACTTGCGCGTTATCATGCGCAGCGTCCGCTCTGCCGAATCCGTCAGCGGATATGAACAAGTGCTTCGGTCGCGCACATTGCCCCACGATGGAGTGGCTGCCCTCCAGTCATTCACGCTCAAAGTACAAGCGGGTCTGGGTCCCCAGCTGGCTGACGTTCTCGCACGGCTCTCGAGGTTCAACTCAGAGGGCTGCCACGCCGGATGTGGGCCAAAAGTTGATATCGAGGAGGGGGTATCATACTGGAAGCTAGAAAACACGTGGGATCGCTGGACAGAAGTATAGAGTAGGCGTAAATCATGGCTCGAATTCGACTGCCCGCGGCGATGACAAAACGCTGCATTGTTCTCACCGGTGATGACTTTGGAGGGAAAATAGGCATATATCGATCTCACAGTTTATGACGCTCATATTTGGGCCTGCATAAAGCGATGATTTCACAGCAGCACTCTGCTTGAGTCGATGCCCATGCAAACTGTGACTGAACTGTGACAGTGGGTCGGATAACACGTGACATTAGCAGCCCATCAGGTGCGAGAACTCAGCGACACTTCACTTAAACCATCTGCAGCTAGTTTCTGATATGCCAGCGTCTTTTACAGCCCGCTCAGACGCAGCCTCTCCTTCCTTGCCCATTCAATGTCCTGCACAGAGGCTCCGGCCGAACGACCATCGATCCCGAACCTGGCCTTAGCAGTTCGACCCCAAGACTCGGATACAATGACTCTGAAAGCCAGACAAAGGTATGAAAGAGGTGATGCGCACGACTGTGAACACCTGAATGAAGTGGACAAGTTGCAGAAAACATTGTATCAACATGGACCTTTGAGTGTCAAGTGGTATATGTACGCCTTCCTGCATACATAGGTTAGCGTGAGCAGACTGAGAGTAAAGGTGGATGTGTATGCGCTGACCTTGCCATTGTTGTTAATCAGCAGTGCCAGTCTGGGCGGGCAGCAGATAGAGACGCGGGCCAAGTCTGGGGCGACCGTGACAAAGCGCGTTCGTGACGTGACTGAACGAGTCCTCGGCACTTGCCGGAGACAGCAAGTGGGCCCACGCGTCCTTACCACCAGAATTGCTGGACGCCAAACCTACCCTGCCTCAAGCCCCATGTACATAGCGAGACATAACTTCCCTTACAAGTACAGCTCCAACTACTAAAGTAGTGAATGTTCAGTCAGTATCCACGAAGGCGAAAGCCATGACAACTCCCTTCCATCCATGTCGCCCTCTCCTCGCTCTATCACCAGTCCCGACCCCCTCAACACTCCGTCCTCGGCGCAAACGCAATCTTCAAGTCGCCCACCCCGCCCGCTTTCTTCTTACCACCCTTACCCCCGTGGCCGGCAGGACCGTATGGACCGCCTTCCACGACCATTTCCTCAATGGGTTCATCGTCGCCTGCACCCTTCTTCTCCCCATCCTTCAGCCCATACACGCCGTACCCGGGCTCCATGTACTCCGCATATATATGCGCGAACCAGCCGATGGACATCCGCTTAAAATACGGGCAGCGGCGGTCGAGGAGGGCAAAGTAGTCCTGGGAGAATGGGTGTGAGTGGTGAGGAGAGGTGCGAACCGCAACACGACTCACCTGCTCATTCTGCACGTCCGCAACCGCATCAGGGCTGTTGGGCTGCACGCCCTCGGAGGTCTCAGACGGCCAGCCATTCTGTGATGCGACATTAGCCAACGCGAACATATTCCAGGCCTCGAGCGTCCCGAAACGAACTCGCCGGATAACTCACCTCACTCAGGTACATCTTCTTTCCCTGCCCATTCTCCAAGAACCAGTTGATATCACGGATGACAAGCGGCCAGCTCTTGTTAGCTGTGAAAGCGGCAGGTCAGCAAGGGCAGAAATGAGTAAATAGGTGGAGAATTGACGCAGCGTCCGTCGAAAGATCATCGAGCACGAGACAGAAAGACTACTCACCCGTACTCGTATCCTGCGCAAAGAACGGGAGCATATGCGCGTCAATAAGGTCTATCGCATCCATCACCGGCTTCGCGTTGTCGTGCTCCTGGTAGCCGTAGGCCATCTGTGGGGATGGCATGTCAGTAAATGACGGACGTCCACGGTTTGGCGACACCACGATGGGCGGCCGAGCCTTCGACGCCAGCGCTCTTCACTCCCCTCGTCCCCCTCCGGACCACTCTCAGCCCATGTCCGGCTCGCCCTCGTCCCCCTTCCAGCTCGACAACACTCACCTCCGAGATCGTCACATTCACGCCCAGTGGATTCAGCACCTTCTTCGCCTTCGTCACTTGCGCGGCGAGTTGTTCCGGCGTAAGAACCCAATCATAGAGCGGTTCGGAGCCCTGCAAAGAGATGTGGTCAGAAGAGGTCGCGTCCAAACGCGATCAAGAGAGTCGTCTATGGATGTAGGCGAGGGAGTCGACGCAATGGGTTCGAGCTCGAGGACGGATGAAGCTAAGGAGGACAAAGGCAGCTCAGGGCAGGAAGGGGTGGGTAGAAGACCAAGACAATGGCGGATAACAACACTCACAAACTGCAACACCCGGGTCACAAAGCGCGCCTTGGGGTTGTTCTGTATGGTGTTGAAGACCGCGTCGCGCCGGCCTTTCCATTCGTCGGTGCCGTCGAAGCCGAACTGGAAGACAGTTAGCTGTGCGTTGGTAGGATGGATATGTTGCGCGGAGTAGGTATGCTTGCCAAGGGGCGATGGGGTAGGTACGTGTATGCGGTTACAAAGACTGCCAAGTAAGAATACTCACCCAAACCAACGCATGCACCCCAACATTTGCCTCCCAGGCAGCCTCGACGACGTCGTCACTGACGAGAATTGATAAGTAGGCGCATATATGCATTTCAGAAATCGCGCTCACTAGAAATTCTCGCGATCGCTGTTGGTTCGGGGTGGTCAATCGAGGCGAATGAGATCGCGATTGATACACGGTGGCGTTCGTTAGGCGTTCAGAATGTCGTTGAGTGCGATGAGTAGCGTGAATTTAGTGGGAGGAAGTGAGGGTGATAATTAGCGCGCTTCATCTAGGTAAGGATCACCTACGCACCAAGCGCCATACAAGCGCACATAGCGGCCATTGAAGCGCGTCCGAATGTCCTTGAACTCGCGCGTTAAACGTGCAAGAGACTGACCTGGGACGCGTGAGCGCAGCTCTGGGGTAATCGCGCTGAGCACTCACAGGCGGTGACCTCGTAGCTGAAGCCCACGAACGCATACTCGTCCGCGTAGTCGCACCACCAGCCTTCCGTTGTACTCGGTACATTGTCCGGCATCTTAAAGCCTAGCCCGGGGAAGCAGTCCGCCGCGACCGTCGGAGGGTTCGCCTGTATGGGATCCTGCGCAGGGTGCTGCCCTTGATCAGGCGGAGGGGGAGGGAAATCCGAGTTCGACCACGGCATCCTCGACGACCAATTTGGCCGCCCGACGAGTGCAGTCTGCACGAGCGCATATAGCCCGCCGAAGAACAGCAGCAGCGCAGACCAGATGGCGACGAACATGGTGGTGTGAAGCTGAGCGACCGTCGTCGTCAGCGCAGCACCTTATACTTATGCCCGCGAAGCAAGCGACATGGGGGCGACATCATCCGTGACAGGCGCGGCGGTTGCGCGGTGCGTCTAAGAAGCTTTGGAGGCTTCGCATGCCCATAGATCCGCATCCGAACTTCTGCCAGGACCCAACGGTCGCGGTGCTTCTCTTTGCGTTCGGGTCACCTGTGCGTCGCCGGGTAGGCGTTTGTATGTTGGTCTGCAATTCTGATGGAGCTGCAGTGTCCGGTGCATGCCTGAGCCCTCGAGAGGGAGAGGGAAGAGGACCCAAGAGAGCGTACCAGGTGTGCAGAATCACAAGGTGCCCATGCCTGGACATGGCCGAATGGGCGCGTCGCGTGACCACGTAAAGAAGGGAAAGGAGACGTATCGATCCCAGCTAGCTTCTCATCGCTGTCGATCGCAGGGAGGAGAGCAGGACCCTCAGCAGGACCGGGCAGCTCGGCAATGGCCTTCGGAAGCAACTTTGTTGCATCACACGATCGATCACACCAGATGCTTCCGCGTGGCAAGGCGTCACACCGATTGATGCGTCTTTCCTCTCGCTTTCAACCCCTGGCGATATACTTCTTGCTCTTTGCTTCTGTTCCCTCATATATCTCAGGTTTTTAGACGGAGGATATTACGTAGCGGCAACGATAGGCTGAACGAATAGGTGGGTTGCAACCAGCGAGGCACTCGCTTCCTGTATCTCATTTCCTCGCAGCCCAATTCCAGGTTCACGCTCGTCCGAAGTATGCTACAACAACCCGACGAATACTATGCCTTAAATAGAGCAATTCTATTGACCGGCCTACGTCTTCATGGCGCTCCTTCTCCCGACACGAATATCCTCATTTCCTTCTCTCCCTTCCTTACCGTGACGACCCTATTCCACCTATTCCGTACGCGCGCTGTGCGTGCTCTCGCCCGCACGGTCTCGAACAATGCCAGTATGGGCACTTCTTTTGCTTCTCTTCTCCGAAGCGACTGCGCTACTCCCCGCAGGCATTGTCAATGCCTCGTTCGACAATCGCGACACTCTCAGAAGAGCTTTCCTGCACGACATGCACGTCGGCAACCGCTTTGCGAGGACCAGCAGATTCCAAGTCTTCTTGTAATTCTGCGCGAGCAGCAACGTTTGCTGTCCACGTGGAGTCAGTTTCTGTGTCGTGCATAGCGTCGCGCTGCTTAGGCTCAAGATCGCCAAAGACCCTGCGCTCGTCGACATTGGTTCCAGCATCGAGGCAGACCTCTTTTGGTGCAGCATTGATAAAGCCTCGGCCTGCGTCGTGCTCGACGTCAGGGGCTTTTGCGTTTACGGCGGCGGTAGCCTCCGTCGTGTGGGGAGTGCGCGCACAGGCCGAACTACGAGCATTTGCACCGATGGAGTCACGCCGCAGAACGTCTGTGGCCTCGCGTTCTCCCACACCCTCGTCGCAAGCGTCGTCCATCGCGCGCTCAGAGACGCCGACTTCACCGATTCCGCGCTCGATACCTTCGCCGTTCCCGACGCCGCCGGGAGCGTCGTGATACGCGCGATATCCTGCTGACCCCTGGCCTAGCGGCGCCTCCGCCGCTCCCTCCGGAAGACGACCAATTTCCAGCCCGGCTGCGTCATTCGCGTGCTCCGCGGACTCCAGCTTTTCCATGAACTCGGAGAGGATGCGCTTTAGCTTCTCCAGGTTGTACAGAAATTCATGCCGACCCTCTGCCCACTCGCATCCTTCGTAGTACTCCGCCAGGGTTATCGCTGTGCTTTCGTAGGGGTCGAACTCGTCGTCTGGCGGTCTGTACTGTCCATGGCATTCTGTAGCAACAATTTCTTCATGCAAGATGTCCGCTTGATGATAGTCCGACTCGTCACGGCCCTCGGGTGCCATTGGACAGGGTTCTTCGCACAGGAGCAGGCATGTCCGTGCCAAGCGATCCAGCTCGCGCCATGTCACAGGGTGAAGTTTCGGTGCTGTCAGAGAGATATCGAGCAGAGAGCATGCATCCGAGGCACGGCGCATAACCGAGGGGCTCGACAGCGGGCGCTCGTCATCGCAGAAGCGTATCCAGAGCACAAGGCAGAGCAATGCACTGTGTGCAGGAGAATCGATTCGGTCTCGTTGCATGTATAGGCGCTCCCATAAGTCGAGAGACCACACCTGTTCGACGTAGAGCAGGTAGCCCGGGCTATGATGCATCGCAACACGAGCCAGACGCTCGGCGATCGCGGTGTGCTCGGACGTGAGCGTGAAGTTCGTGTAGTCGCGATCCAGCGCTTGCAGGTAGTCATGCGAACGCCAGGAGTAGGCCCATATCTTTTGAGTATCATAGTCTAGCTTGAGGTCCGATGACGCCTGCACCGCGATTCTGGCTGCAGATGCGTTGAGAGGGGAAGAGATCAGCCAATCCAGCACATCCGTCGTCAAAACGTCGCTTTTGCGCCTCACTATGATAGACGCTTCGCGGTCTTTGAGTATCCGAGGCGAATCTCGATACCAAATCAGGCGACAGTGCTCAGCTAGCTGCCGCAAATTCCACCGTTGCATGGCCTTGGCACGTATTGATTTGTAGACGAAGTCGCACAGGACTTGGGCTTGCTGAAAGGGGCAGATGAGCACATAATGTATGACGGGATGACCGACGGTGATCATGTAGTCAGTAAGGGGTGTTTTGTAGGCGCAGTGTGTAACGAAGATAGGCAAGGCGGCCATCACAGAGTAAGCGAGGAGGATCCCCGCAGAGAAGCCAATGATAACCAAGGATATAGTGATGTCCATTGGCACCACGTAGACGATGAGGCCGGCAAAGAAAAGCAGCAGAGCGACAGTAAGGAGGACGGGGAGGAAGCCGATGATAGCTCGAACCTTCCAACGCTCGAAGTTCTCGAAGCGGTACTGCCGAAGATGCGCACGATTACGAGGTGAGCCCCCGGATAGCGAGTTGTAGTGCTGAAAGTCATACAATGAGTTGGGGCAGACAGCTGGTATGCAGTTCTTACCTGAATCCATTGCTTCGCCAGCACAGACACGAGAGCGGTTAACAAGGCGAAGGTGAGGCTGGTTAGCCATAGTCCATTTACCCAGAGATCGGTCGTCTGAGTTGTTCCCGAGCCGAAGGATAAAGAAGACATGGGAACGTTTGGCGGGGTACCGGTTGTGCTCGCGCGTTGACTTTGAACCAGCTCGTACATGAGAGAGGCCGTGATTTGCGCATAGTCCGGGCTCAGCGCCTGAGAACTTTGCGCGACGAAGGTAGTGACCACGGCGGAGAAAAGACCAGCCTGTTTGAAGAACGGAGTCGTTAAGAAGACAGGCGAGGATAGGAATAAGCCACGTACGAACACCAGGAGTACGTCCAAGGTACCGTTTAGACTCCTGACCATCTCGTTGTCAGCTATTTGGGCCTCATCGTTGTAGACGCTCCAAACGCGCGCGTTCCTGCTGAGCTCCTCGCCATACGCGTCGGGTGCGTATTTCTTCTCGTAGTCGACATCGCTGGATGTGTAGTGCGGTTGGTCGCTTTGCCCACCGCCGGTGCGATCGGCTTCAATTTGTATGGTGCTCGCGGTGCGCATCCCTTGCGCGGGCGCAGAACCTATGTTGTTGGCTGCTTCAACGTCTGGGTTTGTCCTCGTCTCGGCGCCCGTGGTGTCGGGGTCAGGAGCGACGGACTGATCAAGCGCTGCACTCCCTGCTGGGATGTGACGCGGCTCCTGATGCCTCTTGATTGCCTTTTGCACAACCTCTGCGAAGCGCTGCCCAGGACGTTGCGCGGACGATTCGCGTGCTGCGAAGGTGGCGCAGGGAGCCATCGGCTGATCCTGCCCCGAGGCGCTGATACCAGCCATGCCCTTCTCCACCATGGATGGCGTGGGATCGCTCATGAAATCACTATATCTTCGACACACGGGGTCGTCGTTGGCAAAGTTTTGCAGAGGGTGGGAGAGAGAAGAAGACCCGGGGTGAGTTCCGCGCCTTCGTGATGAGCGAGTTGAAGCGTGGGGGCGCCTCAGCCACGCCTCCGCCAACGGCCACGCACCAACAAGCTGTACATGTGCTACCCCATTCAGTCATCCAGAGCTCTGATATATCATTGCCATTCGAGGGCCGTCAACGTCGATCGAGCAGATTTTCGGCTTCGGTATGCTAGCTGCACTGGCGAAAGTGACGGTCAGGACGAAAGTCCACCGCTGCGATCGTGAAAGCAAGTCATTATAACCCATAGGCTGCTCTAGCACACAAGCGCATCAAGTAGTATACAACGATATCCACGAGCCACCAAAGGCCCTTTTGAAGATCAAGCAGCGCGCCGAGAGCAATCCTCCAGCGCGTCACACTAGCCTGAGCTGAGCATCTGCTCTGCCTCGAGCAGCATTTACTCCGACTCGGGCTTGTAGTCCGGGCGCAGCGAGCGCACGGTGCGGCCCGCGCGCCAGATCTCCTGGTTGTTGATCTCCTCAAGCTCGCGCGCGAGGTCCTGGCGGTAGGTCGGGCGGCTGTTGTACTCGAGCGACTTGCGCGTCTCAGTGCCGTCACGCACGCTCTGGTAGAGCTTCTCGAAGATGGGCAGGTTCGCCTTCTCGAAGACGGGGGCCCAGTCGAGCGCGCCGCGGCGGGCTGTGGTGGAGCAGGCGTTGTACATGTAGTCCATGCTGCGAGATGGTAAGTACGATGGAATCTAGGGAGAAGGAATACACGTACCCCTTGGCGCCGATCAGTGGGTAGAGGGACTGGGTAGCCTCCTCGACGGTCTCGTTGAACGCCTCAGATGGGGTGTGGCCGTTCTTGCGGAGAACCTCGTATTGTGCGCGGAAGAGACCCTCTGTAAACCTCATTAGCCAGCCGCGCGAGGAACTGGCATATAGGAAAACTCACGGATAGCACCCATGAGGACACCACGCTCGCCGTAGAGGTCGGAATAGACCTCCTTCTCGAAGGTCGTGTCGTACATGTAGCCGGAGCCAATGGCGACACCGAGGGCGAGCGCCTTCTCCTTGGCCTTGCCCGTGACGTCCTGGAAGACGGCGACGGACGAGTTGATGCCACGGCCCTCCTTGAAGAGGGTGCGGACGGTACGGCCGGAGCCCTTGGGCGCAACGAGGATAACGTCAACGTCGGGCGGGGGAACAACGTGGGTGTCGTCCTTGAAGACAACGGAGAAACCGTGCGAGAAGTAGAGGGTCTTGCCCTTGGTGATGAGGGGGGCAATCGTCGGCCACGTCTGCGACTGCGCAGCGTCGGAAAGCAGGTTCATGATGATCGTGCCGCGGCCGATGGCCTCCTCGATGGGGAACAGGGTCTCGCCGGGGACCTAAAAGCATGTCAGTATGGGGAAACTGGGGGAGAAAAAAACGCGAGACGTACCCAGCCGTCCTCCTGCGCCTGCTTCCAGCTCTCACCGTCCTTGCGGACACCGACAATGACGTTCAGGCCGTTGTCGCGGGCGTTCAAACCCTGACCGTGGCCCTGGGAGCCATAGCCGATGAGAGCAAGGGTGTCGTTCTTGAAGTACTCCTGGAGCTTCGGCAGAGGCCAGTCGGCACGCTCGTACACGACCTCCTTCGTGCCAGCAAAGTCGAGCGTCTTCACGCCACGGGAGCCCTAGGGGGAAAACGAGTCAGCAAAAAGGAAGGGACAATGAAGGGAGTGTGCCGACGCGTACCGGGACAGCGAGGGGCTTGACGGCCTTGCCAGTGACCGCGCGCGCCAGCGACGAGAACGCGGCGCGGCGCGACGACTGCGCAGCAGCACGAGTAGCGGTGCGAACGGCCTGGGAAGCGGTACGGGAGGCAAGGGAAGACATGGTAGGAGGAGGAGAGGAGTGACTCGCTGCGTTCGTTCCGCGCGCAAATAACTGGGGATTCCTGATCGCTCGGCCGACGGCCGGCGGGCGCCGATGATCACGTTCAAGGCACGTGCGTAATGTTCGTTTTCTAAATGAGTCGATCCTGTTGGCTGCAGCTGTCTGCGATCTCCAAGCCTCCAGGTTTTGCAGGTATTCTCTCTGCTTTTTGTACGTACCACTGGTAGTACGCATGAGCTATGCCTTCGACTGCCGATTTTCCGCGACTCCGAAAAACCCTTACTCTATTTCAGGAATTGCCTCGCCAATTGGTATGCGCCAGTACATAGTCTAACACGCTGGTGACGGAACGCAAAATCGCTACTTTACTGCTATGCAAGCGGCTGGTGGCACAAGTAGTAGGTATCGATCCTCACAGTGAAGACCATTGCTCCTCATCTCGAATACCAACGTGCTCACAAAGTCACCTTGGTCCCAATAGGAGGCCTTCGCAGACATCTGACATTATTTTAGCACCTCCAGAAGCCTCTCCGTGCTCTCGTGCAACAAAACCGTCACACTTGTTTTGGATACATCGAGAATGAACGAGTGCAGTTCGATGACGCCCCGATGGGGATAAACGCACGAAGCAATTACATCAGCAAGCTCGTTGAGAGGCTCTATGGGCCGGGTGGCGAGGAAGGAGGACAAGAGAGTGCTTGTCGATGCTCAGAAAGCGAACAAGTCTCACCCCCCTCTGCGGTGCGCGAACGACATGCCGTGCAGATACCGGTGTCTAGTCGCGCTCGACTGGCTCTCAAAGGTCTCCGTACACCCAGGAACTCCACACACGTGCGCTGTTTGAGCCCGTAGGACTCGTCAGCACAGATCGTGAGTAGCGGTACGTGAGTGTGGCTCACACATAGCTTCCCGGTGCGTGTTCATATGCGCCGCGAGCGTGCTTGGCCTGCGCAGAGAGGTGAGTCTCAGGTTCTTTCAAGTGGTCAAAATTCGAGGTAGTGAGGAGAGACCTGTCTCCGATGCGCATTTCGGGGGAGGTGAAAAGAGAACGAACCTCGTAAACTGCTTTTGGCAGATGGTGCATGGGTGTGACGGGTCGACTTGGGGTGGGTTCTGGGTAGACGAGGAAGCAGACGATGCAGGCGCGCTGGACGAAGCATCGAGGGAATGCGTGGCACCAGAATTGGTTTCCGGCTCTAACCCAGAGGAATCCTCCTGATATGCTTTCAGTTGAATGAAGATGGCTAAGAAAAGTAGAACACGCACCTCCGTAGGTCCATACCCCCATCCCCACTCTGACCCTGTGAGGGCATAGTGGTTCAAGAAAGCCTCATCCGATAGAAGGTATGCGATGCGTCCGTCGGATAGAGAAGGATTCGAGGCGGTCTTGGACGAGCTTGAGGCTTGCGCTGCGCTGGCTCGACTTGCCGGATGGACTTCAACTTCAGAACCGCACGTCGAATCCGCTTGGCAAGGGCTTCGTGATAGCTCCGAGTCCACTTCGAAGCGACCCTCTGGTGATATTTGACCCTCAGACGATGGAGAGGTCGAGGCCTGGCGCGGTGTAGTCACCGTCTCGCTAGCGGTTGCCGCTTGAGCGGGCGGCGTCGGCGCACTCGTTGTCGACCACTTTGTTGTCACCATTGCAAGAGACGTTGCTTTGCGAGAGTAGATGGTTTGGGCTTTGCCAACGTCGTTCCGAGTGCTGGCTGGGGGAGAAACGAAGCGGCTGCGACTGAACTTTGTATAAGCAGGGGTTTCGGTGGCTGTGCGGTTGAGCCGCCTGACACCCCAACACGGAAGTTAGCCACCTTGGAGCTTCTGCCTCACCTGGTGAGTTTTACGCTTCCAAAGTGAGCCGTTGTATGCTTGCTCGCGGGCCCAGTGAGAACTAGAAGGTCAGCGGGTGTTCATCCTTGAAGCTTGCAGTCCTGAGGGATACCACAGGAAAGCTCCAAGTAGTTGGAGATGAAGAGAAGGCACACTCGAAGGCCGCTCCGAATCGATCAAAGCTCGAAGTTGCGGTGTTAGGTCCTGGAAGCTACCTGGACGCTTGAGCATGCACGTTATTATCCAGATGATCGTTCGGCTGGAGCCCGCGTATAGAGCAATAGAAGGGGCGAGGCAGTCTGCGTGTATACATCATGTACGGGACGATGTTGGGTCAGAAACTAGGTGGTTCGATTCAACTGAACAATCCCGTCAGAGGCAGACTCATCGCTCCGGACGAGCTGGTGATGTCACGTGATATGCAGCACGCAGTCACAGATCAGTCACAGTTCGCTTCGGCCTTTTCGTCGAAGGCTAAGCCCGACCCATAAGGGGACTTGGGCCTCAGAGCTCCTATTCCATTGATTTCTTCATACCCCAGGATTATAACTCGCTGTACATAAGTAATGTTTCGGGAATGATGTGAAGGAGCGACTGTTCTCTCGGGGGGGGGGGACAGAGTCGGTAAGCTGAGACGTAAAGCGGAGGACGGAGGGCGAGGACGGAGAGAGAGAGGGGGGGGGTCCTCGCTGCCAATGTCATGAGGATGGCAGCAGTCTGTCAATGTTGTTTCGACTGATCATACGTCTTTCGTTGGCATACCTACTCTAAACTTCTATCCATCTCTGCCATGCGCTTTCCAGCTTCCAGTGCGGTACGCCCCGCTCTATGTCGATTTTCGCCCCCCCGCCCGTGGTGCATCCCTCGAAGTTGACCCTCGTAAGTTGCGCGAGAACGTCAGGAACCCTGGGATCCGGATGGACCCCCTGTATTTTGAGTGTGAATGACTGAAGAGCGGACGCGCCATTGTAGGCACTTGCGCGCGACTGTAACACTTGTTCGAATCCGCTGACGGACGCGGCAGAGCGGACGCTGCGCATGATGACGCGCAAGTCAACGAGGGCGGGGATCAGTGGTACTTCACCCGCACATACGGTAAGGGCTTTGGTCATCCGCGTATGCACCCGGGCGTCGTCTTCATCAGACACCTCGTAGTTTGCACAGATCTCCACCTGCAGCCGACGCAGAGCGGGGCATTCCATCAGGAGCGCTTCGAGCGCCTCAGGGTCGACTGGACTGAGACGCAGCGACAACGCGGTAAGCGAATTGCAGTTCGCGCGAATATAGTTCGCAATATCCTGTATACGTTGGGGACGCTTTGCGTGGTGGCCAACGATATCGCGGATGTGGCATTCAGATAGCAACGGCGCTCGTATGCGGCGGAGAAGATGGAATTCGAGGGACGCCTTCTGAAGATGAGGTCGGTGGAGGATATCCTTTGTGTCCGGCGTATGAGAATCCAAGCTATACCATGTGAGGCTCAGGGCGCGTACACGCGTCGCGCGCTCTGCCGCCTCTATGGGGAACGACAAGCGAAGATATAGGCGCTGTAGCTGCTCCCAGGGTAGCGAGAACGAGGGGCCGGACTCTCCGTCAAAATTGATCAGCATCGGGCAGTCGCTGAATAGACCACGGAATGGCGCCCACTCCACGTCGTCACATCCCGTCAGCATATTAAAGCGCACTGTCTGGAGGATAGGGAGGCGACCGGAGATAGGGAGCAGAGATCGACAGAGAAATATATCGACGCATGCTTGGAGAGAGGCCCATCGCATGCTCTGCTTGACAAGCAAGCGAAGGGGTAGGACTTCCTGCTCTTCCCAAACGATGCCGCGACGCAGTGCGATGCAGACATGGAGGGGTAGGTTCATTGATCGAGAAAGGAAGGTTTCGAGAAGAGTGGCCGCACCGAGGAGGAGGGCCGGAGAGTATATATTGAAATGAACGTCGGTCCATAGCGACGGCGAGGCAATTGCGAGGCGGCGCCAGTCTGCGCAGACGGCCGTGACAGTGGGCGGCCCGGCGCGCACGGTGAGGGCGTTTAGATCACGGTCATCGTAGTGGTTGCGGACGCGACACGCGTCAAATATCTCTATCAGTGTCTCCGGAGGGATGGCAGAGATGGGGCTGCTGGCGCGCCGCGAGGCGCTATCGTCCACCATCTGGATAGGAATGAGATCGTTGATTGAGAGTACTCTCAAGGAATTTACCTCGGAGGAGTCTGCTCTGGCTGTGCTGAAACAAGCTGAAAAAGATGGCGACCTGGCTATGGGGTCGACGTGAAAGTCAGGATCAAGCTGGACCACTGATGATGAGGGCCGCCGCGCACGTGAACGCTTGCGGTAGGTTGGGTTACCCAATGGGTTTGGCCGATGGACGTGCTGCTCGTGCACAGATAGACATTCGATCTCATATATGAAACTGCCTGAAGAGAACGCCGCAGACCACGGAGATATCACAGTAAGGTAGAGAAACTATCGGTGCGCATACAATGAACGGCAAATCCAAAAACAGTTCATCCATCCCTCCCAGTTCGCCATGAAGAGACTTATCAAGGAACTCGATATGTTATCGCCCTTCCTGCCGTATGGCTTCGATCTGGATGACGCCGTCATCTCCTTCTGCATCGTACCCAATCTTGAATGCTAACGACCGCAGCGCTGCTGGCTGAAAGTCAGAGCGCAGTCGGGTCTCTAAAGATAACCCATCGCGCGCTCTGTTCGAAAGCCAGGCGGAGCGGCAGGATCTCCCGCTCCTCCCATGGTTTCCGCCGACGGGTCCGGATGGTGATGTAGACCTGGAGCGGTAGGTCTCCCGATCGAGTCAAGAGCATCTCTAGGAGAGATGTGGCACTCCGCAGGTAGCTCGGAAGAGATTGAGATGCACGTCGGTTCATAGTGACGATGTGGCGAGTGCGAGACGACGCCAGTCAGCGCATACGGCCACGACGCCCAGTGGCCCGGCGCGCACGATGGAGGCGTCCAGATCCTAGTCAACGTAGGCGCCCTGGACGCGACACACATCATATCTCTATCAAGGTGTCTGGAGGGAGAATAGAGATGGGACAGCTGAATGAGGGGGGGCGGTCTCGTCCGGCATCTACTAGTAGTACAAGAGCTGGGTGGAACTGAACATAATGAGGCACTCACTTCGAAGCAGAACGACTCTGCCTGGTACGACTTAGGTTAGCCAAAGGGTAACTTCGAAACGGCAGAGTCGCAAAGCTGTCGTGCAGGTTGGAAGCAACCCGCGAATCGATGATATGAAAGCGATGATGAGCACGTGCGCTTATGGGGGCTGTGGGACTGGTTCGAGGATATGGCTGACCACCACACTCCGTACGAGTGCTCTCGAAAACGCATAAGCGCTGTCAATGTGTATCCGATGCGCGACGGATTCCGATTAGATATGACCACCATTATTAGCAAAATCTTGCCTGCTGTTCTATCCTAACACGTCGATAGGGGTATGCGAACCGCTTCCTGAGAGAGAATTCCATTTCAGTGCGCGCGCACGATGCATATCATGAAGTCGACCCGCTCCGAAGGCGTTTGAGTGCAGGCTGTATATCTGCAGAGCTAGAAGGGAGCTCGCCGCCAAGGTACTGTGTCAAGACCTCATCTGAGCAACAGTTTACTCCCAAAGTAGACGCACGTACCTCCCCCGCATCGTTACAAGCCCACGAGATATCCTCGTCGACGGTGTCTTCCTCCGTTCTCGTTCCCAAATCCTCACTCGGAGGCGCATTCAAGCGCTCAAAGCGTATCCACCCTTTTCGTAAGGCGTCGAGGAGGGCGGCGTTCTGTGTTGCCTTCAGTATCGAGGGGTTATGCAGGGGTATATCGGCGGGCCAGCCAACCAGGCGGACGCCATACGCATGAAGCCGCTCTTGGTTCGTCCACTTCATCTCGGCGGTCCGTACGCCGCTAACGGATCTAGGTTATGAGGTTAAATTAGCAGGAATCGATGATAGGGGGATTGTATCACCTCAGCGAACGCCTCATGGCGTCGTAAAGCTCTGCCTTGATATTCTGTGCAGTGGGTCGCGAGGTCGATGGTATGGAGGTGCTCCGAGTGACCCGAGGAATTGGAGCTGAGGTAGGCTGTTCCGCGATGGACGTTGTTCTTACGCAGAATTGCCGAAAGGCCTTAGCGCCACCTTCGCCTCCGTGTCGAAATTCGCGCCAAAATTGACGTCCGGCTAGAGTCCTTCAGGAAAAAAGTGAGTAGATAAGAGGTGCAAGAACGAGGAGAATGGAAATGGCCTCACCCACCGAGAAAGCCAGCGTCGGCGTCCTCGACAGAGTTATGTGGCGCCACAGCAAGGACAAAGGATTCTACAGATGCAACCGCGCGAAGACTTTCAAGTTGTTCGGAGATGCTATTCAGAGTAAGATGCGCTACAGATAGTTGAGGTTGAGTCCTGTTCTTGCTGCTTTATAGAGTTACTGACCTGGAGAATCTGGCGATGCAAGCTCACTGGTTGAAGTATTGAACAGCTGCTTGCAGTGCCACGCAGCGACCGACCTCCGTACCTGAGGAAAGACAAAGGCGTGTCACTGATAGATACGATGACCAGCGTCCTGAATGTTCACCTGCTCGACAGGTCGCATTTCCCGTGCGGCGAAGGAGTTGATGGCGTCTAAAAGGGTGTGGCTGCAGAACATATCGAGCCTTTCGAGGAAAAAATCATCGTTCGTGTCAGACGTAGTCGTAGATGGCAGCTCAATCATCGAGAGAACGTCAAGGTGTCTGGGTAGGTGTATTCGTTTGTGGCGGTCGTGAAGGTCAAAGGCAACCCGTACACGTGGGCGACCGGAACCAATTATGGTTGTTGTCGATCACGGTCCTCAAACTTCTTTGTTTTCCTGATTCCATTGTTCTCGGAACGGTCCATATTCCCCCTCTCCCCTCGCGATATGGGCCGCACGCAACTCAAGACAAAACTCAGGCGGAAGGTGTTCGTCGAGGACACGCAACAGCCAGCCACCCCCGCTCCCACCGTCGAGGCGCTCCTCGAGAAGGCGCAGGAGTTGATCGTGCAGTGCGACTACGAGCTCGCGCGCAAGTTCATTCAGAGAGCGCTCGAGCAACGACCAAACAATGCGGTGGCGAAAGAAATGCTCGGTGTCTCGCACCTTGAGCTCGGTGAACTGGAGCAGGCGAAGCAGGTGCGCGCAGACATCTTCCCCGCAATCACTCGTACTGATCGGTGCGCCCGTGCCAGATATTCACCTCCCTGATATCAGAAGGCGGTCCCTCTCCCCCTCCCCCGTCCGCGCATCTGTATCTCGCGCAGCTCAGCGAGGGGGATCCGCACGCAGCCCTACGGCACTATCAGGCTGCCGTAGACATCCTTTCGACGCAGCTGAAGGGCAAGGAGCGCGCGACGGATGATAATCCTGATGAGGGCGAGGTTCGCAAGAACATCGTCGGCGCGCTCATCGCGCAAGTGGAGGTCTGGATGGACCCGGAGTATGATTTATGGTGTGTGTGGTGTACAAGCCGTACTTGACGATGCTGACCGACGCCCAGTTTCGACCCCGCCGCGGAGAAGACATGCGAGGACCTACTAGCCACGGCTCTGCAAGTGGACCCAGGCAACTCAGAAGCCCTATCCTCCCTGGCATCTGTACGAATGTCGCAACAACGACCGGACGACGCACGAAAATGCCTCGAGGAAGCTTGGAATAGATGGAAGGACTTGGAGCTGGACGACCCCAAACTCCCTCCTCTAGAGAGCAGAATATCAATCGTCAAGCTCTTCCTTGAGCTCGGCATGTTCAACGAAGCTCTCCTCGTACTGAGCGGCATCATGGCCGAGGACGACCAAGACGTTGAGGCCTGGTACCTCGAGGGCTGGTGCTTCTTCATGATGGCCGAGCGCGCGCGCGAGAACGGCGGGGCGCTGGACGACTCGGAGCTGACCTGGGAGAACCTCGCGCGCGATGCGCGGGATTGCTTGGAGGCGTGTCGAACAGTATGTTGTGCTCTCTATCTATATTCCCATCTTGTCTTTACGCCCATGCTCTCTTTATGCTCGTCCTCCTTTTAATTGAGGTTGGTGTTACGAAGTTGGCGTTTGCTGACTTTCCCTCAGATCCACACAAACCTTGGCCATCCGGACAAGCCTCTGCTCGAGCACGCACAGGAATTGATACAGCAGCTCGATGCTGCAGGTATCAAGCCGTCACCACTGGAGGAGGACGGTGACGTCAATGACGAGGGAGAGTGGGAGGACGAGGACAGCGGCGACGAGGATGTGCAGATGCAGTGAGACGTGTTGTCTCTGCGCATGTTCATATCCGTGTCCTTGATGATGTACTTGTCGATGTAGCGTAGCGTTCACCTGTTTCCGACGTTGAGAGTCCGATGCATTATGGAAGGAATAGGCATATTCGTCTATGATACATGGACCGTGGTCCATCGTGTCTAATCATGATGTCTAAAGCTACAAGGAGCTGATCTACACCGCCGCCCAGAGACGCTTGTCCTGCTGGAATCGGACTGTGAAGCGTTCATCAGTGAACCGGTGAACAAGTAGCAAGTCGCTCACCATACAAAGTCAGGAGAGAGCCAATGAACATGGTCGCCCCTGAAAACACCGCGAGATACGCCCAATTGTCGCCCGTATGAGAAAAGATCAAACCCGCGAGTGGTGGACCGGCCAATTGACCGGGACCGTTCGCCAGAACCTGCGTGTCCAGGTGAGCCACAACGAAGAATGCACATATTGATCACACCCACCATTAATCCAGTTATAGTCGCCAAATTCTCCATCCCGAATACTTTTGCGCACACGGGAGGAACCAAAGTCATAAAGACGCCGCCCGTCAGACCGTATGCGGCGCCGAACGTGATTACCGACGCGTAGGACGCCGTGAAGGGCCAGAAGACCATCTGCAGGATACCGCCGAGGAAGAAGGAGAGGAAGAAGACGTTGATAGAGCCGAACGTATCCGCGAGCTGGCCGGCGCCGATCTGCGGTGAATGGGGTGGAGGCGGTCAGCATACGCACGGGGGGTCTCTGTGGTGCAAATTACCCGACCGACAGCCGCTGTGGAAGGTCAGTCTGAGCTGTGCTCGGTCACAAGGGAGAGACGGCCTGAGACGCGTACCGCACAAGTTGATCACGACGAGCGGGACGACAGGGATGAGGGCGTTGCCACCGGAGGGAATCCCACCGACGGTTTTGGTGTACGTTGTGATGTAGTAGAAGGGGCACTTGTAAAGGTGGATCGTCCTGTCAGTAAGCAAGCAAGGCGGCAGAACGGAGGGGGTATGTACGAGAAAGCCAAACTGGGCGACCATGATGCCCAGGAAGATGCTCCAGAAGCGGCCGTCGACCTTGCGCGGGAGCCACCGCTTCTTCGCGGTGCGCTGCCAGGGCGGTGGGCGGACCTTCAGCAGCATGCACGCGATGGCGGTAAAGAAGGCGTTGACGCAGGCGTAGATGAGCAACGCATGCCTGTATCCCAGCTTCGCAATCCTGAAGAGAAGAAGAGTGAGCACAGTTCGCTCGTGCGGCGGAGGAGACACAACGTACAGTGGCCGCATAATCAAACTTCCAATTGCGCCGCCTATGCCCGCGCCACTGACGGCGACCCCGGTGGCGAGCGCCCGCCTGCGAAGGAACCACTGTGATGGCAGGGCCATATACATCGGCATCGAGATACCCTGCGAAATACCCTGGAATACGCCCTGACATAGGAATATCTGATACAACTTGGTGGAGAAGGAAGCACCGAGGACGGATACGAAGGTAAGAACACAACCCAGGACAATCATTCGCTGGAGCGACAGTGAGTTCATCGGGAGGGAACCGAAGTAGCCGAGCATACAATGTACCCACTGTCGGTTCGTCGGTAAATAGGTGGCATAGCGAGTCAAGAGAAAGCACGTACTATCGATCGCCCAAAGCTCCAGCGAGGTATGCTGTAGATAGCGAGCACTAGGAAAAACCGTCAATCGAGGTAACGCAAGGGGATGTGGACCACATACGAAGCTCAGCACCCCACCAATGAGACTGATCGTGCTGACGCTGACATCTGGGAACACTTCCGTGTGGTAGGCGTCCTGGAAGACACCGAACACCAGACCCGAACCCCTGCCATCCTTCGCATTCAGTCACAATACGGCGTCGCCGCGCGCAGCTCACATGAAGGCACAAGAGAGGATGAAGCAACCAAAGACGACACTCCAGGCTCGCAAACCGCCGTCCGGATATGTCCACTCCTCTGCGCTGGCCTCAAGCTTTTTCTCCGTCACGGTGCCACTCTCCTTCGTGGTCGACGGCCCGGCGAATGCGTGAGGACCGAGGGCGGCCTCCGCAGGCTGGTCCACTACCGCGGGCATTGTCCGTGAAGCGTTGGCCATGATCGCCAGCGTCGAGTCAAGGGAGGACCAGGGACGAGAAAAACGCGGAATACCGAAAAGATACCACGGCGTCGCCACGGCCCACGGCGGTTATATGATGCCCTCGAGGTTGCACGGGTCCCCTCAAGGTCCCCTAAACGTGATTCAGGCAGCCTATGAACGGGCAGAACGTCTGCGAGAATGCTTCACATTGACAAAAGAGTTCGGGCATGCGAGCCGGTAGGGTCCCTTTTGATTGCTCTGTTGCGTAAGTTGGTCAAGGGTTGGCGCCTCGAAGCGCAGAAGCGGCAGGAACGTAAGAAACCGTGTCTTGTTCGCCCGCAGAATGGCGCAGTAGGGCAGATAGTAAAGTCGTGGACGAGGGGAATGGCATAAGAATGGTGTAAAGAGTCCTGTAGGAGGACATAAGTCAGAAAAGATACGCGAAGAAGGGCGATAAACATCGGCGCATGGCAAGGGCGCTTTGGCCCCGTGGACGGCGAGTTGAAAAAGTTGCTGATATCGGGGTCTATTCGTGCTCGCGCCCGGTCCGGTGTCCGTAACCTATCTTCCGCAATGATATTCGAGTTCGAACCAGGCGCTAGCAACGGGCATACTGAGCGATGTACGGGCGATGTACGGAGCGCGCTGGGCTCGGAAGATGGTCTATGAGTAGATTCAACAATCCTTATACTTTACATCATATTCATATACGCGTCGCCTCCGCTATGTGGATGCGAATGATGAGCCCCAAGCTGATGCGCTTGCTGCATCTGCGCCCCGCCTGATCGGCCCGACTGGCGAAAGGTGTCGATATATGAGCTCCAGTCGTCGATCCTGCGAAGAGCGTGAGTCGCACGAAGACGCCATGAAGGCGGCACTCACAATAGCGCAGGCGCATTCGGCCAATGGTCCGCGCGTTGATGGGCCTGCGCTTGCGCCCACTCCGACTGAGGCGGCTCCCACGCAGCGCCATACCTAGGTAATACGCGATGGGGTATGTGCGTGGGCGATAGATCTACGTTGGGATGCGGCGGCACCAGAGGCCAACCTCCGAAGGTCGTTGGCTGGTTGCAAGCATAATCCGTAGGAGAGCTGGCAGATGAGGTGGTGGACGAGACGGAGTCGTAGGAATGCCGGAGGGGATCGCTGTACGGTGCGTACTCAGAGGGGACGGGCAGGCGCGGATCAGGCGGTTGCCGCCACTCTTCCTGAGGTGACGGATACTGCTCAATTGACAGAAGCTCCTTCAGCGCATCCCTGGGGACAATTAAGACGAGGCACGAGGGTAATACAGGCGGAAACTCACTTGAAGCGGTTTGCCAATGGCCATCTAAATAGGTTCGTAAGCACAAGCTGAGGAAGGAGGTTTACGCTTACATTGATTCATGCCGTTCAAAGAAGTTCACGCAAAACAAAGCCTCTTCATAGAATCTGTCGTGCTTATCGCCCGAAACGCCGCCTCTGCGGCATTGCCAGACATTCAACGTCAGGATTATTCCCGCGGCGAACGTCATGAGCTAGAGGATGCAAAATGAGTATGCGGGGCAAACTTGAGCGAAGAAGTGAAGACGCACAATGAGCAGCGGTGCGTGTCCTCCGCTACGATTTCTGTGCACTTCCACCATACGCGCAATAGAATGCGCGGCCTCCGTGCACGCAACGAGGGAGGCGTGCGACACCTCAACGCGCGACGGGATGAATGGCCGGTGCAGCACGATCCGGACGTACTGAAGATATGCGTGGAGCGCGGTGGTGTACTTGAAGAGGACCGGGTCCGCTTGGGACGGGTTCCATTGTACTGTTGATATTATAGTCAATAAAAAGAGCGCGACGTCGGCGCTGAGATGCGTACTATGCGGAGGGGCTTGGGCCATGCACTCGTCGAGTGCGGCGTCTGTGGAGGCGATTAGTTGGAGTACAGCCTTGACGGTAAAACCCCGTACCGAGAATGGACATAATCTTGGGGTCATAACTCGTCGGTAAACCAGCGGATCTCCTTGTCGGCTTCAGCGCGTACTGTGGGGGATGATGAGGTCGACAAGAGCTTGAGATAATGGCAGGAAGACCTACAATGGTACGGAGCATGACATCTTGTATCCTGATAATTTTGATGTAGATGTTGAAGCCCGCGAGGACGGACTTCACGTTCTCTGGCTGTTTCCAGGTGTAGCCATCGAGTTCGGAGCCCCAATGCTCGTCGTCGACAGGGGTAGGCATGGGGAGATCATATCTGAGGCTGTGTCAGTGGGAGCGCAGTCAGAAGACTGAGAAACACATACTGATTGCTCGCCAACGCCGTCTGACGTCCAAGGCAACCTCCCAACAATCTGCGTTAATCTTAGTATGAGCTCCACCGACTTCAAATTCGCTCGCGTACACTTCGAGCACTATGAGCGACCTTGGGAAAACGTCAGGCGACTCGATCCGGAGGAAGCGTTGCCACGTACCACACGGTTCGCTTCCAGACCTCCAGCGCAGGGGTGTGGACGCCATCGTAAAAGGCACGACGATGCGCCCCTACGTCTTCGGCGTATCTTCGTGATGGAATGAGAACATGGAAGGGGCGGCAAGATCGCTACTCACCGAAGTCCCCGGCCAGCCTCAATCCACCCAGCCTGAGGGGCCGTACTCCACGCCAAAAATTGGCCCGCGACCAGTTGGAATTGTATGTCGAACAGAGTTGGTCGCGCAAGCGTAATCTTCCGACCGTCTGCTACCTGCCGGAAGAAGGCCCAGCCCGCGCTTGCCGGAGAGTTGGAGTTATCGGCAAGCACGCGCGGGTCGTCGGCCATGAAGCGGCTGCCCACTGCGCACATCGCGAGGAGCGTTGCGCCAAAGGCCTGATTCGAGAGATGGAGACCGTCTTGGAAGACCGCCTTGACGAAGCTCATGCGGTGGAAGGCGGGAAAGTAAATGTTCATGTTGTCGAAGTACGCGTCGACGAGGCGCACGAGCAGGTCAGGGTCGGGGAAGAAGTACTGCGAGTGGTAGACGTGGGGCGTGACGGACTCCCACTAAGGCGGGACTGGTCAAAGGCACGTCTTAAAGCGAAGGAAAAAACGCACCGGCTGAATGATAGAAAAATGCGGACGGGAGACCTCAGCCTCCGGCCCACGCATGGGCTCGCCGTTGTAGTCGGCCTTGATATCCTTGATGATATGGAACAGTCGCGTCTCGTGCGCCTTGTTCTGATATCGAGACTCGAACGGGTCAAGGGACAGCTTGCTGGTGCTCTGGCGAAGCGCGGGCTCGGGTCCGTCGTCCTCGTCATCAGCCACGGTCGTGTCATCGTCGTCCTCAATAATGGACTTGAGAACGAGGCTGATGGAGTCAACGTAAGACAGGCCCTGCCCACCACCAGATGGTGACGGCTCTGGAGAAGGAGGGTCGCTCGCACTCGCGCGCGTCGGGTCCGCCGGCGGAGTACCAAATTCGGCAACGAGATCAACGTCGGGGCACCGCTATCGAACGCAATCAGGAGACCGTACAGCACTCGCGGAGTCAGCGGGGTCGCACCTCCTGCAGCAGGCTCTCCACCTGCCTCAAGCGGCGCTCGAGGGCGTCTGTATACCTGCGACCGAGGTATGTACATCAGCACGGATTCGGGTCGGGAGCGGGGTTGACCCACCTCTTTGGAGGCCCGTCTGCGATAATTATTCGCCGCGCGGGTTGCTGGAAAATGCGCGTCAGCGATGAGATATCCTCACGTTGCGTCACGGACCTTGTACTGGTGGGTCCCGTATGTGCAGGTGAGGTCGTAGTCGGCACAGTTGGTGCACGGGATTTTCTTTCCGTCCAAGCCATCGCCTGTAGTGCGCCCGTATGTTAAGCAAACAAGCTCGCGTCGATCAGGAGCATAGATGAAGAGACGTACATCGGACTGTAAACGGAGAGGCTCGCTGTAAGCGAGGCGCTTTTCGGAGTCGAGGAGTTCGAACATGCACGTACTCTTCTTCCGACGACACAAATCACACGCCCGCAGCGTTTGGTGGCGCTTTTTGCGGCGAGCAGGCGCGGAAGATCCCTCGGAGGGCTGCTCAGGAGGAAAGCTGTCGCGCACGCTCATCGTGGAGTGAATGGGAGGAGGTCATCCCCACTCGTTCACTGTCGATCCTTTAACAAAGGGCTGTGATGCTCGTCAGATTGGAAATGGCCGGACGAATGGAATCTGATCGTCCAGGTCGCGGAAATGCCGACACATCGACCGGCGCGTGGTTGCCCTCAGTGTCCCAGGGGGGTCCTTCCCTGGTGTTTCCCAGGGTCGCATGTTCAGTCGTGATCACCGTTTGTGATCAACGGGGAGGGAGATGCAACGGCGGGGCCCCCCGCCCTCCCCGGTCGTCTGAGGCGCGCGACGTGCCGCACTGCGACGGCGTGCCCGTGCCGTCGGGGGAGATAACGCATAGCCCCGCCATTTGTAGGCCTCCCGCGTGCCCCGCCCGCCCAGCCTCCCCCGCCCCTCACGTTCGAAAAGTCCTGCCACAAAGGGGAATAAACCCTGATAGCTTCCGCTTCCGCGTGCGCGCCACGCGAAAATCCCTCTCACTGAGCTGTGGCTGCTCCTCGGCGTCGACTGGGTCCTGCGGCGCACACACACGCTTCGAAACTGGTCCCCCAACTCGAGGCTCGGGGATCGCGAAGGCGTGCGTCACTGTGGCTCTACCCGAGCTCGACGCTGACTTGCTACGCGCCAGCGGCCCGCCCAGGCGCGGGCACATGGCTTCCTGATCAAGAATCAGCGGACCCTTCTGTGTGAGACCCCACCAAAGCTCCCGTGAGACATGCGGCCCGCTTTCCAAGTCCGCTCTGTTGATGACATGGAGGGGGCTGTCCAAGGCTTATGGTCTTCTTCCAGAAGGCTGCGCAGAGCGTCCATCCACGTACTAGAGCGTACAGTACAAAATAGCTGGAACCCCAGCGAAAGTCAACGTAAACATCCTGCATATTTGCCTATCTCGACGTCGTGGGTGAGGTGTCCGCCATTCACAGAACGGAACCGTTTCGGGCAAGTTTCGGGAATCGCTATCTGGCCAGTCTCAGGCCGTTGCCAGTGTGATGTGATAGACGTCCGGCGATGATTGGCAAGAAGACGCTTTCAATTTAGATGGTATGCAAAAGGATCCGCGTGGCGGAACGTGGCGCGGCACACCTGTGCATGGAGCGCACATGGAAGATAGCAGCGTACCCCTTGCGAGCAAACAATCGGCACCGCTTTGAGTGCAAAGTTGGACGAAGAAGCAGCACCTTCTCAGCTCCCCGCCTCCTGAGAGACAACGAGAAGCCATTCGATGATCACGTCAAAACCAACGCTTGCAGCCCCTCGATACGGTCCTCGAGGCTCGTGTCCCCCTTTCCTGGACGGAAGACGTACGGAGGGGGATAACAGCTCCATTCCTCTGTGCGTGGCACTGAGACGACATCGCAGAAGCGTTGACCATCCTCATGCCAGCACGACGAATTACGGTCAAGCGGGACCGTCTCACGGCTGCGCGTATGCTTCTCCCCATCGAACGGATCTCGATGTGCAGGTCTCCCCCACGCCACCAGCAACCAATCCCCCCAAGAAAGCCGATTTTCCCATGCTCTTCATATTCCAGAGATGCGCGCTAAATCGCCGCGCCACCGTTGCTACACATAAGCAGTACAGACAAAGCGAGCGAACACGTCCAAGGCAGCAGACCGACGGCAAGCCGGGAAGCTTGTCAAGCACCGACGGCCTCCAACGAGACTGCGGGCGTGGACGTAGCCGGTACCGGGGCCGCGGAGGCGGGTGCGGGTGCGGGCTTGACCTCAGCGACCGGCTTCTTCTTGTCAGTGACATCTTTGCCCGCCTTCTTCCTCTTCTTGAGAAGTGCTACAAGTGATCATCAGCGTATCGCCCAGGCGTAAATACGTCTGCACGCACCTGCCGCGACCGCACTGCGCACGCCGTCCGTCAGCTCCCGCGTCTGCTCGAGGTACTCGGTGTCGTCGAACCGCTTCTTCTTCGGGGCAGGGGCGGCGTCGGCGTCGGTGGCGGCGCGCTTTGAGCCGGAGGCGGAGCCTGACGCCTCGCCCCCCGACGGCTCGAGGCCGAGCTTACGCTCGAGCGCCTGCAGCTTCGCCTTTTGCGCCTCCGCCTTGGCCGCGGCGCGCTCGGGCTCGGACTCGAGGTACTCTGCTAGCCTGCGGTGGCGTGAGTAAGCTGCGGTGGACGATGTCCGCCGGGAGACGCACCTCTTTGCCTCTTTGATCGTGCTGAGCCGCCGGCCGTTGAGGTCCCTGCAAGAGTCGTTGTTGCTCGTCTTCTGGCTGCTCATGCGGCCACCGGCGGCGCGCAGCTGCGAGCCGAAGCCCCCCTTCCCACCGAGAAGCCTGGCCGATAAGCGGAGCGTAACAAGCGATCCAAGGTCTGATACGGGTGCATCACCGTCGGGGAGCACCCCGCGCGCGGTCGAAAGTACGACATCTTCAGATGACGGAAGCGAGGGATAGCGCTCCTGCAGCAGCGGATAGATGTCGGAGACTTCAGCGTTAGGGGGTACAGCCAAGGTCAGGGTGTTGAAAGGTGGGAACGCAGATATCAGGAGGTTTGTCATTGTGGCAATGGATGTGCTCGTGCACCAGGCAGGTCCGGAGGATGATGGTTGAAGGCAACGTGTGACTGGTAAGCGCCACCGCTGTCTTGCCGCTGTCGGCTAATTCCGAAGGTTGCACGTGCTGTTTGCTCTCATGCGCTGTCTTTGGGCCTCATCTTTGTCCTAGATCAAACGGACGGTGCGATTGGGCAGTGAATCAATGGCTCTAACCCCCTTCCAAGGATATGCTAATGCTGGAGAGTACAAGCCCGCGCAACTTGGGAAAGGTGAACATATCACGTGCGAGATCGGCTTTGACCGAATAACGCCGAGGAAGTCCGAGGCATCGAAATTTCTGACTTGTCATTCGCGGGCGCTTGTTTGCATCCATTCCTCCTCATCCCGACTTGTCATCGTCCAAGCTATGCGCCTACCGTTCTGGGCACTCCAGAATGGCGCGCGACGGTCGCTGGCGACGGCCGCGAGTACCTCTCGTGCCCCGCAAACCGTGATCGAGAAGGTCGTCCAGCGGTATGCTGTGGGACTTCCCCCAGGCAAGGCCGTGAAGGCAGGGGACTATGTCATGATACAGCCTGAACATGTTATGACCCATGATAACACTGGTCCTGTCATCTCCAAGTGCGTAGTCTCTTACCCTAACACGATCGTCCATTAAACACAATGCGTGCAGGTTCAAGGCTATCGGCGCGACCAAGATTCACAACCCGAGGCAGCCCGTCTTCACCATCGATCACGACGTACAGAACAAGTCGCCAAAGAATCTCGCGAAGTATGCCTCCATGGAACAGTTTGCGCGGCAACACAATATCGACTTCTACCCCGCAGGCCGCGGGATCGGGCACCAGGTCCTCGTTGAGGAAGGATATGCATTCCCCTACACCCTCACTGTCGCTAGCGATAGCCACAGCAACATGTACGGAGGCGTGGGCGCGGTGGGAACTCCCATTGTCCGCACGGACGCTGCCGCCCTCTGGGCGACTGGAAAGACTTGGTGGCAGATCCCCCGCATGGTCAAGGTCGAATTCATGGGCAGGCTCGCGCCTGGGGTCACGGGCAAGGATGTCATCGTTGCCCTCTGTGGCTGCTTCAACAATGATGAGGTGCTCAACGCGGCTATCGAGTTCACGGGCGAGGGCGTGCGGTCACTATCATTGGACGAACGCCTGACTATCGCGAACATGACCACCGAATGGGGCGCCCTCGTAGGCTATTTCCCGGTCGACGAGGTCACCTTGGAATGGTATGAGAAGGCGCTGAAGAAGCTCGAGGGCAGGACGTTCGCCGCACCTGGCATCAACCTCCCCCCGCCGCCCGAGCACCCCAGGATCAACCGCCGCCGACTCGACGCCCTCAAGGCCTCGCTGATGACCTCGGATCCCGACGCCGAGTACGCATCGCACCTCGTCTTTGACCTCGCCACCCTCGTCCCCCACGCATCCGGCCCCAACAGCGTCAAGATCTCGACCCCGCTTCCCGAGTTGGAGGAGCAGCGCATCGCGATCAACAAGGCCTACCTCGTGAGCTGCACGAACTCACGCTTGTCTGACATCGCCGCCGCTGCCGAGGTCGTGCGCGGCCACAAAGTCGCGCCGGGCGTCGAGTTCTACATCGCCGCTGCGAGCTCCGCTGTTCAAGCGGAGGCGGAGGCTACGGGCGATTGGCAGACGCTCCAACGTGCGGGTGCGAAGACACTTCCCGCTGGCTGCGGACCCTGTATTGGGCTTGGTACCGGTCTCCTGGAGGAAGGCGAAGTGGGCATCAGCGCGACGAACCGAAACTACAAGGGTCGCATGGGCCACCCGAAAGCGCTTGCATATCTTGCTAGCCCCGCCGTCGTCGCTGCGAGTGCTATCAATGGCTATATCTCCAGCCCAGCCACCCTCGACCGCTCCGCGCTGCCGCCCGTCGGCGCGCCCACTTTCTCCATCGTCGACGTGCCGCGCAAGGAAGGTGCGGGGAGCTCCGCCTCCACGGAGGAGACCCTCGTCCCCGGCTTCCCTACCGCGTTCCGCGGTCCCCTGCTCTTCGCGCCGCAGGACAACCTGAACACGGACGGTATCTACCCCGGCAAGTACACCTACCAGGACGACATCACGCTCGAGCGCCAGGCGCAGGTCGTGATGGAGAACTACGACCCCGCCTTCGCGCCCCTCGTCGCCGAGCTCGTCGCCGCCGAGCGCGCCGCGCCTGCGGAGGAGAGCGTGAAGCCGGGCGTCATCCTCCTGGCCGGGTACAACTTCGGCACCGGCTCCTCGCGCGAGCAGGCGGCGACGGCGCTGAAGGCGGCCGGCGTGCCCGTCGTCGTCGCGGGCTCCTTTGGCGACATCTTCAAGCGGAACGCGATCAACAACGGGCTCGTCTGCATCGAGTGCCCCGAGCTCGTCGCCGACATGACGAAGGCGTATGCGAAGGATGGGCAGCGCGGTGCAGGTGGACTGGAGGGCGAGCTGACGGTCGACAACGGGTACAAGGTCAACCTCAACATGAAGGAGGGCAAGCTCACCGTCTTCACGGATGAGGCGCCGGAGGAGGGGAAGGAGTATGCCATCCGCACGGTGGGCCCGAGCGTGCAGGAGCTGTGGGTATGTGGAGGATTGGAGGGCTATATCCTCAAGGAGATCCAACAGTCATGATACTCACCGCAAAAGTACTGACGAGTACGATATCATTCACGGTAATTTGTAGCACTAGTCATATAGGAAATTTTTGCTTCGCTGTCTCAACTTGAGGATGTTGATCTGTGCGTGAGGTCAAGGGTGTATCGCAAGCGGTACGCCAGATACAAGATGTTCGACAAAGACATCAGAGTGATAAGTAACAAGTTGTTGAAGGCCGCCCAGGGGTCAGATATAGTCACAAGAGACCTGAGTACGATGGTGGATAAAAAGTATCATGGGGGGTAGACATCAACAGAACAAGTAGATAGCAGGTCCACAGCGCATACTGCGCGAGTCGTAGTACATAAAGGGAATATATACCTGGCGTGTTCGTAATCGAGCTTCGTTTATGTTAGTGAAGACATATGGCACGTCCTAGGCGTGCGTAAAAGGTTCCAGACTTCCCCGAATAGCTAAACACCAGGATCCATAGCTATTCTTCGTGATAAGTGGATACGACTATCCAAATGATGCCAGAGTAATGCAAGCCTGGATGTCCTCGTGTTATCCACCTCTCCTGTGGCTATATGGTCGACCATCGCTTCCTCCAGGGTGGGAAACTCGTCAATGGTCGCTTCAGCATAGGCAGGTAGGTGCTGGGAGTTATACAGCTGCTCCTTCCTGGCCAATACAGGTTCGTCCGCGAGTATGGGTACTATGAATTCCCATGGGACAGCGAGAGGTCCATAATGCAACTCCCCATTCGTAGATATGACGGCTCGCAGTGCCCCGTCCTCGCACGCCTCGCATATACGCACCATGCCATGTAGCTCCAGCTCGGGGCCCGACAGGTACACATAATCGAAGTCGGGGTCGTAACGGAATACGCTGCCGTCCCGCGTCTCCTCCTGGATCGCTCGACCGATCGCACAGGACATGATGCGCCGTTTATCGCGATGTCTGTCCTTTTCCAGGGCGAGCATAATGTCGCGCCATACGGGCGCCCCGCGCGACATCCTACACAACGCCCTCAGGCCGTTCCGTCCATGGAGGCCAGAGTACTCGCAGATGCGGAGCAGCACTTCGAAGTCGAGAAGGAGCTCCGTCTGCGCCTTCATGGTCGGTGTCAGCGGTCGACGAAGGGACAGCCGCTCTATCGCCATCATGTAGCTGGCAAGCGCGTCAACGAGCTCGTTTGCTAGGTGTGAGTAGATGCCGACAGGCACGCATAGAAGGTGCTCGACACCCGCATGTCGACAGAAGATCTCGTAGAGGGAGGGACAGTCGAAGTATGAGAGAGCCCTGCCGACGCTTGGACGCGCCCAGGGCGAGACGTGGCTGACGTTGGTGAGGATGGTCTCCGCTGCGGCGAAGGCAGCGGCAGCAGACAGACCGTCATTGAGCATGGGAGGCGCATAACCGATGCGGTCGCTCGACTTTGGCACGAAGCGGCGCGCGAGGAAAGCCGCCATTTGATCCAGGCCCACGGTGGCCCAGATACCCTGAGACTCCGTCCGGGGCTCGTGAGTGCGTATGAACTCAATGAGCATCGGGAAGAGTCGCATAAGGCGGACGTCAACCGATGGGGAAACCGCGAGGGGTTCGAGCTCGCTGACTTGGTAGCTAATGAGGCGCTCCATGACCTTCAGAAGTTCTTCGCGAGCGGGAAGCCAGGCGCAGTAGTGATTGAGGGGGATGGCGGTCCTACCAAAGAGGGTGTCGGGTCGGGGCAGGCGCGGTTCTTCCTGGTTTTCCTGACTCAACATGATCCACATGCAGGTCATAACAGCGTAGGTCTGACATGGAAGGATATCTGGGTCCAGGGTCAACAATGGAGGCTGTATCAGGCGGAGAGCGTTATACAACGAACGCCAAACAAGAGGGTGCAAGTCGGTCGTATAGGTCGGAAAGGTGGTCATGTCCGCGGCATAAGCGGTGTGCTCCGTGCGGAGAGGAGACCACACTCCGGTCCCCATGCGATGCAGCAGCATGACGCGCAAAAGGGCATCCAGCTGTGGCGACATGATCTCGTGTCGATATGCGTATACTTCGTCCCAAAGCTTAGCGAGCGATATCTCAGGGTAATTGGGGAAGTGCAGGATTGCGCGCCCCAAACGCTCTATGAGATCTGCGCTGTCGACGACGAATTGCCGGTTGGTCCAGTTATCGAATTCAGACTCGCATTCTCGTTGGAGCGCATGAAATACGTCGACAGATAATCCCTCCATCGCGGCTGGCTCGGTGAACCGGAACTCAATGGGCAGTCCGGCCACCGCTTGCACAGCTATACTGGCGGCAGATGTGTTCAGGGACGAGAAGCAGAGCCAGACGATGACCTCGGCGGTCAAGAAGTCACGATGCTCGCTCACGTCGACCATTTCGCGAGACTTGAGGGACATCCTCTCTTTCGCATGCATCGGCTCTCGAACGTTCTCGTTCCATATTTCGGCGAACATCAATTTTGTCATTCTTCTAGGTGACCGGCAGAGAGCATGACGCAGGCGAACAGCGTGGTAGAGGAAGTCCATAAAAAACCGAGAGAGACGGGCAAGAAGCACGGCGATATAGATCATGTAGTCGGAAATGGACGTCTTGTACGCACAATGGGGCACCCAGATAGGTAGAATGATCGTAACGGCATAGGCCAGAAAGATCAGGGCCGTGAAGCTGATGATCGTGTGCGCTATGGAGGCGTTCATCGGCGCGACGTAGACCGCGAGACCAGCGAGGAAGAGAAGCAGCGCAATGTTGAGCAGGATGGGCAGAAAGTCAATAATGAACGGGACATTCCAGCGCGTGAAGCTCCAAAGGCGGTATTGACGAACGTACGCGCGGTCGCGCAGACTCCCTCCAGTGGCAGATGCGTAGTGCTGCATGAAGCGTAAGCGGGAATGGGCGTGGAAGGCATGTGAATAGATCGGACCTGCAGCCATTGCTTGGCGAGCACAGTTATAAAGGCGGTCGCCAACGCAAAGACAAGACTTGTCAGCCAGAGTCCGTTCACCCACACGTCGGATGTGTTTTGTGTCTCCGAATTCATGCTGTATTGTGAGCGAGGAACTTCGGTGATCGGCAAGCCGGAAGACATCGCACGTTGCATGCGAGTGAGTTCGAACAAGAGGGAGGCGGAGATTTGCGCGTAGTCAGGGTTCAATGCTTGCGAGCTTTCCGAAACGAAGGTGGTGACCACGCCAGAGAAGAGACCAGCCTATTGAGGAGTCATCAACGCGAGACACTAAGAGGGAAGGATGCGCACGCACGAAAACGAGTAAGACATCCAGAGTGCCATTCAGGCCCTCCACCATCTCCGCGTCGACCATCTGGGCCTCATCGTTGTATACTCTCCAGACGCGAGCTGAGTCCCCGACCTCCTCGCCATACGGGTCAGGAGCGTACTTTCGCTCGTAGTCCACGTCGCTCGCGGAGGATCGCTTGTAAAGGTGGCCCCTTCGCCCTTCGAATTGAGGTCCTGAATTCGCCTTTCCACTCTGTCTCTCGTATTGCCGCAGTCTCTCCGAATCACTTGGCGCTGTAGACGGAGGAGGGTTTGTTTGAAAGGCGCCGAACGCGTATCCTTGTCTTGACGGCTGCCTCTCCGATCGTCTACGCCGCCGCCCTCGTGGTGTATCTGCCGAGGCTCGTCGTGTGGGCCCGTGTCTAGGCATAGTTCTTTGAGGTGTGTCTCTGCTTCCTTGTCGAGCGAAGCGAACACCGTCGCGGTCGCGCTCTGAAGTTGTGCCCGCATTGTCCGACTCCACTTGGTCTTCGTCTGAAGTATTGGAGACGGGGGTCATAGCCTCGGGGGAGGTCGTCGAGGGAATTTCGTCGGGAAGGGGCATCGTGAGCGATGGTAGTAACGAGCGAGATGCACGTAACGACAGTGCTTCGACCATTCCTCTTTGATCCGTCAACATGTAAGCGAGCGCCAATGCGTCTCGCACCGTCTACACCTGTCCGTTGTCAGATGTTATGTATGGACTGGGACATTGAGATGGGCGTACGAGTCAAGCAGGATATTCTGAAGCCATTCTATGACCAGCCAGGCAGGCAGCCTTACGCTTCAAGCGTGTCATGCGCGTTAGGCTACGTCATGGTGTCCTTTGAGGCCAACAGTGAAGTCTGTTCAGTCAGGCAAATGGACGGCTTTGGGGCAGGGTGCAGCACACGAGGAAAGGAGACTGTCAGACTGGACTGTATCATGCTTATGAACAATGACTTCCCAATGCGGAAGGTCAAGCGAAGCTAGCTCGCGAGCCCTAGGACGCGTCTAGGGAAGGCTCAGGGATGTAGAGGGATATGTCCCTATGGACCAAGTCTCAATGATATGAAGAGTGGGAGAGAACCCAGCACTCAGCGAGGGCTGGGGTTTGTCGGAGTCGGCCGCCCGCGGAGCGGGCTGCATGTGGCGGCATCACGTGGGTAACGTGACGCACACCCACAGCCGCCCACATGCGCGCGGACCAGCCGACTGAACGCTGTAGCAGACGGCAGGTCCCGCCCCAGGCCTAAGGAGAAGGACCTGAAGCAAAACCCGTGCTGCCCCGAGCGTTAGCGAGTGTGAGAGGGGAAGAGGAGGGTGGGCAAAAGAAAGTTGGCTGCAGGAGCCTCGAGGCGATGGAGGGCAGAGCGGAGAGGCGACCACGGCCGACGCGCTCGCCGCCCGCGTGATCGTCACCGCGAATCCTTCGGACGCGGCGACGTCACTCGGCTATGGCCGGGCTCGCAGCGCCTGCTTCGCTTGACTCCCGCTAAGTCCTCGTAAACTCGGACTTAGCTCACAACAGTCGCATGCAATCGCACGCGTGGGAAAGTCCATAAGAATAATAGGGGTTTTCTTCAGGAAGGACATCGCCCAATGGCAATAGTGCACATGAGACCATAGGGTGCTAATATACTATCCCTCAGCAAGTCTCTTGTTCATCCCTTTCACTCACAGCGTTGGGCTCCAAACGCTCCTGCCATTCACAATTTCCTCGCCCCTCTCACTCTCTTGCGCGGGACCGTACTTCTCAGCAAGCACCGCAAGCTTTGACGTGTACTCGTCCTTTCCAATATACGCTCCACACATCCGCCGCTTGCCAGTGAAGGCAGAGCGTCCGTGCAAGACACGGTGATTGTCGACCACTGGGGATCAAGGGTCAGCAGGTTCATCTTAGGAGATGAAGAGGTCATCTACTAACCGACGGCCGTCCCGGGCTTCAGCTGCACCCAGTACTCCGAGTCCGGACTCGTTAACAGCCTGTTCCACGCGCGAATCGCGGCGTACCTGAAGTACGGAAGTTAGCAGACAGAACTACAAGGTGACGAACAGAACGCACCAGTCCTCCACGAGGTAAGGGTCGAGATGGCTCATCGTACTCCGATCGTCGTTGTTCCACCTCACTTGCGCGAGCGCGCCCGACACGCGGTCATGGTTCAATACCGGATATCCCCCAGGCGGGCTTGGTCGGTATAAAGCACCAGCCTCCCCCGCGGCGTGCGCTGGAATAGGAATTGTCGAAAGCAGCTCGTACGCCTCGGGATGGAGCTCCTTGAGGATTGATGCAACGTAGAAGCCGTCTACGAGGAGGGTGGCGCCGCCCTCGCCTTCGTGTGAGAGGAGGTGGAAGAGCTGGAGACCGCAAGGGTCCGTCTGCGCGTGGTGTCATGTCGGCACGCTGGTGGAGATGGAGATGGGTGAAGGGCGTACGAAGTAGGTATTGTCGGTGTGGGGGCCGAGCGCCATAGTCGTGTATGCCGTGTCGCCCTTCGACAAGTCGGACGTGAACTCCCAGAACTTCCCGTCTGGAAGAAAGCTGGTGAGCAAGGAGGTGAGATCGAAACGGGTTGCTGACGCACATTGAGTCTCTCGAATGAAGCCTATTCGCTCGGCAAGCTTCTCCGTCGCCTCTGTGGAAACAGGGACGTCTGATACGAAGGAGAACCCAAATAAGTCCTGTAGACAGTCAGCGCTGGCTCGCCACTTCGCTAGCAGCGTCGCTCACAATGTTCGACAGCCACTTATACAGACCATGGTCATCGCTCATGACCTCCTGATAAGACACCGTGGGTGGAGACTGCAGAATCTGAGAACTCCATAGGATCTTCCTGAATGGCGATATTGAGTTCGGTAGTGCAGTGATAGTGCGGGGAAAATCGCGACGCACTCCTTCCGCTCGGCCTGCGGTGTAATCTTGGGATCGTAGGACACCTTCTGCAGCCATGTCCACGGGTAGAGGGAGATGTGGCGCTCCGACTCAGGCCCTATGGGAAGGGAAGTCTGAGGAACTGGTTCGGCGAGACGGAGAACGCACAATGAACCTCCAAGCCTTCGAACTTGGCCTCTACCTTCACGGGGGAGATGTCGGTGGGGATCTGGTTTCCTAGGCGTCAACAAAAATGAACGCGGGCTGGTTCGGCCCTCCTTGACGCGCACCTCGAAGGTGTTCACCAATCGCTGCTTCGTGACTGGGTGGAAGCACTTCGGGCATCTGCACGTCGAGCGTCAGTACATCCCCTTCACGATGCAAACCACGCTACGCACCGACAGTGGTCCCTCAGCCATATGTTATGACTGCAAGTCTCTTCAGCACGCACTCTTGCCCGCGCGGCGCCCCACATTGACATACAATCTCGACCATGTCCGCGTATCCCACCCGATCGCAACGCGCCGGTCGTCCGAGCTCACAATGGGCAGATCGTCGGGGAGGATGGGAGGAAGCGCCGGGGACGAGGACTGCGCCGCGTCCTCCCGAGTCTTCAGCGCTGCGGCCGAGGCGGCGGTACGGCATCCGCCCGCGGCCCATCTCGTCCCGCTCGCACGCGTCACTGCGGCCTTTGAGCGGGCTGCTCTTTGGGGCGTCGAGCAGGACGCCTGGCGCTCGATGGCGCGTAGGGCCTGTCTCAGGCCAGTCCTCAGCATGGGCGATATACGTGATGGGAGGTAGGGAAAGAGGGTGCCCGGTACAAAGCCGGCACTGCTGGGCCTGTCTCGCCTCTTGCCCCACATCCGCATCGACATAGGTGAGCTGACTATCTGGTCCGTACTTGATAGATTGCTTGCGTTAATAGCATACACATCTTCGACATTGCGGAACAAGAAACAGTGGACGCTGAATTACAATGGGAATCACTCAGATGGATCAGCGGTAAATTGGACTGGTGTGGTGGAAATCCTGTCAGCAGCCTCTGGATAACATGTTGCTCTTTACTTCGGCTAACTGAATGATACTTATCATTCTACTCGCTAAAGTGTCTTTAAAGGTCTTGAAGGCGAGACAAGAAGTCCAGCAGGACGGCAGTTGCCGAGGTGTGACATCAGCGTCACACTCCAAATCAGGACACAATGGTCGCTCTGCTCTCGCGTCGATGTCGAACTGAAAAGCCTGCGTCTTTCGATGCTCGACTCCTCAATTATAAGCTGGAAATTCTGGTAGTACTCTTTATATGCATGCTTACCTACCCTAATCCAGTTATAGCTAACCCTTCGTCGACCAATTAGCACAACCTTACGTCGCGCCTTCCCTCGGTATTACTGCTCGAAGCTCTCGACTTGTGCCGCGTCCTTGAAGTTTGCCACGACTACACGCTGGATGCACTAACAGTCTGTGCGGAACCTCTGGCTACGGCGATCTGCAACGAGTGGCTGCGCCGCGTCGGTTTGAATGTCCTCACCCTTTGGACAGATATCCACTTCGAGAAGACGACATGCGGACTCGCCTCCTTGCTCTACCGATCTGTGCATCAACGATAGCATTAACTGTAACTCTGCTATGTATCTGGTGGACTGAGATGCTTCACAAACGCCCTCCTAAGCCCTTTCAGAACAGTGCAGCCGCTGGGAGAAGTTCAAAGCAAGAAGGTACACAAACACTGGTCTCAGGAATCAGCTAGTTCCGTCAGCGCCTGGGATGCTGCACAACATAGCAGATTCTTGACGCATGCCCGAGTACTATATCATTCAATCTCGTCTTTTGAGTTGGCGACCTTGTTTGGGGACCTTCTGCAACTCCTTTGCGTCTATTGGCCATTTCAATGTGTTACTACCTGATCACAGGCTTACTGAAGGAGTGAGTGGGCATCATGGCGCCGCAGACCACCGCGGATCTAGGTTCTATGAAATTTGCCCCGACGGGCGGACACAATAACTGAGTTATCATCCATCCATCCATCTATCCATCTCTATTCCTCCACACCGGCGGCAGTGCTACCAGCTGCAACCTTGGAGCAGTCCAGGAACGTCGTCCGTATGTTCATCCTCTCGCGAAGTGCCGTGAGCGATTTATCGTATACCCAGACAACTGGAACGAGCGCTGAGCATCTTCTCTTTCCGGAGAGCTCGAGAAAGGTGCCGTTCGCTCCACTGTCCCAAAAAATGAGTGAACCGAGGGAACGGAAGAGGGAGAACCTCAAAGGTGGTACGCCCAGGCTGGCGAACGTGTTGGGTTAAGGTGAGCCGTTGGCAAAATTCCTGCTGTCTGTGCGAGAGCTTCGGCGTCGAGTCCTGGAAGTCAAGTCTTCAAGCTTCAGCTTCAAGGACACTATCACCATTGGACAAAATTCCATCGATTACTCAGACAAAGAACACCATAATGGGGCGGACCTATGTGCGACGCTATTGTACAGAAAAATCGCGAAAGCAGGTCATCCTTGACAATTACCGGGTCCGTACTGCGGTAGGTATATTGCTATTAGTTCCACTGCCTCGACGCAGACTGTAGAAAATCAGAAGACAGTTCGCCTACATTTCCCACGACGTCGAACCCGTACGGGTCGCTGCCAGCATTGTCCATGCCACCAACCGCGGTCACATCCTTGAACAAGTTCTGCATACGCGCCTCCATCATTGCCGCGTCCCTACTCGCCTCGTTCGGGGCGCCCCAAAATCCAGGAGCCTCCCACGTTGCCGAAGATCCGGAATTGTTAACCGTATTGCTGGTGTCACCGAGGAGGTTCCCCGTCGCTAAGCACTCGTCGGGCGGGACGGTCATGATGAAGCAGCTCAGGCAGGCCGTCGTGCAGGCAGCTGGCTTCTTGCACGTCGGGAACGGCTCTGTGATCGTGGGCTCATGTGGGCACGAGCAGAGGTCGCCACATCCGCCCTCGTCACACTCGATCTTCACCCGCGGCTCGTCGAGGGAGTCTGGAACCGGTAGCTGGACGTCGGCGCTCGGGTACGTGGCTGCCGAAGAGACCGACACGGGCGTTGCATCTCTGGACGAGGCGGGGGCGAGGAGGTCAGCGAAGACGTCGTCCGCGGCGGACGACGCAACGGCGGTAGTTTCGAGCGAGTTTGCTGATATATACGGCTCGAAAGAAGGAAGGGGATCTGGGACTGAAGGGACAGCAGCTCGCGTGCGTTCGTAAGCTTGACTATACGGGCTGTAGCCATGTTCGTGCAAGCGAGTCAACGAGGTGCCAGGTGGTTGACTTCCTCGAGCTGACGGCTCTGAGTCTGCGGCTGAAGAGGTTGGCTGACCATGGGATGGGGCTGGATGTCGTGAGGCCCCGGGGCTAGGACGGCGGTTGGAATTGCCGTCGTCTGCACCGCCACTCCCGCCAGTGTCACCGTCCTTCGCCTTCTTGCCTTTGACGACGTGACTCTTCCTCGGCGTCCAGCAAGCACATCGCTTATCCTTTCCACAGCAACACTCTGTGTCAACAACCGGCGCTCATGAGCCTCAGGCGAGAATATTCAGCGATAATACGCACTGCCATCGTCCGCAGTCTCTCCCTCCTTCACGCACCGGCAATGTATAGTGACTTGCTTGACCTTCCGTAGCTCTCGACAATGGCCGCATTGGGTCGTTGGACGACCCTTCCTGCGCACTTCGACAAGCGGCCGGTCGGCGTGCCTACAGCCAGTCGTCCGGTGACCCTTGATGCACGGCTCGCTGGAAAGGGGTCAGCCTCGAGGCCTTGACGTTGTTGACGATGAGAGTAATGAAGAAGTAGGGTACCCACCATGCATATTTCTTGCCGAAGAGTTCAACCTGCTTCGGTCAATTTCGCGATTTGGGTCATGATGACGTGAGCTCACCATCTCTACTGGAGCTCGAGAACGAGGTACACTGGCACGACGGCCTGGGGTGGTTATCGTGCGCTATCGGGTGCTGCGCTCGAGGACGACGGTGGAACCGGGATACCGGGACGTAGTCCCGGTTCCGACGCCTACATAGCGCTTAGACACACGTGTATCCCTAGCATTATCCAGCTCTGTGCCACCACCAGGCCGTCGCCCCGAGGATCTCCTCGCTGGGCCCGCTAGGCTATTCCATCTGGTGACGAGAGTGGTCTTCTTTCCCGTGCCCCTACAGACCATCTCACCTGCGTTTCTCCGCGTCGAGCTTCGTTCTCCGCGTCCGAGCCTGCCCGTGCCTCGAGGCCTGCGCACACGTTTTTCTGCGTTCGAGCATTGCGCTCCGCGTTTTCCGAGTCTATCCGAGCCCCCTGTGTCCTATCGAGCCTTTCTGCTTTGTGTTGCATTTGTGTCTTTCTGCGTCATCTTGCGTTGCGTTTGCGTCCATCTGCGTGGCCATCGTTGCGTATATTCCCAGCGAGTTCTATCGAGCCTTGCGCGTCTTCCCGCGCCTGCCACACCTCTTCACATCACGCCTTGCGACGAGCCTCGCCGACTTCGCCATGCCTCGCACGTTTACGCTGCCGGACGGACGGCAATTTACATCAAAAATCGAAATCCCACAGAAGTTCTCCGATGCACTGAACATATATCGCTCTTTACACGATCATAACCCCGTTGTTGCTGAGACCGCCCTCTGGACCAATCTCCTCGCGCTTTTTCAAGATCACCTCTCAGCACAGGGTACACCGACGAATGCTGCACTCGAGACCCAATACAAGGCAGGGCGCATCGCTGGTGCAGAGGCCGAGCGCGGGACCTGGGAGTCGGAAGGACATGCACGCGCTGCCGAGTACGGTCGTTGCCGCGACTACGACGTGGGATACTGCGCAGGCTACGACGCAGGTCATCGCTCTGGGAAGGCGCTCGGCGTGCAAACATGCGGTGTTCTCTGGAACATGATGCGAGCACGCGTCCTGGTCCCGTGCGCGGACCAACCCCACGTCGACGTCGCACCTGCTCGCATAGAGTCTGCCGTGCAGACTTCGCCCCACGAGGAGCCCTCTACCACGTCCGGCGTTAGTTTCAATGGCGTAGACTGGGCCTCCGATGCGGATGCACATCTCCCCGTCATCCCGCCACCTCCTCGAGATCTTTCGTGCTTGTCGAGCGGCACCTCCCGACCATTCGCATCGCTCAACCGCCGCCGACGCGGTGCTCAGGCTCGTTCGCGCCCACGTCGCCGACACGCAGGAGCCGCTTCGCGCCGCTGGCCGGAGTCGCGGTTGCCACAAATAGGTGGAACTTCGTTGGATTGGGTACACGACCCAAGGTTGCAGGACTTATCGCGCGCTCTTCATGCGCTGGGCTGGGTCAGGAGTAGCTTGACGTCGGGTTCTTGCTGGTCAGGGTTTGCTGGCGACGAGGGCGTCGCCACGCGTGAGGGGGGAACATGGAACCGGGATACCGGGACGTAGTCCCGGTTCCGACGCCTACATAGCGCTTAGACACACGTGTATCCCTAGCATTATCCAGCTCTGTGCCACCACCAGGCCGTCGCCCCGAGGATCTCCTCGCTGGGCCCGCTAGGCTATTCCAACGGTCTTGTCGGAAGTTGAACGTTGAACCAAGATGTGGCTGGGAACAAGCCGCGGTCTGGCCGCCACACGGCCGCCAACGGAACCATATATGGTCACCGGAGCCGGGCCGCAATGCCGAGCGCCGGTGCCTTCAACAGAAAAAGGCAGGTTTTGTCCTCCGCTCGGAGGAACGCTGGATGGACGTAAAAGAAGCCTCTATGGATTAGCGCTGGTCGAAGAGACCGGGCGGGTACCCAAGGACTCAACAACATCATATCCGCGATTGGCTGCCCACGTACTGACCGATACGGAACGCAGTTTAGGGGGCGATATCCACAAAATCGCAGAAGTGACCAGGAGAATCCATACATACTGTACAATCAACTGCGCCAATACTGGGCGATATCGTGAATACGATCCAGAACGACCGTGAAGTACGACGTCTCGTTCAACAACGTCTCGAAGTGCTTGATCGCCTCCTCCTCCGTCAAGTCGAGCCGGAACTTGTCCTGTATCTGCTCGTGCACATCGCGATGCTTGATATCGGGTATATTCGCGTCCACCATCAAGGCGACGAGGTTCAGGATGAGGTTGGCACTCTTGCGCAGGATGGTGAAAGCAGTGAAGCAGAAGTTCTTGAAGCGCGCGTAGTGCGGTGACTGCGCACCGCCCATGCCGTCGACCATCTCCTTACACACTTTGACGGGAGGTGGGAAGGGCTTGGGATCGCGTCCGAGGATGTAGCCGAAGTCGACTGTAGTAGAGATAATTCAGAGCTTTGTCTGGTAGCGGCAGGCGGCACGTACCGTGGAAGAAGTGACCATCGGGTGCGACGAGGAGATTGTCAAGATGGCGATCGCCGACTCCAAGTAGGTAAGTCACGACACAGTAGCCAGCTGCACACTCATGAGTACCGTGCGCATCTCGCTGGCAGCGTGCTACGTACCACAACTGCGAACGAACGTGTCGATAACACTGGGTTCCACGCCCGAAGTGCCCACGCTCCCATCGTCAGGATTATTCGCGCGCAGGTAATTCAGCAGACTCCCATGCTCGCTCATGATCGCCGCAATCGTCTTGCTCGGGATGAAGCGTGCCATCCCCTGCAGCGGCCCCGTCGCCAGCACATCGTACGGTGTCAACTTCAGATCCAGATTCTCCTGCCGCAATAAGCGATCCATGAGCGTGAACAGCTGGATCACCAGCTGGTCCTGGCGCATGTCGTCCCCGTCCTTGAAGATGACCGGGTACTCGGAGCCGTCCGTGCACTGGAAGTACAAAAGTAATGGGTAGAGGTTCGACTTGAAGACGGAGGACTTCTCCGCGGCAATGCCTGTGACTTCGATCCGGGCATCGAGGGGGAGCGGCAAGGGGGCCATGGTCCCGAGGCCGCCCTTCGAGTCGGTGAGCATCGCGCGCAGCTTCTCGATCTTCTTTGGCCGTGGATCCTTCGACATTCGCAGCTCCTTTGCGCGCTTCGCGAGTGTTTCCACGAGCAGCCCTTGCCTTCGAATGAGCTCGCGCCGCTCGGATCCCTCAGGCGACTATGCGACGGATGAGCATGCGTCAAACGTCACTGCGATACTACTGACCTCCGTGACCTTCTTCATGAACTTGTACACCACCCGCCCGTACATCTTTGCCATCATGCGGTCCTCCAACGCGACCTCGACCATGAGATACCAGTACAGCCGGTTGCCGAGGATGAGGTTCTGCACGCCGCGCCCGATGAGAAAGTCGGATAGCCCACTGTCATCGTACGAGATAGCGGTCGTGGTCGACCGTGTCGAGCGCGAGTCACTCGCCGCGCTTTCGAACTTCAATGCCTGAACAAGCTGGAGTAGGTACAGGAGAAGCTCCTGTTATTGCACATTAGCCTTGTATTGCCTTCGGAGATGAGTTCGCTCACATCGTCGTCCGCCCGCATGAGCTGCTTGACAGCAAAGGCCCGCACACGAGAGTCTACCGTCGAAGGACCGAGCAGTTCCAGCGCATCATCAATGTCAATCTCCGTCCACTGCGGCAAGAGCTCTTCCACAGCCTGCTTCACCTCCGAGCTATCCCTCCACCGCACGGATTTCAAGAACTTCGTCAACCCGCGCTTATCACGCGACAGGTAGAACCGGAACTTCCACACGAGGTCCTTCTCCTCTGAGTTCAGAGGTCGGCTAGGCGGGTAATTGAGGATGATCTGTGTGCCGTGGGGTTAAACGATGAAACATAGCAGACACAGTGAGAGAACGATCGTACGCCGAGTTCATCACGGAGCTTTGCGTTCGGCTTGAGCTCCCGGTCGTAGGGGCCGCTGCGGTGGCTTCGCACGAGACGATGATGTTTGTCCTCGATCGGATTCTCCCGCACCATATCAGGGTCGACTATGCTCCATAGGTGCGCGTCGGCCGCGAGCGAGCTGCTGGCTAGGGGAGTGTGCGGGGAGGGGTTGGCCGCAGTCGGATTGAATTTTGGTGCTTCCTGGGGTCCACATTAGTTATTCGATAGAAAATGACAAAACATGGCCATAGCAACTACCTTCTCGCTATAAATCACCGGAAAATCAAACCGTGGTAGGTCGATGTACAGAAACAGGTTTTCAGACTTCTTGGTCTCTTCCTGCAACGAGATCAGCTCCTTTGCTCGCTGTCGACCGTCCTTCCGTACCGCATGCACTTCCGCCATCTTCCTGAACGCGAGCTTGTCCAGCCAGTCCGACTTTGGCAAGTCGCCTCGCTCGTACTTCTTCACAAGCTTCTCCAGGCGCCCCATCTCATCGCGCACGGGTAACTTGCTCGGTGTTGTCGACTCGACCGACCCATCCGCCTCTATGTTGGGCCACAAAAGTAACCGGTGCTTCCCGCGCCGCAATGTACACTTCTTGCCGAAAAGGCGGAACGTCGTCCCTCCTACAGGCATCGCGGCCCTCAGACCCGCGATGTCCCAGACGGTGAAGGTGATCTGTGCATTGAGCGGGAGGTCGCAGTAGCGAATAGGCAGCGTTATCCACTCGTTCCACCTGCAGGGTATTCGGTAAGCTGCTCGTGGTGGCACTACAAGGAGTCATGTATACGTACGTGTAGCTGTTCTTGAACGCCTTGAAGGACGTGCGGAACGGTATTGTCAGCGGCTTGTTGTTCGCAACGAGCTGACATGTCACGTAGAGATCTGACAGCGTCCTTGGGCGAGGTTATGACGGATCAAGCTGGGCAGAAAAGCGGAGTGCGTACTGGGATTGGACGCCGTGAAATCTGAGGTCTGGGTTCTCAAGGATCTCGGTCAGGCTGTGAGGCCTTCGTATACCCTCCAAATTGGAACTATGCAGTTGGTCAGCGGGATATCTACTGAAGCAGTCCAAATCCTGACATGCGGAAGGTCACATGCAGGTTCAAATCAGAGAGTTTGGCGAAGGTAAAGTCGTCCTTGGCCTCCTTGTCCATATCGGCTCTGTCTCTTCGGCTTAGTATATCGTCACAGTCCGTTATGTCTCCAGCTTTTGCGGCAAAAGTGAATCGAGTGGTGGCTGTCGAGAGCAAGCTTGAAAGCGGCGCGTTCGCGTATGCGGTAATGTGTGGCAACTAGCGGAGGCTGCCGATACTTGTTCCACGACCACGTGACGGCTTGCGGCATCGCGCGAAGTTGAACAGGACCCCTGAAAGTACGCACAAATGCCTGTCGGGGGTGCGGATAAAAATGGGCAAAACGCAAGCGATGGTCAGTGCAAAGTGCGGATAAAAATGGGCAGGAGCAGGCCGTAGGCCTGCCGAAATTGTCCGATAAAAATGGGCAGCTCGGCGGAGGCCAGTGCGGGTGCGGATAAAAATGGGCACCCGGGTTCGAACTTCGGACCTCTTCACCTCGTGTTAGGTCACTTATCCACTGCGCTAAAGGAACTTCAAGATTGTCCGCGTTAGCAAGTCCATATCGGCATTCGGAGGCAAACAGGGCGAACAATGGGAAGCCGACGCCGATTCCGCCTGCTATCGGGGCGAGCACGCTGTTGTCTGTGTACGCGAGGCTCACTCACACTCTGAACTAGACATTTAGGCACCCCTTGACGCGTCCCGCTCAATGGGCAGCAAAATGGAGGTTTGGGCGATTTTTGGCGATTTTTAGCGATTTTTAACGATTTTTGAGGCCTATCGGGCGGTGCGGACAAAAATTGGCACTTCGCTCGACCCCTCCGCAATGTGCGGATAAAAAAGGGCACAGCTGGTCAAAATCGGTGCGGATAAAAAAGGTCAAAAGGCCAAAATCCGCGAAGAGGCATTTGTGGGTACTATCAGGGGTCCTAGTTGAACTTGTTCACTCGCCTGTCCCAAAATCAGTAACGCGTTCGATCATGTTACATCGCTCTTCCCTTTGGAAGTAACAGCAGAGCTTAGGGAACACAATTGAGAAAGTTGCAGAAGCGGCTGCACGATCTTCACGAGAACGCCGGCCCTCGCCTGCGCGTGCCCCTGTCTTTCAAGCTCGAAAAGTCATGGAAGACTGGAGAAGAGGGACATTATTATTGTCGCATACATAAATATTGCGGAAGGTCTGTCTGCAGAATCATCTAAAATAGCGCCGCCATTTGCAGGATACTCATATATCAGTACTTAGAAGTCAGTACACTTGGACCGCGCAGCCTGCGTAAGACCTAATCCTCACAGACCGAATCACCCATGAAATGTATACAGCAGGAAATTACAGATTCAGACAGTTCGGGCATTCGTGTATCCTACTAGGTTATGTATCTCATTCTCTCCGCCCATCTAGGGCTTCAGCGTGCTCTCCATCTTCGACGCGTACGGCGCGATCTTATTCGTGCCGTTCGCCACCAACATAACGCCACCATCCACATCAAGGCGCTGCCCCGTGATGTACTTCGACGCCGCACTAGCGAAGAACAGGATAGGCCCTGCACAAACCATCCATCAGTCTTCTCATCCTCGAAAACAGTCCCCAGAAGAATCTCACCGACGATGTCGTCAGCGCCACCCGATCGGCCGAGCGGGATGCGCTCGTTATTCGAGGGGTGCGACATTGCGGCCTCGTGGAAGGAGGGGTTGGCGTCGCTGCAGGCACGGTCAGCCCTCATGCCCATCTTATCGCGCGCGTGCACACGTACGTGTCGTAGGAGCCGGGCGAAACGGTGTTGACACGGATGCCAAAGGTGTAGAGCTTGGCGGCGAGGATGTTGCTAGTGTGCTCCTGGCCCGCCTTCGATGCTTGGTATGCTGTGTGGGCGCGCGTGTGAGAACGGGAAAGGGTCTGGTGGGAGGGGAAGTACCAGGGATGCTCCAGTACGGGTTCCAGAACTTTGCCGCAATGCTTGAAATCTGGATCACCGAGCCGCGCCCGTCGCCGAGCTTCGCCGCCGCGGCGAGAAGGGGGATCAGCTTGAGGGTGAGGGTGTACGGCGCCCAGGTCGTGACCGCAAACTGCTCCTTCCACGCCTCCGCGGGCGAGAGCGCGAGCGGGAACGGGCACTTCTGGTCCATCCCCTTCGTGGGGTCGTGCTCGTCATCAACGGTGTCGACGTAGAAGGGGCCAGCCTGCGAGGTATGTTGCGAGGCGGCGGTCAGCAGAGTGCGGAAACCATCGGAGGCAGCACGCACGTTGTTCACAAGCACGTCGAGCCGCTCTTCCTTCGACTTAATGAAGTCCACCAGTTTGTCGATCTCGGATTCCTTCCCAAGATCGCACGGGAACCTGCGAAGCGCCGATCAGCCCGCGAAAGCGCTGAAAGAACAAGCACTTACGGAATCGTCTTCCCCTGCGCTATTCTATCCATCTTCTCGACCACCTCGTTCAGCTTCGCTTCGCGCCGGCCAGTGATGTACACTACATGCGATGGAGCCTACTGTGAGTGTGGCCACACGCGGAATTCGGAGGAGCATACCTTTCGCCCCACCCTTCACGAACGCCTCCGTGGCCCAGGCGCCGATGCCCGTACCTCCGCCTGCGGGCGTTAGAAGCGCGCGGGATCGACGGGAAACGGGAGCGCACCTGTAACGAGGATCACTCGATCGGCGACGCTGAATGACATGGTAGTAGACTTGGCGGTGTATGGGCTGAAATGTTAATGCAGGCACGGGAATAGGTATGTGAATGCGGGCGCGGGGAGAGAGATCGAGCGGAGCAAGGAGTTGGCGGAGCGAGACAATGGGCGGCGGAGAAAGAAAGAACGAGCGGAACGGGTGATCGCCAGGCCCAATAAGTAGCTTGGGGGCGTGGCGGGTATGTAAGGGCACACGTCCCCCAACACCTCGCAGGCGCCTGGTGGCAGTCTCGCAACTGTCAACTGGAGCCTCGTTCGCACTATTCGGGTGAATGTTCAGGCCAGAAGGCTCATTATCCGGCATTATCAAAGGCGTGGATCACCACATATCGCAAGGGTGCGGTGGGCGCAGGCTGGGTTCCCAAGGGCACCCAAGCGTGCTTTGTAGCTTGCAGTGTCTCTGACGGCGCCAGCGCGGACGGTATTGCATTGCGAATGCCATGGAAGACTCAGCGAAGTAGCACGTCCGACGCAGGCGCACTGATAGTATAACAGCAGCAGTGAATGCTGGGCAGGGGTTAGAAGCGCAGCCGGCACGAGACCTGCCTGCCTATAACATGGGCGCAGAAATGGACGTCAATAGATAGTCGCGCTACTGACGACAGGCTACCACACCAGGCTATCATCGTACAAGGTTCTGCGACCAGACGCAACATCCGTGTCATGATCTGCGTGATTGTCGACCTCGAGGGGGCGATCGATTACTGCACCCAGACCGGCCCCACGCCGGTGGGAAGGCTTGGGCTCATGTGCGCGCCGTAGACAGTACGAAGATCAGAGGCAGCTTCGAAAGGACGTTCCCGTGAGGGATGACGCTGACGACTCCCTGGCAAGTAGCGAGGACAGCAGAGGACATCAGGATACCAGAGATGGTTGCTGCTGATAAGGGGAGTTCGTTGTCGCATGTTGCCATACCAGAGCCGCAGAACAGTCTTCAAGCATGGCGAGGCCTGTCCCTTGCTCTGAATGAATTCGAAGTTGAAAAGTACAAGGGCAAGGCACCCCGGCGACTGCCGGTGCCACGCGAGGCGGCTCCTTGCCGACAGCCGACGGCCCCGCACGCGCTTTGCCGCACGTGTGATCAAAAGCGGCGTCAACAAACAAGCAGCCATTGAGTCCAGACCTCGAGGTCCTTTGTGGGCGTCGTTCCTCTGCGGCGCAATGATGCCGTTGCGTGTCGTTCTCACCGGAAGAGCCACGGGTGATTGAGGTAGCTGGGGGCGTATGAAGGGAAAATGAGCGAGATTGAAGAAGGGAAGGTGTTCGAGGTGTTCGAGGTGTTCGACGCAGATCGTGCGCGCCAATTTTCGCCAGCCGGGTGCGCGCCAGAAGAGAGTCCTGAGAGAGTCGGAGCGAGGCCAGGAACTTCTGAACTGAGAATTCGCTGGCCGGAGTCGCCGGACCTAGGGAGATGCACGGTGCCGTCAAGCGCCGCTGCGCCGCTGCCGAATTGAGATGTGCACCATTTGCTCACTGGCTGGATCCTGGAAGTCTGCAATGTTCGCCCAGGGTCTCTTGATGCCTTTCCCGTCTCTATGTAAACCGAGTTGCCCTCCTTCACACACTCATCTACATCGCTGCTCCCCCCACGACCGTCTACGCCGCACAGTGTCGCCTATATACGCTCAGAACATACGAAGGGAACCGGCGGGGCTGGACGACGACAATCATGGGTGCTGGTCTTGATTCTACGTGCGTGGGCCCGCTTCCCCGCAAGCAGCAGACACTGACGAGCGACGCCTGCTTCCAGCCTGGGGGCCTCCTTCATAGGCAAGTCGCGTTCGTGGTGATCGAAGAGTGCGCGAGCTGATCGGGCATGGCAACGGGCGCAGGCATGGTCATTGCAGCTGCGTGCGTCCCCTCCCTCCTCGCAAATCCGCATACTGACCGCCACCCTCGCATAGACTGTTCGGAAGTACGTCCTCGCGCGCGCCACTAGCCTTTCCTCCCCCTCACATTCCCCCGCCTAGTCACATGTTCGCAGACCTACTTCTACTTCGGATCCACGTCGAGACAGAACAAGGATAGCACGCTACTGTCCAGCATAGTGCGTACTGCATTCCCGCCTGTCGACCTTACCGCAACCCACCCCACAAGCCTCCTCGGGATGCTCATCTCCCTTACAGGTAGCGGGCATCGTCCTGGCAGACTGTTTCCATCAGATCGCTATTACGAGCTGGCGTGAGTCTTCAGTCTCCTTCCCCTAAAATTCCTGAAAAATGCTGATCGCTCACCTCTGACAGTGTACAACTACTGCGTAAGCGCTCGAACACGACCGCGCGAAGGGATCGGATAACTTACGTGCGATAGGTCACTGAATTCGGGAACCTCACCGCCTTGTCGAACCTGCCATGGTGAGCGAGCGCGATCCGCTCTCCCTCGCCGAGCTAACTGTTACTTCAGGGGCTTCTACGGCATGGTCATTCCTACGGTACGTCCCCCCTAGCACGTCTTGGTGCGTACCCTCGTATACTGAAGGCCGTTCAAGCTGCTCGTCACCTTCACGGTGCAAGGGTGCGTCTGCGGATTTTGTTTCCATGACGCATCGCTTTTTCTCACCTAACATTCACACTAGATTCTACGTATGGCGAATTTGGCAATGTATGTCGCTCCTTCCTCTATGCAGACCGGAGTTGATCTTCACCGTAGTGAGTGGCAAGAACTGGATCCTCGCGGGCTTCATCGTGCGTCACTGTTTTTTCTTATATCTGGAATACGACTGAGCAACCAATCTTGCAGGAAGCCTGCTCCGTCGCACAAGCTGGTAAGTGCTCCTCGCAACTTTGACTTGCGCGTTCTGACGCAGGTCTTCAGGTTCTCTCATCTGTGCGCCACTTTGTCGGATAGCCTGAATCCCAACTAACCCATCACAACCCCTACCAGACTATATCACTGCTTCGTGAGCTGCTTTTCTGACTGGAGTTGACCTCTCGCGCTTACCCGCTTTCTCAGTTTCGTCACCGTCGTCTCTGCTGAGGAGTTGACGATTCAGCTTCAGGTGCGTCTCTTTGCAACTCGATCCGTCCTTCCGTTCCATTCCTTTCATCGAGCGCCGTCGAAAGCCTCGATATCGTCAACAGGCTCAAGGCTTTCGGCACTGTCGACAGGGTCATACCTGTCTTCCTCATTTAGGCCACGTATGATCTCGATGCTAACACCCCCCAGAAATACGTCGTGCTGGTGAACGGCCTCGGCGCAGGCACCGACATCCTGATCACCCTCTGCATGATGGCGCTCCTGAAGCAGTCACGCACAGCGATCAAGAGAACGAATAGGATCATTCGTACCATCGTATGTTTTCTCTCAGTCACCACAAGGAGTGGATGCTCACTCGCCGCGCAGATGATTTTGTCCGTCACGACAGGCATGGCGTCCACGTGAGTTCTCCTATGGGACGCTGCGAAAGAGAGGCACGCTGAAACCAACACCCACCAATAGGTTCTGCGCCATCATGGTGCTGAGCATGGCCGTCGCCTTCCCCGGGAAGCAAATCATGATGGCCTTTTATTTCATGCTTACGAAAGGTAAGCCGCACAGCCCTCGTCCCTATCCTTACCGATCCCCTCTTGCTTGCCCACCCCCTCGCACCCCACTAACGACCCTCACCCAGTATACACCAACTCCCTCCTCGGCACGCTTAACGTGCGCGACCACCTGCGCGAGGCGAGCGAGCGCGCGAAGTGGATCTCGACCGCGAGCTTCATGTTCACGCGCACGCGGGACATCATGGGCACGACGAATAACGGCCCCGTACGCACGACGCAGGGCGCGCATACGGTTCACGAGCTCGGCGACCTCAAGCAGGCTCCGGTAAGTGGCCGGTTCTCCGCTCGGCCTTTTGGCGGAGTCGTATCATAGTGGGCAATCTTTCTGACTTTCACCAGTCTTCGCAGGAAGAGAGCGGGGACGACATTGAGCGCCAGACGATCTCAATCAAGGTTGATCAGTCGAGGGATGTTACCCAGTAGGCCTCGAGGGCCCTCTCTTGGGTGGCTTCGGGCTTCGGGGTCGATACCCTCTGGCCTCTGCTCGACGTTGGTTGTGCTTCAGGACCTCTATATCCTACGGGCCCGTCCGCTCCTTACAGTGTGTACGCATAATTTGGAATTGTATGGTTTGTTCGGTCGTTCAGATTGTGGAATATGTCATGATGCAATGCGCTTGGAGAGGCAGAGCCTGCGTAGCGATTTACTTTTGCCGGGCCGCATTGTGGGCCCAAATTGTAGGTCCGCCTCGCAATATGCCGGCTGCGTTGATGCCTACCCGACAGGGAAGGTCTTATCCTTTCTGTCTACTCCCATATTCGACTTAGCCATTCTTGCTGGATGACTTTTTGTAACTGGCCTTCCTTCATGCACGCTCTCCTACAAGAGAGATCACTAGGCGATCGTGCTCTCACTGGCATGACCGCTAACAAGGTCATCAGCGTGGAAGTTTCAGTGGTCCCCGAAGACCCAAAACGGCCCGTAAAGTCGGCAGAGCGGCGCGGGATAACTCGCTCGGCGTCGCTCGAGCCTTTGTGGAGCTGGCCCTGTGGTTGGACTTTGCACATGCTCGCGACCATCCAGATGCCTGACTGAGAATTGCGAGAGGTGATAACCAACTGTTCAGGTGTATAGCGGCCCGACTCAATGGGAAGAACTGGAGGAGCACTTGGCTTTCGCTCCGCGGTTAATATCTGTCCGTCGGACAGTCGTGGATGACAGGGTGTCTGCCCTCTGTTTTCGTCAGGTATAAAAGATGGATGCTAAGCATCGTCGGTCCAGACAGCTCATTCTCAACGCAGCATGATGAGTCCTACGCATCTTATACTGGTCTGGGCTCTGATATCGTGCGCGACGGCGTCTGCTCCCTCGGGTCCTTGGGATGACTTCAACTACGCACCCGCCTCACGCACCGTGTATCCAGCGGGCATTCACGGCACCAATGGCGACGTAGAGAACACGGATGGCCTTCTCTCCGCGGATGCCGGCTCAGCCACTTTGAGCGGGACAGATGCCTGGGTCACAATTGACTTTGGGAAGGAGGTCAGTGACTTGATCGTTCTGTTCGTCGCGCGCTCACGAATGAATAGGTCGGTGGTGTCGTATCCCTCGTCGTCGACTCTGTATCTGGCGACGACGCGTCCCTCGCATTGGCGTTCGCCGAATCCCCCTCGCTCATCAGCCCTACTCTCTCGGACGACTCCGTGTACCCCGTGGCAGACATGACAAGTGACGGCGCGCAACCCATCACCGGGCCGCTCAGCAAGGGACTGTGGACGCAGCCCATTTCCTGGCAGCGCGGCGGCTTTCGCTACCTGACCGTCTCGCTCACGGCTGGCGATAGTGTCTCGCTCTCTAACGTCTCGGTCGCGCTAACGTTCAGCCCAAATACTGACAACTTGCGCGACTACAAGGGCTATTTCTACACGAGGGACACCGCCGGACAGGATCAGGACCTGCTTACGAAGGTCTGGTATGCGGGGGCGTATACGATCCAGACGAACATCATTGCGGCAGACCAGGGCAGAGGAAAAGTTGCCAGTGGCGGTCAGTGCTCTCATCTCTTCTTTGTTGACGAATACGCTCACACTTCGTAGCTTCAGGATGGAACAACAGCGGCCAGATTGCCAAGGTCGGACCTGTGATTGTGGACGCTGCGAGGCGCGACCGGTACGTTGTCCATGGTTATGGGCGAGGGCGATGACTGACACATAACAACACCCTAGAACTGTATGGCCAGGCAAGAACTCCTCTGACCATGTCTTGCGCACAGCTCTAACCATTGTTGAAGGCGACATGGGCATCGCGGGGCCTGCTGCGTTCGTAGCTCTCAATGAGCTCGAATCTATCCGCAATAGCCTTGACGAAATGTTTTCGTTGCAAGACACGACGACTGGTGGTCTTCCGTATTGTGGCCCTCTCATCAGTATAGGCCCGGGAGAGAGGTATATCAGTCTTTGACGGGGGTACTCTTGCGAAGCTGAAGCGCTGCTAGCGATACCTATCATGCTTGGTCGCTTGTTGGGGTCTACAATTACTGGATGCACTCCGGTAATAACGACTGGCTCAAGGCGAAGTGGGATCAATACGTGCTGGGCGTGTCCTATCTGGCTTCCAAAGTCGACTCCGACGTCGGCTTGCTCAACGCGACGGGTCCCACAGACTGGGGCCGTCTCGGTGGCGGAGGCTTCAGCATCTCGCCGAACGTGCTATACTATAAAGTCAGTTTATCGCTTCTCATCCTGCATCTCTGGCGATCTCATGTGCGATATAGGTTCTCGTTGATGGTGCGGCCATCGCGACGGCTCTCGGCGAGAGTGAGACGGCTAGGCAGTGGCTTGCAGATGGCGAGTCTTTAAAGGACACCATTAACGCCGTGCTTTGGGATAACGACAAGGGCCTCTATATCGACAATACGACAACCACGCTGCATCCTCAGGACGGGAACTCGCTCGCAGTATGGTTCAACGTGACTGCGTCAGACGAGCAGAAGGCGCGGATTAGTGTTGGTCTGGAGGAGAATTGGGTCGATGTGGGCGCGGTGGCGCCGGAGCTTCCGGACAACGTTGCGCCGTTCGTTGGGGGTATGGAGGTACGAATCCGCCTGCTTCTGATTTTCCCTAGAGGTTGACTGACATTTCTGGCAGCTGCACGCCCACTTCGAGGCTGGCGCGGCGGAGCGCGCTCTTGAGTTCGTTCGCCTCCAATGGGGTTGGATGTTGACGACGAACGTGAGCGCGCAGTCCACGCTCCTGGAAGGGTATACCTCCAACGGATCACTACTGTACGTCCACTTGTCAGTCTGTATGTTCTCTCAGTTAATTCCCGCAGGTATCGCGCCGATGCTGGATATGCCAACGACCCATCGTACACGTCGCATTCTCATGGCTGGAGCACGGGCCCGACGCCGGCTCTAACGGCCTACGTACTCGGTCTCATGGTAACGGAGCCAGCTGGGCAGACGTTCCGGATACAGCCGCAGACGGCTGGACTACCTGCCGCTGAGGGAGGATTTGAGACTCCGCTCGGATGGTTCGGCGTAAGCTGGTCGAACGATTCAGCCAACGGGCGCTTCGAGCTGAATGTGACGGCACCTGAAGGAACTCAGGGTGTCGTCATACCGCCAGTTGCAGGCGATGTGACAGTCGATGGCAATGAAGTCGGACAAGAGGGTGAGATCACCGTACAAGGTGGTATGCATTCCATTGTTGTACAAGGCCAGTAGAGAAGATCGTTTGTATCGGTTGTACACAGTAATGAAGTTATCAAATCGTCCTTATTGTCGCCTCTTCGCGTTGGTCAGCGCTCTCAGGCGGCTTGCTCGACCAGGAACGCAAGTCCCATCTGATAACGGTCAGCAAACAATGAGAGCAGAACGGAAGACAGATATAACTCACCTTCACGAACTCGCACGTCTTGTTGAAGTTGAGCTTGTCGATGGTATCCCCTGTGCTGTGGTAGTACGGGTTGAGGGTGGGGTCATTGGGCCCCGCCTCATCGATCGACACGGCCGGGTATCCGAGATCGTACCAGGACCCTGCCGAGAAAGACCCAGGTCAGTTGCTCACATTATACGAAGAAGTAGCGGTCCGCTCACAGTGGTCGGTGCAGGCATAACCGCAAGTACTGTTACGGATATCGTCGTTTCCCAGATACGCCGCCAACAGCTTGAAGGTCCACCCGATCAGCGACGGGTCCGTGTCCGTAAGCAGCGTGAGCACGGGCTTGGTCTGCATCTGGTACGCGACCATGTCCATCTGCAGCATCGCGGTGACCTTGGCGCCGGCAGCGGCGTACTTGCTAGCGACGGTCTGCGACCCCTTCAGGCCGCCCTCCTCGCCGGCGTACGCGTGGAACTCGATGGTGCGCGAGCCACGGTAGTTGTTTCTGGCGAGGATCTGGGCGACTTGCAGGACGACGGCGATGCCGGAGGCATCTAGGGTTCAGAAATCAGATGTGCGACACGAGGACGAAAGGATACGACCTACCATCGTCTGCACCAGGAGCACGACCGGCGCTGCTGGTGTTACCGGCGGTAGAGTCGAGATGCGCCCCGAGGATCACGACCTCATTGCTGTTCGTACCAGGGATCCTCGCGATGACTGCATTTGAGTAAACTCCACGTCTGAGCGTACAACAAGTCAGAAGAGCAGCTCACCATTGGGCTGATCGAAATCGGGATTCTCGAGGAGCCGCACGTTACCAGAGCCAAACACAGCCTTGAACTGGTCCTGAACCCATAGAGCGGGCGCTCGAGCGTTAGGCGACTGGTAAGCCCGCGTCGTGTAGCCGTTGGAGAGCGTGTCGACGGTGTTGTAAAGACCAGTGGCGTTGACCTGCTTGAAGAAGCGACTCTGCAGGAATGGGTACCTCGACGGGTCGGGCGGAGGATATACCCGCTCGGCGGAGGGAGGTGGGGCTGAGGCGCCGGGCGTCTGTGTGCCCTTCGATTGGGTGATGTCGAGGAAGCCAGGACCGCGTCGGACACTCGATATGGCGTCGATAGCTGCGAGCGACATGCCGTCAAGCTCGTTCGCCGTGCGGTCAACATTGTCGTGAGTCTGCGCCAGGTAGTTCAGCGCAGATGTGGGGACCCATTCGGTTTGAATGCCCCCGGACGCGTCTCTGAATTGGATGAGGCGGACATCGTCGGAATGCGCTGGAGACGCAACGACCGAGCTGGCGAGAGTAACAAGAGAAAGTATGGTCGTCCAGGTACACTTCATGGTGTCAGAATGAGAGGAAAGGCGAGTCGATGCTGAGACAAGGCTTACTACTGCTAGTTTATATGCACTTTTCAGGCCACTTTTCTCCCATTAGTACTAAGTGAGCTCGTCAGATGGCTTGAGAGTACCGGTTAGACTGCACTGTAGGACGGTCAGGATGGAAGGAGTGGAGTGGGGCCTAACATTACATACGCGCACATCCTCGGCTTTAGCTTATTGAACGTCGGCGCGCATGCAGGCGAGGTGACCTTGAGTGTGCTGTGGGTCAACTACGAGGTCACCACCGGTACTAACGTGCCACCTGACCCGGTTTGAGAAGTTCTGATGAGAAAGGAGAATATCGCGCGAGGGCGAATCACGCAGCAGAGTCAAGGCCCGGCATCGTGTGCTACCTCTTTCGTCCGCCATACGAGGATCATGACTCTCGAAAGGCCCACCTTTCCAAGAGAATCGAGGACATGTCAGATAGGACGTAACCCACCGTGAAAGTGGTTCACGCCGCTCGTCGGTTGCGATGGGCGCACCTCATAATGACGCCGCACCGTACCTCCCGTCACGCCCGCCTGTCCAGTCATGGTGTACGATCCTTCAACTAGAATATGGGTTGCATATCTACGAGCACTTTGCCTTCCCATCGGATGAGCAGGATCGTCGGGGATGGGCTAACCTGCTGCACAGTAGCTGAAGGTCGGGCGCGTCTAACTTTCGTCCCAACGAATCAAGGCCGGCATGAAATGATGCGCGAGTTTAACGGTCAGCTCCTTACATGCGTATAGTCCTTTGTTTCACGTGGGTATGGAGATAGCGAAGGTCGAAGACGGGATACATGCAGCGCAGCAGCACACAAGATGAGCGGTTGGGACAAAATGTACTTTCGGCAAAGACCGACGATCGCGTGGCAGACAAAGCACATCCACCGGCTTGACTCCTACTCCGATGGCCTTTGGTACTCCCTTCTCGGTCAACGCAATACCAGCATCGCCGACCTCCAGCTCGTCTCTAGTCTCTGTCAAATGCGTTATTTTGGACCACTGGTCACCCTGGTGCCGAGCGTCTGCGTGGCCTTCGACAAATTGGCATCATGTCAGACGCGGTAGTCGCCCGACGTGTCCATTGTTCCTCTTCAGAGATGTTCGTATCTATAGCTGAAGAAGCTCACCCTTGCATAGATTCCCGCAATGGCTGACGCTATTTTTTGTCACCTGGACGGGACTCGGCCGCAAAGAGGGCCTCAAGTATCTGAGTTGAGGCGATAGTCTGACGGTGGCAGCGTGGTCCCCTTCTTTCCTCTCCTGTATCCCCTTCGCGGTCCTTGGCCGAACCCCTTTCGCTTGGCCTTTGGAAAGTACCTACCCGCCGCCATTCCGCCATGTCGTGTCCCCACTGCGTCCGCGGCTTTCCCCTTCCGGGCGAGCCCAAGGGTGTCCTGCGAAATGACCTGATGTTGGATGCGTATCTTGCGTCCCCAAACGCACCTTCAGAACAATGGACGCCTTCCCACCGCGCCGTCGTGCTCTTGACCGACATCTTCGGCCTCAACCTCCCTAACCCGAAGTTATTAGCCGACCGGTTCTCCCAAGAGCTTGGGTGCGACGTAGTGGGTCCCCAATTTCTTCGACCGTAAGTGCTACCTTACATGCTTGTTTTCAGCGAACTGATAACGGACGGCCTTCCAGCTGCCCCCTTCCTTCGCGCCGACGAGATTTAATTGCCGGACAGACCTGGCGTGAAGATCTCGTGGTGGTCGTCTATGAAGTACTTTTGGATACTCATTACTCGTCTCCCGAGGGTCATACGCAGCAGACCCTCCAGGGCGGCAGCGCGCACGACCAAGGTTCTTCTTCAATTTCGTCGCCCAAATATCTTACTGACTTACTTGATCTGCAGTTCATCGAGCAGATTCGCGCCAAGTACGAGTACACAAGCGTCGGCTCGATCGGGTAAGCAGACCTCCGTGTATTCTGCGATGAGGGTGACTGACATTCCCGTGTGTAGCTATTGCTGGGGTGGAAGCCGGCTCTACCATATCGCGCAAACCCACGCTATCGAGAGCGCCGTCATCGTTCATCCCGGCGGCTATAAGGATGAGCAGCTCAAAGCTATCCGCGTGCCCGTATCCTGAGCCCTCGCTGAAGGTGGGGCCCTCAAGCGCGCTGATTCTCGCCCATTCGTACTCATGATACACGAAAGACTGTGAATACATCAAGCAGAAGCAAATCGACAATGCCGAGGCAATCTTCGCCTCGCGCAAGGGGAAGGACGATTTCATGGAGTACGAGTTCAAGGTGTATCCTGGTACGCCATCTCGCACCTCTCTGCGCGCAACCTTCTCACATGGCGGCTAGGCACCGCGCACGGCTTCGCCGCGCGACCGAATCTAGCGCTTCCTGCAGTCAAGGAGGGATTCGAGCGTGCTTTTGAGCAGGCAGTCAACTGGTTCAAAAAGACTCTGTTCTGCGTTCGTTCCCCATCAGTTAGGGATGTATTATGCTCGCTCTTTGACTCTAGAGGAGGAATCCTAAATTCCACGCGAATTTTCCTGCCTCGCCTCGATCATCCCGCAGGCATCAAGGGCAACTGACCTTGGGCTTGACGAGCGATCACCGACCAACCAGGAGGCTACTTCATTGGGTTGTATATGATGAGATGAGCAAGATGGTGCCTCGCGCTGTGCACGCACTGCATCGGCGACTATGTTCTGCACGAGGCTGTTCCTCGAGGCGCTATGATGCGCTTCATCTCCCCGCTTCCTTCTGTCCTGTCCCCCCTCGACGGCGCTCAAAGCGTGGGAGTCTGCGTGCCTTGGAGCTAGTGAGTGCTCTTGCCCTTGCCCTACCACTGCAGCTGATGCAGATGAACTGATTCAGTCCGCCGCTTTTCACGGCGTGCGGGCGGAGGAGCACGAGCTGCCGCGTTTCCCGCCACAGCTCGTTGGGTCTCCGGCGAGACGTTGTTTGCGTGTTGCTGTTGCTGTACGCAGAGAGGCCGCACGCGCTGAATGGGGCTACTGAAGGGTGTATCAGGCTGTGCGTGGGCGATCGCGCGTGGTTTGTGGCAACCTCATGATGCACTGTGCAGGAACGCGGTGGCCGTGGGATGCGCTTGCAATGTAAGACTTTGTGTCCAATGAACTTCTTCCACAACATATTTGTTACCATGATGCGAGCTCTTCGCGCTCCAGACCTCGGGGTGAGTCAGAATCGTATACATCTCCGTGACTCTGACCTGTCTCTGACCTTTCTTCCAGATCCAAGTGCACCCGCGACAAGGGGCTGAGCATGCGCGCCTGGCCGACGACTGTTTCGTGCACTGTGGAGCTCGATGCGGCAACGCAACAGCAGAGAGGTAAGTCTGCGAGTCGAGCGCGACAGCATGATGGCGTGCACGAGCTGGACTTCCTGGGTGGCAGAGGTCCTCTTCACACCTCTGCGAACGACCGTCAGCTTTGAGAATCCATGCCTCACGCACGTCCGCACGAGACTTCGTCTCCCTCATGGCTGCTTTTGCAGGCTCATACGTTCATTTGTGGCTCGTATCTTATCTCCCCGCACGTCGATCTCAATGGCGTCGCGACGCATGCCCGTCTCGGGATTGGCTTCGATGAGTTCACGAGATGACGTCGATCAGACCAATAGATCAAGATTGACTCTCAAGCTCAGCCATCCCCCAGGTTGCCAGGGCGCGCTCGACACTCGTTCGAGTGTAGCCTGGCTACGGCCTCGAGGATTGGACATGGAGAACACGCGCGCCTCACACAGCATGCCCCTGGCAGTGAGCATCCCAGGGATTTCGCGATAGGTAAGACTGACGAAGACTCAAGAGCTATGATGATCTCCAGCGCACTGATCAGCTGGCGAGTGGGTCTGCTACCCTCTTCAGGGGCGGGGTATGCGTGTAGGAAGCGTGGACAAGAGGCCAGCAGCGTCGGCACCTCACTCAGAGACGGCGCGAACTCTATGGTCCCTTCCGTACAATTCAATCAAGCGATGCGCGCACAGGACAGTGTCGTGCTTACGGCAGGCACCAGTACAGCTTCAGGCTGACTGCAGTCTTTGACGAAGATCCACGCTGATCAGAGCATCCTGACGACAATGGACATCCTCCTCCTTTCCTAGGAGTCTGGAAGATGAAACACGCAGTCTGTTGAGTCTGCACACTGGACGGCGCTGTCAACGCGAGGCTTGGGGACTTGAGACTGAAAGAAACTGCGGCGGGGAAAGCTTTCGAGGTTCGCAGGCTTGAAATACAGGAGTACTCTGCAATAAAATGCAGAAAGGGCGGCAGCAAATCTACTTCCGCTGTCAATTAAAAGGGTCCGACGACAGTTAGACACCGGCATCCCCGGGAGGAAAACAAAGCGACAGCTGTGATAGGAAGGAGAGTTTGACGAATCATTAATTTTGACGGCTTCTGGCCCGATCACGTCGGAAGTATTTCCCCATCTGGCGGTGCGTTGGCGAAATCTAATCTTCGTCTCTCACCTCGACTGCTACACATCCAAATTGCATGTTGGGTGCAATGTGCCCTTGGCCCGCACCGTATAAGATGGAGCATCCGCCCCTCGACCAGGCCCTCATATCTAGCGATGGGCCTATTCGACATTATAAAGCGCACCTTCGCTAATAATCTGCGGAGCTGTGCTCAACAGGCCAGCGCGCGACCAGCCTGCGCCTCCCCCGCGGAAACGACGTTAGGATCGAGGCCCAAGATCAACTCCAGGTGGACTGCTGTTGCCAACGTCTGGCATACCGTCTACTCCCTCTCCCACTTCCGCAAGCGTGCGCTGCTCATCGGGATTGCGTACGGAAACAGGAAGGAATGGACGCTGAGGGGAACACATAGCGATGTAGACTCCGTGCAGAGACTGCTTTCTGGTGCGTGTATAGCTGTGAAAGGACACACGACGCTACTGACGGGCTTGCGTGCTCGCAGGACGCTATGCCTTCCGATCAGAGGACATTGTCATCATGAAGGATGCCGAGGGTGTCGAGCAGCACCTGTGGCCTACGGAGAAGAACATAGTGCGCGCCCTTCACTCGTATCTTCGAACCCTGTCTCACCCGTCCCAGCGCCGTGAGCTCAAGAACTTCACCCTGAACTGCGGCCCACGTACGCTCTTCGACCCTTCTCTTTCACCGAGGGCCACGGCTAACCGTTTCTCTTTCACGCGGCAAGGCGACCGGTTCTTCTTCTTATGTGCGTCGATACTCGAGTCAGCGGACTCGAGCCTCCTTCTGATCTCGCTGCAGACGCGGGGCATGCAGGTCAGAAGACCGAGCGTATCAAGGGGTCGGAAAGAGACGGGAAGGACGAATGTAAGACGGACATCCCATTCCTCTCTACGCTCGTTGACCCGGCGGAAGTCATCATCCCCTGTGACGTGCTAGATATGGATGGAAAAGGATGTATCGAAGACAACGTATGTGACGGCCGGTCGTGCACTTCCTTCGCGTTGACTGGATTCCAGGACCTACACGACTACCTTGTCAAGCCACTCAAGCCGCACTGCAAGCTGGTGGTACGACTTTGTCTACGCTGCAAGGACCTTACTTACACAACATCCACTAGGCCGTCCTCGACGCGTGCCATTCCGCTACTTTGCTCGGTAAGGAGTGTCCGCCATCGACCTCCACCTTTACTAACCCAGCCTCAGATCTCACTCACGACAAGTGTCTGGACGTGGGGCGATGGACAAGCAAAGGTAAGCTCATACATGGTGCAGGATTGCCCACGGGGGCTTACCAATCCATCAGTTGTACATACGGTGCATCGAGGTTCGCGTGCGCCACCCGTCCTTGCCTTTTCTGTCTCACTCGCTCGCAGTACTCGATGTTCTCGACATACCTTCTTTGGAGCCTTCGCCAAAGGTTGAGCAGCAGCCGAACGAGGCCGTGCAGAGCGTCTGCTGCGACGTCATGATGCCTGTAATGAATCGGTTGGTCAGGCGGTGGCGCTTTTGTTGTGGACTTTGTCGACCCGCGATCCCTTGGGACGAACCTTTCGTGGTACGTCGAATGCCCTGAGAAGCAGTCTGTCGCTGACCGTATGTGCGCTACAGCTCTGCATCAGCTCTTGCAAGGACAACGAGTCGGCCATAGAGACGAGTGGTGTATCGATGACAAAGGTTCGTCTGCTTGTTTGTAGAGAGGCATACTCTGACCGTGCTCTTCGATAGACGTTGGTTGGCGTACTAGGTGATCCCACTACCGTTAACACCTTGCCTGATTTCTGACGCATATCTCAGAAGCCCACGAGAGACCCTCGCTAGCGGAACTGCTCACCCACGTCCGGTGCGTTTCCCATCACGCGGGCGGCTCGAATGCCTGCTGACCTCAGGTCTCGAACAGCGCGAACCTTGCCTCAGCCTACGAAGATGAGAAACGGAAGCGCTGGGAGCAGTGGAAGGCGAAGAACGCAAAGAACCCGGACGTTGGCAAGGTCCTGCGTCTGACTCCGCTTGCATGCCTCAATTTGGTACCGAACCAGCTTCCCCGACGTCTGAGCCAGCGAATCCCGTGCTATCCTCCGCTCGCGAAGGTTCAGGTGGGTGGATTGTTCTTGCTTCGGGACGAGGCTGACGCTTCGCTTGCGCCTACTCTAGATGGCGTCGAACCTCCCTCGGGTGAGCTTTCTGAACACACGGTCCAGACTTGAGTTCTGATACGAATCATCGCAGCAGACAGCCGTCGAAAGACTCTGGTTGTAAAGCGCTTTTACTCTGAAGACGTTAAGTTCAGGCCTGGTCGCCACCCTCGTCAGGTTCGGTTTGAGTATTCTTTCTCGCTCGTATGCTTCCAGGACGTTCGTCTTATCTTATTCGCTTGGTCTGTCCGCTGTCTGTTTACTTCATATTTCCCTTTCTTTGGGGCTCTGGATAACGTGTATTGTTTCCATCTGGGATTTGTCGACGAGACGATCTCTATGTACCGAATGTGCTATAATTTTGTAGAGTCTAGCATGTCACTAGGATTCATCTCATTCGCCATGCCATCAGCGACAACCTCGAGGCAGCCGTTTAAGGCAGCATCTAAAGGCGTACACAATGGTGACTCGTGCGGCGGCGCACATCACCTATTGAGGCCTTCGGAGAGGAAGAAAATTGGCGAGGCTATCCAGCAGCGCGCAGCCGCCTCATCAATCGATAGCCACGCGTCTTGGTCTGGCCCAATCCTCGTACGCCAACACCCCCGCCTTGTCTGCGTGGCTTGGAGCCGGTGAGTGATCTCTCCTGCCACAGGTCCTGATGATATTCGTCATAATACTTACTTGTTGTCGATCTTCGCGGTCTGAGGCAGGGCAATCAGTAGACCTGGAAAGACACTCCGCCGCGGTGCAGAGCTCAGCGGGGAGCATGGATCAAGGAGTCAGTATCAGAGCAGCCAGCTATCGTCGCTGCACGCCAGGACGCCGCGTGTGTGTATACGGCCTCGGTTGAGTGTCTGAAGGTGTATCAAAGGCGGTGCTCTGGAGCGTACCAACTGGGCGATCGTACGGTGTCCATTGTCTCAATGAGTGCGAGGCGCAAGGCTTGCGCGCCTTGCGGCTATGAGACTGAATGCGGGAGAAGGCGTCCCACAATGACAGACCAGAGTGCATCAAACTCACAATGATAGGGTTCGCTGCTGCACGCGCCGGAATCGTGGTCACGCCTCACTCTGTCCTCAGGCCCTCTTCCATGGGGGGTCGCGCGTATGATGAGAACTATGTTACGCTTCGCGCAGTGCGCAGGAGACGTGGGGATGCGCGCGACCGGCGCATCGATGGTACTAAGGATTCTGGACTCCATAAATACAATATGCCAGCAGTGTCAAGGGCGGTATGTCTGACGCGGCGGTATTGTTCGGCGCAGCAGCTGGACTGCCCGAAGCGGCGGATGTTCCATCCTCCGCCATGGTTCGCATTGGGAGACCCTGGGAGCCTTTGTCTCTGACGTGTTAACGTGCACAGGCGACTTGTCGTGGGAGCGGGTAGGGTCCTCTCGAGTCATATCTTATCTGCCTTCCAATCCAGGCAACATCATCTTTCATATCTGAGCTCTGGACGTCACCCAGATAGTAAACGGGCGCCTATTTGCGGTGATAAACCTTCAATGAGAGAGCGTGGTCCTTTAGACCTCAGGCTGGAGATCGATCTTCCATACATAGCAGTGCTCCGTCCAGAGCTGTACCAATGCCTCAATGAAAATGCATGGAGGGCACGAGGCTGGTACACAAGGTTCCTGTGGCAATGAACACGAAGCCTTCGTGCTGATCATGCTAGTCTCCCGCTCCTTGGTAACATGAGTAGTGGGGCTTCGAAACTGATAGTGACCGCGGGAGTGTTTGGCTCTCGAGAAACTGGCCGGCTTTGAAGAACAGTCATCATACAGGAATCCCACAAGAGAGAAGTACGGAGGTATATTTTGCTTCCGCTGGGAATAAAAAGGGTCCGCTAACATGTGGAAATATAACAGTTTCCCCGAATAGTAAGCAAAATGTGGCTGTACAGGAAGCACAAGATTAGATATCGCTCGGTCACGCCAAGGTCACACAGATCGTTCGTCCTGCGAGCATCTCTACCACTCTTCCTTCCTACCATATCCAGACAAACGCAATCGATGTGCCCTCCGTCCGAGCTGTATAAAATGCAACATCTCGCATTTGACAAGATACTCGCACTCTCCCCTCCCGATGACTATTCTCGAGCAGATCAAGCAAGCCTTCGCAGACGGTCCTCGAAGCCATGTCCGATACATTGGCGCCCGATCGACCTGCACATCGCTCGACACGACGCCAGCAGAGCACAGCAGTGGTTCTCGGCTGTCTTCGGTCGTCAATCTCTGGCGAACAGTCCGCCGTTTCGTCCGCGAGTTCCGTCAGCCCATTCGCAGACGCGCGCTGCTCATCGGAATCGCATACAAGGAAAGGGGGGACTGGGCGCTCAAGGGGACACACGGAGACGTTGACCGCGTTCAGAAGCTACTCGTCGGTGCGTCAACAGCTTTGCGTGGGGCACGATGCGACTGACGGGTTGCATGCTGGCAGGACACTACAGGTTTCGGCCGGAAGATATCACTGTTATGAAGGATTCTAAGGATGTGGAGGATCACCTATGGCCTACGGAGCAGAACATTGTGTGTCTTCTTCCTGTGCCACCCCAGCTATGACTGACCGCCGCCCAGCGCCGAGAGCTCGCCAACTTTACTGTCAATTGCGGTCCGCGTGAGCCTGACGACCTCCATCGTCATGCGCTCATACTGACCCTCTACTCGCTACGCTTGTACAGGCGACCGCTTCTTCTTCCTATGTGTGTACCGATGCCACGTCTCCTCGGTCCATGAGCATCCCGTTGACCAACCCACAGACGCAGGCCATGCTGAACAGAAGAACGAACGTATCAAAGGGTCCGAAGAGGATGGGAAGGACGAGTGTAAGGCACGTCCATCCCTTTGCTCAGTTTCCTGACGTTGGTGCAGATATCATACCTTATGATGCCCCGGACATGAATGGGACCGTATGCATCGAAGACAACGTACGTGCGACGCTGCCGCTATCTTCCGATTCTGACCTTTCTTTTCAGGACCTATTTCGATACCTCGTCAAGCCGCTCAAGCCTTACTGCAAGCTAGTGGTATGACTGCAACAATGAGGAGACAAGACGTCGCTAATGGAACCGTACTAGTAAACTGGCCTCCCGGCACTTACGAGACCTGCGAGTAGGTGGTTGATTGCTCCTTTCGGGACGTGTCGAACTCAAAACTGCAAAAGAGCGAGTGAATCTTTTCACCCGAGCATGTTATGCTCCCACCACTGACAAAGAGCACAAGAACGCGTAGTAGATTATATGGAAGCAGTACTCGTACCCCGCAAGCTACGCGCGCTTTCAGGTTGAAAGGCGTGTTCGCCGCGGAAGCGTACATAGCAAGAGCATGAGAATGAGTGGGAGGGCGTGTGGGGTACATATGAGGAATGGGGAAAGGGTAACCTAGGCAGATCAAGGCAGCGGGCAGCGCGCCTGTTGATGCAAGACACGAAGAGGTCGCGCGTGCTGCTAATAGCGCTGCACGGATGTCCACACCTCCTCGGAATCTGACAGCGAAAACGCGGGGGACGAGGGAGATCACCAGCATCCTTGAGTGTAGTGCCGTATTGCCGGAGCATTTTGTCAAAGATGCTGGCAGACTAGGTGAGTATCATATGTAGGATGAGAGGAAGGGTCACGAACCTCTCCCCCGTCTCCTCGCACCATCGCGGCGCGTTGTTGCGTTCGCATCGGTTCACAAGTCCAGTGCAATAGAATTGCTGCTATGTTAGTGTTAAGAAGAAATATGAGGTAGGGGTAGGGAGAGAGGGGCGAGAGGCGAGGGTCATGGGAGAGAGGGCGACGGTGGTTAGTGAGGGTTTAGTGCAAGCGCAACATCATGACTGCCGGCGACATCGGACCGGCGGCCAAAAGCTGCGCGGCGACTCCCGAGACCGCAAAGCAGATCGCAGAGTGGCGAGAGGAGCAGACAAAGCGAATGACTATCATCTAAATGGCATAAAGAGCGCTTCTAAATATTTCAGGAAATCTGGGTGCTGGAGGATGGTCGTTATCTCAACTTGAAGGGCCTCGTCGAGGATTGAGGCTGTGCAGGCAACCTCGGACCGGTTGCGCACGTGTTAAGGTCTTGTCAGCCGTGGCGCTTTGAGCCCCTGCGTCGCCTTGGAAAACCAGGAATACGAGCTCTGATATAGGTCGAAGTATGCCAGACATTTACTAGATCAATACAAGCATAGGGAATGTAGCAAAAGGCTCGAATGCCTGCTCCCGGAGATAAGTTTGATGCGCCGCTTGGACGTCTGATGGTGATGAATCCTGGTCAGGTAAGACGAGAGCTCTCGCAAGCTCGAGCAGGTCTCGTAACACAGGCTCTACTCGACGCATGCCACTCGGCGACTCTGCTTGGTGGGTACTCCGCTCCTCGTTGACCTGACTGTTGGCTGACGTACCCACAGATCTCACCCACGACAAGTGCCTCGACATCGGATGCTGGTGGGGCAGAGGTGAGCACACGTATGATACGATCATCTACCACCGACTTATCGCCATCGCAGTCGTGAACCTCCTACACCATGGTGCGACCTTGAGGCCCCCTCCCAAACAACCGTCTCACTCGCTATCAGCACTTGACCTCCTCGGCGTCGCTCTTCCCGAACCAATTGAACCTCCTCGAGAAGATGGACCGGTAGTGGTGATGGGATCGTACGCTCACGAATGACGCGAAGTACAGTCTAGCTAGACGATCCACACAACCAAACACCAACAACCACGATAGCAATGAACACGCTAGACTGGGGGCGCTACGAGAGCGGGCGAGTCCGAGTATTTATATTACTTGGGGATAGATTGTGTTGTTTATGCCAGTTCCAGACGAGCTGGACTGAAGCGAGAAGTCGAGTGGGGCAATCGGATGTCTCGGCGTTCTGACGAGCGCTTTCGGGTTTGATTGAAGTTCACAAGGCGGTTTAATGCGCTCGGAAGTTCAGGCTTTTATGATGTGTAAAGTGCGGGTTAACGCGGTTGTGTTTATTTGGTGTGGTGTGTAGGTACTAGGGCTTCTCTGCGCGGGGCGGGAAAACTCCTCGAATCGTATGTAGGTCTCGGTATATAACTTGAACGCGTCGTCTCGGCCGTCCAGACCGCGCGGTAACACACAATGCCTATCTCTGAGTCAAAATCCAACTATAACGCCTATCCGCGCGTTCTCCTGTCCGAATAATCGCGCAATGACTGCGGTTCCTGGCGGTAGAGCGGTTGACTGGTCGGGTATCCTCCTGCGCCGCGATGCCGGGCGCGATTCCACACTTGTTGATGTTTACCAAGGCAAGGCCGGCCTGGTTTCCACCCGTTCCCTTGTGCGCGACGCGGCTCAGAGGCCTGCGCGGCGGGGAGCGTACAGTCTGGACTGTCGATACGCGGGGAGCGAAGCCCTTGCCGGGGCGGACAGCGCTTGGCGGCGCCGACGCTCGGTTCGGAGTTCAACTCGGCGATGTCCGAGATCACGAGCTCGGACCCGAAGTTCCGGTCTCGGATCCGAAGTCACGTGTAGTCACGTTGATGGTTCGAGTTCCGCTTGCGCGGTGCTCTGCGTGTCTCCGCATGACGGCGAGCAGCAGGAAGGCTTGTCCGAGCCCCAACAATAATCTAGATTCGCTTGACACAGCAGGGCAAGAGGACTGAAGGCTTGAGGCGCGTATAGCGCGGCTACTTGATTAAGTAGGGCCCGCCAAAGGACTCGCAGGATGTCATCGACGACGCGCAGACTCGTGATCAGGCGCCGAAGAGCTCGCTGCTATCCTTGGTCAGTCATTGCAGATGGATAATGCTGCGGACTAGTTGTATTGAAGGTTAGGAAGCGTGGCGCTGATACGCCGGGGCTAAGAAAATCGCGTTTTATAAGGGGAAATTAAGCAATATGAAGCGGATCGCCGGCAAGCAATCAGGGCTATGAAATAGCAAGCTACTACTGTACAGGGAGCTTAGCCTAGATGGTACCAAAGGTGCTGGTACAAGAGACTGTCAGCCTGTCCAGCTTCTATAAGCGGGTACTATAAGAGAAACCGGTTAGCGGGCTACCCTGAGGGCCACTAGGAGCTCCGAGGCACCTGACCGCCATGTCTGCGCGCCTTAGATGACATCCTTTGGATCCCTGAAAGGGCTGAGTGGGATGCAGTCGCTCTAAGACCGCCACTCACGGCTATAACATGCCTTAGCAGCGCCGGAATCTCGTATAGGAATATGTCGCACCCATTCAGGCAGTCTCTGCTAGCTACCTAAGGGAAGTCTGCCAAGGGAATCTTTCCCGAAGCAAAGCCTGTTGCCGGTGCCGCACGCGCGTCACCTGACCGTGTAACTCGAACCGTGACGCGGTTCGGACTTTGCCGAAACCAACTCGCACCGGCGCGACGCTTCCTCCGCGACGCGCGCTCGGTTTGCGGCCCCACCACGCGTGCCTCGATACACCTCGGCGAGCGGAGAATTCGACTGCGGACTCGTGCGGTCCCCAGGAGAAATCGCGCGCTCCCTAGGCGGATAAGATCCATATCTCGGTATCTCGACTCTCTGGCGCCTCTTCGACACCGGCAATCTTCCAACCGGCTGACAGTATCGTCCTAAGCCCGGTATCAGCGCTCCGGCGCTCGCGATAGGCAGGAATTGGGCGGGATTTGCAGGGGATGGCGCGATATGAGGGAATTATTGGGAGGAGATAGGAGAAGTGCCGCGGCGAGGCGTCGGGCTGGCCTCGGAGGGGCGAACGTTCAAATACCAGACTGTAGGATGGATTCAGGGACTTTTCGGACCCCGAGAAGCCCCAGTACAGCGCACCGCTAGAATCATAAGCTTAACCAGCATTTGACCGTCTGATCAGCCTTTGGGCAACTAAGCACCTGAATATCTCGTCGTAACCTTCGTATAACGCTTCCTAAGCGCCTGCGAAAGCTTTGAGCACAGACCCTCTCAGTAACCGCGACTCCCAGAGCACGGAATCTATTATTTCTCCAGTAGACTAGTTACTCCCAAGCAATACAAAAACCCGGACTCGCTGCGTCTCTGACCGGTGATTGACCATTCTACTGTGTGCTTGTTGTGTGTGGTTGAGGCCTGAGTCGATCAGAGGTCTTTCGAGACGTACGATCCCATTATCTGGAGCCCACCGCGAGGGAGTAACCTACGCACTCGAGGAATAATTCTGAGAAGCGAACTCGGCTGTAGCAGGTTGTCAACGAGGACGATCAGTCGTATTCAGGCTTAACAAAACGGCGCCTGGACCGAAATCCGCTCTTAAGGCACTTGAATCGGGTTGGGATAGCGCATCGTCGTCTCGATCCCGTGCAAAGGCTAGAGAGAAGGCTCGTTTAGCAGCAAAAGCGTCGGACGCTAAGCGGAAACGCAAAGCGAAAGCATCTACCTCTCACTCATCCTCACAACCTATACATTCACCCACCCCACCCGCTTCTCCTCAGCTACCAGGGTCTTTTCCTGAGAACGCTGGTCCTCATCCTTCAACTCCAGAACCAGATTCCCCTCTCCCTTCCATTCGTGATCTTTCCGTTTCCCTCTCTCATCTCTCGATCCATTCCCCGAGGCGCTCGCCAGAGACCTCACCGCTCACACCTCTCTCGAATTCTCGTACCAACTCTCCGGTTCCCAGTCTATCAGATCTCATTCCTGCTCCCAATCCTACTCGATCCTCATCTCGTCGTTCATCCTTCTCTTCTACTTCTTCCTCTATGGCTCCCCATTACACGCATACGGCACAAAATGCCCCGCGCTTCCACGAAGATAACGTAGCCGACCTTGAGGTTTGGTTGTCCGACCTCAAGGCGTACTTCGAAGAGCATAATGTACGCACTGCGGCAGACCAGATACAGAAAGCGCCGTTCCACGCGACTGAGAGGCACGTCCGAGACCTTTGGAAAGAGGTAGCGGACAAGCATGCCAATAGTACTTGGGACGAGTTTGTCGAAGCGATTTTAGCGTGTTACCCGGAGATTTCTGGGAGCCGTTCAGGCACTTTGACCGAACTGCACAAGATCTGTAATAATTATCGCGACTTGCATGTCACCGACCTCACCAGAGGTCCCGCCTTCCTG